TATCCACGTACATTACCAATATACTTATACCCAACTTTATATCTTTTATTTATAATTCTATACCGCTCGTATAATAATATACCTTATACTATTTTATATAACTCGTTTAAGCAATTTTAATAGTATCTTTACTTTTTATATTAATAAAAAAAATCTTATCGGATCGTATAACTTACCCTTCCATTACCCAACCTTACTTTACTATCTACGTACATTACTAATATACTTATACCTAACTTTATATCTTTTACTTATAATTCTATACCGCTTATATAATAATATACCTTATACTATTTTATATAGCTCGTTTAATTATTTTTAATAATATTTTTACTTTTTATTTTAATAAGAGAAATCCTATCGGATCGTATAACTTACTTTTCTATTACCTAACCTTACTTTACTATCTATATATATTACTAACACACTTATACTTAACTTTATATTTATTATTTATAATTCCATACCGCTCATATAATAATATACCCTATACTATTCTATATAGCTCGTTTAAGTAATTTTAATAGTATTTTTATTTTTTATATTAATAGGAGAAATTTTATCGGATTATATAATTTACTTTTCTATTACCTAACCTTACTTTACTATCTATATATATTACTAATATATTTATACCTAACTTTATATTTTTTATTTATAATTCTACACCGCTCGTACAATAATATACTTTATACTATTCTATATAGCTCGTTCAAGTAATTTTAATACTATCTTTACTTTTTATTTTAACAGGAAAAATCCTATCGGATCGTACAACTTACCTTTCCATTACCCAACCTTACTTTACTATCCACGTACATTACTAATATACTTATACCTAACTTTATATCTTTTACTTATAATTCTATACCGCTCGTACGATAATATACTTTATACCATTCTGTGCAGCTCGTTCAAGCAATTCTAATACTATCTTTACTTTTTATTTTAACGGGAGAAATCCTATCGGATCGTATAACTTACCCTTCCATTACCCAACCTTACTTTACTATCCACGTACATTACTAACATACTTATACCCAACTTCATATCTTTTACTTACAATTCCACACCGCTCGTACAATAATGCACCTTATACCATTCTGTGCAGCTCGTCCAGGCGATTCTAATGCTATCTTTACTTTTTATTTTGACGGGAGAAATCCCATCGGATCGTACAACTGAATTCTTTAACGGATCCTACCCCCTATTTCTAAAGTGGGGCCTTTTTTTTGGTGCGCTTTTCAACGGATTATACTACAATCCATCGGAGAATAACTAATAGGGTAAGGTACTTAATCTTTAAAATACTAAACGCGAGTCCTTACTATCCTGGATTTACTGCTTCCCGGTATAGAAAAATTACCGTAAATATTTACCTTTAAATATTATAATACTACTTTCCTATTTACTATAATATTAACCGCTATATACTAGTCGAGCACCTCCGCCGCCTAAATAGAGGTAGTAATAGAAAGTATAATAGTCGCTTTATTTTCCTTATAGATTTTTCTTCCTACGTTATATTTATTTTCGATTATATCGTTAATCTAATCGCTTTAAATAATAAAATTTATAGATTTTAAACGGCGTTCGGATCTTCCTTAGTTAATAAAGGTTATTCTTATAAATTCGGAAAACTTTATTTAAAAATAATTAATAACCCTAACTTTTATTATCTTTTTTTTAATCGGTACTTAAGAAAGTAATTTAAAATAATTAAAAATAATTTTTTTTTAACTTGCCTATACTTTTAAAAATAACTTTAGCGTAAAAGTTATTTAATTCCCTATAAATATTTTCGTTTTATTAGGAATCGTAGATTTTAAAAAAGCGTTTAAAACGAATAATTAAAACGGGTTAAATATTAATAAATATAAACAATTTTATATATTTATTAATCTATTTTCTTATATTAAAATTATATTAAAATTTAAATTTATAAACGTATAAAGTAAATTCTATAACTTAATACTTTTTATTAATATTTTCGAAATACTTTAAATATTCCGTAAAGTATTTTCCTTTAAAATTACTTTTAAAACCGACTTTTTTCGGATTAAGGAATTTACGTTAAAGGAAATATATAAATACTATGGAATAAAGGGTTAATTAATTAGATATAAGGGACCCCTAAAAGTAGCGATAGTTAAGGTAAATTCCTATAGGGTAAAGGTATTTGGGTTATTAAAATTAATATACGAATTTAGGAAAAGGAGCGGGATATTTAATATATCGAGTAGAAAGCGTAATATAATTCTAAATAATAGGATTTAAGTAGGTGCGAGGTTTATTTAGTATATTAAAAGCGTTAAGCTTTATAATCGGGTTACTTTAATTAAAAAGGGGGCGAAAGGTATTAATATCTTTAAAGTAAGTACGGTTTATAATCGGGGAAAGGATAAATAATAATAATTCCGGGGACCTAGCCGCCGAAATAGTTACCTTTACTATAAAACGAGCCGTAGGAGCTTAATACCCTTAGTTATTACCGGGAAGGTTAACCGAAGTAATAAATAAAATATTATTAAATATATCGATATTTAATAATTATTATTATATTTACGTTAATAATATAGTTTTTTCTTTATATATATTATTAAAAATATGAAAACGATTATCCTTTATAACTTTAATATATAGATATAAGTTACGTTTACCTAAATTAAAGGGAAAGTATCTTTATTTCCTTACTTTTAGGTTCCCGATATCCTAAATTAAATTAATCTGGAAATCCCTATAATTATTTATTATCGTTAAATAATATATTAAAAAAATTCTTTTTAATTAAAAATAGGAAAGGACTTTAATAATTAACGCCGAAATAAGGTTTACTAATAAATTAATCTTAATTAATATTTTTAATTTACTTCCCGGTTTTATCTGGACTATATACTTAACTCTTTACTCGCGGGTAAAAAGTTTAAAGTTTAATCGATAATAAAAAAACTTTATCCGATTAAATAAAAAAAAATTATTTTTATTAAACTTTACGGGGGTTTAGTAAAGTTATTAGTATTTATTATTATTTATAATTTTATATTTCCTTTAGTACCTAGGGCTTATAAGTTTAGTTTAGACCCTAAGCTTTACTTAACCCGGGCACGACCTTTATTTAAAATAGTAAAAAAATATATAAAACAACTATAATACCGCAAATATACCCTCAATAGGTCTTAGAATAAACATACCTACGTAACAGTAACTCGCTCGCAGGCCGCACTTTACGTAGGACAAAGAAAAAACACTATAAACTCGTAAGCCATATAATAAGTACCGGATTAGCCTAATTAGAGGGCTAGAATTGCCTATACGCGTGCAAAGCGTAAAATATAAAGAAAAAATAAAAGTCAATAATTCTCTTTAAATTAAAATGTCCGAAGTAGACCGCTTATATATATGACCCCTGAACCCCTGAGTCCTCCGAGAGCCCCGCTTTTTTATTTATACTTTTAGGCCTATGGCCGCACTCTAAACTAATATAGACCTATTTATTACTATTATTACTAATAATAATGTTGATTATTATTCGTCGTTTACCGAAAGTTAATAATAATCGTAATTATTACTTTTAGCGCTAGTAATAATTTAATTTCCTTACTTTTTTGTTCCTAGTGGTTAGATAGGTCGCGCCCCGCGCTCCTTACTTATGTTAGGTCCGTGACACTTAGGCCTTTAAGTACCTCCGTACTTAGATTTATTTATTATTTCCTAGATCCTTTGGATTTAGCTTTTAAACTTTAGATCCTTGGATCTAGCTTTTAAACTTTAGATCTTTAGATTTAGCTCTAAATCCCTAGATCTACGGATCTATTTTCCAATCCCTAGATCCTTTAGCCCGTATTATTCCCTGCTCCATAGGCCCTACTTATCCGTCTCCCGTTCTTATTAGTTTGGGCGACCCCGCTTTTTCTAAACCGTAATAAAACGTCGTTAAAATAATATAGTATTATTTTGTCGAAATACTTCCGGATTATATAATTAACGAAAGATTAAATATTATAGGTATATTAATTAACTTAAATAATATTATAAAATACTCGAAATAATTATAAAGTAAACTAAACGTTATTTTTTATTTGTTTCTTTCTTTAATCCATATATAACTATACCTAATAAATATATTTAAATATATAAAATATTACGCCTAAAGGAATAGCCTATCTAATAATAGTGTATCTAATGTATCTCTTAAATAATACTTTAGTGATTTATCTTTATTATTATTATTCTAAACACTAAAATATGTCTATGTAAAAATAAGGCGAGAAAATAAAAAGAATTATCAATCTAGGTTCTGAGCCTCACACATTTGCTTATAAATCTCCCCCTTAGCCAAAAGCTTTGCATGTGTCCCTGCCTCCACAATCTTTCCTGCCTTGAAGACGCAAATGAGATCCGCGTCTTTGATGGTGCTCAGTCGGTGAGCAACAGCCACGGTAATGCGGTCACCCTCCTTTGCTACTTCGGCAAGGGCCTCTTGGACAATCTTCTCGCTTGTGGAATCAAGCGCACTCGTGGCCTCGTCCAAAAGAAGGATCTTGGGGTTACGAATAAGAGCACGGGCAATAGCAATCCGCTGGCGCTGTCCTCCTGATAGCTGTGTTCCGTTGGGCCCAGCAAAAGTCGCAACACCGTCCGGAAGAGAGCAGACGAAGTCCCAGGCATTCGCAGCGCGAAGCGCCGCTTCAACCCGAGTCGACAAAGCAGCATCCTTTTCGGTGGGCATGTCGCTTTCGTCGAGCCCCAGAGCAATGTTATCTTGGATTGTTCCCTGGAAGAGAGTTGGCTCTTGCTGGACGAGAGACACAATGGCGCGATAATGTCGAGGGTTGATTGAGGGGAGAGGATCAGATGCAATGCGGACGGTGCCAGTAGAGGCGTCGTAAAACCGTTCCAAAAGACCAATGATGGTCGACTTGCCGCAACCAGACGCACCAACAACGGCAATGAACTGTCCTTTTTCGATCTTCAGGTCCACGCCACGCAGCACAGTAGTGTCCGGGCGGAGCGGATACGAAAAGCGGACATTGTCGAGCTCAATGGGACCTCCAGACGAAGGCTTCCTGTCTTGATTGTCCGGTGTCTCCTGAACTATTGGCTGGAGTGAAGAGAGCCAAAAGATGTAATTTGCCGAGTTTTGCCCCTTGGTCATGCTTGTTGAGAATGCAAAAAACTGCGAGGCCGCTTGCGCCGACAAAAAGACACCCATAAAGGCCACAAAAAAGTCATACATGGAAATTTCGAGGTCCGAGACAAGCTTGCAGCCGTACCAGAAGCCCAAAGCCATGAAGAGATACTCGATACATTGAGTGAAGGCGAAGCACGTCATGATCAGGGTAAGAGGTTTGACTGATCCAGCGACGGCATGGTCCAGTTCGGCAGTGTACTTTTCGAGAACCTTGTCCTCCAAAGCCAACGACGACACTGTCCGGATGGCATTGATGCTTTCCGAGGCGATGGCAGAACTCTTGGAATGGCGCTTGGAAACCATCTGATCCAGCTTCACATCAAGACGAATCTTGAAGAGGCCAGACAGGGCGAGAGGTGGCATCCCGGCAAGGACAACAACAAGACCCAGCTTCCAAGTGTGTGCGATAGCCAAAATGCTGCAAGCTCCGAGGTTGAGGACCGAGATCAGAATGAGCCCAACGTTTATGCCCATCAGCTCAAAGACGCCTTGGGGGTCTGACTCGACATGGCTGACTAAGGACCCAACCGAATTCTCGGGACGGTCGAAAAACTGGATGTCCTGACGCAATAAGTTGTCAAATACTTGTCGGCGGAGCTTCCGGGTCAACGTCTGGGCAATCGTGTTGCAAGCCCAACCGAGGACAAAGTAAACCGCGAGACAACCCCCCGCCATGACAATAAACATGCAGGCAAAGAAGTTGCCGCGGTCAACCAGGGCCTGCCCGGTCAAAGTAAAGACGTCCATAACCCGGGCCATGAGAATGGCTTGACCTGGGAAGGCCGCGGCAGCTCCTACACAACCCAAGAAGAGCGCCCCATACATCAGGTTGAGCTCAGGGGTGTACTTGACAAGATGGGTTACTACGGTTAAGAGACCAACGTGCTTATGCTTGTGGAAGTCATCGCGATCCCTTTGCTCGTCCAGCCGCATCCAATCTTGTGTTGGGTATCGGGTCATGGTCTTGGTAAGTTCCATCGGATGACGACTCTCATTGTCCTCGTCGCCTTCATCATGACTGTCCATGTCCCGAGACCCATCCGTGTCTGGAAGCTTCTGGCCTCCGACAGCCAGATCTTGAGCGCGCACAAGTTTGGCATAGGTCCCATCCTGGGCAATGAGCCCCTCGTGAGTGCCTTGCTCAACAATCTTGCCCTTGGACATCACGATGATTTGGTCTGCTTTTTTGATCGTAGCTAGCTTGTGTGCAATGACCAGCGTGGTGCGGCCCTCGGCGGCCCTGTCGAGCGCCTTCTGAACCGTGCCTTCAGCATGGGGATCTAGAGCCGAAGTGGCTTCATCGAGAAGAAGAACTTTAGGGTGGGAAACCACGCTCCGAGCAATGGCGACCCTCTGCTTCTGTCCTCCACTCAGCAAACCTCCTCGCTGGCCAATATCCGTATTGTAACCTTGAGGGAGCTGCAGGATAAAATCATGAGCAAACGCCAATTTTGCTGCCTCTTCCACACGAGCCATCTGCTCCTCGCGAGAACTCTGCTCGTATGGCGTGCCCACCAGCCCATAGGCGATATTTTCAAAGACAGTTCCTTGGAACAGGACAGGCTCTTGCTGCACCAACCGAATGTTTTTGCGAAGCCAGTGGAGGTTGAGCTGCTCAATGGGCCGGCCGTCGAGCTTGATGGAGCCAGAGAATGGATTGTACCACCGTTCCAAGAGACCGACAATGGTGCTCTTGCCCGAACCGCTGGCGCCAACGAGAGCAGTCACTTTTCCTGCCGGGATTGTGAGAGTAAAGTCGTCCAAGACCTTGATCTTGGGCCTCGAGGGGTAGGCAAATGACACGTGCTCCAACTCCACAAGGCCCTCCACGCCATCGGGCTGATCCCCGGATTCGTCAAAGGGATCGATCTTGGAAACGGTGTCGATCAACTTGAAGAGCTGTGCGGCAGCTGTTGAAGCTCTCGAAAAGTCAATGCTGTACGGAGCGAGCATGGTGATAGAGATGGTGGCAATTACGACGGCAAACAAGACGGTAAAGATCTCGCCGGCAGCAATGTCGCCGCGTGACAGCATGGCAATACCTTGCCAAAAGGCAAGAGCCATCCCCAAGAAGATGATGCTGTACTCGGCCGACATTAAAATGCCGAGCAGCGGCGAAATCTTGCGTCCCCAGACCCCCGCTTCATCGAGATAGTTGTTGAACCTCTCAACCAGCCGCTCCCTCATGCCAAAGGCGTGAACAGTCTTGGCACTTGCAAGCACGCCCTCGGCAAAAGAGTTTGCCTGTGAGTAAATATCCAAGATCTTGGTCTCGTAGCCGGCGTGAACCATTGCGACAATGGACATGACCAAGATTGTTGCGGGGGCAATGCACAAGCATATAAGCGAAAGCTTCCAGTTGGTAACGAATGCAACGATAAAGGAGGCCATGAATGCAGCCAGCCCCTGAAAGGTGAGTCCTAGCTTCTCCGAAATGCCGCTCTGGATCAACTTGCCGTTGGATGACGCTTGTGCTGCGATGGAGCCGGCAGACCCAAGGTCGAAGAAGGCCACATCCTGGGAAAGCGCAGCGCGGAGATATGCGCGGCGAATGTTGCGGACCGTGCGGTAACCGGCATAAGTGAACAAGGTGTTGTAAGTGTATGACAAGACGAAGCGGGCGATTCCGAGGTAGACGAAATAAACACTACAAACGTGTCAGATCAAAGCAAGAGTCATAAGGCCGCAAAACGTACGCTAGTTTGGAGACTTCGCCCATGAAAACGTCCCTGTCCGAAGTACTAGAGACATAGTCGGTGATGACTGTCACAAACTGGCCAAAGATCAGGTTCTGCAAAGCCATGCCCACGCCAGAGCAGATTGCCGCAACAACAGCCACTGCCTGAATGATCTTTTCGACTTTGTCGGCATACCAGAATATTCTCTGTTCTTAATGTCAGTGTTGGTACAGGAGGCACAGTTTTCTGCATCGATTTCTGACCCAGTATGCACCATTTGATTCCTCCTTTTCCTCCGTGGTTGGCGGGGCGACTTCCTCGGTGGGCCCAGGAGTCGTCAAGGCTTCAGACACACAGTGTGTTGATGGGGTGCTCGGCTTTTCCGTCTCTGACATCGTCGCCATCTTTGCCGTATGTGTGAGGCAACAAAGCGACGGTTCAGTGATGTAGTAGACGGCGTCATTCAGTCAACAGGAGAAGACGGTGACCTTTGAAGAAAAGAATAGCAGATGAAGGAAATTGCAGCTACTTGGCGCCAAGGGTAATGCAAGATGCCAAGGGTTGCAAAGCAGTGGAGCAGAGGTCAAGACTTGGACGACCAGATGCAGTAGACATAGACGACAAGCATCTCGAGGGATCGATAGGCACTCGGCCACTGGATTGTCCGTTGTCCGCACCGAGCTGACGCAACCTATGCGCGAAGAGTCGTCCCGAGTCAGGACGGCAGGGCAGTCCAAAAATGGAAGTCATCCTTGGCATAGGGCATGGCTGTGGATGCGAACTGAGGTCCGTGCCTTTGTCGCGGTCCGCGGTTTCCGCGGGCCAGAAGGGTTGACTGTCCGCCCATTTCAACATCGGCCGCCCGCATGCCTCATGCTCCGTCTCCGATGCTCACGGCAAAACACCCGACAGCTTCCAATATCGCTTCACCTCTGTCCTTGTACGTCCCATAGGGCCGCCACTCTCATCGCCATGAACCGTGCAACGGCTTCCCCACCCACCGAAGCCGCATCGGTCGTCCCCCGAGCTGTTCGTCTCCCTTCCAACTGACCCCACTTCAGCTTGGCTTTGTTCACATCGATATTGACCTGACCACACATCATCCAGTGCAATGCATGTCGAGCTCGCAAGGTAGGCGCCTGATGCCAGCCTGTATGTTGCCAATCATTTCCCACGTGGCTAAGTGTTTATTTTGTAGATAGGATGCAATCGCGAATCTCCCTGTGCCAATTGCGTCAGAGCAAAGATCGAGTGAGCAGTCTCCGTTTATTTGTTCTCAAGTTTATCCTCACCTGACTCTTGTTGTGTAGATGTATCTACAATGAAATACGACCCAGGGAGAAGAGGGCTCGCATTCTTTTGAGCCACCAATAGTATGATTGCCTCGATATTCTATAGTCAGGTTCACGTAATACTTACCAGACCCCGTTGCTGTAACCTGTCTAGTGAGCAAAAGATCGACCACCTTGACAGTCGCCTGGATGAGATCCTAGATCTTCTGCGACAACTCAAAACTCAGCAACCCACAACTGGCCGCCCAATCCCCGAGATCCAGCTCCGTGCACCATCGCCAGCCAATGTAACCGCTCCAAGAACACAACCCGCAGCTCTCTCAATACCAGTCACACCATCGCCAGCCGCAACAAGCCCAGACTCATCAACCGCCACCACGCATGTCAGGTCCAGTCATGCTCATGCAAACACCACACCGCCCATGGTTGAGGGCAACTCATCGCTTACCGCACAGACAGAGTTCGCCAGTGAATTCCTGAAAACTGCCGTCCATGACCGGGACTCGCAACCAGAAATGCGCGAGCGCCTCGATGCCCTTCGTGTCCTCGTCGAGGCCATGAAAAAACAACCAGCGGCGGATGAGATGCGGTATCCACATGCTGCACCCGTCAAGACGCTATCCTTGAAAGATTGCAAGTTGCCCCCTATTCAGATTGTTGTTGAGGTTCTCCGGATGACACAGTCCTTTAAGGTTATGTGTCTGGCCTGGGTGTACGAGCTAATACCTCTCACGGGGTTCCTTGAGGCATATGTGAGAGAGGACAACGATTTGATCACCCTCATCAATGTCAATGTTGGTCTCCACTTCCTATTTTGGGCGTGCGCACAAGTGGACCAAGAAAAGAAAGACGAATATCTTGGTTACGCGCAGACCTGTGGTAGTACCATCGAAACAGCTTTGGCACATCTGCCGCTGCATCTTCCCGCCAACGATGACACTATCTCTGCGCTCCTGTCGGGATCATTTTATGCCGTGGAGATATCCAAGCCCTCCCTAGCCTGGATTCTGACTTCCAAGGCATCAGAACTGTGCCAGACACTGGGCTATCACCGAGCCAACGACGGCTATGTCCTGTTCAAGTCTGGAGGGGCTGCAAATGATATTGATCGATACAAGCGGCACTTGTTGTTTTGGTCCGTCTACATTGTCGACAAGAGCCTGTCTCTCCGGCTTGGACGGTCCTCCAGTATCCAAGACTACGACATTTCCCTCCCATATCCTTCCACAAATAATCCCGGCAATTCCGGCATCACAGGATTTTTTTTACTATGGGTTCTCCTAGCAAAGTTACAGGGCCAGGTGTACGAGTTGCTCTATTGCCCAGAGGCCGTCATTGCGCCAGAAAGTGTCAAGAGAGAAAGGGTTAAGACTCTGCTGGGTCGTTTGGAAGAATTCGAGGCCAAGACGGCAGAGGTGATTGTAAGTGTCTTCTCGCCACTGGTCTGATGGCCTGAATATGAAATCTAATCATGACGCTACCTACTGCAGCACCAATGGAGTTCGTATTGCCGCGAACATGCCGGCGATGACTTGACTGATTTCTTTCTTGTGTCCGATCACGTACTGCGGCTTAGTCTCCTCACAATGGTGCATCGCGCCGTTCCCAATCCACCAGGATCACCCACCACTTTCTCCACAGAGTGTATAAACGTGGCACGCCAAACGCTAGGACGACACCAAGAGTGTATGGAGTTAATCAAGTCCACAAACTACGGGTTGTTCAGCACTTATATGCACTGGTACGTAGCTCGGTCATGTTTCTCCACCTATCACAGCAAGTACTGAAAAAGGGCTGATTGGTGCTGACGGCTGAAACAGGACGATCCTAATGGCCCCCTTCGTTCCGTTCATTGTCCTTTTCTGTCAGGTAATCGAAACAAAAGATAAGGATGATCTTGCCAGACTGCAAGCCTTTGCCACGTCGTTACAGTATGAGTCTTCCGTCACTGAGGCCGTGGAAAGACTCCGTCGTTTATTTCAGGTGCTCGTCAGCGTGGCATCCCATCATGTTCAATCTCCTCCTACCAGCCAGATCGGACAACGTACAGATTTAAGACCCGACCTACCGAAAGATACACACCAGGCCCATCAGGCAGCGTTCGAAGTTGACGCTTATCTCGGAACATTAGGGTTTTCCCAACAAACTGTCTCAGATCAGTGGCCCGAGAGCACAACTGGTCAAGGACAAGAGAATGGCCGAGAAGGAGGAGAGTTTCCCGAGGGACATCGAATGGCTAACCCCATGATGTGGATGTGGAATGAGATGCAGCTGGAGGATTGGTTCTACAATAATGATCAGATAGAAGCGTTGGAATCTCTGTATAATTAACAATTGCCATGTATTAGCATCGGTGTTTCCTATTTTCTCTAGTCGCACTTGCAGAATTCACTTGATGGAGTCCCTGACTCAACAAACAAAAGAACGACATAGACTGATGGAGAGTCTAGTAGAGCTGAAACTCAGGATCTAAAATTTCCCAACATGCCACTCGTAGGTAATATTTAAAAAGCCCAAAGTAACTCATTAGGCTACATGGAGGTGATACGTTAGGCACATGGAGGATTTCAGCAATCATGCCAAGATAGGTTGGCGATCAAACTACATGTAGCACTTATTGCTTCCTGGACTCGGACCGTAAGTAGCGGCTTGGAGAATATTACCACTCTCGTCGAGTATGGTACCGGGCTCTCGTCTGGCAACGTCGAGCACAATCCAAAGGTGCAGGATGACGCTGACTGAAACTCGCCTGTAACACAAAGAGTTTGTCGCCTTACCGTTGTATGATTAGCCTCATACGTAGAGGATGAAGTAGGGTGGGGTCAACACTCCCACTAGGTACCTTAGATAAAATTAATGTCCGCGTTCAAGATATGTATATCAACTCCCTTGCTGAACTTTTAATATCCTTGAAGGCCAAGTAAGAATCATCCCATACCTATCGGCTTAACATATTATTCGCGACTATATTTCTTACTTATTTCCCTGAAGATGGCTTCCGCAATGTCCGTTCAACTGCAAGCGATCGGGTCGTCTGGAGCCAAGTCACTCTAAGCTGAGCCAACTAGTGCTGACTTGATCGCGAGTTTGCACTAGGTTTGTGGTGACATCCTGTAATCGAATAGCCAATCCGGACTTCTCAAAGATTGAATGTTGACGGCACTGGCCAATAAACAAATTTACTGGTGGAAGATTCTCCCTATTGTATAGTAGCCAAGAATGCTTTGTGCCTTGATGCACTTTACTTTTATCACACGTCCAGCTCGGCATTCCCTGCTGCCACTTTGAACTTGACGTCAAACGGCAGTTGAAGCCCTGCCCCGTGCTTTATTGGGACAAGTGTTACGCCGGGAACGACACGGGGTAGTAGAGGACTCGTCCCGCTCCAATCGGGAATTTGAAACACTACCGGGACTGTTTCTCTCATCCTTTTTCAGCATCCACGCTGATCCCTATCCCGTGTCGGCTCCATCGCACGGGATAGGACTTGTGCCACATGACACTTGTGGTATCCAAAAAAAGGTCTTGTTTGGTCTAATGAGGCTATTTAGGCGGTTTATGATGGAGAAACTTGATTCGTTCGCAACGCAATGGTTCTTCCCCAGGTTTTCGTGGACCCGGAGAATGCACCCCGCAGTCGGTAGATGTGCTTGATCTGGAGACTAAAGAACCGCGAGATGAAGCCAAGATCTCAGCCTTGGATCACAAAGCGCAGGATATACAACAGGTTCAGTCGTGACAGGAGACGGTCGATGGACATATATTTAGAGGGCAGACGCGCCCCTAATAAATGACATACCGTTGACATCCCATCACCCCATCAGTCCCCAACTTCCTCTGCCCTCTAAGTCGGAACCGCTTGTCATGAAGCTCTCGTCGTTCACCATCTTGGCTGGCCTCGCGGCCCAAGCCCAGGCCCACTACATTTTCAACATACTGATTGTGAACGGCCAGCGCATCGGTATGACAATTCATGATTAACCCTTCTTGCAGTTGGGGTTATACTAACAAAAGAATGGAAAGGTGGCGAGTACACATACGTTCGACGCAATTCTAACAGCTACAATCCGGCCTTTCCCGACATCCTTACCTCTGATGAATTACGGTGCAACCGCGGTAAGCCTAACAGATGAAAACATGTGGAATATTCAAGAATCTAAGTCTCAATTTAGGCGCCAAGCCTGGCGGCAACGTACAGACATACGAGGTTAAGGCTGGTGATAAGATCGGCTTCAAGGTCTTCAACAACGAGTTTATTGAACACCCCGGCCCGGGGTTCATCTACATGTCCAAAGCCCCTGGCAGTGTCGCTACCTACGATGGTTCCGGCGAGTGGTTCAAGGTCTACGAGACCGGTCTTTGCCGCGGCGGAGGAAATGTGGACACGAACTGGTGCTCGTGGCAGAAGGACAGGTGAGTTCCAAGTCAACCCTGACCCCTTGTTAGCAAATTCTCACACTACATGTCAGGCTTGAATTCACTATCCCGCCCAAGACCCCCCCTGGAGAGTATCTCGTCCGCATCGAGCACATTGGTCTGCACGAGGGTCACGTACGCCGCGCTCAGTTCTACATTACCTGCGCACAGTTGAGGATCACCGGGCCCGGTGGTGGCAACCCCTCACCTCTTGTCCGCATCCCCGGTCTCTACAATGCCAATGACCCCGGCATTGCTTACAACAAGTGGACCAACAACCCCGCCGCTTATCGCATGCCTGGTCCCGCTGTCTGGAACGGAAACTGAGCAGGTGAAGCACAGGATGACAGACTACCTGAGGTATGTTGAAGGCTTGTAGCCTTCTGATGTCTGTCTGTGTTCAGATTAGTAGATGCCTGCCTTAGTGTGGCATTTTGCCCCCTAAATAAAATGTCACACGTATCTCCAGGACCCGTTGTCATTCTGTGTTGAAGATGGCGGTAACTGCCAAAGAAATCCAAGAAAATCACGTTGCTTGGCAAAACCCCACCCAGTCATATTCTACGATGTTACATAATTCCGGGTTTCCTTTTTCGGTCCATTCAGCATTTTACAGGGCCATCGAACAACACATGCATACGGGAGCAACCCCCCACTTGGGACCTCGTAGCCCACAGTTCTTATGGAGAGTGACAAATGAAACATCTATCCACTGCCGCGCGGGGTATTCATGTACAACCCCCCGTTGGGAGAAACTGGAAATCTTCAACAACAATGGAACTGCATGCACACTTGCGCAGGCAATCGCAACATCTCATTGCCTGGGCGAATCTTGACCGCTACTTTGAGGTCACATAATGCATTAACCCCGTTTCAAGCACCCAACTCAATATATGACTTGGGTGATCATGAAATCAACATATCGGCGTTTGGATGGAATATCCGATTGGTGTAAGCCTGCGCAAAACGATACCCCCCCCCCTCCCCCTCCCTTCCACTTCCGTATGGTTCTCATCTGTCTCCGCCATGTCACTTGGTCTAGTTTATATTAATGTGAATGGTTTGAGGAAGCACCCTCCCCACAAAATAATTGGCGCAGCAAAAGTACTAAACTTAACCTATACCATATTATTGACCCTGCCTTAAAAGCAGATTAATAGACCTTTTAGATATCTTTAAAGGACCATATTTATCTTCGAAGGTCTATAAACTATCTTTCAACGCCTATGAACTATCTTTAAACGCCTAACAACTGTTTTACAAGGCATGGTTCGCAAGTAATTGACCCCGGGTCATTAAGACGGAATTGGTGAGGTCTTTCTGGCCTGAGTATCCTACCTTACGGTTCAACAATGGCGAGTCGCCATGACAATTACAGCAGTTGCCGCCGCTACCCGACGTGAAGAAGGTATGGTAGAAAACTGCCTGCAAGGTTAAACTTGCGGGCCGTTAACCGCTCGAGCTGACGCCAATAGAAATGCATGCACACGCTCGGCTTCCAGGTTCGGTCCCATTCTCTCGGGTCAAGCCACATTTTGATGATGAGTGCAATTCATCAATCTATGATCCAGGAGGGGCAACCTGGCCAGCCAATTCAAATACTAGCTGATATTTCAATGCAGCTCTTGCTTGGATAGGCTTCTATGGTGCCTCCATCCCATAATGTACCCGCTGTGGGCGGCATCTTTGGGTAAACTTGGGATGGTGGGGGTGCAGCCCATGCAGCTGCTGCAACTGTCCGGGTACTTGCTTCCGTGGCCGGCTGAGGTGTCTGGAATTAAAGGAGCACACCGGGTATCCGGTGTCATGTGCATGTTCCAGGACAGAGATTCCATGAAACCTTACGTGCATATAGGTGCGTATTACCTATACGACATTCAGTTAGATCCTGGCCAGCAGGTCACTGCAACACCCCTTAAGTCAGGGATTGCAAGATAGACAGGTAGATATGGTGGAGGAAGGGTGATGAGATTTGCTGTTCGTTCCTTCCCATCTGCCCGATTAGTCTCGCTGTTCACATAGCTGCGCGTGGATACCGACTTTTTCTCAACTCCGCCAGTTGGTGCTGCCAGCTCTGGTAGGCTTGCTTACCTGTAAACTGCTGTCTATCTGTATATCAAGTCTCTCTGTTCTCGCTTTTGTTGTGGCGGGCCTTTATCTTTCCCAAACCGTACTATTGGACACGGATTACAACAAGTCTTCTTACAATGGCCCGGCAACAAATCTTTCTACTCGGTCCCCAAGTGACCAATTGGACACGAGAGGCCTTGGCGGAACTACAACAAAACCTCCTGAAAGATCCCACCCTCGACTTCATCACTCAAGCCCTGTTAACCTTGCCCTCCCTCTCGTCTATACTCGGACAACAGCTCGGGCTAGACTTTCACCCTGGCCGGATTTTCCATCTTCTCGCGGACTTTGCCCAAGGCGGGCAGCTTCTCTTAAACACCAATGATGATTGGCGGCACAACACTTTGCTGGCCCCATTGACAATCGTGTCTCAAGCCGTAGACCTCGCCGTTCAGTTTGGAGGTCTTCCTAGAAACAAACTACCCTTAACACCGCATCAGCAAGTTCAGGGCTTCTGCATTGGCTGGCTGTCGGCATCATCTCTTGCTAGTGCGTCAACTTGGGATGACTTCAAGCGTAATATTTCCGCTGCCTTGCGACTTGGGGCCTGTATTGGCGCAGCAGTGGACGCCGATTCCAGTCAGTGCCCTTCTGATCACGCAAGGGCTATTTGTGTGCGCCTGAGGAACCCGAGTGATAGGGTGTTTCTGGAGACACTGCTGGACCAGATACCGGATGCAAGTCATTCAACCTTTTTTGGCTGGCCTGTACAAGCTAACATGTTGCTAGGCCTACATTTCTTGTTTTCTGGATGAGGGCGTTCTCACCGTGACGGTGCCAAACAGCAAGCGACTTTGGTTGGAAGGACAGCTGCAGAGAGCTACCCTGCCGTGGACCGATATTGGGCTTCGTGGCCATTACCATCACCTACGGCATGAGGAGAGAGCCCAAACCCTCAAAAGAATCTGTGCCTCTATTGTGGAACTTCAGCTTCCCGCCGCCGCGGCCTTGCAAACACCGTTGAGATCAACCGCTGATGCCAACATCGTCCCGCCGAACGCGACATCACTTCACGATATTGCCATCGATCTCACGCTGTGCAAACGAGCCCACTGGTTACAAACTCTGCGCAACTGTGTCGAGAAAGCCGACAACTTCGTCTTCATACCCATTGGTTCCCATACTGGAGGCCTTGTTCCGCGTTCGATTACCCATCCTCGCCCCTCACCCAGCACCTCGATGCCAGAGGACGAGATCGCCATTATCGGCATGTCTGCTCGCTTCCCTGGCTCGGACTCCATATCAGACTTTTGGAACCTTTTGGTCTCAGGGAAGACTGCGTTTGGACCTCTTCCAGTGTCCCGTTTTGATCCGACATATCCCAGCATTGCCTCACGTCTGGCCGAAGCCAAATACCAGGGGAACTTTCTCAGGGATGAGGTTGTCAAGGGCTTCGACCACCGGTTCTTTGATATTGCTGGGCGAGCAGCTAAACACATCGATCCCCAGCAAAGGCTTGTCCTTGAGGTTGCATATGAGGCTCTAGCTACCGCAGGATATCACCAGATCAAGACCCACCAGCAAAAGGAAGTGGGTGTATACATGGGCGTTGGTGAGGTTGAATATCAACATAATCTTGCCGGACACCAAGCAACTCCTTTCACTGCGGTGGGTTTGTTGAGAAGCTTCATCAGTGGGAGAGTTAGCCATTTCTTTGGCTGGAATGGGCCTGCGGTTACAGTTGATACTGCTTGTTCCTCAAGCGCTGTGGCTATACACACAGCTTCGAAGGTAAGGCACCAGATTTGGCCCATTGTTCATTGGACGTGACTGACATGGACTGCTAGGCTCTTTTGATAGGCGAGTGCGAACTTGCCTTGGCGGGCGGTGTGAACATCATCACCAGCCCCGAGTTGCACCAAGCTCTTGCCGCAGGCTCTTTTCTCAACCCCCATGGAGCAAGCCATGCATTTGATAGCTCTGCCGCAGGGTACTGTCGAGGAGAAGGGGCAGGTATATTGGTGCTGAAGCCCTTGTCCAAAGCTGTTGCGGACGGTGACGCAATTTTAGGAGTCATCGGGGCTTCCGCCGTCAACCAAAACTCCAATTGCAGTCCGATCACTGTCCCAGAGTCGTCATCACAGTGCTCACTATACAAGAAAATTCTGCAAACGGCAGGAGTGAGCCCGGGAGAAGTTACCTACGTCGAAGCACATGGAACTGGTGAGTGTCCCTCTTGTGCTGACATTGCTGGGACCACATCACTGATGCCATCATAGGCACACAAGTCGGGGACCCTAAGGAGTATGAGAGCATAAGAATGGCTCTCTGTGGTCCCTTTCGCACCGAGCACCTGTTTGTCGGCTCCGCCAAAGACAGTATCGGGCACTGCGAGGCTGCATCAGGCGTGGCCGGCGTCATAAAGACCCTTCTCATGATGCACCACAAGACCATTCCCCCGCAGGCTGGATTTGACACTCTCAATCCTCGCATTACCACAACCCCAGCAGATAAGATAATCATCCCCAAAGTTGCCCAGCCCTGGAGCCCAGTCCACCGACGAGTCGCGCTTGTGAACAATTATGGCGCTGCAGGTTCTAATGCTGCTATTCTTGTCAGGGAATATGAGGAACCAGCTTCCCAGTCTGTGCTGTCGGCTCCGACATCCTACCCAATACTTCTCGCGGCGAAGTCACCCAATCATTTGCAGTCCATGATTGCTGCGCTGAAGTCCTGGACACCACTCCCCGCATCATTTGGGGACATCGCCTACAACATTAACAAGTCCCAGAATCCCCAGTTCCCTCACCGACTGGCCCTTACAGCCAGGAGTCACGATGATATGGTTGCCTGTCTTGAGACGACGGCAGCGTCCATGCCCACCACTCAGCTACCAGTAGTGCTTGCATTCGGTGGCCAAACAGGGCAGAGTGTTTCGATTTCAGAACATCTCTACAATTCATGCCCTGTGTTGCGCAGGCACCTTGTGAGTGGCGCTCTTTGTTTATATACCCCTGAATTCACCCCTATCCTACCCCGAGTCTTGGATTGTTTGCACATGGCGCTAAGAAAAGCTCTAGGACCACTGCAATGATGTCTGTGTTGCTCTTGCCCTTCCGGCAATTGTGCCAAACATTTTCACGTCCTCCGAATCGGTTCCGGCTTTGCATGACATTGTTCGTCAGCACTGTCAATTGCTGGCTTTGCAAGTTTCTACGGCCCGTTGTTGGCTGGAATCCGGGCTGGAGACATCCGACATCACACTTGTTGGTCACAGTTTTGGCCAAATATCCGCCCTGGTTGTTGGACATTCCTTGACAGTCGAAGATGGGTTCCGATTTGTTGCCGGTCGCGCAAGCCTGATTCGCGATCACTGGTCGGAACCCGGATGCATGCTTTCTCTTGAGTGTCTTGAGCCTCAAGCCGGGGAAATCAGAGACGCGGTCAACAAGAATCTACAACAAACCGGCAGTAGGGTTGAAATTGCATGCTACAATGGCCCGACAAGCTTTGTCCTCTCTGGCCACCAAGAGGCTATCGCCCAGGCAAAATACGTTTGTCAACAGCAGCAAATCAAGTGCCTGCAGCTGGCAAGTACTCATGCCTATCATTCACACATGACTGAGTCAATTCTCGCGAAGCTCACCGAGATGGCTCGTCGTCTTGTTGTCAAATCCCCGAGTCTGAAAATCGAGACTTGCACCCGCAAGACTTCGGATTGGCAGTTCACAGCTGAGAGTTTGGTACAGCACACCAGAGATCCGGTTTTCTTCGCCGATGCCATCGCTCGCATCACTGCATCATATCCCCAGGGAGCCATCTGGCTCGAGGCAGGCACCTCGTCACCAGTCATCCCCATGATCAAACCGGTCAAGCGCAATAATAACAAGACAGGAGGCAAATTGCCAGACATTTACTTACCCGCTGGCCTGCGCAACGATGATGCGATGATCAACATTGGTGTGATCACATCCCAGCTTTGGCAAGCTGGATGCAGTGTGCGGTATTGGCCGTTCCTCCAGCATGGCCCTCAGAATCGACACGCCTTTGTTCCGGTTCCTCCATATCAATTCGACAGGACACAGCATTGGATTGACTACAAACCAAGGGGGTCGGAGGAAACCGGTAAAACAGCGAAACAAGATGCCGCTTCTGCAGATCTCATCACCCTGGTTGAAGCTGGAAACATGAAGCACGTCTTCCAGGTCAACACCACTGCCGACTTTTACCAGCTCGCAGCAAATGGACACGCCGTTGCTGGACATGGCTTGTGTCCCGCCTCAGTTTACCTGGAGCTCGGCGCTAAATGCGTTGAAATAGCTGCCGACATGCCTCTAGGCGACCTGATGATGCCTCATTTCGAGGCTTTGGCGATGTCATCCCCGCTTGGGATTGCGACGAGCCACACGAAGACAACCGTATCTCTGCATCAGAATGACACCAAGTCATGGTCGTTCAACATCTCCAGCCTGAATGCTGAAGGCACTTCGACAGAGCATGCACGAGGCCGCATAGCATTGCCATCTGGGGGCGCAGATGCTCAGCTCTCATCTATGAGTAAATTGTTCCGACGATCTCGCGTCGATCGTCTAAATAGCCTGGAGACGTCCAGCAAGGTGGCAGGTCCGATGGTCTACCAGTTGTTTTCGAGTGTGGTCGACTATGCCCCCTACTATCAGGGCGTCAAATCCTTGACGGCCCATGGCGACGAGGCTGTTGGGTTAGTCGGTATTCCTACTAATTCGGAATCTCCAGATGGTTGCAGGTTGCCAAAGGGTATTTGTGACCCCGTCGCCCTGGACAACTTTCTTCAGGTGGCGGGTATTCACGTTAACTGTCTTCGTCCCAGGGACGCTGGGCAAGTCTTCATGTGCACTGCCACCGAGGAAATAATCATCTCACCAGCTTACAGACAGTCATCGATCAGCTGGAAGGTATATACCCGTTATGATACGGAGCCGGATTCTCGCTCGATAATAAACGACATTCTGGTCTACGATGGAACCTCCAATGAACTGGTTGTCGCCATCATGGGGGCTACTTTCAGGGCAGTTTCCCTCAAGTCGTTGGAACGCACCCTAGGGCGACTGAATGGCGCTTCACGTTCCTTCCCCTTGACTACACAACCCCATCAATCATCGCCAACCGAGCCGACCCCGCCTATGGAAGCCACCTTTACACCCATCACCAAGACAAATCCCGACCAGACTCCTCAAGTAATAAAAGACTCCAAGGCCCAGTCATCAGTGGATCATGACATCAGGAGGGTGCTCAGCAACATCATTGAGATGCCGGTCGACGAAATTAAATCCACGAGTACTCTTTCTGAACTTGGGGTCGATTCTTTGCTGGCTGGTGACGTATTGGCTGAGATCTCTAATATGTTTGGAGTCAAAGTCTCACAGCCTGAGCTGTTGGCATGTTCCGACGTCGCAGCTCTCGTCGGCCTCGTGGGGAAACAGTCGACGGAACCAACATTTTCCCAATCAGCACCCAAAGTGTTCAGAAATGACAGTTTTGAGACAACGGGATCGGATCCTTTGACTAGTTCAGATCTGTTCGACTCGGAGATTGACTCGAATGATTCATCTTACCCTACTGATTTCACTGACGAAGATATCGCCACGAGCTCCGAGTCTGGCCACTGCAAGAATAGTGGTTTAGAGGATCTCGGGGGCGTCGCTGGTGTCTCGTTTTGTGAGGCTGCAGCCAATTACACACGACATGCTTCCGCCACTCGCTTCTCGAACTTTTGCATGGACGTCTACCCAGTTCAGTCCCGACTCGTCACACAATACGTCCTGTCCGCCTTTGGTAATCTGGGCTGTGATTTGAGCCTCATCAAGCCAGGATCAGAGGTTCCATTCATCGGTTCCTTCAATCCTAAACACAGCATGCTCGTCAGGCAGCTGTATGAAATCTTGCAAGACTCGAAGCTGATCTCTGTTGATGACCTGGGTAAATTTTGGCGCACAAACACACCTCTCGAGACGACTTCCGCCGTTGACCTCCAAGCCACCATACTCTCTCGGTTTCCACAGCACACCTCCGAAGCCAAGCTTTTAGATGCTACAGCCTCCCGGCTTTCGGCGTGCTTGACGGGGGCGGCCGATCCAATCGACATCTTGTTCGGTACATCTTCCGCCCGGGGGTTACTTGAAGACGTCTACCTCAACGCCCCCATGTTCCGAACGGGTACCTTGGTTCTGGTTGACTATCTGTCTTCCCTTGTACGAATGAGCACTCGACAAACTATCCGTATTCTGGAGATCGGGGCGGGAACAGGCGGCACAACACGACCTCTGTTACATGCCCTGAGCCAGATTGAGAGACCCGACATGACAGTCCAATACACCTTCACCGACCTGTCCCCATCCCTTGTTGCGGCAGCAAAGAGAAGGTTTGCATCTCTGGTGGCCTCTAGTTCTCGGGGAAATGGGGTGGAAATCGAGATGCAGTTCACCACGCTGGACATTGAATCCCCAGACACAAAGCGGGACAAGCACTACGATATTGTCCTGTCGACAAACTGCATACATGCCACTGAAAACCTCAGCATCTCGGCCAGTCATATTCGAGCGCTGTTGGATCCAGTTGAAGGGGGCTTGCTATGCTTGGTAGAGCTGACGAGGAATCTTTACTGGTTCGATCTCGTTTTTGGGCTATTGGAGGGATGGTGGAGATTCAACGATGGACGGACCCATGCCCTGGCCGATGAGCTGACCTGGGAAAGGAGTCTAAAGCAGGCTGGCTTTGGGTCTGTGGAATGGAGCGATAACGGGACACAAGAGGGAAAGATTTTGAGAGTCATCACTGCCCATGCCTTACCCGAGCGAGAGCCCAATATCGGAGAGCAAACGAGGATGGAGACGATGCGCTTCAAGAGTATCGGCGGTGTTGACTTGATGGCAGACATATATTACCCAGTTACACTATCTGATATTTCAGCGGCGCCTCGTCCCATAGGTATGTCCTCAAGCTTGTGCTTAAGAAATGCAGAAGCCCTCTCAAAAAGGGTAATAAAGTTTGAAAAAAGATGGTAGCTAACTGGAGTTGCAGCTTTGATGATTCATGGCGGGGGCCACATCATGCTCTCACGAGCCGACATTCGACCTTGTCAAACTGAACTTCTCCTCTCCAAAGGGTTCCTTCCGGTCAGCATTGACTACCGCCTTTGTCCCGAAACGACTCTCCAAGAAGGCCCAATGTGTGATACCGTCTCCGCCCTCTCATGGGTGAGGAATACCCTTCCCTCTCTTCCTCTGGCGAGAACCGATATTCGGGTCGATGGTGAGAAGGTCGTCGCGATTGGCTGGAGTACCGGTGGCCACTTGGCCATGAGTCTGTCGTGGAAATCGGCCGAGTTTGATGTTAGACCACCAGAGGCCATTCTCGCCGTTTATTCTCCTTCGGACTACAAGGACCCCTTCTGGACTCAGCCAAACATTCCGGAAGGGTCAGAGTCGATGTTCCCTATCGCGGCTGACTCCGCCTTTATGACACTTGACCAACCCATCACGGCATACAATCCACCATCTTCAGCCAAGGCGGTGGGTGGCTGGATGTCAGTCGTTGATCCACGCTCCAGGTTGGCATTGTACATGAATCATCATGGCAAAACACTCGAGGTTCTTCTGCGTGGAGTTTCTGCGATCAATGGAAAAAGAGAGGTGTCTGAGGAGGAGATTACGGCGGTGTCTCCATTGGCCCAGGTGCAACAAAATCGGTACAGAACACCGACCTTTATCGTTCACCCTCGGCTAGATGACTTGATACCATGGCAGCAAGCCCAACGGATGCACCAGGCTCTCAAAGAACGAGGTGTTGATGCTGAGTTGAGAATTGTTGACGAGGGAGCAAAGCACTTGTTTGATGTCGGTAAAGGATGGGAAAGGAGGCATCCGCAGGGCTCTAAGGTGGTGCGAGAGGGATTTGAGTTTCTAGTGAAATATGCTGATGGGGTTTGAGGGAGGAAGTCTGGGAAATGCGCTGTGTAAAACCATCACAGCATAACTACCTACCTATATCGAGCATCAAAGCACATCTACCACTTGAGCTGCTATTCCGAAATCTGTTAAAATCAATGTGTCTTCTCCAGCAAATGCACTACGTGTACTAGTGATACCTATGAAGGAGGAGTGTTTTTGCCCTAGGGGGTACCTACCACGCTGTAGACAAAACACCCAGCACTGCATAAGTTGTAAACATGCATCGAAAGATAGTCTATAGGCCTTAAAAGATAGATAATAGGTAAAAAAAAAATATTAAGAGGCCTATCTGCTATTTAAAAAGGTGTTAATTTGTGTATAACTAACTTGCAGTACCAATTATTCTGTCCGCCACATGCCTACAAACCAAGGCTTGCAGTGTCTTGTAAAGCCGACTATCTCCGCCCAGGGCCCAACGAGTTTCCGAGAGTACCCCATAGTTCTCCGATGTGAGCCGCTTACGTACAGTACACGTCTGACAAAGCGTCCTCGTTGCTGGCGAAATATGGGAAGCTAAGTTAAAGTTTGAAGCTATTCCCAGACCATGAATGGGTGGACCAGTTGCCATGACGCGAATGCGGGGCAAGCTATTAAAACCCTGCCAGCAACGGCCTTGGCATTGAAAGGTCCCGCCTCCATCTGTTCTACCGTCCCGCGAAGAGCTCCCGTCGACAACGTAGCGGATTGGCGTGAATGGCTATCCTGATATGCAAAGACGGACAAGAGAGCCAATGTGGAAGCTCAACAGCATTTCCGTCCTACATCCGAACCCCGAGCACGAGGCACCCCACCAATCAGCATCATTGCATCTCAGCAAGGCCGTTGATGGGCACCTCTCTGGCGACCAAAGCTCCCCGGGCAGCACAGGGCAACGACACCCGTGGCAAGCCCCGATGGAAAGCTGCACCGTCTTTTGGGCTTACATACCGATGTAATGGACCCCTTCTTCGTAGGTGGGTAGCAGTAGATTGCCACAGCATTCAAAGCGACACCGTGTTCAGTACTCGCGAAGGCGACTGCTGAATAATAATGCCTTCCCTGGTGCACGGAATAGATGGGATGGCCACATCGAGGGAGGAAGCGGGGCAAAATGTCGCGATCTTGCCCCTCACCATGCGGGGTTTGACGTGACAGTCTGGGCGGTACTTGGTGTTTGCGTGTGCTTGTCCGGAGAAGAGCGGGGTCGGGGACTGTTCCAAGATCCAGATGCTTCGACGGCGATCTGCAGCTTCCGTGCTTCCATCGGACCCCTCCGGCGTGCCTTTCTTTCAAGTCCATATGTAGTGACCCCTCCTCTTCCGCCATAACTTTCCGCCTTCCTGAACCTCCTCTTATTTTCTTGCCAATCACCCCCCAACATCCCCAACACCCCCAACACATACATCAGCAACCTAGGTTTGTTTTCATTGTATACTGCAAACATGGGAGAGTGCCCGGTCAATCACACCAAGTCCGCCAACGTCGCCGGCGGCGGGACACGCAACATTGATTGGTGGCCCAACCAGCTGCGTCTCAACATCCTCCGCCAGCACACGGCCGCCTCCGATCCTTTCCACAAGGAGTTCAACTACGCTGCCGCCTTCAAGTCTCTCGACTACAATGCCCTCAAGAAAGACCTTACCGACCTCATGACAAACTCGCAGGACTGGTGGCCTGCCGACTTTGGACACTATGGTGGTCTCTTCATCAGAATGGCCTGGCACAGCGCCGGCACCTACCGGGTCTTTGACGGTCGTGGAGGTGGTGGTCAGGGCCAGCAACGCTTCGCTCCTCTCAACAGCTGGCCCGACAATGTCAGTCTCGACAAGGCCCGCCGCCTGCTGTGGCCCATCAAGCAAAAGTACGGCAACAAGATTTCTTGGGCCGATCTCATGCTCCTGACGGGCAATGTCGCCCTCGAGTCCATGGGCTTCAAGACCTTTGGCTTTGCCGGTGGTCGCCCCGACACGTGGGAGGCCGACGAGTCTGCCTATTGGGGTGGCGAAACAACATGGCTGGGTAACGAAGCTCGCTACGCCCACGGCCAGGAGGGCATTGCCGGCAAGGGGATCGTCTCGGGCGACGAATCCAAAAAGAACCACACCGACATCCACAACCGCGACCTCGAGTCCCCTCTTGCTGCTGCCCACATGGGTTTGATCTATGTCAACCCCGAAGGCCCCGATGGCAACCCCGATCCTGTCGCTGCCGCTCGTGACATTCGTGTCACCTTTGGCCGTATGGCTATGGATGATGAGGAGACGGTGGCCCTGATTGCCGGCGGTCACACTTTTGGCAAGACACATGGCGCTGCCCCGGCCGACAATGTTGGCGCCGAACCTGAGGCGGCCTCTATCGAACAGCAAGGCTTTGGCTGGAGCAACAAGTATGGGTCGGGCAAGGGCCCAGACACCATCACCTCTGGCCTCGAAGTCATCTGGACCAAGAACCCTACCAAGTGGACCAACCAGTTCTTTGAGTACCTCTTCAAGTACGAGTGGGAGCTCACCAAATCTCCAGCTGGTGCCAACCAGTGGGTGGCCAAGAATGCGGAACCATTCATCCCCGATGCCTATGACCCCAACAAGAAGCACCTCCCGCGTATGTTGACCACCGATCTATCTCTCCGCTTCGACCCCGGCTTCGAGAAGATCTCTCGTCGCTTTTTGGAGCACACTGACCAGTTCGCCGACGCCTTTGCCCGCGCCTGGTTCAAACTGCTCCACCGTGACATGGGCCCTCGGTCACGCTGGCTCGGCCCCGAGATCCCATCCGAGGTTCTTTTGTGGGAGGATCCTCTGCCCCCTCTTGACCACCCCGTAATCGACAATAACGATATTGCTGCCATCAAGCGCGAGATTCTTGCCACTGGTCTTGCGCCGCAGAAGCTCATTTCAACCGCTTGGGCGTCCGCCTCTACCTTCCGTGGCAGTGACAAGCGCGGTGGTGCCAATGGCGCACGCATCCGCCTGGCTCCTCAAAAGGACTGGAAGGTCAACAACCCTGCCCAATTGGCCGAGGTCCTTGGAGCCTTGGAGGACGTGCAGAAGAGATTCAACGAGCAGGCTACGGGTGGCAAGAAAGTGTCGCTCGCCGATGTCATTGTCCTGGGTGGTGTTGCTGCCCTGGAGCAAGCTGCCGGTGTGTCGGTGCCCTTCACCCCCGGCCGCACCGACGCTTCTCAGGAGCAGACTGATGTCCATTCGTTTGAGCATCTCGAGCCATATGCCGACGGCTTCCGCAACTACGGTCATGGCAATGACCGCGTCAAGACTGAACAGTACCTCGTTGACCGGGCCCACCTCTTGACTCTGACGGCACCCGAACTCGCCGTGCTTGTTGGCGGTCTCAGAGTCCTCGGTGCCAACTATGATGGCTCCGACCATGGTGTCTTCACTGCCCAACCTGGCAAGCTCACCAATGATTTCTTTGTCAACCTTTTGGATCCCAACACCGAGTGGACCAACGTTGATGGCAAGGGTGAGGTCTTTGAGGGCAAGGACCGTGCGACTGGCCAAAAGAAGTGGACCGGAACTCGCGCTGATCTCATCTTTGGTTCCCACTCTGAGCTCCGCGCCATCGCTGAGGTGTATGGCAGTGCTGACGGTCAGGAGAAGTTTGTCAAGGACTTTGTGGCGGCGTGGGATAAGGTCATGAACCTTGATCGGTTTGACCTCGAGCAGGGTGCTGGATCGAGCCCTAAGCTCTAAGTTGAAAACAGCTGTGTATCATGGCAGGACTGTAATGCCGTCAATGAGTTAATGAATTAATTTTCTGAAGGCTTGTGCAGGGTAGAATTTGTTTTGCCGTTCTGATCATAGGGGTCAGGGCTGTATATCAGCGGCGGGAAGCCATGCCAGATCAATAACTGACTTGACCCCCAAATGTGTTGTGGTGTTTTTCGTTGATTCAAGCGAACATATCTAGAACAAATATCAAAGTTCGCATATGGGTTCGCCCATTTTTCAAATGAATACTCCTTCTGGTACTACAATTAGGGACCTATATCCTCAGAATTACATGCTTTGATAAAACACAACAAACAATAAGCAAAATGCTGAACCATGTTGTTCTTGATACAGAAGGACATCCTACCCAGAGGGTAGGCAAGGTGGTATATATCTCTATAATACCTGTCACTGACAGCCAAGCACATCAACTAACTCATCATTCAAGTTCGTCATATAAATATCATCATGCATTAGAATGTGTGGGAGACGAGAGACATTAAACCCTTAGAGTCCCCTGGTCGGGTCCAACATCCGCTTCGCGTTCCGGGCTAGAAACTTTTGTCTGCATCGGCTGATCGGCTTGATTCTGCCCTCCAACTTGATATCAACAGGGGTCTTGTACCCGATGTAGTCCACCAAAACCTGGTCTTGTGTGTCGAGAACGATGGGGTTGGTAAAAGGGGGGTCAAAGAAATTATCGCCCCCACTTGCGAGGAAATCAAGTGTCACGATCCGATACTCGGCAGTCTTGTCTAAGGGCTTGCCGCCAATCGTGACAGCAACCAGCTTCGTTGTTGCAGTTGCATCAGGGTTGTACTCGATGACAATTCCGCGGCTGACTTGTAACAGAGAGGTCACGGGACGGCCATTGACCTGGTTGACTTTGGACATGATGCCCTCGAGAGTCGACCACAGGCGTTCACCGGACATGGAGATCTCGACAATGGCATTGCCAAAGGGGAAGGACGTGAGGACCTCCCCTCTGGTGATGGGGCCTTCATCGATAGTGGCACGAACACCGCCGGCATTGATGAGCGCAAAGGCCGGGGCAGTCTCGGGGGTGGTGTTGTTGACTCGGTATTGGAGCATGGCGCTGCAGGTTCCCACCGTCAGCCCACGTCACGGACACATTACTGCGAGGGCAACTTACTCGGCCATGAAATTTCCCAACAAACATTCCTCCAACAGGCACCGAGACTGATCTAGCACCACCAAGCTTTCTCCTACGACTTGGGCAGCAAACTCTTCGAACGGCTTCCTCCACTGGTCAATCTGGCTCTGAAGATTTTCATCTTGGGCTGTTGTGTTGGTCAGGTGAACCGGCGCACCATGGTAATCCAGGACTCTTCCATCCGTGTCGTAGGTAACATCAATGTAGCCGAGATATTCTCCCCAGCGGTAAGCCTGCACGATGAAGACTTCTTCGCCCTCAGAATTCTCAACAATGGTTGGGTACTTGCCCACGGCACCGGCAAAGTTTCCCAGTGGGGTATGGCTGTGGCCGCCCATGATCAAGTACAGACCCTTCGTCTCTCGCGCGAGCCTCTGGTCCTCCTCATATCCAATGTGAGTCAACGCCGCGATCCTCTTTACTCCCAGTTCGCCTCTCAAGTAGTCAATCGTCTCCTGTACGCTTTTCACAGGATCTTCAAACGTCGTTCCCGGGCCGGGATTGGCGATTCCTGGCGTTGTCTCGGTCGTGACACCGATGACGGCCAGCTCGTACTGTTCAAAATAGTGAAAAGGCTTGATTGTCTTGTTCAGAACCGCATGGTCGGACTTGATATTGGCGCTGACAATAGGAAAGGTCAGGTTGTCAAGGAACTCGCCCAGGTGATCATCGCCGCGGTCAAACTCGTGGTTCCCCAACGTCATGGCATCAAAGCCGATCTGGTTGAGCGTCTCGGCGATTTTCGAACCGCCATAGTATGAGAAGAACATGGTACCTACTCCAAGTCAGCAATCCAAATCACTTGATATTCCACCTTGGACCTCAACTTACCTTGAAACTCATCACCGGCGTTTAGGAGCAACGAGTCCGGGTGCGAAGGGCGGGATTCGCCGAGGACATGCTTAATGCGGGCGTAACCACCGTAGCAGCCTCTCTCTGGACGAGTGCAGTCGGTGCCTGAGGAGGAAAACTCGTCGAGATGGGCGTGTACGTCATTGAGATGGTAGAATGAAATGTTGTAGTTGCCATTGTCGTCGATGAAGCGCTTGGAGAGCTTGCGGCGGCTCACGAGGTGCTCCGGAGACCCCACTTCCTCGAGAGCGATAGAGCCAGCCGTGGCAACTGCTGCCCACAAGAGCAGGCCCTTGAGGGAATTCATCTTGTACGCTGGTTTACAGACGATGGAGCTCACTCAGAGGCAAAAACGAGTGACATGAACCGGGCCTATGAAGAACAGACAACAGCGCCAAGGATGGGACAGAAGAGACGCATTGCAACAGAACACGCGCCTTGGGTTATTATACCCGTCCCTGGAATGCGGTGTATGATAATGATCGACACGGCGACATGGAACCTCGATGTCGTCTATCGGTTCCGAGGATGGCAGCCTCAAGCTTGTGAACCATTCTAGAGCTGAGAGTTGACCTCTCACTGGCTCGGGGATGCTGACTGGAACGAGCTGATGATGAACCAGCAGAGCACAAACCTGTCCGACCTTCCCGTTTAGGCGTCCGAGTCGTGCCAAGATGGCCTTCCCGAAACAGCAGCCGATGCCCTATCAGTGGCGACACGTGGGGACAACCGCAACGATTTCGACAGCGGAAATTGCCAGATGAGCCTGAGTACCTAGCATAATCATCGAGATCATGCACGTGGAAAGGCGTGTTCTGCTATTTGCAAATCTGTTTGGCTGAGAATGAGCATCTGGTTATATTACGATTAGAAGCTATGGCATGGCTGTGGCGTTACCCCTGCTATCATCCGAGTCAACTACAAGGCCAACAATGTGACACCAGGAGTTGGTTTAGATATCATGGCCGCATCCCAGGTGTCTCTCGCCCAGTGCCTCGAGCTCCTCGATACGGACAACATCCGGTCCCACGTCGCGCATGCGGATAGCGGCGAACATGGATGCCTTTTGCTTGGTCTTGGGGATAAGCTTGGTGCCGTCGACGGACAGAACGCTCAGCATGTGTGCAGCAGCCTAGAATATTCGCGTCAGAACTCTGATTTTCTCGAGACATGTGCACAACGGCTAACCTTGGCGTTGATGGTGATGGTCTTGGGGTCAGGATTGTTGATCGTGTCACACGCTTGATGGTAGCACGGGTCTTGCTCCACCCCGGTTCCAGTATGGAGGAATCCAAAAGGCTTGTTCAGAACCTGCCAAAACGAAGCGTAGTCGCTCCCGTTGGTGACCACAGCTGGGGTGACGGAAATGCCCTGCTTCTGGAAGTGCTCGTTGTAGATGCGCTCGATGACCTCGGAGCCCGGGGGCCCAACGCTGCCGTGCGAACTGCCATCAGCATCGCCGACGCCGATGAAACCCTTGGCAACCATGTCAAAGTTGAGGTAGGCCAGAATCTGGTCGGCCTCCTTGGTGGTGAGGCTCTGCGTGTAGAAGCGAGATCCAAGGAGACCGTTCTCCTCGGCACCCCACCAGGCAAAACGGACCTTGTTCTTGGTGCGATAGTTGCTGGCAGCTTTGAACAGCTCAAGAAGCAGACTGGTGCCGGAGCCTGGGGCTTTGTCAGCTAACTATCCCGAGAACAACTGAGCGCGGCGCATCGTCTTACCGTCATCATTGATACCGGGACCAGCTTGCACGCTGTCCAAGTGTGCGCCGAGCTGGTTACACACACGTCGTCAGTCGGCATGCAAATGTCTACACCGTCAAGGTCCCAGCAAAAGTGCCACCTACCACGACGACATTGTCCTTGTCACCACCCTCCAGCTCCACAAACACATTTTGTGTAATCCTCGTCTCAATAACCTGGGTCTGCTGGAAGGTAGCCTCCAGAGTCTCGCCGGCAGCAAGACGCGTCTTGATACGTTCGCCGTCAACCAGGTTGATGAAGCCACCAGGAACGTGCTCGGGGTTGGGGGCCGACAGCGAGCCGGCCGTCACATTGGTGGTAATATCATGGTAGATAATGACAGCCACGGCGCCGGCACGGGCAGCAGGTAGCAGCCTTCCGGCAAGGGTACCGCCGGTTGGGCAACGGAACCTCTGGACCAGCACAATCTTGCCCTTCACGTCCAGATCGTGGTAAGAAGCATCATCACAGCCAGCGGCACCCTCAGGTCCGGCCACAATCTCGGCCGTGATACCTTCGGCGCTCGTGGATGGGGAGTATGTCAGGCCGTAGACGTAGATGTCCTCACCGGCAACCCTGAGCGAGATGGACTCGACAAAGTTGAACAGAGCTGGGAAATCTTGCTTCCATGCTTTGGCGCCCTTGACCTTGGAGATCTGAGACCATACGAAATCGACCGAGGCGGCGTATCCCGGAAGGCCGAAGGCGCGGTTTCCACCGTTGGCAAAAGCGATCGTGTTCAGTCGTTCGAGATTGAACATGAGGCTGCGACGGCGCCCAGGCACCCCAACGTTAGTATTGCCCAGGCCAAGGATTAAAGCAGCACTAGCGGATAGGAATAAAGGGCCCTTACCCCTTTGTGGTGATTTCGGACTGGAGCTTCTTGGAGTTGATCAAGGGCTTCTGCTTGCCCGGTCCACCGTTGGCGGCGACGGCCGAAGCCAACGACGCAAGGGCCGTGGCAGTCTGGAGGAACTTCATGATGCCAGTAACAATATTCCGCAAAAAGGACCGACAACCAAACACCAGCACGGCACAGCGTGACAGGGGCAGACCTCCAGCTTTTATCTGCTCCCATGGCACCCGACCTTCCCCGCGCTGGCCACGACATGGCGATCATCTGTTTTCTCTGGGTTTGCGGCAGGTGTTAGGTGTGAATGGCGGTTGCGATGCATGCATGTCTTGTGGTATCGGGATGCGGCAGGTGGTAGGACAGCAGTTGGAGGGTCCCGGTTCGGTAGCGCGGGAATATGGGGAATCGGACCGGAGGGAAGCTCGGATCGGGAAGGTCGAGGGAGCTTGGAGTTGCCAAGCACCAACACTGCGCTTGGCCCCCGCCGTTGTCTCGTCGTTGCAGTGCGGAGAGAGGCCCACCTGTGATAAGTCGCCTGCCCGATTGCGCGTTTGTTGATTTTGCAGTTGGTTGGCTGTCTGAGTCTGCCTCCCGTCGTCGTGTGATTATCGAGGGATGGTTGTCTGTTGGGGCAAGAAATTGCTGGGGAAGAAAAAAGGAAGTTTCTCGAGAGACGGACCTGGGAGTGAACGACGTCAGTGATCTGTGCGCCACCCGGGGTACCTGCAGCATGACAAATTCCCCGTCGCGTCTTTTTCCCAGCGACATCAAATTACTCTGTGCTCTGTACTGTTTGGATATAAGTGGATTGCTTGCGCTTCACTGGTGGTATCATTGGGTATCATAACAACAACTCGGCACTGGTAGAAATACACAGAGTGCTCTTTTAATGAAAGACATCAGTTGGACACTCCCTCGATCTCGTCTGCCCGCTCGGCTCCACCACCTCGGTCCCCACGCCCTGGTCCAGATTACCAGCCTTCTCGCCTTGCTGCTTTCGTTTGCGCCACTTGGGAATTTGCTGCAACGGCGTCCTGTGCAGTCAGCTCCGTGGTGTTGTAGTGGAACGACCGCTCCTCGAGGATGATGTACTTGCCGTCGGCATCCAGGTCGTTGATGGTGTCGAGGTTGGAGGCCATGTGCGACCCCGACTTGCCACGCTTGCGGCCCTTGTTCTTTGCATAAGACCCGATGGTGATGACAGTGTTGCTCGGTCCGGTGCTCCCTCCCCGGAGGCCGGCTGACTTGGAGTTGCCCGTCGGCCGGGCGGAGCTTCCGAGAGCAGACTTGCCAAACACTTTCCGGATCAGAGGGTAAGGGCAGGGGATGCAGGCGCCGATGATGACACAGTTGGCTTCAATGCTGTGTACCAAGTTAGCACTCCGTCCCCCTCTTTGCGTCCCCAACTGCACTGATCTTTCACTTACTTTGTCCAAAGAACCACGTCGTCGACCGTGTATGTAAAGTCTTTGACCTCCAGGAGGCCACTCAGCGTGTAGCACTTGTAGCAAGTGATGACACCAGCGCAATATCCGAAACCCAACGAGGAGGAAAGAGCCAGCTTCTTCCTCCAGTTGAGCTGCAGTTGGAACAGAACGACAGTGGGATATATGGCGAGGTAAAAGTCGAAAAGAACGGAAAAGATTCCCAGCGCCATGGCATAGTCGACGGTGATTTGCCGGTCCCAGCATTTCTCATCAGCCTCCAGCCACTGTGCGCGGGCCGGGGTGCACTGGGCGAAGTTGATGACGAGCATACCGAGGGCGAGGAGGCCGTAGATGATCGAGACGATCCACATGACAATGCGGTGGGCGCGCCCCGGGTTCAGCAGTTTGCGCAGCAGAACGACGACGGCAAACTTGGGGATCGTGAAGGATGACACGCCAGGAACGAAGGAAATAACGGTGTAATACAGGGCCTTTTTGACGTCCTCCTGGCTCAGCGTGTCCAAATGTCTGCCGCCGCCATGGGAGATGGCGGCGCCAGCAAGGCCGACGTAGATAATGCATAGACACTGTACTCGTGAGTTTCTCTATCCCCTGCTGGATCTTGGGGTCGCCTGGACTTACAATGGAAAACAGAGTGATGTAGTCGTCAAGATAGATCTTGCCCATCGAAATGACTCCGCATTTAGATTGCCGCCATGTCCTAATCCTGGACATCACGCTCTCCCCCTATAATCCCCGCTGAAGTAATCAACCGCCAACAACCAACCATCAACAACTATATCCAACAGTTCGACCCCAGCAATCACCACAACAAATACGTCTCTACATTGGCTCTCAGTCACAAGACTGGATTTCCAGGCAACACCACGTGGAGGTTGCAGAGTCCGATTTCGATGCCCGTCCCGGCCAAGGGATCTCTCGAAAGAGACAGACGTGATGGCGCCGAGGTACCAAAGCACTGGCCGCCCGCTCAACCAACCCATTAAAGGTGAGAGCTGCTCAACCACCCAAACAGATGATAGAGCTGGATCACCCACACAGATGACCCGAATCACCCTCACAGGTGATCGATGCTCACCGACCCATAAAGGTGAGAGATCAATACCGGTCAAACGTCCCCAAGAATCCAGCCAAACCCAGAGGAGTGGAGGAACAACACCGGTCAAACGTCCCCAAGAATTCAACTAAACCCGGAGGAGTGGAGGCATCCTCTATCGACCCGCAAAGGCCGCGAAGATCAACACCAACCAACGTCCCCGGTAAATCCTCAAGCAACCCATGAGGGCAGGAGGGCAGAAAACATGCACCAAAGACAATGACGCACTCAAACCATAAACAGGCGAGGCCAGAACAAACACACACCAGTGATGCGGGAGAGGCGGGATAGACACACACCAAGGATAATGACGACGACCATCAACCCATAAACGGGAGAGGTGGGAAAGACACGCACCAACAACGACGATGACGATGACCACCCCGTGGCATGAAAAGACAGGAAACAACACACCACAGCGACAACATCAGATCCTCCTCCCGCCTCATCAGCAACCCATTATCGCTTCGCCGCCTTCTTCTCCTTGTACTTTTGGCGCCTTGAACAATTTCGACACTTTCCACATCTCCCAAAGTGGATAAACAACGAACGGTCCTTCTCCCAATTCTCTGGACGAGGCTCTCCACAGTCGACACAGACATCTTTCTTTCCCATCTTGACCCATGCCTTGAGCCACACACTACCAGCAGTTCGAAATGCGCCCATTGGTGACATCTCGCCCTTGTTCCTAGTTTTGTACGAATGACAAGGATGGCAGAGAGTTTCTTCGCGGAGACCATGAAATTGAACATCATTCTCCGCCAACACCTGCCTGGTTCGTCCGAACCGAATTGACGCATCTCACCATCCAAGGGGGGACCGGGAAGCCGCAATTGTCGTTCTGGCACTTGTCCTCGTTGCCCGCATCCAAATAGGCATCTTGCTCGGCCTGCAGCTGGTCTTTCTCGGCCTTGACATTGGGATTGAGGTGGTTCTTGAGTTGTCGTGGTGATGAACCCTCGGGCTTGTCGACTCCATGCTTCTCCAGATACTTTGCACAGGAGGAACATCTGGACTGCTCGCAATAGCCTTTGAATCTGGTGGCCTTGAACTCTCCGCGTGGGACGTCGCAGGGAGGGTTCTGGCAAACATTGGCGTTGCCTGCGGCGAGGAAAATCTCATGGTCCTTTGGACCCCATGCAAAAGCCGGGAGGCCAACCATCGCTCTTTGTTTCTTCGGGTACGTATTGTAAAAGTCGCGTCCGATGATGACCGTTTGTCGTTGCCGACAGCGCCGACACAACGCAGCTTCCATGATGCCACGCCACTCATTCTCTCGGCCGTCAGTCGGACGTGGAACACCACAAAACTTGCCGCCACAGATATCGGGGTTGGTCTTGACCCATTCCTCATGCAGAAGCTTGCCAGACGAAACGCGAGGAACACCGCCGTATTGAATCCAAGCACCGTTCAAGCCGAGGTGTCGGAAGCTGGGCAGCTCTGATCCAATGCTGGCCGATACATGTTGACGCATTGTCGCTAAATAGTCCATGACGGAGGGACTGTGAAACCGGTCGCCGTGGAGCCCAGCATCGGGGAGCAACACAACATCGAGGAGACCCTGGAAGATGCCTTCGAGTGAAAAGACGTCCAATTCGACCCTGTCCCTCAAAGCGGAGATTGCGAGAACGCGGAAGTTGGAGGAAACACCTTGTTCTCGCAGTAACTGATAGTGGGTGCTCTTGGTAACGCTTCTCGACACCCCAAGTATCTTTTTGGCTTGGACGAGATGTTCTTTCACCCGACACTGAAGACCTCCACCATTCCGGCCGGTTGTTGCACACGAAGAACCGACATAGAGACCCTTGACGGAGTTGCGAGGGGCTGACGTGGGGACGTTGATATACACACCGGGCACCGAAAGATTCATGGGTACCTGGGGTAGATCCAGGAGAGTGCGTAGATCAGATGGTGTAGGGTTGGGCTTCCTGAAAAGGGAACCGAGAATGTACTGAGTCACCGACGGGATCATTTTGATATACCGATCGAAGACTTCATCAGCCTTGACGCCGCGGTGGGCGTAGTGGATGATCCAATTCCGACTCATTGGGAATCTTTGTACGTTACCGCCTTCAGCACTGAACTCCCTCAAGCGTTGCGCAGCCGCATCCTGGACAAAGTGGTAGGCTGAGCTCAAGATGGCACGGAAGAAAGTCGCATCCTCATCTGGTTGGTCGAAGGCGGCAAAAAGCTCAGGCGGAGGCCGATCCTTGAGGAAGTTTAGCTTACGACCTGGAGACTGGTTGGTGCTGTTGTCGTCGTTGTCGTCATCATCGTCGCGGTCAGTCTCAGGGGGATTCGTCTCGACAATACCCTCGGGGTCGAACAAATCCAACTCATCGGGCTCAAGAGGCGTGTCATCTTCCTCATCGTCGTCGTGGCATTGAGCATGTGTCGTTGAACTAACGAAGGCATTTGGTTAGAACTTGGAAGAAAACCCAAAGGATGATGGGACCTACGTGACAACAGCATTGTCCTCGTCGTCACTGTCAGGGACGACTCGTCTCCTCTTCTTGGACTGGGATCTTGATCCGGATGTGATCCGGCGTCGCTTGGAACCACGTAGAGGCTCGTCGTTGTCGTCGTCGTCGTCGTCTTGTAAACCCGTAACCGGAACGGGGACACTAAGGAGAGCTTCCGGTCATTGTCGAAAATGGCCCCAAGGGAGAGACCAGGCTGGGCAGGGGGGGAGGAACCGGTATCATCTTCGTCCTCGCTGTCAGGGACGACGTCTCTCCTTTGGCGTTTGGGCTGGGATGCCGGTCCAGAAGTGTCACGGTGTCGTTTGTAGCCAACAAATGGCTTATCGTCGTCATCCGAATCAATTGTTTGGGCCACAGGAAGGGGTCTGGTTCCAATACTACGAACTGCACCCAGATTAAACGTATCACGTCCAGCAAGAGGGAGAGGGGCAACAGGAGCAACAAACCAGAGGTACCAGAGGTACCAGGGGTGCCAGGGGCACCAGGGGCACCAGAGTTGGACGAACCAACCAGAGCATCGGGAACAGGCGTTCCCAGGCCAGTGCTGAGATCGTTCGAACGCGGCGACAACCAGGTTCTCATGAAGCGTTGCTGGGCCGCAACAGCAGTCGAGGGAGCGGCCGAGCGAGCAGCCGAGCGAGCAGCTCTGAGACGAGCGTCGGTGAGCCCGTTGGAAGCACGAGGAGAGGGGGTGGAAACCATTTCGAAAATTATCAAGTAAGTAGAGTGAATCTAGAGACGTCGAGCAAATTGAGGCTTCAAAGTGTGTAGATTCGAGTGGTTCCCTGTGTTCTAGCAACATCAAGAGAGGAAGAGTTCAACTTCAGTATCATCTATATTAGAGTCGATCCAGCAAGCTGGAAGCTCTTGCGTTGCTAATCCCTTTTTCCATACCTGCATCCCGTGTGATTCAGGTAAAGGTAATTGTCTATAACACCGGAAATCAGGAACGTACGGGGCAGTTTCCAGAACTTTGTTTAACCGTTGCCGGAGATGTTACGCCGAAGGGCGGGTTTCGAGCGTTCAAAGCTGTTTAGGAAGGCGCCAGGATATGACCTGATCAAATTCAGGTCCACCGAGTCATTATTGAGGTCAGCATAAACAGGTCGGTTCTCAAAGAACCCCATGAGCTGCTTTTAAACCAAGTCGCTTTACAAATGCCAGCCTTGCACCTTATCTAAATTACAACTTCCCAGTCGGAGTAAATATCATGGGATCTCAAACTCCAGCCCACATCGCTGCCATAGGTACCTTGGATATCTACTGCAGTCTCACATGCAGCCGCACCTACAAGTCCCGGTGGTTGTATTATGTGCCAACCTGGAACTCGATGGCTTTGATTGATTTTCGCTGAACACCCGAACCCCATTCTCTCAAACTAAGCCGCTCTATAAGTCCAAGCCTTCCACACGACTGTTGGGTTTCGATCCCGCTGCAAGCCCTCCATTAACCGACTCCTTTCTCTCCGGCTGAGACGACTTTTAAGTTTCGATTCCGCTTCAAGCCCTCCATTAACCGACTCCTTTCTCTCCGGCCGAGATGACTTTTAAGTTTCGATCTCGCTGCAAGCCCTCCGTGGCTGCCAGTTGATTGGCTTTAGATACCGTTAAACAACCTACGATTCAACTGCTATCTCTCAGACCGAGCCGCTTTGCAAGGGTAAGCCCTCGATCTCGCCTATCATCCCGCCTTGCGAGTGCAAGCCCGCCATGCCTGCCAATTCAACGACTTTGGATCCCGTTCAGGAACCCACACTGCAGCCGCTTTCTCTCATATCTAGCCTCGCCTGCAAGTGCAATCCAGCCGCTGTACAGCTCATGTTGAGATCGAGTGGTCTTAGCAATTTGAGCAAGTAGCTGGGTGGGCAATAGTGGAGTGCTGCCCCCCATGGGGTTATATACTCGAGCTCAGTGTCTTTCTTCCGTCCCAGTAGGGGACACCATCCAACAATCACCAACTCCGCGTTTAGAGATCACAAAGTAATCTCAACATGGACGTGGACTTGGTGAGGGAACCATCTGGTGCTGTGCAGCCAACAATCCGGGCAGGAAATCCAGTATGTATTAGCTGTCCAGTCCAGATGGTACTCGAGCTAATAACTTAGGTCTTTAATGGTGCAATGCATAACTGCACCATCCTCGCCCAAGGTGATATTCTTGGTAACAACACCACAAGCCCGCACCTCCATCATAAACATCACACCAATCCACATCGATCACGAGCTGGTCCGAGTCGAAAGGCTGGACGGCGCAAAAACAAGCAGAAGGTGAGATATGTCTACCCCCTTCGGATACCTTGAGCATGAGACTAACAAGAGTTGCTCTTTAGAAACGGCGAGAGTTCTATGGGGGGAAAATGCAGGTTGATACACCTGTTATAGCCCCTTCCCCAACTCTTGCGGCCCCTTCGCAGCCCCTTGCCCCTTCTCCTCCTCAAGTTCGGGAGGAGATAATCCCGATTGTCAATCATGAGGTGGATTCCGTGGAGGAGATGCAGCAGCTCTTCGAAAATGGTTTCAAATGTTTGAGCAATGCATTCAGGCTGGGGAACAATGCGCAGAAAGGACCAATCATCATGGGATGGAAGGATGTGAAGGATGTTGAGATGCAGGATGCATAGGGGTATATAAATCATTTTTATTCTTAGACTATCTTGACAACGACACTGGTACATAGTCCCATTAATCAAGAATTCCTTTTTGGCATTTCTGCATTGCTAGTTTAAGTCTCTCTAACTCTTCCCCAGATACTCCAGTATCTGCTGACGGGCGATGACGGATTGTCAGCGGATAGAACAGTTAATGTATCAAATATCATCTGGTGTAGTTGGATGTCTATTTTCTCTCATTATAGACGCCGGGGTTCGAATTAAGGAACGACCGTATTTTTAAAGGACTTTGGACGTTAACGAGGGTACTGGGCTTCGCAGCGCTCAGGAATGGAGTCGTCACTTTGATATGGAGATCTAGGGTTAGGGTTTCGAATGCCAAGTCTCAGGAGGTGCAGATTGTGGCCTGTGCGCGTCAAGTACGCAATTGTGGGGCCGGACGTGGATATAGTTGTTATCTAATCTAATCATCTGATCTTATTAAGGCATTCCGCGCATCACTGCATGTGATTGACAGCGCATCATCCGTGCATATCCCATCAAAAGACAAAGTCCAAACATCGCACACAGCCGAGGTCATGATTTGGCGATTGTTAAGCAAGTGGCCTACCTCCTCCGTTCCAATGGCCGCACTACCGTTTCGTTTTTAATCCATGCAAGGTTAATTATTCTCCGAACTGTGGCACTTTTTGTCAAAAGTCAAGTGCATGAATCCAACCACAGGGACTAGCGAGTTCTATCTCAGAAAGGCACTGATTGCTATAGAATGTGCCAAAATAGTGTATGGGATCACCGTTTTAAGTCTCTTACATCGGCGTGATATACCTATCTGGCGCTATAAGTTTCACTAAAGCCCATGATGGTCGGGTGTTAATCGGTAACCAGAATGCTATACTAACGGAAGGACGTTCTAGCGGCGTTACCTCCTACCGTACGAACCTATATAGCGACATAGTTATATTGAGCTTTATCGGAAAAGTCTTGGAAAGAGGCGTGAATAATATAGGCCAAGGATACCACTAGTCCAGCACTACTGCAGTTCCAAACTTCGAATTATTATCTTTGCTACTAATATAAAAACAAACCCTGTTTCAGGAAATATTTATTCGTCGAGGGAAATGGATACGGGGAATAAAAGGTTAGTAGTCCCGAATACTATAAATTAAACTATAAGACTGCCACCAGGAGACATAACGGCTCTTCATTAAGTAGCTTATTAGATAATGATACCCATTTTAAAACAGTCGAGGAAGTATTGGTTGTGTTTTACATACCCAGAAGAGCTATCATGCGCAATTGGCTCTTGACTTTGGTCTCCCAACTGTTCTCCTTTTCCCATGTCGTATGATTTGGGGCTATGGTCCACGGATTTGAGGTTAGTCTTAAGTCTAAAATCCTCGACAGGATGACAAGTTGATCGGAGGAAAGCTTCATCGTTCTTCGTGTTAAATATGCAGCAATGATAACGACCTTAGAAGCTAAGAGGTACGCCTTTCAAGATACTTAATATACCTTAAAAGATCATTGTTAAGTGTGAAAAGAGGGCTAATAGGTCTTGGAGAATGTCAAGTAAGTATATGTATGAAAAGCCATGTTTTATTTCCCTAATTTCCTGTCTTCAAAGCTGTGTGGTGTTGTTGCCCATTCACTGATCAATAAAACGCTCCCTCATCCTCATCAGACCACTCGACAGTCTCATCTAATTTCAGATTATCCTTGACCAGTTTCTGCAGCCTGTGGATCTCAGGATCATCGTCCACGCTCCTGACCGTGACCACCCACTTGCTCCTCACTTCCCGAATTGGTTCTTTCTCGGTCGATCCTTGATCCTTGTTATCGCCAGCCCGATCGCTAACAGTTTGGGAACCGGCCTGGCCGTCTTTCTTTTTGTTGTTTTCTTCGCTTTTGATTCTATTGTCGTGCTGATTGCCTGGAAGATGATGGCCCGCGTAATCACGGTCGTAAAAGAGTACCTCGCTCTCAAGCAAATTTCTTTCCTGTGGTCGCATCTTGGAGCGGAGTAGTTGAAGGGTGAGGCGATCGAGATAAAATGAAGCCGATTGCTCATAGAGGCCTTTGGCTGCCAGCAGGGGCGTGGATTGGGTTGCTTTCAGCTCGCTATTGTTCTCTTCGTGTATCTCATGATTCTGGGAGACAATGGCATGGACCTTGCTCAGGGACCAAAAGCCAAGAGTGTTTAATGGCTGGACAAGAAACTGGTCTCCGTAGCTAAAGCCGTGGCGTAGGTAATAGAAGCGGAGTAAAGTTTCAAAGTTGCAGGAAGCGGCTTGCTTGATGGTGTTTGTCATCTCCACATTAGAGGACGTCGGTGTGATAGACTCGTAACGATTGGCAAGGATATTTTGGTAGTTTGAGCTGGATGAAACCCATTGTCAGATAAAAGCAGACACCGGCTTGCGGCAAGATGTGAAAAGACTCAAATACATACTGCAGGAGAATCTGGCTTGGAAAAACAATCCTCGGGGGAGTTAGAGGGTCAGGCAAGGAATCAAACCACGCCTTAAGTCGAGCGTAGAACTCGGTGGTTTGCTCCAGCTGGGTTGACGGAAGCATGGTGGTACCTCCCTCAGGCGAACTCTGTCGGGACGAGCCAAACCGCTCCATCCACATGTCGTTCATGGTGACGCGAACTTGGCACTGAGCCTGGAACTGGTAAGGGAAATGTGTTGTGTGTAGTTTGCTGTCTCCTGGGTACTTCAACCAAATCTGGCCATACCATTCCGGATTGGTTGCAGGATCAGGGAGCGGAACATCGGGGGGCTTTTTGATGAGAGGTGGTTCAAACAGAATATAAACATGAAGCGCCTGGAAATTGAACAATGCCCAAGCAGTGAAGTTCCTCGACAATGTCTTTCTTCTCTGCTTTCCGTTCACGGGGCCGTCCAGGAAGGAGTCTCTTGGTGGTGATAACAACCCAATTTGGGTCGCCATCTCTACTGCCCATTTATAAATTAGTATGCAGTATGCCCCCAGGCTGTAGCTTCATACCTCTTTGTATAGCTGAACCCGATTTCGTCCATGGCGTTCATGTTCGTATTCACGTTCATCAACATCGCAGCCTGAATCGTGGTTAATCTTGGAGTGTCGCTCTCTAGTTCCCACAGTCTCTTGGCCTCAGCCAAGAACTGGTAGGCAAGGTTGTGAGGACTCCAATACTGATATCGATTATGAAATGAAGGGTAAGCCATCTGGAATATTCATAAGTCCAATCAGAGCTAATTTCGTTGCAAGTATATGACTCCGATTAGAGCACTTACGCTAGCATTGGCCAGGACCGCGTTGACCAGAAGAGAGGAGCAGCAGCCCCGGCGGCCGGGGCCATGCGCCATGTCTTGGGGAAAACAGTCCTTCTGCAAGACAACTATCCATTGATACTCTGCTGACAGCCAGGCCGCGATAAGCCTTCGCATCAATACGTCATCTGTGCAAACCACTGTCCACTTCGAGGGGAAAATGTCGTTAAGCAGTGGCTCAATGATTTCGGCGGCATGGAATGGCATAAGATATATGCTCTCTGGTCTGGGTTCAGGTGAGGACGAGCTTCTCGGTGAGTCGGTTGTGCGTTTGTTGGTGCATGTTGACATCTCAAAGCCACTGCGTTGCAATGCAGACCACTCATAGATACAAGACTCGATGTAGGGGTTGTCGGGGCGATACAAGTGAGCCGGCATCTCGCTAACGTATGGGAAAACATATCGGAAGCGCATCTCGGGTTTCAGTGACAGCTGTAGAAGTAAATCCCCTTCTTTGATGCGGCGTAGAATACTTTCTGGGGGACCTCCCATCCGGATGCGCTTGAAAATTTCAGCAGACTCAATGTCGGATCTGTCTCGAAGAAGCTCGTACAGCTCAACATAGACGGCGGCTCGCGCCTCAAGCTCGCCAAACTTGCGCTTGAGAGCTTGAGAATGCGTCTCATTTCTTACCGATGTGTCGTACACGCACGGGATATCTGCATTCACGCAATAGGCACAAGACGGACGTTCGGCATTGCACTGTCGCAAAGGCACCTAGTTAGACGGGATGGAGTTCTTGGTGGATGACATGGGTAGGGGACCAAACAGACCTTTGCTTTTCGCTTTCTGCAGGCTTCACAAGCAGCCGTGGTGTATGTCCTCCTGCGACGCGGTACCTGAATCTCGGATCCTGCGCGCGCTGGCGGGCGGGGTGTGGGGAGAAGCCGGCGAAGTGTTGGCACCGCCTCTGGCTCCGCGTTGGCTCCAGCCCTCTATTTGGAGCCACTCGTAGCAGCCGGAGGATTGCCCGGCGAGTTGGATGGGCTCATCTTTTCTGTTGCAGCAGGTCTATGAACCATGCTGCAGTGATCGTGGATGGTGAGAATGTGTTGTCGACCGGTGCTTCGAAGGTGCCCAAGTCATGCTGCTATGGCTGGTATTTGTTGCAAACCACTCACAAGCGATTTGGATAGGTATGTCGGCGCGTCCCAACATCAATTATTTTGGGAGCACTGCTGAAGCCATAGCCAATGCGATGTCGTGGGTGCTGTCTGAGACGCGCTGTGAAAAAAAGAGGGGTTGCGCGGCGATCACCATACGCGGAATGGGCACCTTTGTCTAATGCGACAGAGAGAATAGCATTCAAGGTTTCCGACATGCACAAAGCCCAACCCTATGTTCCCGAGCTAACCGATGCGGCCCGATGATGTGGTGTCTTTGTTGTATCCAGCCAATGCCATTTTCGGACCATTTTCGGACTTGTCTCCGGCTCCTTGCGCTGCACTCTGGAGCGCCGATCAACCTCGGAACTTACGGGCCATGAAAGATTTGTTGGGAATAGGGAACTACATATCATGAAGTGGCCTTTCAGAACGGGGGTTAGGGTTGGATTAGCCCTTGACACCACGTCGTGAACAGTAAGCTAGATTGAAGACTGCACCACAAAACTAAGGCCTTGAAAGTTAATCACATGTAGTGACCTGGATGGTAAGTTTTAAATTTCTAGATTTAAAGCGGAGGCTACATCTCGCTCGGCTTTTCTATCAGGGGATGTAATACAAAAAGGCATAAAAACACTATAGACTTTCACTTCCTGGCTGGTTTAAATTCATGGCAAGCAAGTGAAAAGCCCCCTCAGCTTGTTCAGCACAATATCTTGCTTTTCCTTCGGCGCGGTTGTCTTGTCATTGGCATCCCCCACGCTCACCGACACCAAGCAATCATCAGAAAGAGCCACACTGGCCTCCAAAGGCAATCGATCCGTCCCGCAATGATACACGTCTTTGGCGCTGAACAAGCCAACATTGATCCGGCTGAGCACAAATTTGAAGTTGTGGGGATCAGTGCACTTTCCTTCGACCTTGGGCAAGTTGACATTGAGGAAAACATCCTCGGGCAAATAAGGCTTGCCACTGCTGACCACGGCATCGACGAGCTTGCTGGCCACCTGCGCGTACACCAGACTGCGAGTCGGAACGGGGGTCGTGTTCCAGGCAAGCGTGCCACTCGACAGACCAGAAAAAGCAATGGCAGGCACTCTTCTCTCCTTGGCAGCAAAGAGGGCTGCTCCAACGGTGCCGGAGAAATGCACCTGGACATAGACGTTGCTGCCGACATTGGGTCCTGAAACAGCAAGCTCGGGGGCCTGGCCGTTCCAGAAAGGAGGCGCGATGGTGTCGATGCCGTAGCGCATCGAGGTGACAGGAAACGAGTTCACCCAGTTGAGACGGGGCGAGGATTCATTGCGGCCGATGGGCTGGTTGGTGTTTGCCGGGCAGGAGTCGTATTGGCAAGCTGCGGTGCGGGGACTGGGTTCCGCGTCGGACGATGCTGTCCAGGATGTGATGTTAGTCAACATCATCCCATGACAAGGAGCTGACAAACAGACTTACCCGTTCCAGATTTGTTTTCTGCCGGTGCCGCTAGAACCGTGTCATGACCGGCAGCAACAAGAGCGTCGTGGAAGGACCGTGTATAGAGCTCTGCCCAGCCGTCATCGTTGGCATGGATGATGCGGATGGCCTCTGTGCCGAGCGCTGGCAGGAGAGCAAGGAGGATCTGGGAGCGCATCTTGAACGTCTCGACACCGGGTAAGTTGACTGGGACTGACAGACTAGACCATCGGCTTCGAGCCATCCTTTTTATTCATGTTTTGTGGTCGGCCCGTTTGATGAGGAAACCGTCAACCTGATGAAAATGAAATTGCCCGTCTCAATGCTTCGAGTTGGCTACAGCCAATTACAATTCGCCGACTCCTGCTTGCCACTAGCGCATGAAACCCAAAGAGCACGGTTTGGTGGTGTTTGTCTTTTGATTCGGCCATCAACGTTGCACGTGTCTCGCCGCCAATTGGACTGCTGGGAAAAACCATGAGAGTTTGGGCAGGTGAGACCACCCACGTTTTTTCATTGTGCCTTTTCAATCGCTGGTCCCTTGGAATGCAGCCTTTGGGGCCGAGCCTGGAAATTGTTACAATCTGGGGTTATGACCTCGGTATAATACCACCTCTCTCGCACGTGCAGAGCTCAGTGTCAGCAGGTGATGTCGCTACCGTTTCTCAAGGGGCCACAGCTTGGGTCATATCTATCGCAAGGACAAGGCTTTCCATGGTCCATGTTCATTGTGTCACTCGGGTTTCAACCATTTGCTATATACTCCACCGTTCTGGATGGCCTGTCGTGATCGGCGTCTCGCCCGCTATTGCCCCTCGGGCCGCACCCGTGGCTTGGCAGCCGTTCACCGTCATTTTCGGATGCGCCCGGGAACTGGGAGCGGGTGAGAGCCGACCTTCAAATCATTCCAGGTTCCTGGGAACAGCACGGCCTGAAGCTTGCAAACGCCATATCACGTCATTCCAAAAGTCTCCGCGACTGAGAAGATCAAAAGCTCACGGGACATGACCGATGCTTGAAGCGGGAACCAAAGCTGGAAGAATACTGGAGTCAGAACCTTGCGACAGTGAGTCTGAGACATAGCGTGATGGGTTAGGTACCTATCTACCTTTGTGTAAATAAGAAACTATACCTTTCCAGTATCCACCTAGCTTTGCAACAAACTCAACTTCATCAACTCATGAGCCCTGTTCGGCCAGGAGTGCCTCAATGGGGCAAAAACAAATCAAAACCGTGACAGTGTTGGTAGCATAAACAAGACAATGAGCCAGAAGCACCAGGTCCTCCACGTGGCGTAGTCCGCTTCCCTGTTCCTCCTCAACAGCCCGTTCATCCCGATACCGGCTCCAAGAAGGACTGGAACAACAAATACCCATAACTTGAGCCTCCAGAAATAAGCACAGGCGAATGACCAGGACAAGATGAAGGCACCGATGACAGCCCTGCACAGCCCATCACCGATCAGAATGGGCACGCTCTTCCTCTCCCGCAGTCTATCCCCGACTTGATCCTTGAGGTCCTGGATGTATCCAGTGGTCAAGATGACCGCTGCAATCATGACTGTCCACAAATGGCCCTCGTCATTTACCGTCCTTCCCACACCACCAGCAAGTCTCAAACTTCCACCGTTGAAGCCCAAAGAGCCGGCCGCAATCAGTGGGTCTCTGAGCATGTGGTCGCCACCTCTCAAGTCATTGTACATCCAGACCAACACGAGGATCCACATTCCCTCGGAGAACACCCCAAGGTACCAGTTCATTGCCATCGCCAACGGTATCGAGCTGAGCAACAATAATCTTGCGTGTTCCATGGTGGCATATCCACTAGGTATGGGCCGCCAGGGCTTGTTGATCCTGTCTTCCTCGACCGAATCGGCGCCACGCTGGTTGGCGAGGTCAAATATGAAGGTCATATACCAGTTGTAGATTATCACGATAGGTACTCGCCAGAGGACCTCAGAGACGGTGGGCCCTGTTTCGTCCGAGAACAAACGAGGCCCAGCGAGGGCACCAAAGATACCAAACGCAGAGTTGGGAAGAATAAATGTTGGAAAGTCGTTCTCGGTAAACTGCCAGATGAGGAAGGGTACACCTTTTATCCAAGAGAGGGGGGTGCTGTTGAGGACGGGCGAGTGTTGTGATTGCTGAGATTTGGGAAGGAGAGGTGAGCTGGGAGATACGCCAGTCCATTGGCTCTCCACATCCTGACTTGACTTATCTACTTGTCTCATTTCGCCGGAGCAAGTGATAAGAAAGACAGCTGAGAGGTAAAATGAGGTGACGTGAAGAGAGAAGATGCTATCTGGTAACGAGCACGCAACAGACGGTCGGATAGGTAGGCAAGGTATCCCTCGAGAGGAGCTATATGGGACGGAGCGGCCATCGTATTTATCTTGATCGTCCTATTTCCTGACTCGCGACCCCCGCGTGTGTAGCAGGAGCCAGCACACTGACAAGAATAGGTCCTGAGGATCGTCTTACTGAAAAGGAATAGGCACTTCAAATCGGCCCCACTGTCACACTGGCGGCACTGGAAGATAGAGGCAGGATCCAGGGAACGGGACAAGGGTAGGAAAGTAATAATGGCGCAACTGTTCGTCTGTCGGATGAAGTGTTTCCTCCTTGCCGGACCCCTCCTGTTCCAAGGACCCCAGGTCAACAGCGGCTGTTCTCCACTTCGGGAAACATGGCAAAGCCCGCAGACAGACATAGTGGGATATGAACTTTTCCAAAGCAGACCCATATCCACAATGCGCTGACGAAATCGTATGTAATCAACACTCAATAGGGTGTTATCACCATGTGAGCATCATCCGGAGCTCGCTGGCCAGATCTGCAAGACTCACAAATCACACATTCCTCTGCCTGAGGATTTCCAAGCAATCCATACCCAAAGAGTAAGGTAAAGCACCACAAGGTATCACTTCAGTCTCATCAAGATGCAGCGTATGGTATGCAGCCTGCAAGCGAACCCCTCGTTTTGGCCGCATTCTTGTTGCTTTCTGGACCTGAGAGTTCGGGTACGCGCCGAGGATGCCCCGAATGGGGATAGTTGTCCATTCTTGAAGTGTTCAATTTTCCGGCCTGTTGTCGGGCTCCATCAGATGGCGCCATCTAAGTTTACTTGCGGAGTATTGACACTGTGGCACATGCTGATGATGCCGCAGATTGTGTTTTATTTCGTTGACTCGAAGGCAATAGCTTAACACCAACCAGCATGATGATCTCTTCCTTGTACACCGCTCCACGTTTCCTAGCCCCTCTGGGCATCACTTGCATGTCTTGACCGTTGTTGCCCCATATCTGCGGAGACGGGCCCCTGAAGAACCATCCGCGTTTCGAAGCGAAGCAGGGGTCCAATCTCGACAACCACACGTTGCTCGATGCCCTTGTATAGGTAAAAATTCCTCTTCCCTAGTCCACGGACCCTTTGTTGGAAATAGGTAGAATTCCACCCTAATAAGAGAATGAATATATGCAAATTACTAAGGTACTCTATAGGTAGGTAAAGTTCGCAGATGCGGCTCGGCCCTACGGAAGGCTTCCGGCTTCCCCTGACCCCCCAAATTCAGGGCAATCTAAACCAGACCCCCACTCTCGAACCCAAGGTTCCCTCCACCAGTGGAGCACCACAGCAAAGTCGAACTGGGGCGATCGTCAATCTTCCTCCTCTCCATGGTGTCCAGAACGAGAACATCACACCATCGGACGGCCCGCCCCCTGCTGTCGTATCCAGAACCCTTGACCCCCTCGTTCGTGAAGTCTGAATCCAGTGCTCATTGCCGCTAAGTGCATACATACCTGGGTACCTTGACGTAGGTACATCATCCTCCGTACAGAGTACATGAAGACAACCTGGAACCTCACGCGGATAAAAACGTGGAAAGCCGCGGGGTCCTTGGTTGAATGCTACCCCAGCCACTGGTCCTTTTTTTCTTTTCTTGGCCCAATGTCGAGTTCCTTGCAGCATCATCTTTGCAAAAGGTGCCATGGAACAACGGCTGCTACTGCAGTCCATGACTCTTGATGGCTCCTCGGGTTTCCTCATCAGGAGCGTGAGGGACATGATAATGCATGATGCTCCATGACCTAGTCTACATTCTGCACAGTGTGCCCATTTAACCCATTCATACATGCCTGTTGCATATGCATACAAGGAGGAAAACGCAATGGGAAAGGGTTGCAGTACACACAGTGCTAGCTGGCCTGCGAACTCTCTTGTTGATGCAAATCTCCAATGCTGGCACTACACGTATCCCGGCACGCTCTAGACAAAATGACTGGTGTTACAATATCTACCGTTCCATGTAAAGAATCAGCGTTCTGTCTACGGGTATGTTTTTCGACTAATCAACTATTCTTTAAGGCCAAGTGACTACCTATCTTTTGAGGCCTGGTAGCTATTTTTCAAGGCGTGGTCCAGAATATAATGGGTACCTATGCGTTGGTTTACTTTTACAGTCCCAGTTATTTTGTCTATGGTGTGTCTGGGAGCCAGTTGGTCATGGTCAAGATGGCAAGGATAAACGGATCTGGATTTCATGATACTAACAGAATTACCTTATTCTCTTCTCAATCCGGTCGCGCTATAGCTGCACAGCAGTCTTGGTAACTACTAGCCCGTAGGAACCTTGCTTGAATTCATTGACCGATGGCAGAGATAAGACGATTGTGCCTTGGCTTGTGTGATGGTCAGGAATTGTTTACACAGTTTTGGATGTTGATCGCATGCCTTTCGAGCCCTGTGCTATTGGTAGCAAGAGCGGTGAGATCTCATGGAACACCATATAGGGTTAAATGGGATTATATGGGTATTGTGAAATGCCCTGGGTCCAGTGAATAGTGCATGTGTGGTCAGCATGATCACTTATGAACCGACAAGTGATCGTTCGAATCATGCATGTACTCTCTGATCGGTTGATAATCTGTGTCTGTCTCCTACTGACAAAATTATCTCTCAACTGGCGAGATAGCAAAAATATCGTAAATAAATACGTGGGATTGACCCAATCTGGGATAACATCTGTCGCCGACATAATGTTGCTGGGCAACTTTATAGCCCCAATCCCCCCCTCAAAAGTTCTTGATCACCTGTAGCTGACATCGCTCAGACTTCAAGGCTCCCAGGTATAATTTAATGTATGCTGGAAATGTCAACGCGGCGTTGGAGCAAACCCACCCCCATAACAGGTTGTCATTGGAGCATGGTCTTGAGGTATATAATACGTGATATTCCTCTATGGAAGCCTTCAAGGGCGAGTAAAAGATTGCTCGGCACTTTGAATAGCAAGTACTGTTATGCTCAATGCATTTATTTATGCCAATTGTCGGGCAAAGTTGATCAGTTGGATTACTTCTTGAGTGCTTACACTGTCCCATACATGCCGGTCCGTTAATCTTGACGTTGGCGGCGGCCAGTAAGAGAGAGCCTTATGTCGTACAAAGTGATAAGGGGCAAGGAGCAACATCACAGTTGACCTGGCAACCTTACGTTCTCCACACAGAGTGCAAGAAAAGATTCAAAAATATAACTTCAACAAATAATGAACGAATCCCCACAAATGTTCAAGCCTGTAATCCAGAACAGGGAATGTTCGAGAAGGTTACAAATATTCGCCAAGCTATCGGCAGATGGTCTTGCGACTTCCATTTCCCAACGTTACTGCATCATTCCGCATCGTGTCTTTCCGAGTCCATGTCCCGAGCCCGTCAACAGGACACGTGTTAATTGTTCCGTTAGACAGTATTGATGTAAATTAAAAAGTCCGCTGAAACTTGGGAATTTGGAGGGTTTGGGTGGTGCTGCTACCGCCCGGTAATTAGCCTGTATCAAAATGCCAGAACACCAACAACGAGACCTGCCGAGGATCTCGATCGGGGTCATGATGAAGCGTTCAGAATTAAAAGGAAGCACTGTCTCCTCACATACCAATGGCAACTTTGGAGTTCCCAAGTTCTGCTGTGCTCTCCTCGACTCTCACCAAGCGCTTGCCTGCAAACTCGCAGAATGAGGTCTTTGCCACTTTACCTTTCCCTCTTTGTCCCAGCTCTAGCCGGCATCAACTGGGACATCTACGAGCATGGCGTAGTTCCTTCATTCAAATGGTCCCGCCCCTTTCCCGACGATGGCACCGATCCAGGAGGGTTCGAGGTACATTGCAAGGCCAAAAAGACTTTCCGCGCCAAGATGTACAAGCTTTCCGATTTACCTGAAGACCCTCCCACAGGGCTGTCCCCATGGCGCCACGCAATCGAGGACTTTATGGATCACACAAAAGAGTTCATGGGAAGCTGGGATGGTGTCGATCACAAAGGAGAAAACCGGGAGATTGTGGTGATGGAATACAAAGATGTCCCACTTGAAGTTCGGGAGTGGATCGAGCAGCAGCAGAGGGACAAAGAGACTGAGAAACCCAACAAGAAGAAGTGGTGGTTTGGCGTGTTCGAGAAGCCGCAAGAGCATGGACAGAGGATCATTGGCACAGTAAACCCCACTCCTACACCTGTTCCACAAGGTGGCCATGCCCCTGATGTGAAAGACATCAAATTGGAGGATAAGATTTTGGTCTTTCCAGGGGGTGCAATCTATGAAATTTTACCACTATGGGTGGCAGGGGGGAGTGGGGCTTGTGAGCGTAAGTTACTCTTCCTTGATGAGTTGGGAGAGTTCAAAAGCTAACAAACCCGCAGGCGAGCTCAACAATCTACCCAAATATAAGCACCAGGCCATAGACCACTGCGTCATTGCTTGGGTAACTGACCACACCAAACCTCATCGTGAGAATGGCAAGCGGGATATGGAGTTTACCATTGAAGCCATGGCGGTGACTGAGAGCGAAGACGGAAAACGCTCGCGTCTAATGTGGGAGAGATTACACCGAACTATCAAGAGGAATGACAGAAAGCAGCAAAGAGAGGAGAGACAAAAGAAGAAGAAAGAGCTTGAAGAAGGGATTGTGAGAGATGAATTGTAAATATTAGAAGGTTATAGTTGAAGTTATTCTATGCGGTGTCTATCCAGTCTAAATTAGTAAGCCATTCTAGCTCACAATTCTAAGCATCTAGGTGTCATGTCGTGTCACCACTAGGCCTTCTCCTCGGTCACTGTGGACCGGCTGGCTTGGTTTTTGGCCTGCCTTTCTAACTCCGCCCTTTCTTCTAAGGTCAAATCGGACTCAGCCTTGCCGACCTTGATGGTGGCAAACAAGAGCAGAACAACCACAGCACAAGCAGTAGCAAACCAAAAGGCGACTTGATGTCCAGTTGTGCCACCCCTCTTGGTCTCTTCGGAAACAGCAAGATCCGAAATACCGAGGAAGAAGCTGATGCCCAAAAACAAGAGGCTGTTGATGAGAGCCCCTGCCAAACCCTGCCTATGCCTTGCAACATTGGTCGTGATGAAGACGTTGCTGACGATGAAGGTGATGTCTATGCCAATGGTCGAGCCGAGCATGGCAGGAAAGACCCATGCCCAAAAGTTGGCATCTTGTGGCATAAGCGCGAACAGAAGCACGCAGGCCAGGCTTCCAAGCGCAGAAATGATCAAGAGTAGCCTACCAGGCAACAGATGAAGGGTAAACCCACCGATTGTGGCCAATACGATACCACCACCAGCCATTGGGGCGAACCAAATGGCTGTGATGAGTGCTGTTTGTCCCATCCACTCGCTGATTCTGTTGAAAGGATTAGTCCCGCCGTTTTTCATAGTACAAGATGAGGGTTGAGCAACTTACTGGAAACTGGCGTAAAATAGGAAAACCCCGAAGATGCCATAGGCAAAGAACAGTGCGACAGTGAGCCGGACCATGTACTTTGGTTGAAAGAGATCGAACGGGAGCAGCGGCTGTTCTGCTACCCAACCTTCAATGTAGACCGCGGCGCCCAGAAGCAACACGCCAAGAATGAAAGTCACGATGATGTACGGACTCTTCCATCCGTTGGGTGCGTGAGCTCCGTCTGTCAGGGCGAATGTAGTCAATACCAAGCCCGGCGCAATCGTAACAATGCCCCACCAGTCCATTTTGACATGGGCATTTTCCCTTCTCGTTTGCTCCATGTCTTTTGGAATGGTCACAAACGCAACAGCTGAAGAGATGAACAGGATAATGGAGCCGATGTAAAAGTACCACCTCCAACTGAGGTACTCGATCGTCAAGCCGCCCGTGATGATGCCCAAAAAGAAGCCAATGGGCGCAAAGGCACTGTAAAGCGCAAACACCAAGTTCTTTCTCGGACCCGGACGGTATAGCTTCCCCAGCAACATGATCCCCGTCGGTAAGAAGGCCGCTGGTCCAAACCCACCCAGAGCTCTGGTGACAATAAGCATGATATAATTCGTGCTGAAGCCAGAGATGAGAGACCAAGCTGAGAACCAGACCATTCCGATGCTGAAAACCCAGTAGGCGCCATAAATGTCGGCTATCCTGCCAAAGGGCAGTAGAAAGGCACCAGTGACGAGGGAGAAGACGCTGGCGGGCCACACCTGTGAGGTTTTTGGAATTTCGAGCGAGATGGAAACCGAGGGAAGGATGATGTTGAAGCCTGAGATGAAAAACTCCTGCTGACGACATTAGTTGGGTATCTAAGACGAGGAAGAGCTTGAAAAGACAAACCGCCATGAACATGGATATCAGAAGTGAAGCACAAAACATAACCTCGGTAAAAGTGCTGAAGAAGACATCTGGTCTTTGACGGCCGAGCAGTTCGAGATCAGTCTCAGACTCGGCACCCGAGGGCGACTCGATGTCGCCCTTCTTCGTTGACGGTGACATGGATGTCAGACAGGTCGAAGAAGGAATGGGGCGATGAGGTTGACGAGCAAGCACGATGAGCAAGGAAACCCTTCACGATATAAACCTCAGCCTTTCCAGGCTTGTTGACGACAGTGAACGATAGGCATTTTTGACGCTAGCAGACCAAAACAGTAGCTAAAAGTTCAACATCATCGACGTGACTTTAAGACGATTAGTCACAGGGACTGCAGTGCAAAAGACTGCACAGGTTGTCGAATTGGTCCCTTTCCGGGCTTAGCGCACCCATGCTCTGGCTCCACTGTCCACGGGGGCGCTGTGGGGCGGGGGGGCAACCTGGCCGCGGGACGACAACGAAATCGGAGGGATGACGGGTTGCGGTTGTGAACGTGAGATGTGCTTCTGTGGTTCCCATCTTGGAAGTGAGTTTTCTTGGTTTTCTTCGTCTGGCTTCTGTCCATTTCACATTTAAGCTTCTTTGCTCGCGCGCGGTCGAGTGCATGACACGGAGCCATAACGCCTTAAAAGTGGAGCACCGCTTGCCATTTTGCTACCTCTTTCAGCCTAGCGCCCTTCTTTGCGCTCCCGCGCGAAAGCCGCCGAGCCCCCTGACGGCCGATTGGGTGGCGATCCTGTCTTCAACGTCACTTCTCGTCTCTCTTGAAGACTGTTCCAAGTCGACGATACGACCGCACAGGGCAGACCAACAAGGCAAGAGGAACATCGCCGACACATCATCCCGACTGGGACAGGACTGGAGGTCCCTCGATGCCTGAACCCAAGAAGACACCCCCTTCGACAGGAGCAGCAGCACCACAAAAGGCCTGCCATAACTGTCGCCGCCGCCGACTTCGGTGTGACAAATCTGTCCCCTCCTGTCACAAGTGCTCAATCAACGGCGAAGAGTGTCTTGGCTATGGAACCTTCTTCCGATGGGCGAATGCCCCAGCTGTCCGGGGCCACCTCGCGTTGCCAAAGCCAAAGAAAGAGCCCTTGAAGAGTCGAACACCAAGTTTGCCATCACCAACATCATTCTCGTCCATCTCAACAGTATCGCCTTCAGATTCCTCATTGATATCTTCTTCAGTATCCCCGTTGCTGTCGCCCTTGGTATCGCCCCTGGTATCATCGGTGTCACCGGCGTCATCTACATCGGAGTGTGACTATCAAACCAAACCCCTCAGCCGTGCTGAGCTCATGGCCATCAACCGCGAGGTTCAGGCTATGAAGGATGAGGAGGAAGGAACATATAGGTACACTCTGGTTCACCCCTCCCTACTGGATCCTTTTCACAACTCCCTGGACCGGAAATCAAAACATTATATCCACCACTGTAGGTATTTATCTTCGTGCCCTTTTCCCTCTTGAGCCACTTGCCTTATCACCATGCTTCACCCCCACAATCTCTCTGCAAGCCAAGGTGGTAGCCGACCAATACAACGCCCCCTCATCCCATAGTTATTTCATCACCGATGCTAACGCACTGTGCCAGTCTCCAATGCCGTCTGCCGTGATCTGGTCTCGATCGACCAGCAATCCCGCAACCCCTTCCGCGCCATGATTCCTCTTGCTGGCCGGTTTGATTACCTGCAGTCCATTATCGTGGCCACGGGGGCTATGCACCTGGCCACACTGCAAAATTACCACAACCGCCGCCCAGGAGGGCCAGAACTGGTTGACGCCCTCGTGGCTAAGGGAAAAGCCGTATCGGCACTCACGAGAGCCGTAGCAAGTGCCGGCAATGAAGTTACACCCACAAGCCAGGCCATGATCTTGGCAGCGATAGTCTTCTTCGTCAACCTGGACTTGATCGACAACGGCAAGGGGAGCTGGCAGGCTCACATCGAGGCAGCTAGTACGCTCATGACGTCGATTCAGAAGCAGGTCGCCAGTGGCGGGGCCGAGAACAGGGTGATAATAGACGACAGCCTGATGAGGCTGGTGGACGCCATCGCGGCGGATTGCTTGACATATCGGATTCTTGGGACGACCATAAGCGGCGTTGACACAACGTGGGCTGACTCGATGGAACACTCGGATCTCTTTTCTGTGCTCAGCCGGGCCGAGGCCCATAGCTATCACTGTTGCCCACCAGTCATGCTGGAGACCATCCTGGCCACCAGCAGACTGTTTCATGATCATCTGAGCGCACCAGAGGAAAAGGTGAAGCGGGCGCTGGAGCTCTTGGGCCGCGCCAAAAAGTTCGACGTCGTGGACTGGGTCTATGCGATCCAGGGGCTGTCGTTGGAGCAAGATGATTTATCTGTGCGAGTGAGTTTGGCAAGGGCACATCGCGCGGCGGCATGTCTGTACATTTTACTTTGTGTGCCGGACGCTCTCAAACCACTGGGTTTGGTTTCCCTAGAGCCCCTGGTCCTGGAGCTGCGTGGGTATATAGCCGAGGTGCCACTCGATCACGTACTTCTCAAGGGTATCGTCTGGCCTGTGTTCCTGGCGGGCGCGCAGACCACCGAGGCCTCTCAGCGGGTCTGGTATGTTGAAAGGCTCGAATCGGTTTGGGCAAAGAACCCTTGGATTTGTCCTTGGGGTTACATACGTACCGCCATCGAAATGATGAGGGAAATCTGGGAAGCCAGAGATGCCATGGAGATGGCCGGCCTGGAGGATCTCGGCGGGTGGAATTGGTTGGCTGCCATGAAGAGTAGGCGAGAGCAGTGCTTGATTGTCTGAACACCTGACTTGCAATTCAATTGTTTTCGGCGTCTCATAGGTACCCAAGCCAACCAGGTAGCTAGTCACTGGGGCTACTGCCGTAGCTGTTTACACAGCTTAGATCAGCAATGTTATACAAATGATCAACCACGTCACGTGGATGTGTGCTGGTACAACAGGATGGGATTGGACTAAATAGCACGCAAATTGAGAAGCGCCCCGCCCCTCAAAGTGTCATCACACATTTCTCTTGAACGTGGTTTGATGTGTACCTAAAACCTTCATCAAAAGATGAGATTGCTTGAGACACACTCGCTACGTCTCGTTAGCAAACAAGGCACAATACCACGCTATGCCATCTTGTCTCATACATGGGGCGCCGAAGGCAACGAAGTGAGCTTCCACGATATCCATGACCTCCACTCCGCCAGTCAGCCGGACAACCATCCTGTAATCAAAAAGCCAGGCTTCGCCAAGATACGTGATGCAGCTAGAATCGCGAAGTCATCCGGTATCGACTATATTTGGATCGATACCTGCTGCATCGACAAGACATCGAGTGCCGAGCTCTCGGAAGCCATCAACTCCATGTATAGATGGTACCAAAATGCAACAATATGCTACGCATTCCTCAACGATGTCGATGACAGCTATGACGAGGACCCTGAACTGGTCTTGGAAGCTACTGGAGAACAGCGCACGGCTGCCAAAATTCGAAACACGATACGATCAGTTCGACATAGTCGATGGTTCACGAGAGGGTGGACATTGCAAGAGTTGATTGCACCTGCAAACGTCATCTTTTATTCCCGAAACTGGAATGTCCTCGGCACCAAACTCAGGGATGTCCCCTTAAACGAGCCTTCGGCCTATCATGAGCCTCTAGATTTTGCAACAATTGTCAGCCAGATTACGGGGGTTGACCTTGATGTTCTCTCAGGCCATCTGGATTTGGACAGCATCAGCGTTGCCGGCAAGATGAAGTGGGCAGCTAAACGACGCACGACTCGAACAGAAGACATGGCATATTGTCTGATGGGTCTGTTCAATGTCAATATGCCCTTGCTTTATGGTGAGGGTGGCCGTGCTTTCATGCGGTTACAAGAGGAGATCATCAAAGGTACTGCCGCGCTCTCCTCCTCGGGTACTTTGGCATGATGCTAACGCCTCATCCAGTAACCAATGACCAGTCAATCTTCTGTTGGCAATGTGATGAGGCCGATGTTCTTCAAAATCATCTCTCAGGCCTGTTGGCATCTAAGCCGGTTCACTTTGCCAGTTTTGGGGACATTAGGCCTCTGCCCTTTGATGCTTCTCGCCCAAGTTCCCCCTCGACAATGACAAACGCGGGCCTCCACGTGGAGTTCTATCTCGAACGAGCTACAGAATCGACACGCCACAATTCACATCACGAATTCAACGCCATCCTGGATTGTTATCCTCGCAAACACATTGAGCAAGATGGAACAACTTCCTCTCGGAACCCAGCCATACGCCTGATAGCTCTCGGTGGTGACCAGTTTGCACGGCTGTTCCCTTCAAAAGTTGTCTGGGTATCTGCAGACCACTGGCAGACGGATGGAGGGGAGAATCAATACATCTACGTAAACCAGTCTCCGGTCATTAGAGTTCCCGACATTGTCGTTTCTGAGGACCCGTCCGACCGCTGCCGACTAATTGATGTCTGGCCCCCATCGCGCTGGATCGCAGCTACCCGGACTCTGGGCCTCGCGACTTCAAGTCGGAACGACACCACGATTCGAGATACTGCCCTGGCCAAGTTCAAGTATCGGGTCAAGACCACCACTGCTGAACATGACAATGAGCCCTTGATGATAGAGGTGAGGGTGGGTATTCGCTCAAAGCTGCAGCTGGGTTCGTCTATTTCGTGGGACTGTTGGTGTCATTTCCGGAACTTATCCAACAAACTAAACACTCACGAATGCGACCCCCCTATTGAGGCGGTTGACCGGCAGCTGACCCGTGGGTTCGCTCAATACATCCAAGACGGCGTGCAGGCGGTAGTTGAGACTGTCCACACACGAAACCGCTCCTACTTCTCCTTGACTGTCTCCAATGTCTATGAAATGGACAGCGTTACGAGTTTACGTTCTATTCTTGAAGTCCAGGGAACCGAAATCGGCGCCACTGGAACCACAAATTCAGTATCGGCAGCACTATTAGTCGATGTAGCCTCAAGAAGCACGGTGCAAGACACGTGGCAATGGAGTCTTGGAATTAATAGCCCTGGGTTCAATACGGGAACGGCAGCCGCTTTATCACACCCTCCGCCAATTCGAACACGTTCTTGTCCGCAATCCATAGCCAACCCAGAACCTCTTGAGCAAAGCCCCGTCTACGAAACATTTTCTGAAGTCCTTGCTACAGCAATCAAAACGGGTGTCATGATTGAAGCCTCTGCTGTTATCAACCCGTTTGAAAGCTATTTCACCACATTGTTGATCCAGGCTTGCATTAAAAATGAAGACCAAGCGGCGAGGCAGCTGCTTACCAGTCCGCTGAGCAGTGTGCTAGTCGACATCAAGACCTCCATACAAACGCGAGATCAAAGTGAGCTGGAACCATGGCATGAAATCTTCCGGGACTTTAGAGTCATCCACTGGGCCTCAGCACTTGGACACCTCGCTATTGTCAAGTTGCTCACTGCACATGGGGCGGATCCTAGCAGTACTACAGGGCTTGGACTGTCAGCCGTTCATTTAGCAGCACTTACTTCCCATTCCCTAATCGTGGAGCACCTTCTCGACGTTCTCGAAGACAAACGACCCGAGTGGTTCGAGAATGAACAGTTTGGGCAAGCAGAGTCGCCGGCCCATCTGATCGCTGCCTACATCAGGGGATCTGAAACCGCGAGGATCCTGAATCGGCTTTTACCCGATCTAAAGCTAGCGGGAAAGCCCAAAAACGACCGTCTAGGAGACATGGGTCTGCCGGAGTTGGAGATACTCAGCCTGTCCCCAATAGCTGCCAGCCTTGAGGAGATGGATGCCGAGGAGCTTCATCGTGTTATGCCAAACCAGCTTACACTGCCAATCAATACGTTTCATGAGACCGCACTCCACCGCGCTGCCGCAATGGACAATATTCACGCAGTGAAGGCCTTCTTGGACAACTCTGAATATTTTCCCCGACCATCGGCTTACCAAGATTGTGTTGGCAGAACTCCGTTGTGGCACGCTGCCGCCGCCGGGGCTTTGAAGGCAGTCGAGGAATTTCTTCAACACAAAGACGGAGTCCCCATCGATGAACCTGATACGCTTGGAAGAACACCATTACACGCAGCCTGTCGCGGCGGCCATGTCGAGGTCGTTGACGTACTTCTCAGGGCCGGAGCGAATCCGACAGCTGCGACAACAGAGTCCCACATGACGCCTGCTCACTTTGCTGCATTGAGTGGCAAAGAGGAAATTCTTCGATTGCTTAACAAACACACAGGAAGACTAGACATCTTCTCAGAGTCCGCAAGACTGTCCCCTCTTCATATTGCAACTTCGAATGGATTTTTGGGCTGTGTTAGGTTTCTTTGTGAGACCGGAGCACAGTTGGACGTAATGGCCGGTCATCGTTTGATTGTGAGAAGCCATCCCAATATTGGCTTTTTGGACGTCAGTCTGGCCAAGAAGCATGGCTACTGGAGTCTGCACGAGCTGGCTCAACATGGAAATCACACACAGGTCCAGCGGTATCTGGAAATGATTGCCCCTGGTCAGGCAGGCGTGAAGACAGGGTCCAGCACGGGACTGTTCGACGTCGAATTGGGAAGCAGTTTGTGGCCTTCATTTCATTACGAGAAAATACTGACTCGTAACCTATGATAACGGGGAACATTTTAATCTGTAAAGCACGCAAAATAGATCAAGACCTATATGGTGTTTCTGTTGTGGACTGGTTTCTAACTGGGTTCGTTGTTTCTCAACCAACATTTACCTACCTCATCCCTTGCCCCGCTCCCGTCAAGTTGCCTCGTTCACTGCCGGTCCCAGCGATGAGGACCTGCCGCCAGAAGCCATGTGTTAAAGGTGAGCGAGCTGCTGCGACATAATTAGCCGAGAATGCAAGCTGGTTGGCGGCGGATGCACCATCAAAGTCTGGGGAAAGGCTGGGGAAGTCCCCATATCCCGGCAGTCGTTTTACCCCACCCTTCGGGACAGCAACAGAACAAGCACACGCGTCACGTTGAAGAGTGATCAGATAAACAGAGCATGTGCCACTGCTGCGCCTTCTTTGCTGATTCGTAACTAGAGCACCGTCTGCCGATCGTCCTAGTCTCAGGATTCAGCCGAGGAACTTCAGGATAAACACAGCATGGGCGAATGGAACCTAAGCAAGGTGAATAATATGCTTGGAAGCTGTGTTCCTGGAGCAAGTCAGATGTTACAAAGCCGATACGGGGGGTTTCTGCATGCCCGAACACTGTATCCTGACCAAGCGGAATGTCCGAAGTAGAGCAATGCTCGTCACGAGGCTAGATTCGAGGGTGTCATGATACTATAACCCCCAATTCTCTGGGTCCCTTCTTCCCCGCCCCATTAGATTGGTCCGAGGGGACCAGTTAAGCTCTTGGACCAAGTCCGTCCTGAGATCCAGGTGTTAGTCGGTGTACCGGCTAATACAAACTCCTATGAGCTTCATGCTCGACATGGAAATTCTCCGGATTGTAGATCTGGATTTACGGTCAAATGTGGGGAACGGCGTGTCCATTGCAGGACATCCCGGCGTAGTTTCACTGCCAATTTAACTGATTTCTCTGATAGGCGGGTGGACCCGGGCCTTACGGATGAGTTCAAAGGTACCTAGGGACCAGAAAGACTTCAGGGGCGCTCAAGGGCTGTAAGGCTTCAAGCTATTAAAAGACATGATCCCCATGTGGATCCCATCAGGTTCTGAAGTATTCGCTCTCTCCCATATCCATCCGTGGCCTATTCGACGGACCCGTCGAATACACCATCATCATGCCTGTCAACTCCAGGTTGGCAGTTGCCGCAACGCTGGCCTCATTATGTGAGTAAAAGCCACCAGACGCTGGTATCGGAAGCTCAATTCAGTATTGACCTGGATCATAGGGCTTCAGTCAGGGTCTGCGCAAACAACATGTTCGACCATGCCGTCGGATGCGACCTACGACTACGTGATTGTAGGATCCGGGGCCGGTGGAATCCCCATGGCTGACCGACTTAGCGAAGCGGGACACAAGGTGCTGTTAATCGAGAAAGGGCCACCGTCTTCAGGTCGATGGGGTGGCACAATGAAGCCCGCATGGCTCCAAGGCACTAACCTGACACGGTTCGACGTTCCGGGGCTTTGCAATCAGGTAAGAGACCTCTTCACTCCGCTGAGAAGTCATATTCGGCTTCCGAGGCTGACGTGTACGACTTTGTAGATTTGGGCCGACCCCACGGGCGTCTCCTGTACTGATATAGATCAAATGGCGGGCTGCGTTCTCGGAGGTGGGACGGCGGTAAACGCAGGGCTGTGGTGGAAGCCGCACCCGGAGGACTGGGACACCAACTTCCCTGCTGGATGGCAAACCAAGGATCTCGCGGCCGCCACCGACCGCGTGTTCTCGAGAATACCCGGAACCATCACCCCTTCAGTGGATGGTAAACGATACTTGTCGCAGGGATTTGATGTGTTGGGGGGCAGTCTTCGAGCGGCCGGGTGGGAGTACGTGGTACCTAATGAGACCCCGGAGAAGAAGAACCGCACGATTGGACACAGCACGTTTATGTTTTCCGGCGGTGAAAGGGGCGGGCCTTTGGCCACCTATCTCGTCACCGCGAGCGGGAGGAACACGTTTACCCTGTGGACAAATACGATTGCTAAGCGAATCATCCGCACTGGCGGCCATGCCACTGGTGTCGAGGTGGAGTGCAACCGTGGTGGACATGCTGGTGTTGTGAACCTGACACCAAACACTGGACGTGTCATCTCAGCGGCCGGAGCCTTTGGCTCTGCAAAGTTGTTGTTTAGGAGTAAGCCCCCGTTTGTTGCCGCCGTGTTGAAGATGTCTGTACTAACCTGGCTTTATGAAGGCGGTATTGGCCCAACAGACCAGCTGAACATCGTCAAGAACTCAACAGATGGACCGACGATGATTGATTCAGCGCAGTGGATTAACCTACCGGTGGGCTACAACTTGAATGACCACGTTGGGACAGATATTGAGATCGCCCATCCTGATGTTGTTTTTTACGATTACTATGCTGCTTGGCGATCGCCTATTGCCAGCGATGCCGAGACATATTTGGCCAACCGGACTGGCCCCTTTGCTCAGGCGGCTCCAAATATTGGCCCCATCGTACGTCAAGTGGAATTCTCAAGTTAAATTGATGCCAGTGCTAACAAATGGCGCCACTACCTAGTTTTGGGAAATCATCAAGGGTGGTGACGGCACTGATAGACACCTACACTGGCAGGCTCGAGTAGAGGGGCTTACCAACAGTAAGATGCAACCAATGCCCGTGAGAAGAGGAAAGCTGTGCTAACAAAACAGCCTCCATGACTGTTACCCAGTATCTTGGAACCGGGTCAACGTCTCGAGGAAGAATGACAATCACTAGGCAACTCAATACGGTTGTCTCGACTCCTCCATATCTCAGAACAGAGCATGACAAGCAGGCAGTCGTTGAGGGTCTAATCAGTCTCCAAAAGTCTCTGGCCAACGTCGCTAACTTGACGTGGATTACCCCGAGACCAGGAGTTTCGGCAGAGCAATTTGTGAACTCGGTACGTCTCACCTCCAGATCGCGGTCCAGAGCTCTGGCTTGCTGACATGAGGGCAAAGATCCCTGCAATTCCAGGACGCCGAGGTTCCAACCATTGGATAGGGACTGCCAAGATGGGTACTGATGATGGGAGGTCTGGCGGAACGTCCGTGGTGGACTTGAACACCAAGGTATACGGGACTGACAACATCTTTGTCGTTGATGCTTCCATCTTCCCCGGAATGATCACCGCCAACCCGTCCGCTGCCATTGTTATTGTTTCGGAGCACGCTGCCACCAAGATTCTTACGCTTTCTTCTGCCTAAGTTAGGTATGGGGGACTATTCGTCTCCGTAAGCCCCAAAGCTAGTTGGCAAAAGTCTAGGGTCACAGGAAGGCTGATTTGTAGCTATGTAAATTAAAAGAATTGATTTGACAGAGCATTGATTTGGAGCATGTCATGTTTTGTTGAGTTCTTGATCAGCGGCATCCACGGAGCAGTATAGCACACATGCACTGACAGGCTGTGTGCGAGACAAGAAGAAATTGATATGTACGTGACAATAATATCGATATATACAATGAAGTTCCACATATCTCTCTCTTCCAAAGACAAACGACGGGAGCCAGCCCTGTTGAGATCTGTTGCGGTCGGCATGGCAATCGTCACTTGGTCCGTGCGTCAGGGGTAATGAGGGGCTAAAAACCTGAGCAAGAATGCTCATCCTTTAGCACTGGAAGACGGGAGGGCCAGGGTTCCGGTAGGAAGTAGGGATAGGCCAGTTGATGTTGATCTGAATGCCGGGGTCGCTGGCGGAGTAGGCACCGGGGAAGGAAACCTTGTTGCTGGGCTCAGTGTTACCACCACCGGTGACTCCGATCTGGGCGCAGGAGATGTAGAACTGGGCGCCTCCGGGGCTGGAAGCAGAGTGCAAGGCGATGTGCTCAGCACGAAGCAAGTAGTAACCAGAGCGGATGCAACGCGGAATGGTGACGGGGAATGATCCCTTGTCTGGGAGGCAAGGTTAGCGCTGGGCTTGAGTATTGCAACTCAGCAGAGCAAAAATTCGACTTACTCAAACTGGGCCAGCCGAGCTGTTGGCCAAATGTGGGCTGTTCATGGTAGATCTTGAACCAGACAGCGCCGGATCCATCCCACCTGGTGACGTCCTGTCCATCAGGCACGCGGGCCAAGTAGAATTGCATCGGTCTATCACGCAAATCAGTCAGCTACTCGTATAGAGTTGCTTGGGGCACGTCAGCCGCAAACTCACCCAGGGTGGTAGGCGTTGGGGTTGACATAGTAAGTCAACTGAGAGCCGGCGCTGACGTTGTATGTTTGCGAAGCTCCAGCTACCGAGTTCTGGAAGCATCGGATTTGTGGAGAGGTCACACTGCCGACGAAACCGTTATTCTGCCAGTCTGTTGAATAGAAAGTCAGCAAAACCAGATGCGGGCTAGTAGGGATGAAACAACATACTGTCAGCGCGACGGACGTGCTGCCAATCAGCGCCATTGCCAACACGAGGCAGAGTGTAGTGGGCGGTGGCGCTGAGCGCAGTGCTGAGAACGAGGGCGAGAGAAGCCAACATTGTGAATGATGATGACAACTGAATCGATGTGACGGTCGAAAGGTGTGGCTGTCTCAATGCATCTTCAGACTTTGGACTGAGACCTCAGATACCTTTATACGCTGCTGCTATAGGCCAGGGTCGTGTCGATATGCCTTGTCTACCCCAGATTGGGTTTGCTTCCGTGGTCCGGGGACAAGACCTAATCGTCTTGGCGGAGGCTTTTTCTGCTGTCCATTCCCGGATTCTCTCCCGTGCTGGACCGTTGAAAGGCTTCAAGCAGCCGCGTACCGTCTTGTCCCGGCCGGCTAAATCAACGTTACACCCTAACCGCGCCACTGACAAGGCGGTTTAGTATTGACTCAATCTACTTTAAGACGACGGCACTTGCCTGGAGCTCCACGACTTTCCTGCAACTGCAATCACGGGGCTTGAAAGGCGGTTGTGGGGTGCATGCATAGTGCAACCGAAGCGGAAGTCTCGCATCTAGAATCCGAATCCAACCTTGGGCCGCCTGGCAATGGGTTCCCAACATATCGTGCGCATTCCTGCCCAACGGGCCACGGCCTCGATGCGCTCGCTACATCTGCAATGAAGATGACATCACTGCTGATCGGTCTATTCCTGGTGGAAACGGCCCTGGTATCCGGGACCGGCTGGTTACTGACGAGACTGATTAAGCCTTGAAACCAAGCCCATGCGTGCCCTTGGTCTCATCGAAGTCAACTCCGCAAGGCCCAGTTGATGGGATTGAGCGTTATAGCTAATCAACTGCAAAAGGTACAAATGGAAGGGATTCGCAAATAATTTCTAGCTGCTGACACCCTAGACTAGAACTGAGCCGTAACCTCAAACCTAACGCTGCTGTCTTTCTCTCAACCCTCCCGACACACTCTCTCAGGTTTGGTACATCGGCCGGCGCTTTCAACAGTAATCGTGAACATGAAGAATCATCAGGGCCGCATTGGCTGGTCGGGATGATGTGGTGTCTGGAACTTACCAGGTAGTTTTCAGAAGACTCCAGCTCTAGATCAGTTGCAGGTGGCATTACATGGCAAGATTGGAGCTATGGCAACCCAGATGCCCCTCAACTTGGGAAACGAGCCTTAGGGCCATGAAGCCCTGCGACTTCTTCGACACGCTTGGATACCCGCAAGGCCGTGCCGCGGCCAGTGCTGTTCTTCTAGAGTGCGTGAATCACATCAAGGAGCGGCTCAATCAAGGCATTGCGGCTGCGGGTCTTATACGGGATGACATGGGCTACATCAGACCGGATGCAGCAAGATCCTCCTTGTGGGTTGCGTCTGCTTTCGCGGCCTCTTTGTAAACGGTGAGCGTATCAGAATCCAGGATGTGAATAAACATTATGACCTTGGAGCACTTGGTGTGGCCTTCAACTATCAGTGAGGGCGAAGGTATTCGGGGCACTCCAGCATATGAGGATAACAAGCCAGACGGTGGCGGTAGCGCGACTTTAAAGGCATCTCAGAGTACTCTCTCTACACAACCCCCTTTTGTACGTCCCCTGACAAGGTGTTTGCCAAACAAGACGAGGCCTTCCCTCACGTATGTCGCAGGAGAGTTCGTATGGAGTAGGTTCGACGATTGTGGCGAGTACCGGTTCCAGGGTCAACACGATGACGTGATCTACCAGCCAGGAAAACTCCGGGTTTGGACACGGAAAGACGAGAAGGAATCAGCTGACAATACGGTGGTGAGAGTTGGCGAGAAATATGGGTTGAGCTTGGAGGTTGACAGAGCCACGATAAGGGAATACGGCGCGGATCTGGCTTTGATAACTGCAAACGTGGTCGATGCCCACGGTTGGGTAGTTCCAACAGGTGAGAGCAGCATCGTGTTCGCCTGGAAAGAATAGGGGCCGAGGTCGTTGCCACGGGGAACCTTACAACTTTGTCCCCTTTCCCTCCAAAGCGCGCAAAGCATTAGATCGGCACTCGCAATCATTTAAGGCCACAGAAACACCAAGACGAGGAACAGTGACTGTGAAGGATGATAGTCCGGGACTGCAGGCGCAAAGGTGGAGGTGACAGTGATGTAAATATCAACTGGGTGGTTATCTAGACCAAGTGCGACGAACCTAACTAGTCCCCCAAGGGGTACGGATGAAGCACTTGGCCGTAATACAGCTCCGCATCCTTGCTGGCCAAAAACACAAAGCTGGGTGCAACCTCACTGGGCTGACCGGGTCGTCCCAAGGCATACTTCTCTCCAAAACCCTCCATGTCCTCAGCTGGCCGTGAAGCTGGCTGCAAGGGGGTGTGAACGGGTCCCGGGGCGATGCAGTTGACCCTGATTCCCTTGGGTATGAGCTGTTTGGCGAGTGACCGAGTAAAAGACACGATAGCCCCCTTTGTCGCCGCGTAATCGACCATGGCACCTGTTCCACGGAAGGCAACGGTTGATGTGGTGTTGATGATTCTGTGTCGACATTAGTGCCACACTCTTGAACTATTCCAGATAGACACGAAAATGACTTACGAGCCGCCCTTCTCCATATGCTTCACAGCATACTTTGTGATGGCAAACATTTGCAGAATGTTGCTTCGGAATGTGCTCTCAACATTCTCGAGGTCAATGTCGGTGATATCCTGGCACATGATTTGCTTCGAGGCATTGTTGACGAGCACGTGGATCTTGCCGAACTTGTCAACATGGACCTGAACAGCCTTGCGGCACGTCTCAGCGTCCATCAGATCCCCCGGAAATAGCAAGCACTGCTGTCCCTCGGCTTCCACGAGCTTTTTTGTCTTTTCAGCGTCCTCCTGCTCTTCGGGGAGATAGACTATCGTGACATCTGAGCCTTCGCGGGCAAACAGCACCGCTACTGAACGTCCTATTCCAGAGCTGTTTGTGGTCTGTGTTAGTTTCAACCCAGCGAGCATACTTGGAAGTAAACCATCAGAACAACTGAACCTACTCTCCCCCCGTAATGAAAGCCTTGTTCCCCTTGAGCTTTCCCGAGCCCTTGTATTCGTGCAGTTGGTCCTTGCCCTCAAGTTTGGTGGATTCGCTTTCTGGCTTCATGTTCTTGTCGAGGCCTGGAAGGTTCTGGGCCTGTGCCTCCTTCACGGGCTGAAATTCACCGCCTTTGGCCGACATGTTTGCGAGAGATTGATGTGTTAGCAGAGATGTAAATATTGCCTTTGGATGAACTCTTGGAGAGTTGGAGATTATGGAAATTGGCATGAAAAGGGAATGATGCTTGTCGCTTTTACAGATGATGAGAGGTGGGGAGCAGATTCGCGTAGCTGTGACGTCAGTTAGGAGTACCAACGTCATCGACACCGCCTCACACATCAAAGACTGGTGCAAGTCAGCAACAAAACATCACTAAACATTAAGTCGAGAACTGCGTGATACCACAAACCACAGCCTTCAAATGAGAAACAATATCAGCGTCCACACCAGTGGTCGTTCCTTAGGTATTTTGCCCGTTTTGGGTCCCGAGTACCATGAGCAGAGCTACACTTCTCGCCTCATCCTCACCTTCTAGCACCACTCCTTGGTGAGAATGACATTCCACTTATCCTTGTAGAAAATTTGCCCAGCAACCAGCCCGTTGATATCAGCACCGACAGTGCATTCACCGTAAATATACTCTGCGCCATCTGCAATGGAACCCCACGACTCAAGCTCCTTCTCCTTGTCATTTTGCAAATAAGTCAAATCAAGTGGTAACGTACAAGTTGAGCAGCTTGAGAACTGACATCGTTGCACCAGTAAATTGCTGCATTATATCCACATGACACACGACCGCAGTTGTTGGGTCCTGGGCCGTTCTTGGGGGCAGCGGTAGTCACCTTTCTCAGGTACGCGATCCCGTCCTTCACCGCCAGCCAACCAGTCTTCACCCACGGCCACCGCAGAGATAGTAGTCCCGATCGTAAAGAGCGGCTGCGGAGACGGTTCCATCGGACACGGTGCTATAGGATGGCTGCTGGGCCTGGAAAGTGGCATTCCACCCGGGGAACTGGGCCTCCATCTGGGCCACAGCTTCTTGAATCGTGCCAAAGACCGAGACGGTGGCGCTGTTAGGGTTGTTGAGGTCGGTAAGGAGGTCCCACTGGACGTCGACAACAGTGTACTTGTCAGGAAGGCTGGCCCTGGCGATCTGTTATGGGACCCCAGATCTCCAGATTAGCATGAGACCGATAGTACCCAGGGGATCTGAAAGCCTACTCCGATGAATCCCAGCAAGCTGCAGAGAGCCAAGGCGACGCTTGGCAACATCGTGGTGTCGGGTGTCGTGGCTACGATGGTTCTTGATAGTGAGGTCAGGTTTCTGGTTGCTGTGTGATGAGGAGGCAATCCAACTTTGATGGCGGCCAGGGAAGGGCTACTTATAGCAGGCAACTACTATCTTGGCCGGCATCGACGGGCTCCCCGAGGCCCTCAACAAAACAGCTCTTGCGGACGAAAGTAGCCATCCCCACAGCCTGGTCCGGTGTCGTCAAGATCTACGGGCGCAAGCATGCTCTTTCACTTCAGATGGTGTGAGATAACAGCCTGCTTACGACTGTTGAATGTTGCTCCCCTCACGAGGCCTCTTTCCTGGGGCGCCCATCACCCAGACTCTAGACATGTCCTGTCTTTGTTTTCCCTCACCGCTCATCTCTCTTGCAAGAGCTACCCACCCTCGATCCCCAACAGTCCTCTGTGGTAGCGTCGACCAGCAATTACAAATTCACAACAGGAGCCACCGGTATCAGCCTCGACATTGGGATATCCAACACGTGGCTTCATGTTATTCCTGGGCACACTGATCAAGCAGAAGTGGTAGTAGGTATTCATAATCTTGTCAATTAAAGCTTCTTTTCTCATATCCTATCTTGATATCATTTGACTCATAATCCATGCTGATAACGAAGATTTTGGCCAGCGTGACCGATGATGATTCACCAGTCTGGTGTCCAAAATAATGTCGACTGCACCCATTAAAAGTGAAACCGGCACCCCTCTCACTCCATCTCTCTCTCTCTCTCTCTCTTCCATTACTTCTCAGTGGTTTCCTTGAGTGCAGCACCAGCGACAACCCCCTCCACTTCCACATTCGTGGGCCCATTATTCTTGCTAAGCACATACTCCTCCCTATCGATGTGCCTGAACAAAAAGTAAAACACCACGCTCAAAATTCCACCTGTAATGGCTGGACCGCCAAAGTCCCACACCAGATGAGGATCTTGAATGACGCTGCTGCATGCCAAACCGATGGCGTACGCAATCGCTGAGGTGAAGAGGTTGAGGGCAGAGACAAGCCCGCGCATGTTGGGGGGCGCACGGGAGTACGCGAGGCCGTAGGCGGGGACGTTAACGAACAGCTCTGAGATGCCTCCAATGGCAAAAGGAATGGCCATCCACCAGATGCTGATGGGGGCCACGCCAGTCCCGATGGTGCAGTCGCTGCTCCCATATTCCCCGCATGGTGACTGCTTGTAGGCGTAGTGGGTGATGATGGTGTATCCAGCTCCACCAACACTCGACATCAAGAGGCCAGTTGTGATGCGGGCGATGGGGCCGTAGTGAATGCCCATCTTACGAAGAAGCGGATACAATCCGTAGTTGAGAATGGGCGCGAAGCAAATGATGCTCAAGGCGTTGAAGTTGGAAATAACATCGTTGGGGACGCCGTTTGTCTCCAGCATAGTTGACAAGAAGCTGGCCGCCGCGCCAATGCCATTGTCATTGATGTACTGGATGGGGAAGAAGCAAAAGATGCCTGTGGCCTGAAAGGTACGGCGCACGTCTTCGACGAAGTCATCGTTCCAGCGGGTTGGGTAGCTCTCGGCGAGGCCTGCAGCTGCAATGTTGGATGGTTTGGCGAGGTCCCAGAACCCACGCCGACCGAATTTGGCAAAGCCACCACGGTGGAAGCAGATGCTGAGGATCCTGAACACGTTGGGAAGGTCGCTTCCACCAGGGGCGTGGAGGATCAAACGCTTGTAAAGGAACCAGAGAAGGAATGGCAGGGGAAGGTAGAGGATGAGCGGGATCAGAAAGGCAAGCCACCACTGGTTTGAAATTGTCAGCTTAGATGTGAGACATTTGGACAGTGACGAGACACTTACACCAACATATTTCTCTGAATACGACGTGGCAACGCCCATAAACCCGCCAATGTTGATCATCAAGTAAAACCAGAGCACTGTTCAGTCATGGGTCAGGTGGGATCAGTAGGCCGGTCAGAGCAGGGGCAGAAACTCACTAACGCGCTCCGTCGTCGACTCGGGATCCTGGATCACCCTCTCCCCACTGCTCAGCGTGATAACGGTGGGCACGGTAGTTGTTACTTGATCGAGAAGGAGTGGGGAAACATTGGGCTTGAACATGGCTATCCCGTGCTGTTAGCATGTGGCCCAACAGGGACCATCCCGCAACAACTCACCTGCACCCACGGCAAGTATATAGACAGACAAAAAATAAGGAGCCTTGGATGTCCCCGCCAACAGTAAGTCTTTGCTGCCGGCAGCCACCATGAGGGCATGGGCAACACCAAACACGGCCACGCCCCAGCAGATCAGCTTGAAGCGGCCAAACTCGGCATCGGCCATCCAACCAAACACCACTGGCAGGGCGTAGGCCAACATGCTGAAGCTCTGCGTCACAGCGTTGGCGGCGACGGTGCCCATTCCCAGAGCACCGGCCGTCTGCTGGTCATTCTTGTCGCGGGGAGGGGCGCCCCAACCATTGCCTCCTCGTGGCATAGGTCTGTTGACATAGTTGCTGATGAGGGGTTGGACACCGTAGTAAGAGGCTCTTTCGCAGAACTCGACAACACAGATCAGATAGGCGATGCCTGGGATGTTACCGGGGACACGACGGAGGGTGGCGAGGTCTTCCTCAGTGGGCCTGCCGAGGTAGTTGTCTTCGGTGATGGTGCGGGGGTCGACCGAAGGCAGCGAAGCCGACTCAACGTCGCTCGTCTCACCCGTCATGGCGACAGCCTTTTCAGGCTTCTCGTTTGTTGCTGGGAGTATGGCTGGTTAGTGGGTCGCATCAGAGAAGAGTCGTCGATGACATCTGTTACACATACCCATATTTTCAGTCGCCTGTCTCTGCCAGCTACCGAAGAGAAGGAGTGCAAAGAGAAAGGAGAGCAGAGCAGAGGCAAGCTTGGGAAGGGGGGAGAGGGGGGTCCTGTGAGCTTGACAGATGGGAACAGAACCGTCGCTCAAGGCTAATGGCGGGTAGCGTGCTTAGGGCGACCCGACTCAGGGAAGCAGCAAAGATTAAGGCCTGCGAGAGTGCCTTGGTTCCCGACGGGACGGGCGGTCGACTAAAGTTCGGACGAAACGTGACTGACTGTCGGTAACGGGGGCAGTCGGTGGGCAGAGAAAACAGCAGCTGGCCCCGGATTTATGCTCGTCTGAATTTGTGCGAAGGCTGGGGCATGCAAGGGCAAGAGCGGCGAAAAGTAATGCTTCCTTGCTCATCCATGGCTTCCTTATCTCTGTGCAAGGAATGTTGTTCCTACCTGCCTGCCATGATGGGAACTCTGACCGAGCAAGCAGGTGGAGTCCATTTTTTTTCACTCCCATCGGTCCTTCCCCAGATCTGTGCGAGTGGAATGAGCCCGCAGTCACACAGGAGGGAAACATGCATAAGGCACATACATGTAAGGTACGGCCAGGACCTGGGGAACAGCACCTCAGCCGCGCGTGGAGATATGGTCGGAACTTTGATCATGTTGTACTTTTGTATACCTTACCGTCAACGGCAGCACTCCCCTGCGCTTCTAGTGTTTCCCTCGGTCGATCTGAATGGGAGTGGATGAAGAACATACCTACTCCACTTTCAACCTTTCAACTGCTGCGAAGGGTTTGGAGAACGATCCTTGTCACTCCGAGCCTTCCGAGATTCTTTATCTCATGCTGGACTGGTCCAGATTTTGCTATTTTCCATGCGGCAACTTTTCTGTCTTTCTCGTCGCAAGTCAGCAGCTCGAAGCCTCGCAAAGCTCATGAGATGTCGTTGTAGGTGGCCGCCAAGCGCAATGTTCGTCTGGCTGCCAAGCCCAAAGCTTGTTTGGCTGCCAAGTCAGCGAGCTCTTGGGCAGTTGAAGCCAAGTTCTCAAGCGGCTTGGCGATGTTTCCAGCAATTCGGTCACCATCTCAGGGTAGGTAGACAAGCAAGTATATAAATTCAACTCAATCCGATCCCTCGTAGATATTTAACAATGGGATCGGCTTCTTCTTGTAGCCCTCCCAAGTAGGAAGAGACCGTTTATACTGGTTCCCGGCCGTGGTCTTTTGCAAATCCTCAATGGCCGATCCAAACTTGATCAACTCTGATTCAGCCCATGCCGTCTGCAGAATGGCCAGTCCGAACGGCATTCCCGTGGCCGAATGAATCCCGGCAGGCAGAGTGATGATGGGATATCCAGCTTGAGCAGAAATCTGATAGCTCTGGCCAACAGCGGGTGGGACCAACAAACCATTGAGCTTCTTGCCTTTGTAGTTCAGAGCATCGTCTATGCCTTTGCGAGTCTTTGTCTGTGTGAATTCGAGAGCCTGCCAGTATGTCTCATCTTGGATGCCCTTGGTCGCCAATGAAGCCAGGAAACCATCTTGGCCAGAGTAGAAGGCGGGATTTCCCAATGGCCACGGGTTTCCTCCTTCAGTGCCATCGTTGTCGTAATTGTATTGTCTGAGCATCCATGTCAGCCCTTGTGAACCATGGCCACCGCTGGCAATAAAAGGAAATTACTCACACAATATCCTCGAGCGACCTGATGTCAGTGTTATCCAATTCGGAGAGGTATATATTGATGTTGTTATAAAAGTCAACAGCAACAACAGTGTACTCGCTTTCGTTCGGATAGCCTCTTCTCGTGCCCCAGTCCCAGTCCCACCAATCCGGACTGACAATAGTCTCGTAGTCTGTGATCTCGGTCCCGTTGATGATGGTGGCACCCGCCTCCTTGATCAAATCGAGCAGCGCAGTCAACTGCCTCAGCTGCTCTGGGTCAGCGTGCCGCCAGAAACACTGCCAGGGCAGTCCGAATGCCGCGCCCCTCAAAGCTCTCTTGTTGGTCAGAAACTGCGTGTAACCGCCCCTGGGACTTTGCTGCGCAAGTGTGTAGTTGTCTCGTTGGTCTTTCCCGTAGATGGCGTCAAGCGTGTAAACGGCATCTCGCACGGAGCGCCCAAATGTGCCCACCGTGTCTTGATGCTCCGTCTCGGGAACAACTCCAGCTCTCGAAGTCAGTCCCACGGTGGGCTTGAAGCCGACAACCGAATTCCTCATGGCAGGATTGATGACAGAGCCATCGGTTTCCGTTCCCAAAGACACTGCCACCGCGTTAGCTGCCACCCCAATCGCGCTCCCACTGCTGCTTCCGCCGGGGTTGACGGTGAAGTTGTAGGGAGACCGGGCCTGTCCACCCCGTGCGCTGTAGCCTTCGCTGTAATTGTTCGATCTCATATCCGCCCACTCGCTGAGCGTCGCCTTGCCCAGCAGCACGCCTCCTGCTTCCCTCAGCTTCTTGACCACAAACGCGTCTCTAGGCACTCGGGAGCCCAGAAGCGCCCAGGATCCGGCCGTGGTCTCCATCTTATCCTTGGTTCCGATGTTCTCCTTGACGGTAAACGGAATTCCGTGCATCGGCCCACGGACCTTTCCCGCCCTCCTCTCCCGGTCAAGATTGGCTGCAATGTCCAGAGCATCCGGGTTGAATTCGAGTAACGAGCTAGGTACGGCAGTCGTCAACTTCTCCATCATCCGGAAGAGGCAGGCAGTGATACTCACTTGATGTAATCGTCAGTCTGCAGTACTCTTTGCGCATAACACTCGACGAGCTGCACGGCTGTCACGGTTCCGTTGCCCATCGCCTTTTGCATGTCATCAATGCTCGCTTCCTCGAGCCGGAAACTGCGGCCGCAGAGAGGCATCTTGAAGAAATCCGCTGCTGCTCCGGCTGGGGCCATCGCCGCAGTGGTCGTTGCTGCTGCTGCCAAGCCTGCGAGGCTGGTGAAGTAGGTGAGACTGCCACCACCCATCTCTACACTGTCGAAACAACCAAAAATGACGGTAATACTCCCGGAACACAAGGAAAAAAAAGAAAAGAGGAGGACCCGCATTTTATCAGAAGCCGCCACTCCGTCCATCATCTTGTTCTGTATCATCTCACACACTAATCACCAACAACACATCACCCCCGCAGCACAAGGCCCCATGGTGACATCTTGGCTCCATTGATTCACTGGTCTTCCCCTGTAATTGCCTGCCGCGGCTGGGTTCGTGCTACACAAACGATGCAGCTTCTCGATAGCTTCACCTCCACACCAACCGTTGGTTGATCATATTTCACGCACCATCCAAAAGCAGATGTGGCTCTCAAGTGACCGGCTCCTTCGCCACGAGTTACAATAATAGACATTCCGCTCCGTGATAATGCTACCCACGAATACCTAAACCTTATGGGACCATCCATATCAATCGGCTTCCCGTACCCGACCCAAGTCAAAACATGAAGCTATGAAAAAAACCACCAAGTTTCAATGTGGTGGGGAATAAAAAGACACCCTGTCCGGGTGGATCAGGTCAAGCAGGCCAAGATATGCGCAACATGAGAAACCTCAAACAACGAAAAAACAACGGCAGAAGAGCAAAAGTATCAGTCAGCGACCCTTGACCAGGCAACGCTGACACAAAACTGTTGAGAAGATCCTGCACCAAATTGGCCCTCTGCGAGGCACCCGAGACCAGCATTTAGTAAGCCGAGTTATTGTAGTGCCCTTGGATGTGGCTCGGCACAGGCCCGGCAACAGCGCCATGCTTCATCAGTTCCACAATTTGGGAGGCAATTTTGACCATAGACTCGAGCGTGTTCAGCTGGGGGCACTGGGGACTGACGGCCATGAGCTCTGACTGCAGCGACTGGAACTTGCTCCGCATAAGCGACATGATTCGAGGTGTCACCTCGCGGGTTTGCTCATCCTACAACAACCTGGTTAGCCGTGGCTCTATGCTCAAGAGCAGGCGCGGTCAAAGACGAAGTACATACCATTGAGCCGAGCTTGGACTCGAAAGCGGCCAGCAAAAACTCGAGCAAGTCAATCTTTTGCGTGAGCTTGGGAGTGTTGCTGTGGAATTCGTTGACAAGGTTGGCGCCGATCGAAAGCAGCAGAAGAGGGGCTAGATTTCGCAGCATGCCCGGAGACTGCCGAGAAATAATGTGCTGGAAGACCACCTCGGCCTTGTCACCGCTGTGGAGCCACTTGAGCATGGCAGCATCGATATTATCGTTCTGCAGCAGATTGTGGATGGTCTCGAGAAGCTTGTTAAGCTCGGCGGCCTCACGCTCCTCGTCACGGCCCGAGGGGGAGTACAACTGTTGGCTGGGACTGTTGAACTGGTGCTGGAGCGCCTGCTGATGAGGCTGCTGTGGACGCTGTGTTACGGGTTGAGGTGCCTGCGGATGGGTGCGGGCATGTGACACAGGCAGCTGGTGTTGATGCTGCGTGTGCTGGAAATGCTGTGACCCGTAGTCCGAAGCAGTTTGACTGAAGAAGTCCGAGCTATCACGGTGACCACGGCTGTTTATTTCCTGCTTGATGGGGGTGCTTTGTTGACTTGACTGATGGACCTGTTCTCTCAAAGTCCCGAAATCCTTGGATACCTGAGACTGAACTGCTGCTAGTGATGCAACGGCGGTAGAGAGCTCCTTGGTCTGGGCAATCAGGCGATCAAGCTTGGCATCTTCGTCGCGGCGGCGTTTCTCGAGCCTCTCGAAGGCCTCGTGAATGTGCCTGTGAACATCCTCGACGATGCGCTGATGAAGACTCTGCGCTGTGTTTTCGGCCAGCTGGGGAGCAAGCGTGTTGAAGGCTTTGGTGATTTGGATCTCAACTTGCTGATCGATCCGAGCATTGACGTTGTACGAGACCTTGTCGGAGATGGTCTTGATCAAGTCGGTCTGCTGCAGCGCCTGGTTGACCGAGATGGGCAGAGCTCTCTTCAACTCCTGTTGGACGGCGTTGACCTGGGAACTGGTCTGGCTGCTCAACTGTTCGGCAACGGAACGGTCGACAGAGCCGCAAATGGAAGGTATGACGTTCTTGTCAATCTGTTCAATGATCAAAGCACGGAGTACAGACTCGGTATTATCGTTGAGAACATCAGACACCATCTGCAACAGATGAGACTGGCTGTTGGCAAACTCGGCGTCACGCCTCTTCTGAATCTCCTGCATCTGCTTGAGAATGTCGCTGAAGACGGTGTCGAAGCGGCTAGAAATGTTGGCGACGATGCGGGATTCCATCTTGTTGACGACGGATTCGAGGTGCTCGGAGGAAATGGCGGCTGCCGTTGAGGATGGCTCGGCAGGAGGGATCGAAGGGGGCAGGGAGGATTGGTCGCCGTTGTTGCCACGGGAAGCCTTTCCCAGTTTTTGCAAGGTAGCTCTGCTGAGCTCGGCAGCGCCGTTGGGAGCAGGGTAGTCGCGATCCGTCGCACCTGTAGCAGCCGCAGCAGCAGCAGCAGCCTGCGCTTGAGCCTGCTGAGCTGCCTTCTTCTTTCTTCCCTTCTTTTCGTTCCTTTCAGGCTGCGGCGCTGGCGTGTCGTTCTCCTCCTTTCGCTCAAACTTGGGCGGCGTCGACACGCCGGCCCCCTTCTTCTCCTCACCCTGAGAAGACGGCATCTTCTGCAGTGCTTCCTTGGCATTACGCGAGACGATGCGTATCTGGGAAGCGGTGGCGGCGTCGTTCAAGATGTTGCTGCTTTGAGCAGAGGCTTCCGCGGGCTGGAGAGGAGGAGGCGCAACAAGCTTGGAGATGGTGACCAGGCCTGTCTCGACGGCATCGGCCAAGAGAATAACCTTATTGTCCTTGGTCCAGCCGAGTTCGGCCTGCTTGACAAACAAGCAGGTCACGCCCTTGGAATGCATGGCATAGAGCTCAAACAGTGTGGGCTCATCGCCGTCGGCAGTAGCAGCAGGGTTCTCCAGCATGGTCAGGCTGCGAAGCACGCCCTTGTTGGCAAAAGAATACTCCCGGATACCACTAATGACGGCAGTAGACTCTGGCTGAGGAATCGACGAGTCTTGGGCCACGAGGCGCTGAATGTAGTCCACTTGCGACAGGTTTTTGAGCGTGTACTTAGGCGCCGAAAGATGAAGAAAGTAGATGGAGTTTCGCGTTGGGTGGCCGACCACAATCATGCTGGACGGGGCGTGGTACATGACGCTACAGACGGCGTCTGACTCCTTGTTGTGCGGGAAGTTGAACTCCTGCACCGGCTTGCCGAGAGCTAGGTCCCACAGCTGGAGGGTGTGGTTCTGCTTCATGCCCACAACCATGTAGCGCAGGGCAATACGCTTCTGGTACGGTCGGTACTTATCCAACAGCAACACAGAGGTAGGCCAGGCCTTTTCACCCTCCGGAGTGGTCGTCAGGGTGAGGAGCGGCTCCTTGATCTCGAGCGTGGTTTGTGCCGGAATGGGATTCGAACGCTCTGAGCCTTCCTTAACAGCCGTGAGGTCCCGGACGTCCCAGAACTTGACCCGCCCGCTCTTATCCAGCGAGACAACTACAGTGTCATCCTGGCTGAACGTAAAGTCCTTTCCAGCCTTGCCTGTGTTGATCTTGAGCGAGCACTGCTTGAGAAGCTTTTCAGTGTCGACCACGCGGTCGTGGGCATTCTTGAACAAGTTGTTTTCGAAGATGAACGAGGGCCAGATGATGTTGATGGACTTTCCACGGCCGACGGCAAAAAAGTCCGGATGCATGGACGAGGTGCGGGCGCGGGTCTTGAGGACGCCACCAGGTATGTCGCCGCCCTCTTGCGACGAGATGGGGGGCAAAGCAAAGCCATACTGTTCAGGATGAGCATCTTCCAAATGATCACGCTCTCCATTCTTGAGCTGGACCCAGTAAACGGTCCCACTGACGCCTGTACCAATGATGGCTTCCTTGGGATGCTCAGTCGAGGGCGAGGTGGAGATGGCAACGTTGAAGATGCGATCCTTTGTGTCGGTGAAGAGTTTGGCGTCTTTGCCGTCTTCTTGCCGGATCACGCGAAGGCCGCCAGCTTTGGACATGCCGTAGGCCATGTAGGTCTCGGAGGCGGACACGAGGTTGCGATCAATCTGATCAAAGTCCTTCTTAAGCCGCGCAATGTCAAGGATGGCTTCCTCACGGAACACTGGCCGGGGCTCATCAGTCTCTTGAAGATTGATGGTGATCCAGGGTTTCATGGGAAAGTTGTACACCTTGACCGGAGCTGCGGTCTCTTCAATCACAACAATCTCGTCAGCCTCGGCGCTCTCCCAGCTGTCGGCTACAGGCTGTTGGGCAGCATGAGAACCATCCTCCACGTTATCAGACAGGTCCTTAGCGAGTTCGCTCGTGAGGGTCGACTCGATAGCTCCTCGACCATCATCATGGGCAAACTCTTGGTTCTGAGACCGGGGTCCGCTCTGGGTAGAGTGAGCAAACTCCTCCTCGGTGGTGTCATTCAGCAAATGGTCAAAGTCCTGGGCGGTTCCAGCCTGGGCTTGTTCTTGCTGAGCACGAGCGACAGCCTCCCGAGCTTCCCGGTCAACTTGCTTGGCCAGACCGTTGACGGCATCCGACACACTTTCCATGACCTCCGATGGCCGAGCGGCAGAGGCGCTGTTGGCAACAGGCGCGACGTCTACATGGTCTGACTTCTCAGCGGCGCTGGTATGGGAGAGAGGCGACGGAGCATATTCCAGCTGACGCCTGGCGCTCTCGGGGCTGTTGGCCAAGCCGCGGTCGTTGAAGGGTCTTTGCTGATGACGAGGGAGCCCTTGGTCAGGTTTCTTTAGAATCTGAATAGTCCCGGGGACGGGCCCGGCAGCTGAAGCAGGAGCGGGGGCCGAACTAGTAGGGACTGGTTGACTAGTCCCGGCAGTGCTCGAAGCTCCCGGAGTGGTGGAAGACTTGGGGGTGCGATGTACCGGAGAGGAGCTGGAAAGGTCATCGAAAGGGTTGGAATAATTCCCAGCGGTACCGGATTGATGACCTGTCTGATGCGACGGATGCGACTGGTGTGACTGGTGGGAATGAAGCGAGTGTGGAGACTCGACGTTTTTATGATCGAACTCGAACTCGGAACGCGAAGCCAGTGTGCCAACGAGTGTCGGCTCGGCAGACCGACCCCCAAGGGAGCTCTCATCCTCGGCGGGGGGAGGGGTCAAAAGGCTTGGTTCTTGAGTGTCGGCATCATGTTGGCTGGGCTTGGGCCGATTCAGCAGATTGAGAAGATACTGCTGCGTGCCCGCAGCGGGCGGGGCCGACTGATTCCACGACGAAGATGTCGAAGCGGCTTCGGGCTTGGTGGACTCGGCGTCGAGACGACCCTTCATCAGGGCCGCAAGGAGGCCAGTAGGGTCGGCAGCAGCTGGGGCCGGGGCATGGATAACCTGAGGCGCTACGTGCGCAGGAGCATAGTTGATGGGTGGCTCCCGAGCCGCAGCCGGTTGCTGCATGCTTTGCGGACCACCTTGACCACCGCTGCTGTTGAACTTGAGGAGGTTCAACAAATGTGCTGTCCGCTCGTCCCCGCCCCCGCCAGCACCACCACCGCCAATATGACGGCCTGCTCCGATGGGATTCATAAGGCCGGGGGGGAACTGAGAGCCGCCAAAGCCGACGGGTGGTGTGGGGGCTTCGGGCAGGAAGGCAGGCGAATCAATGGGAGCATGGCCTCCCGGCAGGTTGGGGGAGTCGGTATTGGAATGATGGCCGTAAAACGACTGACCAGCTGCGCCCTGACTGTAGGTACCAAACTGGGAGAATTGTTCGGGTCCAGGGCCGGATGATGGGCCGGGACTAGGAGAGGACTGCCGTCGGAGCTGGGCGAGAAGCGACTCGAAGTTGTTTGATGCATCGGTATCGGGCGCACCGTTGCCGCCGCCAGGCAACCCGTAATTGGACATGGCGAGAAGGCGCGGCGGTGGGGGGCCTTGGTTATCGAAGCCGGGCTCAAGTTACGTCAGGATGCGGAAGAGTGGTGTCGCTCAGATAGCTGGACTACAGATAGTAGTCGTCAACAACTGCTGTTGCTGCGATGACGGCCCCCTGACGACGGCAGATGGTGAACGAACAGAACACAAATGCCAAAGCGAAATCGAAGGACGGACGAAAGTGTCCAAGCGCCCGAGCGAGGTCCGACAGGTCGCGACGGGGCAGCGGTCGCGGAGGGGAGAAGGGGAAGAGGAGGGGGAGGGGTGGTAGGGTAAAAAGAGGAGACAAGCAGCAGCAGGTGCAGTGCTGCAAAATTGGTGCGAAGGAGATATTCTCAACGGGATTGGGGAGACGTCCTAGGTTGCCCAAAATGTGTCGAAAAATATTGCTGGGTGTCAGAGGCTGGGGAGCAGGTGTGTGGCCCGTGCTGTAGCTACACGTGTCGCACGCGGGACACCTGGACCGTGTAGGAGGTGGTGTCACCCAGCCTGTCCAATGAGCAGCCCCGATTGTGCTGCAAGAGAAAAAAAGCAGGGCGTCCTATGGCCTAATCACCACTGGTGTTTGATATCCAACTTGAAGTTTGAAATTCCCAATATCTGTCATCACAGCAGTGACCTCATATGTAGTGTGAGTTCCGGGTAGTCGTCCAACTATGGTAGGCGTTTTCTGACATTGGATGCAGTCTTTGCAACAGCACCTTGGGAGTGCCAAGCCGCGCCTCTTGAGTCGTGATGGCGGTGATTACTTAAGCAGCCTTGCCAAGCCCGGCATCTCCAAAAATGCGGGAGGCAAAGACGCTGATTGCCTCGACGTTGCGTCGCCCGGGACCGAAAGCTCCATCATGTCATTGTTCGCCGCAAATTCCTCCTCGCATAGGTAACGCGGTAGTTCAACTCGGTGACTTGGGATTAACAGTGTCGGCCGAATTCCTCAACGACAACATTTTCCATCATCGTATTCTTCATCGCCAAACTTTGTCGCAACGACGGGAACCTCTGCCTGCTTCTCCCCAGACCCGACGCCAGCAGCAACAGGTGCCCATCGCTTCGGTAATCAATCACCATGTTTTGTCTGCGCAGGTAAGCGATGACTCTTTTCTACAACCGTTCCTCCAATTCCTGGAGAGCGACAGAACCGCGCGCTGACAATGCCTCGATCAACAGTTGGCTGCCCCTCCTTTTTATACCAACCAGCGCATCGCCCGTCTTCATCTTTCTCTTCTTCCTCTGCACCTACTTTCTCAACCGCCCATGCGTCTATTGCTCGATTCTGCTCTTCATACTCTTCCTGACGTCGTGCAACTGGTCTGACCATTGCTTCTTTGACTTTGCGAGCAACTGGTTCCAGCCAAGGCTGGCTGCAAGCTACAGTTACCTGCCCACCATCACGGGCTGGAACGCGACGACAGATGCTACCGCGAGCCCAAGGTCGACGACACATGTCGTTACCGACGTGCTGAATACGACTGCCGGTGCTCTTGCCACGGCGGCAGCGGACAAGATCGCTCAGACGAAGGTGGAATGGACGGGATTGGGGCTTGAGTGGCTAAGGAGTTTGCTAGGGAGGAGAGAATGGGAGATTGATTGCTTGGATCTCCATATACGACTGTGAGGCCTTCCGAGAGGCCTGTAGTGTTGTGATCTAGAGGGAATCTGTACATTGGTTGGGTTTTGTATTAAGCTGCGGTATTGGCGCGTATACCTCTGTACCATGATGCATGGCATGGCGTTGTGTGGGACAAACATAGAGTTTAATGGCATTTTGTGTTCTTGGTGCGGCTCTGCACCGACAAACATAACAGACGACCCCCTCCCGACGGCATTCATCGTCACATTATTCTGTACAGCTACACATGCAATTCGGTTCAGGTGCCGGCAGACAGATCGGAGACTTGTATGGAAGATCAGATGTCGGATCTGACATTCCGAACCGATGTGGCTTTTCTCCAGGGACCCGGGGAGCCGGGCTCAACCTCCCAACGTGGGAACTGCTGGTGCAACCGGAAATCTTACACAGCAATACCGAAAGAAATGAACTTGACAGGCTTGGGTGTGTATGTATGTACTTACACGAGGCATTCCCGGGAGGTGTGGGACCCTGAAACCGATGAAGAAAGCCTGGCGCGCCTGGTGACAAAACGGCGGGGCTAACCGATGAGCTGGATTTCCTGGCACGCCTGGTGACGGCGGAGTGATGTGCCCGGGACGGACTGGCACAAGGCAGGAATGCAGGCGGCATCAGACGGTCTTCTCGGGTCTAGAACCCGGGCTTGCATGTCAGATCAAGGACACAGCATGGCAGATATTGGCAGCCAAGCTGCCTTTGGTGGGCCTGTCCTGCTGCAGAAGCCGCAAAAAGGGTCCCGTCCAAGAGGAAACATGGCGCCATTTGTGCATTCACTGCTCCTCCGTCACAGTTCACCCTGTCATCAACCCCTCCGCCCTTGCGATAGTCGACTTTTGAAGATGTCTTTGTTGCTTGCCATATCCATCGGCCGTCGTAAAACAGCAAATCAAGCGGCACAGACACCGCAAGACAGATACAGTTGATACTCATGGTACTGTACAACATACCGAAAAGGGGTGGAAGAAAAACAGAAGGCAAGAGAAAGAAAAAAGCCCCACCGCTCAAGATGAGATACTTAGCCAACTGGTGGACTCTACCTATGACGTTGGGTCTGGTTGCGATTCATGTACGTAGCGTGCAACGTGGAAGTCCACATACCCGACTTCAGCTTCCCAGTTTCATCCCAAACCGTCACCAAAGCCCGAACCCTATGAACTGAATTTCATGATGTCCATTTTGCAAGTTGGGAACTGAGTGCGCTCGCTGTGTGTATGTTCGCTAGGCCTCAGTCGCGTCTACCTCACCCTCGATTGTTTTCAATCATCTCTCTTTTTTTTCTTTTTTTTTTCTGCCTTGTCAGGTAAGGTATTCGGCATTGTTCTTGACCCGTCCCCGGGTCTCCTCACCAAACGGAACCCCAAGTCCCGGGACAACGTTTGGACCCACCACCACCAGGCTATGACGACAGCGCTGAAAGTGACGCAAAGAAGGGCTCCACACCGCTCTTAGCCTGTACGCCGCCGCACCAGGAACCCCCAGTGCCCACGCTCACGGCCAACAAGTTGAACAGCAACACGAACCGCCACAGTCGTCCACACGCATCAACATCCCCTCAACATCCATCCACAAGACACCACGCCTGCCCCCCGTCGCGTTCTAGAAGTACCTTCTTGCCCACCACCCAACAACGACCTTCGTCCCGACGACGCCTTCAGCCACCTCTGGTATCCCATCGTCATCGAACATAACCTGTGTGTAAGTTTAAAGTCTGAATGTTTGGGTTTGCCCTGCGCAACTGTACAAAGTGTACACTACATGCTTCAGCTCCACGGTTCAGATCGCTGTTCAAGGCTTTCTCTACGTCAGGGACTGCCAGTTGCCAATTCGGGCCCGCTGATCAGTCCCATCCCGTCGTTGAAAAAGCCACATCCCTGCCCATCCTGACATCAAGCGTGCATTCGTCTGCATTTCAGACACCGCAGCCATTTCACCGCATTTCTCTCACCCCCTCGTATGCGCCCCTTTAGTCCACACTAGGTTGCCCGCTGGCTGAGGACCCCCCCTTCACCTTGCCCAGCCCCGGACAGAAATCCGTCGAACCAATTCTCGTTTCCTTTCCCTTCTTCTTTCTGTTGCACTGTTCTCAATCGGCCCAGGATTGACGGATTGACAGGCCAGAGGCCATCCCGACTCGGCAGAACCCCACACTTGCAACCACCAAAACAACCACGGCTGCTTCTTAACTATCCTGGATAAGCCACCTCAGTCCGTTTCACGTACCTGGATCCAGGAACAATACAGGCGTTTCATCGCCAACCCCACCTCTCCAGCGGGTGCTTGTCGTCCGTCCTTCGCGAACATCGTGAGCCTAACGTACCCCAGCCCAGCAGCCTCAGTTAGGTTGTGGAGGCTATCGCCTAAGGCCCGGCCAGACCTTCGGGACGTGCTACGGTTTTAAAGTTCGGATCATAAAATAACTCACTGGACATGATGGCGGCCGTGTTATGAAGCTTCAAGGCTGAGGATTCTTTTTTTGGTACATCTAGCAGGAATGCGTCACTGGCAATTCCCTGGAGGACCAACACATCAACACCATCCACCACTCAACATCCTCGCACGACGTTCTGCCACAGAGAACAAATCATACAATGCCTCCAGAACCAAGAGCCAGCGACCGGGCCGCGTATTACACGATGAAGACGACGACTGGTTTGTCGACGACACAAACACCAGGTCACTCCCGCACCAACTCCCAGTCTTTCTTTTCCAACAAGGGCACCGGCACCCCATTATCTTCTCCTCGCCCGCCCCATTCTGTTGGTCAACAGTATCCCCCCAAGTCATCACCCGGTACAGGTCGAGGGGGTGCTATGGACGCTCGTACTCCGAGCCCAAATTACTTTGGTCTCGCCGTGGACTCTGGTGCCGACCCACGAGAATCGTCGCTTCTGCCGCACGAGAACTGGAGCACCCCAACGTCCTCGGTCAAGTCCTTTGCCGCTGCCATACCAAAACACTTGCCGCTAGATGCCAACCCAGAGTTTGAGGCCTTCAGGCGACAGATTGACGCAAACAGGGGGCGCTCCGGGTTTAGCCTCTCCGCCACACACTTCAACATCACAAGTGGAGGCCCGTTCGCTCCGACAGTATCAACCCCTTCTGCCCAACAACGGCCTCGCCCACCACGATCACAAACCTATGGAAGTAATTTGCCAGAAAACCCGCTGCCGCGGCCATCACTACCAACAGAGTCCGGCAGCCGGGGGCCGGGGGACAACCCCTGCCAGCCAGCCGTGGAAAGGGACAGTTATCAAGGTGCGCCCCACCTCTCGACAGAGTCGAGGCTTGGGATCAAGGGATTCAAAAATCCTCCTTTTTTCCTGGGTCTTGCAAAGCCGCCGAGCCAGGAGTGGGAGAAACTCAACTCATCCATCTCCGAAGTAAGCGGTCGACCCGGCCGCAAAACTGAGACGCCCTCGCCTACTTTCAGCCAACAGACACATGATGGTCAGCAGGCAACACAAGGATGTGGCGAGCCTGACATGATCCCACCAGCGGCGCTCAAACAACTCCTGGATAAGAGCAAAGGGGAAGACCTTCTGCTGCTAGACATCAGGGTTTCTCCCCAGTTTGCTCAAGCAAGGATCCAGGGCGCCCTGAACCTGTGTATTCCAACCACCCTGTTGAAGAGGGCAACCTTCAACCTCGAGAAGCTTCAACAGACTTTCCAGGCAGACCGGGACCAGGACAAGTTCGCCAAGTGGCAGACATCGAGTCATCTGGTTGTGTACGATGCCGCGTCCGCCGACAAGCGTGACGCGACCTCGGCTCTGAACATGATCAAAAAGTTCACCAACGAGGGCTATTCGGGAACCACGAGCATTCTACGCGGTGGCTTTAACGCCTTTGTCCTGGCGTATCCAAACTTGGTCGATCGCTCATCAAACATGATGTCACCCAGCTTGTCACTAGGTGGCGCAGGTTCTGCAACGAATGGTACACGGACAAATGTCCCGCCTGTCATTGGCGGAGTCATGCTGCCGACCACAAACGACAAGATAGATCCATTTTTCAGCAACATCCGCCAAAACCAAGACCTTGTTGATGGCGTTGGCCAGATGGATGTTGGGGTTCCGACAGGGCTTGATAAGAATAGGCTACCGCGCTGGCTCCAGGAGGCCATCGAGATCAGCGACCATGGTAAGCGGGTATCGGACAAGTTTCTGCGGATCGAGCTTACAGAGCAGTCCCGCATGAAGCTTGCCTATGCTGCCTTTGCGAGCTCGAAAAATCACGGTCCCCAGACCGAGACCCAGGTGCGGTTGTCTGGGGTTGAACAGGGTGGAAAGAACCGGTACAAGGATATCTTGCCGTTTGAACACGCACGTGTGAAGCTTCAGGGCCGCCCAGAGGGAGCATGCGATTATGTAAATGCCAGCCACATCCAGGCCAAGCGGAGTTACAAGCGTTATATCGCCAGCCAAGGACCCCTGCCGGCGACGTTTGAGGTATGTCCAGTGATCCTTTAATTTACTTTGTCCCGCCAGGTCTAACTCTTCCCACAGGACTTTTGGTCGGTGGTCTGGGACAATGATGTACGCGTCATCGTCATGTTGACTGCCGAATCGGAAGGGGGTCAACTCAAGTGCCACCCCTATTGGAAAGGCAGGGACTTCGGTCCTGTCCGGCTTCGTCTGCTGTCTGAAAAAAAGATATCGTTGGATATTGACAAGCATCGGGCCGGATCGACCGCCGCGAACGATGAATCTGCTCCAACCCAGTCGAACGACCACGCCTCCACCATCCCTGACGGAGGCCGTCGACGTGCCAATACCACAACCACGCTGAACTCCAAGACACCGGGATCCCAATATGGCACCACCCAGGCGGCCGAAACTCCTTTCGTCACGATCCGAAAGTTCGCTCTAAGCCATGCAATGGAACCCTTCGCCCCCATTCGAGAGATTACCCATCTCCACTACACTTCATGGCCTGACTTTGGTGCACCAGCCCAACCAAGCCATTTGCTCGCGCTGGTGGAATTAGCTAATGTCATGCAACGCGCCGCCCTCCCCAACGACCCTACAGTGACGACGTCACAGGCGCAACCTCGTCATGACAGCGGCAGCTACTTTGACCCGTCCCCCGCACTCCGACCAGACAGCCTGAGCACCACTGTTCAGCGTACCTCTTATGACGCGCCTGAGCCTGTCGAGAAAAGTCGTCCCATGCTAGTTCACTGCTCGGCCGGGTGTGGCCGAACAGGAGCCTTTTGTACGGTGGACAGCGTAATCGACATGCTCAAGCGGCAGCGGCAGCAGCAACAACAGCACTCTGTGGCCGCGCAGGCGTCATCCTCGACCGTTCACCGGTGCAGTTCTAACAAACGGACATCCCAAGACGGCTGGGACGATGATGACGACGACGGCAGAGGTAAGCGTCTCGCGCTCCAGCAAGACCGAGACACAAGGGTGGATCCAGACGGAGATGTGACAATGGCCATGGATGAAGGCTTTGTCGTTCTCCCACGCCAAACGGCAGCACCGTCGCCTTTCACATCCCAAGCAAACGGGTTCCCCGGGTTCAGTGGTGGCAGGGAGAGCATAGACACGGCCTGGCTGGAGGACGACAGCGTTGATCTTATTGCCCGGACAGTAGAGGACTTTAGAGGGCAGAGATTGAGCATGGTGCAGAGCTTGAGGCAGTTTGTGCTGTGCTACGAGACAGTGCTGGAGTGGATCTGGAGGGTGGAGGATGGTGGTGGCGCAGGAGGGGGTCTGCTTGGTCGAGCGAGAGGAAGGAGTGGCAGTTTGGCTTTTTGATGCAATGGTGTCGACAACAAGTGGTTGATATATATATATATATACAGCCGTCCAAGGCTCTGCTTGGAAGCGTAGGCTAGAGAAGGCCGGTGTTCTTCCCCGGCAGCGGCGTTCTGCAGTTTAGCTTCGGCGGCGTGGAATACCTACATACTAGGCGGAAGACTACGGCTTACTAGGAATAATATAAGACGAAAAAGACTTCAACTATAGTTGGATCACAGACTGTGACGAGTAATGAATTCGTGCCCTTGTGGATGTGACACCTGGATACTTGAATTGTTCTAATTGTACATGTAGCAGCACTAAACAACCCAGGATGCAACCTTGCAAAGCCGCGCCTGCTCTTTCCAGTTTCCCCCCAACGCCAGACTGAAAATTAACGCCACAGCTTGGCCAAAGACACCTCCTTGTCGTCGTGCTTGTTCAGAATCTTGGCCGTCGCCAGCTCAAAGTCCTCCTGGGTGACATGCACACGCCTCTCGCGAAGGGCATACATGCCCGCCTCGGTACACACGCCCTTCAACTCGGCCCCCGAACAGCCATTCATCTTCTCGGCAATCTTGGTCAGGTTGATCCCGCGTGTCAGGTTCATTTTGCGGCTGTGGATTCGCAGAATATCGGCTCTGGCTTCCACGCTCGGGGGCGGGAACTCGATCTTTCGGTCGATGCGCCCCGGGCGCAGGAGGGCTGGGTCTAGGATATCGAGACGGTTCGTTGCCATAATCACCTTGATGTTCTTGGTTGGCTCGAAACCGTCGAGCTGGTTGAGGAGCTCCAACATGGTGCGCTGGACTTCCGAGTCGCCACCCGAGGACCCTTCGACACGGGAAGAGCCGATGGAGTCGATTTCGTCCATAAAGATGATGGAGGGAGCGTGCTCACGGGCCATGATGAAAAGCTCTCGGACCATGCGCGAACCCTCACCAATGTACTTTTGAACCAGTTCAGAGCCGGAGACACGGATAAACTTGCAGTCTGTGTGATGGGCCACCGCGCGAGCCAAAAGAGTCTTTCCCGTTCCAGGGGGGCCGTAGAGGAGGACACCCTTTGGTTGGGCAATGCCGAGAGACTCAAAGAGCTCTGGATGTTTGAGCCCGAGCTCGATGACCTCCTTGATTTCCTTGATTTGTTGGTCGAGACCGCCGATCATGTCGTAGGTGCTATCGGGAACCTTTTCGACCATCATTAGAGATACGAGGGGATCGACCGAGGAAGGAAGCATCTTCTCGAGCTTGTAGGAGTCGGACAGCAAGGTTACGCGCTTGCCAGGTGTGAGTTTGGTGATGTCGACCGAGTCGGCAATGTCAACAACTGCACACGACAAGTGTCAGTTGTAGCTCCCGGAGAAAAGCAGCAAGACCGAGACCTACCGTATTTGCCCTCGGGATGCACCTTGACCAGAACTTTCTTGGTGCCCATCACCTTGACGACCTCGCCCACGTACGAGCCCGGTTGTTGTAGCAGACCAAGCTCTTCTCTGAGCAGGCGTACCCGGGAATTGTAGTCATTGCGCTGGGCTTCGAGACGACGGAGAACGGCTTGACCCTTGAGAATCTCGAGTTGCATCGACTCAATCTTGTTGTGGTAGTAGTTGTCGAGCGCCATGGTGACAGCGGTTTATGATACCGTTGGCGGGGAGGCGGGACTCGATGGGTTGTTGTGGCGGGTAAGCAAATGTCGGGTATTGGTAGATTGCTGAAAGAAGAGATGGACCTGTAAGATGGACTGGAACAATTTGGGTAGAGCGTGAGAAATAAGATAGCTCGTCGTGGCTCGTGTGTCGTCGGTTGGAATTCAATGTTGAAGCTGTTGCCCCAGGCCGCCTCCACTGGCGAAATCAGCCATCGAAGGCAGCTCAGGTCGACGCAATGCGCGCCTGGGCACCGAGCTGCCACCGCCTGGTGCCAAGCCTTGTCACAGCTGCCAGCAGATGAGGCCAGGGCACGTGACCTGCGGCTCTCTTTGCTTGTCGGGGATCGGTGCTAGGCTATCCCGTCAGAGCTTAAATTAGGTAAACCTAACTGTGTGAGATGGGGCTGTGATGTCACCGCCAAGGGATTGTCCATGATATCGTGTTGTGGGTAGGTCTTTGAAATCAAAATATGATAATTGATGGCTATTTGGAGCTCCCACAATTTACCTTATCTCAGCATGGACGGCAAAGTATTGTTAGCAGTGTGAGTTGTTCACATTAGCAGTGATCCCCAATCTATATTCGTGCCTATTTTTGAAGCCGTTTCTCGGATCATTGCCGAACGAGAGGCGGAGAACCAGAGGAGGAAAGTCAGCGAGTTCGACAGACAGCTATGTAAATATAGACTTTGGCAACGGTTTACGGCGGCATGGGCACGGTCATGGTCCCAGGGCTGAGCCTGCGGCACATCCCGGTTTTTACGGGCGGTGGTCTGCCATTTGGAGGTGCTTGCTGCCAATCGCTAAACGGCGCCAGACCCGGCATCGCCGCACGCTGTGTCGCTGGCCAGCGCTGGAGGTTACATCGCCCACATCGCCCACATCGCGCGCTGCAGTGGATTGCAGCTTCGGTCAAGTTCCACCCCTCGTGCTGCTGCGTTTGGCGGGCACTCCCGTGATGTTTCACTGTTTCACTACAATCTGGTGGGTAGTGTATAATGATAGACAGGAAGCAGGTGACGGAATAAAACCGCGCGTTGGGCGACAGGGCACCCTCCCACGCTGTCTTGTGTTTTGGCTGCTTCCCTCAGGTTCCTTATCTCCCGCCTGCTGTCTGCAATCGCAGCCGGTGTTTCGTCTTGTGCCGACCTGCGCCTCTCTGCCGCCATCCTTCCTTCAACTTTGTCGCGCCTGCTCCTTTTCACCAGATACTGTCCCAGGTCCTTGCCGCGACGGCTCTGTGCAACTGCCATGCAAACCGAAGCCTGAAATCGCTTGTCGTTGGTCGACTCATCCTTTTCCCAACCTCTCCAAGTCCGCCGTCTCTCAGCGGCCACCTCGAGCCGAGATCGATCAGCACCACAGCATCAGCGAGGACCGCGGCGTCCTCCAACAATTTGCTTTCTCGCTTGTCACCACTCGGATACGCAGTACCTAGACATAACCATGGATTCTAGCCCACAGAAAGATGACGCCTCGGCGACCGACCAATCCCCAACAGACACCCGCCGCCCATCACGGTACGAGTCCATCACCGGTCAAGACGATCGCATGGATGAGAGCTTTCAGTCGACGGATACTGTGCGGAGAAAGCCAGAAGGTGGGTAGAATCAGATGTCAAGAAACCCTTGAGAACTCCACCAGCCTGGCCACGTGCTTGGCATTCCCGGGTGACCACCTTTGTTGACGTCTTGGGATCCCCTCACGCCATTGCTGTCTTTGGGGATTTGAACATGTTGCTGACTCTTTTCGTATTTTCTTCTCTCGATACACAGACTCAACCATGCAAAGCCCGAACCTGGCCAGCGGCGCATTTACAGACCCGGGCCAATCCAGTCGAACCACATCAGTCACCGTACGCTCGCCATTGCTAGGCCCGCGAACACGCCCACGAAAACCCGCCATGCCGCGTCGTACATCGACGACAGCCCAGGCACCGCACCGAGGAGGTGTGTACTCGGTTGACGACGGTATCGCCGAGGTCGAGGCGGATGCTGTCGAGCGCCAGCACAGCTATGCCGCCTCTGTTCGGAGACGCACCCATGCTCCACCGTCGCTCTCGCGAGTCCATTCCAGGGACGAGGATGGCCCCAGCGACTGGCCCGAAGAACAGCACGAACAAGGCAGCACGGTACCGGGGGTCGACAACGGTGAGCAGCGTTTGGACGAGCAGGTTTCGGACGAGACTCCGGCCGAGGATGACGGCGAAATCAGCGACGCCGAAAGCTTCACCCTCAAGGACCGCCAACAAGCGATTAACCAAACCCATCCGTTTGGCATCAGGCTATGGAAACCAGCTCTGTACAAGAAGGATCGTTCGGTGCAAAAGAACGCCGAGGCAGACGTGCATTCGTCGCCGGGTGGGCACGTTAGCAGCTGGCTACTGTTCTTCGACATCATATGGACCCTCGCCTTTGGTTGGTGGATGGCTCTGTTCGCCTTTGTCGGCGCCGTCATCTGCTTCTGCTTTGCTGCTGCCCCCAGCGGCCGGGAGTACGGCCGTGTCTTGTGGGGTCTGGCAGGGTATTTGTTTTACCCCTTTGGCAAGTTTGTGCGTCTGGAGCAGCAGGAGGCTTACCTGGAGGAAGACTTGGGCGAAGGCAGGAGCATCAGCGAGTATGAGCAATGGCAAAGCGGCGACCTCGAGTATGGCCGGCTCTTCTTTGGCCCGGACAGCAACCGCTCCATCATTGGCCGATCCCGCAGGAGTCTTGATTCGGAACCGGACGAGACGGAGAGCCTTTTGTCAAGGGGCCGTGGGCGAGGTTCGGATTCTGATCTGCCACGGATGAAGCGACGCTTGTTTGGCCGTGGTCAGTGGAACATCGGTCGTGTCGTCTTCTTCCTTTTCTTTTACTTCCTGATCACGCCCTCTCTGTTCATCGTGTCGGCCATCTGCTGGTTTTTGGTGTTTTGGATTCCCATGGGCAAGGTCACAATGCTCTTGTTTTCGCATCTCCGCCGCCATCCACTAGCATTGTCCTTCGAGTCCGATATGGCCTCTGCCAGAGCACCGGCTGGTCTCCAGTCTTCGATTCTGGTCTGCACCTATCGAGCTGTCGGCCTCAAATATTGGAAATACACGATTGATGGAACGAACATCTTTCTGATCAACCTCTTGGCCGTGGTCGGTTTTGTCGTTGTGGACTGGCTTGTGTTGCATCAGGCCCTGGGCGTCCACAACTTCTTCACCTCGTCGGCCTTCTTGTTCATTGCCGGCCTGCTGTCCATCATTCCCCTTGCCTACTTTATTGGCCAGGCTGTCGCATCCATCTCGGCCCAGTCCTCCATGGGTCTTGGTGCTGCCATCAACGCCTTCTTCTCCACCATTGTCGAGGTCTTTCTCTACTGCGTGGCTCTGCGCCAGGGCAAGGCTCAGCTCGTAGAAGGCAGCATTGTTGGCAGCATCTTTGCCGGCATCCTATTCCTCCCCGGTCTTTCCATGTGCTGCGGAGCCATCAAGCGCAAAACCCAGCGCTTCAACTCGAGATCGGCCGGCGTGACATCGACCATGCTCCTCTTTGCCGTCATCGCCGCGTTTGGCCCGACTCTGTTTTACCAAATCTACGGAACCCACGAACTGACCTGCCAGGACTGCACCAACTTTGACCACCCTAACCGGGGCGGCGGTGCTCTTCGGGACTGCCGCCGTTGTTACTTTTCGCAGACGCCTGCTATTAATGATCGTTTCTATCTCCAGGCGGTGCGTCCCTACTGCTACCTTGCCGCGGGCATGTTATTCTTGTCATACGCTATTGGCCTATGGTTTACGCTCCGCACGCACGCCGCCGTCATCTGGAACACTGACGTGGACGAGAAGAAGCACGAGGATCAGCCCACTGCCCATAGCACAACCCGGCCATCACACACCATGTCTGTCGGCGACGCCAGCGGTGCCGACATTCGCGACTCCCATTTGTACAAGCGCATTCTCGGTCAATCCCTGCGTCAGGTCGGGCATATCCCCAAGCTGGATGAGCAGTCTCGCAACAGCTCAACCTTGTCGGCAGGCAAGGCCAATGGAACGCCGCATGTCGTCCCTCCCAAATCCACCAGCTACGGAACGGAAACGCTGGGGACCAACATGAATATCCCGGGATTCAGTGATGCCGAGAATAACAACCTCGTCCATCAGGTGGCAGAGATTGCCGCCACCGCGGCAACAGTGGCGGCGAGAAATGTGCAGAGGCCCCGACAGATGTCTCATCATGCCTCTACCGTTTCGGCCGCTGGTCATGGATCTGCTTCTGGAAGCCGTTCGGGCGCCTCTCGTCCCACTACAGTCTCGATTGGCGAGGATCTCGGGGAGTCTGGCGCGGGATCGGGTGGCCACGGCGGTCATGACGCGCCCAACTGGAGCCGTCTGAAGAGTTCCGTCATTTTGATGGGTGCCACGGTTCTCTACGCCATTGTTGCCGAGATCTTGGTCGACACAGTGGATGTTGTTCTGGAAAATTTTGAGATTGACGAAAAGTTCCTCGGGATCACGCTCTTTGCGCTTGTGCCCAACACCACTGAGTTCCTGAACGCCATTTCGTTTGCCATGAACGGCAACATTGCCCTGTCCATGGAGATTGGTTCCGCCTACGCCCTCCAGGTCTGCCTCCTGCAGATTCCGGCACTCGTCTTGTTTTCAGCCCTCTATCCTCCCGTCGGCGTTCCCATGGAGGATGTCGCCAAGTTCACCTTCAGTCTGCTTTTCCCGCAGTGGGACATGGTGACGGTGATCCTGTGCGTCTTCTTGCTCAGTTACATGTACGGTGAAGGAAAGAGCAATTACTTCAAGGGCAGCATCCTGTTGCTCAGCTATCTGGTGGTGATCATCGGCTTCTACTTTAGCGGCTACGGAACTAGTTTTGAGAGCCCGCAGAGCACTGTCAGCCGATTCGACACAATGGGTAGTGACGGTCAGTGGATGAGCTACAAGTACAAGACGGTTGGAAGGAGTACATCTGGTGTGGCTTTTTGATGTTCTGTATCCCTCCGCTCTCGACGCGCAGCATCGGATTTCATCTTTGACACTGCATATGCTAGCATGGCCTCACAAACAGAGGGCATCACAGCACAACAGCCTTGATTATTCACAATACCCTCTCTCTGAAATACAGTTCCGCGTCTACCTTTTGTTTCTTTTTTATTTCCTTTTTCTTGATGCTCATTATCACTGGTATGAGGACGTCCGGGCGGGGAGTTGGGGCGTTGTGTATTGTTCGGCAAGATTGTACTTAGAATGACGGGCGGGCATGAGAATTACAAGACATGTCCAACAACAAAATGGTGTATGCAGGAAGGGGAGGAGGCAGGCCGGTTTATTGGTGAGGAGGTACGGCAGTTAACCTAGTGAGGAGAGAATAATGTGACTACCTACGAATATAACATTCACGAGAGACTCGTGTCCGGTGCATGATAACCATCGTGGAGATGGATGGCTTTTCATTGGTGGGAACGTTGCGATGCAGTGTTCTCGTCATTACAGTCGGCCGGCAGTTGGGGACTGGGAAGCTCAGCCACATCCGTTGTAGCATTCGATCGTTTTTGCCAAGCTACGGCTTTTGATCAAGTGCCATGGTTTCATTCAATCTGGGGTCAAAATCGAGAGCTACGATTGGCTGCAATGCTGCTTGGTGTAGGTATCACATTAATGGCCATATCACTCCGCACACCGTTTGGCTATGCCCTCATAATTGATGGGGAGGGTGAGTGTCCAGTCGAAGCGAAATGGCAACTTTGACAACCAAGTGCCACAGGGGCGCTCAATCAGAGGCACAAAACTGTTTATCGACAGGTTGAGATATAATTTAATCGATTTTATTCTTGGCTTTCCTTTATAGCTGCTCTATCACCGCTTCTCAACACTAGAACTATCATCTGGTCCCGTCAGTCACTCCGCGGGCCATTAGCGGACAAATCTATGGCTTCCTCCCGTTCAATACCTTGTAGGTAAATGAAGGGCTCAGGGCACACTCTATCAGTGGTGGCCGTCGATAGCAAGGACGAGATCTGCAATTCCTTGCAAAAGCCGGCGATATGACTGCAAGACCAGTGCTACATTCCGATAGGCTGAGGAGAGAACGGATCAAAATTTGGCTAAACCACAAATGCCGATGATCTATTGCGGGACTTGATATCCTGGAGATATCACCTCTGGTGACGTCTTATTCGTCGAAGTGTTATCATATGAGGGTATTCGGTACTTGGATTCCCATCCCAAAGGCAGCGAAGTTGATGCGGAAGCTGGTCCTCAATGCCAGTCGACCAAAAGAGAAGGGCGTAGACCAAGATCGGCACAAGCCTCGTCGCAGGTAAACTGTTTTGCCTCTCAAACCGCTGGCACTTGGTGGAGAGTTTGTTGATCATTGGGAAACCGTCAGACAATCATCACGGTGGTCCTTTCCAGGCAGGCCTTGGTAGGTACATAGAACAAGATAATTCAGATGAAGCCAGTAGCCAACTCCGATCATGTCTTCCTTGGTGATACAGCTTGGTAGAGAATAATCCCGGCTACCCGTACACGGAAGCTGCAACTGCATACTCCATACTCCCATAAATGCAACTTCCGTGCTACCTACCGGAGAGGGGTGTTGGTATTCATCAGACCAAGAGCGGGGAAGAGTTGAGCTGAGGGATAAGAACAGCCCTCTGTCCCTCCCCCGAAACCAAGCTTCCTGTTGTTCATCAACTTTTTCCTCAGCTCGCCTTCAAAATGGTGTCTCTTACTGATCTCTTTCTCGCTTCCCTTTTGGTGCCAACCAGCCTTGGCTCTGCCCTGCCACCTCGGATCGATACGATTGACCAAAGGGGTGGACGGGTCACCTTGAAGCAAGTGCGCAATCAGCGTGGCCACAAAGCTTTCAACCCGGCCAGGGCAACATACAGAACCTTTCTCAAATACGGTGTCCCAGCTCCTGATTACATCAAGAAGGCAGTCGCCCATATCGACGAGGAACAAGAGGAGGCTTTTGCAAGGATAAAACGCGACACGGGCTCGGCGGCTGCCATACCCATCAACGAGGTAGACATTGCCTATGTCACCCCCGTCACCATCGGAACCCCCCCACAGACGCTCATGCTCGACTTGGACACTGGATCCTCGGATCTGTGGGTTTTCAGTAGCTTGACACCAAGCAACCAGGTCAGGGGCCAAGAGATTTACAGTCCCACCAAGTCGAGCACATCCAAACTCCTCAGCGGCCACACATGGAGTATTAGATATGGAGATGGGTCCGGTTCTCGTGGCACTGTATACACGGACAACTTCACCATTGGCGGGCTTGAAGTGAAGAGCCAAGCTGTCCAAGCAGCCCTGGAGGTCTCCTCCAGCTTCACCCAGGAGCAAAGTCTCGACGGGCTTGTCGGTCTGGGCTTTTCGGCCCTCAACACTGTACGGCCAAGTAGCCAGTTGACCTTTTTCGACAACGCGCGACCAAATCTTGATGAGGAGGTTTTCACAGCCGATCTCAAGTATCACGCCAGTAAGGTTTTTCTTCTTCCACTCTTCTTGCCAATATCTCCAGAGCCCCTGTTAACAAATGACGTGTCACAGCCGGCAGTTACGACTTTGGTTTCATTGACAGCAAGAAATACGCCGGAAACATAACCTACACGGCTGTTCAACAGTCGCCCGGGTACTGGACTCACTCGCTGTCTGGGTATTCTGTTGGATCCGGGGCGTTTCAGGCATCGCAAATCAGCGGAATCAGTGACACCGGTACTACATTGCTGTACCTCCCTACAGCTATCGTAACGGCATACTACCGCCAAGTCCAAGGAGCACAAAACTCCCAATACTACGGCGGCTACGTCTTCCCTTGTTCCAGCACCCTCCCCACATTCACTTTTGGCATTGAAGGTGCCAGGTTCACCATTCCTGCTTCATACATCAACTACACACGCATTTCCCCGACTTCCACGACGTGCTATGGCGGCTTACAGAGCAGCTCGGGTTTGGGGATCAATATCTTTGGCGATGTCGCGCTGAAAGCTGCGTTTGTGGTGTTCAGTGGGACGAACCCGCCCAGAATTGGATTTGCTATCAAGCCATTGGCATCTTGACCGCCGTATTATGGAAACCTGATAAGAATGAGGTCAGAAGGGACAGGGGGGGTAAGTCTGTAATGAGCTAGAGATATTTTTTACGTGGGTGTTTCAGCGCTGGACAGCTCGTTCTCTTCTGTTGAAATTTCTCATCGAACTACTCATAGCTTCACAACTCTGAATCTTAATCTCGATATGACGGGTGGTTACTAAAGCATCACCTTTGTCGATTTTCATAGCCCATTACTTGTGTATCTTGATCTGTATGGGGAAGCATACAGTTACGTCCACATATGCTAAGGGAAAGGCTGCGGTTTTTCTGACCAAGGTATTTTCAAAGTGAGGTCTTTTGGTTTCAGCACCCAGAGGCACCCCAGGATAAGACCACAACCACGTACACTCAAGTCACGAACTAAAGTCTACAGTTTTCATGTTGTCACTGAAAAGGGGACAGGTAAACTTTCCATTTGTCATGTTTAGCATAGATATAAACTTGACCCATGAATGTTCTATCTGAATGAAAAAGCTCGCCCGCCATGCTAGTCCCTGCTCAATCCTCGTTTAACCCTACGACCTGGTAAGGCCACAGTGATGCATCCACAGGCTCGCAGTTGACTTCGGTGTTGGTGAAGTCCTCATTCTCGCTGACAGCCTCCGAGCAGGAGAGGGTTACTTGAGTCGTTCCCCGTGTGATAAACGTCCCACTAGGCATCATCAGTTCACATGTGGCTAAAATCACGGGGGGGATGGAGTACGTACGAAATAGCTCCTTCGCTGCAAGGGATAACCTCCTGGATCGCTAGCGAACCGGCTTCTTTATTGAACCTGAAGGCAACTTGAGATCCTTCTGGGGCGCCTTCACCCACAGAACACAGATACTCTTGCTCGCCGTCAAAGAAACTGATATCAGAATTAGTATTGCTGGCCGCGGTGCAGTCGGCGGTGTATGTGGTGGCGGTGTTGCTCAAGGTGAAGGAGAGATAGGCCCATGCATCGGGTTCTTTGCCGGGAACTGTGACGACAGACGATTCGTATTCAAGCTGCGAGATGGACCATTCAAGGTCAAGGATGGAATTCCAACACACTCCATCTCTAGAGAGAATCGGCTTTGGGGTGGGAGTTGGAGCTGGTTCTGCGCGGATGTCCTCCACCGCAGGGCCCTCCTCTCCAGCAAGTTCTTCGTGGGCCGAGATGATCTCGAGGGCACGGCGATGAACAGCATGGGCCGGTCCAGCAGCAGCCGTGGCAGCCAAAATAAGGGCAGGAAGCAGAGCTTTGGTCAACATCTCGTCGTATACGTAGATGCTGGGAAGATGCCGAGGATGTCGAGTTACACGGTCAAAGAAGGTGAGCAGGTGTAAGCAAGAACATCGAAAAGAGGGCGCAAGTTTGGCAATAAATAAACATTTTGGCTAGCACCTGAAAAGTTCAGGTTTTGGGGAGCCGATGTTTGTTTGGCTCTGGCTATTTTCGGCATCACGTCTCCCGCATCTTGCTCGGCCTCATTCACCCACGGGCCCTGTCACTTGCTGCCGCCATACAGACAAACTAAACCCCGTTTGAAGCGAAGAGGCCTCCCCATCCATTGTCCAAAACATGGTTCCCAGTGGTTCTTAAGTGTAAGGAGAGGCGGCAGAGCCGATCACCGTTGCGATATTGTCACTGTTGTGCACTGGTCTGGCCAAGAGGCTGCGCAGATACAACTGCTGGGCAAGGGCACACTGGTACCGAGGACCAGGGACCGCACCATCAACAGAATTGTCCGATTCAGTGTTGATAGGCTCGTCCGTGCTGGGGTGTTACCGTGTCGGCATCATGCTTCCGGAGCACCTTGTTCCGGTTGCTGCAACCTTGGATGCAGGACCTAACACTCGCAACCAGGTAAGAAGAGCTTTATTCATCAGTGAAGGAAACATCATGGCCACAAATAGCAAAGGGTCCCCGCATTCAGGTGAGAATATATTAAAACTAAGCCTCCACCCGATGTATTGTCACCATTGAGGTCTTAGTCTCTCGTTATAACCATGGACTGGATAAATTGAATCCAGGTCCACGTGCATGATAAAAATAGTATTCCTTGCACTTAGCTCTTGATGGATGTGGATAGCTGGTGTAGCCCACACCTCACTGAGAACATGGAAAGTTCAAGTTAAAAGGAGTGAGCACCTCCGATAGGCAACCCTTGATAGAGGGCAGCTTCGAGGGCTGAATGGCTAGTCCAAAGCCCTCAGTTGAAACCATATCTGTAGTAGTATCCATTGATCTTTCCAAATACCCTCATATATTGTTGCACAGCTTGCCAGATAGCTTTCCATCCATGGTTAACATCTTGCTGAGTAAGGTAGCATCCCAGTGTGTGTGTGAACCGGGCATGAGATCGTGGTGAGCCCAGGTGCACCTAACTAATTGTTGGAGGAATACAAATATCACTTCTGAGACAACCTGAAGCCCATAGATATCAGGGATGTTCTGGTTCCTAGATCTCAGGGTAAGGTAAGGAGGGTGCGAGGAGGTATCAGCCACTCATATGTGCCCAGTACTGTTCAGTAAATAGTCTATTGGCTCCCATGATTACGTATTCAAAGCGATGCGCTTACATGGAAATTCAGAGTTGGAATTTCCCCACCCTGTTGGTATGGACTCTTTATCATCCTGGGGCAATATAAGCAGGCTACCCACCAGATGTAATCTACCTTCTACGACTTACAGAAGAAGGCTTTGTTTAGTATGAAGTATAATTTAGTGTCAAGTATAAATTATCATGTATCATTATGAAACATGATGTCCAGTACAACCTTCCTCTGCTATTGGAAGCGACCTATCTTATTAGCCAGAGGTGGCAATAGAAGGAATCACTGCTCCTCGTCCTTATGCGCTGTATTCCTCTAGAGTTCACATTCCTGTCGTCAGTCATCGCCATCCCGTAGAGCAGTGTGAAGCATCAGCCTCCTGGAATTATCGAATAGTTAGGTCAATACATATACAAGGTAAGGTGGTCCGGTCTGTTTTTATAGAGCGAAAAAGCAGCACCAAGCGAACCAACTCAACCGTTCGGATAAAGAGTACAAGCTTTCATCTACGTGATTCTTGGTTGCGGCGGGTGCCTTCTCATTGAAAATAGCAGCGCAGGTGACAAACCTGCAGCTTCAAAGTTGTTTTATGCCAGGGTGAACGGATTACATGACACCTGAAACAGACGAATGGAATGCCGAACTTCAAAAGCCCGATGTAATATATTCGTGGTCGTTCTCAATTTATACAACTACCGGGTTCACCTACAACCCAGTTAAATCTGGCTAAACCTGGCCAACTTGGAAGCCCAAGAAGCTTGGTGATCCGTAACAGGCAGTTCCACGGAGGTAAGCTGCCGATTTGTGGATTTCTAGCACACATGACAGAATGAGACATTCAGGTATTTATCACCCGTGATTCCCAGTAAACTGGCAAGATTTCCATTTTTTCACAAAGAAGACCACCTTCATCAATCCGGAATTATTCTACTCTCTTACGGAAGGCAACATGAAGATTCTCAGCGTATTCTTACTCGCAGCTGTCGCTGTTGAGGGTCATTGTACGTTTGTGTTCACTGATATACAGCCTACTAGCCTGCAAGACTGACACAGCTCCCTACAAAGACACATTTCCTAGACTCGTCGTCAACGGCAAGACCGTGGAAGACAGAGACTGGCTCTTTACCCGTCAAACTAAGAACGCGCAGTCCAAGTCAGGCATTGAAAATCCCAACAGCGGAGATATCAGGTGTTACTCTTCCACAACAGCCCCCCAAATCGCCACAGTCCCTGCAGGCGCTTCGGTGAACTACATTTCTACTCAACAAATCAACCACCCGGGCCCCACCCAATACTATCTCGCTCGCGTCCCTGCAGGCTCGTCAGCAAGGACCTGGGACGGTTCCGGAAGCGTTTGGTGGAAGTTTGCATCAACCATGCCCTACCATGATGCCAACAAACAGCTTGTCTGGCCTGCTCAGAGTACATACCTATGTCGCTATCCTGCCATATTTTGGACTTGAGTTGACAGCAACCAGACACCTATGCTACTCACCCCGCGGTCATTCCGGCCAACACCCCGAGCGGCGAATATCTCCTACGAGTAGAGCAGATTGCCTTGCACATGGCTAGCCAAGCAAACAAGGCACAGTTTTATATCTCCTGCTCACAAATCAACATTACCAACGGAGGGAACGGAACTCCAGGCCCAACCGTCTCCCTCCCTGGGGCCTATAGGTGGGATACCCACCCTGCATAACTCTAGCTCATGAGCCCATGTACCTATAGTGGCTAACTTGTAACATTCCACTCAGGTCCAACGACCCTGGAATTCAGGTGAATATCTACAACCTCCAGCCAGATGCCTATCGCGCTCCAGGTCCTGCGCCCTGGCAGGGTTAGGTCGAGTCGACAGCTCTGGGGCACATCTGTGTTGGCGATGGAGGCTATGAATGGGAGGGACAAGTCCACATCCGATACCAAGTCGCTCGCTAGGCTGGTTGGATTTTCAAGATGAAAGATCATTCCTTTTTACCTGTATTCATTCATGCAGGACATACAGGCATGGGATGGAGTGAAGCTTACCTGGCAGGCTAGACAAGAGATGGGACAAGAGACTTGTGGTTGTACTTTCTCAACTTCTTCAAGTGACTCATTTGGCTACCTACCATACGGCTAAGTGTCGGACACTGCTTGTTATGTTGTTGCTGCTATCGTGTGAGCCCATCCATTAGCCTGCCCGTTGAAAACTGCACCTTGGGTATCAATAAAGGCCCAGTAAAGGCCCATGGCAAAACGTGAAAGAACTCATGCATGATGCATGCGATCGAGCGGGGAGAAAACCATTCAATGTTGTCAATCCCCATTCGAAAGGCAGAGAGGTTGTTGGTTGTGCTTGCCTGAGTTGATCTGTTGCTGCTTGAGCTGTTTGACGGCTTGAAAAGTAGAGAGAAAATTACGGAAAAGCGTGAAGGCTATAAGTCAGCAGTATTGCTTTGTATGCCAGGTAGTAGAAATGGTTTTAAATGAAAGAAGTCAATGCTGAAGTTGAGAAAGTGGACAAAATCCATGCACTTTTTCGTGGTTGCCCCTCGTTAAACCTTAGATAGGTAAGAGGACAGGGCCTGTATTTCAGTTTATATTAGGACCTATCTTACGTAGCTCAGGATGGAAGGAACGAAGGTGGTGATTGAGCGGCTCAAAGCAAATAAGCTGAGCTAAACGAACAATATCATTGCAAACTCAAAGAAAACCTGAAGTATAGACTGGGAGTTTGACAAAAGCCCCTTGCTTGTGTGAAAGTTCTGGAGTTGGGGAGCAGTGGACCACTTTCAACGCTGGAGTTTGATATATGGGTTGGAGCAAAGGCGCGATATCCTAATTTCCATCATTGTCAACCGTGTCAGATGATGTGGACACTCCATCTTTCGAGGGGCCTAGTGATTAAGCTGCCAGTGTGAAAGCCCCAAGGCACTATCCTATATATTTCCACCGCCCTCTTCTTCAGATGTTGACATGTTGTTGCACGTCTACCGCGGCTTTTTCTATCAATGAACCTCCGCAACTCACCAAAAACTCGTCAACTGCTACAATCCCTTTCAGGAGCGTCCTTTTGCTAATCCTGGCCCATGGGTCAACAATCGCCGCAGCCATTGCTGTTTCCTCGCCGGAGAACTCAGCATCGGCCTTGTCCGTCCTTCCGTCAACCGCCACTCGCACTCCCAGCATGGAGACGCAGCCTTGTCTTACATTGATTCAAGCCGCCAATCAAGACGTGGTATTGCTGGGACTGTGAGCATTGCATCGAACACTTTTGGCAAAGGCGAGAAAGGGTACCAAGAGGTGGTCAAGCAGATTGGTGCAAAGGGGGGGACGTTGTCAATTCCGGTCACTGCTAAGAGATCAATAATATGAGTATGTGAGATGAGTATCTTAGGTAGGTGAATGACTGTCACATACTAGGACTACTGCTAACCTGTATCGAGCAGATTATCAGTGTGCACCTATGCAGGCCCATCCCTCGGCCTGACGACGACTCCCCAAGCATGACCACCATCACCACGACAGGCGCTATCACGGGTCAGCCCACGTACATGACACTCGCTTATGCCCTCGAAACCATTGCAGATTACACTTTTCTGCGAAAACAGAAAATAACAAGGCTCTACAATCCCTTTGCGGTCACGACAACAGCCGCCACAACCGGCATGGCGACAACGACTGGCAACTACACGGACAGACCACTTCGAAGAAGCTGAACGCCTGAGCAAGTTTGTGGGAACTTTTACGATGTCAACTACTAGGTATCCTTGTGTTGAGTTACCAAGCAAGGAATATCTGTTCTATAATGTGGAGGAGTGCCCTGGTTCCAACGGGCAGTGTGCGGCGAGTTCAACTATGTGATTGAGCCGCCCTACATCTTTGATGTTTCCTGTACCCTCAACGAAACCGACTATCTAAACATGCCGGAATACCTCTAGCCGTCCGAGTTCACAATGACAGAGGTGACACAACTCATTCGAGATTTTTGCTCCTCTAAAAACCGATGATCCCACCTGTCTTCAGATGACCAAACGAGTGAGCAGCGAGAAGCGCCCCTAGGTATGTTCGTCTGGAGCAGATAAATCGGCAGTCGCCATCACAAACAACCTGGGAGGCCTTTTCCGGGTGTAATAATCATTCATTCACCTTCTACATGACAATGATGGTGAAGCTAAGAGAGTCGGGGCATGGGGGGGAACTAGATACATTCTTGGGCTATGTCGGTGGTGAAAAAAAGTAACTATGTGCGTTGAAAGTGAAAGGAATTCCGGCACATCCAGCAGAAGCACCAGTCAAACAAAAAGAGTATTTTTGACAACTGCCTTGACCACCACTGCCGCCGCCATCCTTTTATTGGGGGCTTTATTTTCCTGGCGACAAAAGTCTGTTTTCTTACACATTGACGGTGGAGCCGATGGGGCCGAAGCGGATGTTGGACCAGACAACCTTGCTGTAGTGTTTGTTAGCATCTGAACTGCACAGAGAAGCACAAGAGGCAGGCGAGGGACGTACGCGTTGGGGTAGTTGGCCTTGACCTCGGAGGGAACACCAGAGTCTTGGGCGCAAGGGCCACGGGCAGCACCGGGCTCGCCCTCCTTCTCAGGGGGGTAGACGGAGTCGAGCCAGAGCATGTTGGCGTAGTGATCGGCCCAGATGGACATGACGAGGACCATGGGGATGCGGAGGGCAGCGTTGAGCTGGGGGAAGTCACCGACCTCACGGAAGCGGTTGCGGTCCGTGAAGACATCAAACTGAGTCGAGCAGAACTCAGGGGTGAGGTTGGGGCTGGCTGGGATGCCGTCAAAGGTGGGAGCGGGAGCGAGGATCTTTTGGCCGTTCTGGACGAAGAATTGCTCAAGGTTGTCATCCTGGAAGCGGGTGACAACGGTGAACTTCTTGGTGGTGTCGACGGTCTTGCCCTTGCCGTAGAAGTCGGGGTTGCCCATGCGGTAGGGGTTGTAGTCGCAGCCGTTGGCGTCGCAGCCACCAGCGAAGCGGTCCTCGGAGTAGGTACCACCGCAGGTGTCACGCTCGCAAACGTGGTAGTTGTTGTTCTCGCAGGCGTGGGGGGTGAAGGCGTAGGCGTGGGCATTGGACTCCCTATTCTGCGTGTTAGCTTTTGTCGACTTGAAAACAAGACGGACCGGGTCGGTTAGACATACCAGACATCGATCTCGGCGCAGCAACCGCCATAGGGACCGACACCAGCGTTCTCATCGTTGGACGACTCGCGCCAGCCCTCAATGTTGGCCTTGCCACCGACGAACTTGAGATCACGAGCGCACTGGGCGTCGCAGTACTGTTCCCCCCCCCCCCATCATGTCAGTGGCTGGGAGGCAGGGCAGCGGATGGGAGAACTTACACCAGTACCGTACTTGGCACCAGCCTTGTTGGTGGGATAGCTGCGCATGCCACCATCCTCCTCCATGGCGACGAAGTACAGGGCCGAATTGAGACCGCACTCGACCGTGGAGAGGTCGACGTCAAAGGTGAACTCGTTGTTCATGAGGGTGAACATCTGGTACTTGGAGGCACCGTTCATGAGGTAGAAACGAGAGCCGACGTTGGTGCCATACTCGTGCTTGGTGACGAACTTGAGAGTGAGGGAGTCACCGCTGGTGGAAGCACCGTAGGTCTGCTGGTAGTTGCCGGCACCCTCCATCAAGCACTTTGACGCGCAGTCGGTGGCGGTGCTGCAGGCAGCTGTGTTCCAGGCGTTGCCATCGTAGCAGTTGGTGCCGCCCGAGGTGTGGATCCAGCGCCAGTTGGAGTCGATGACGACCTCAGCCTGGACCGTCGTGCAGTTGGCCTTGCCCGTGCACCTCTTCCAGGTGATTCGGGGGTGAGTCTCGGTCTGCTGGGTGCCGACGCCCTGACCGGCGACGAGGCCGGTCATGAGGGAACCTGCGGCCAGGTACTGAAGATACTGCTTCATCATCATGGTGGGCAACTCTTGGTGAAAAGATGGAAGAAGGGCTGGTGTTGCGTGATCGAGAAGAGAGAAGGACGTCGGTAGCACAGGGCGAGAGGTCGTTTATATGTTTTCCTGGGTCCATTCAAGAGAGACTGAATTCGGACTGAGAGGGTTCCCAGGCTGTGACGATCCCGACCTCGACTCCCGTGCTGGAGCCTCCCGATTCGGAAACTTGGTTCCAGGCACCGCGTGAACCATCCAAAGAGCCGCTGCGTGGAAGAGTGAGCCGAATTCCCATATCCAAACCTCTGCGGTGCCATGCCTTCTAATTGATCAGCCAACGGTTAATCGTCCATTGCGAGAGGAAGAATCCGCGAGGTGCCTTGGCGGTGGTAGCGAGATAGATTAACTGCCGTGGAGATCTGGGGTAGGCAGATGGAGAAGGCACACGATGTGGTGTGGTGTGGCGAGCGTAATGTATTGTTGTTTACTTGCCGCCAGGGTTCTTGCTAACCCCCTGCCCCCCTGCCCCCCTGCCCCCCGGGTATCATTGCACCTCCACTACAGGCAAAAGTAAGAAAGAAAAGAAAAGGGGGCGATCCTCCTTGGTGCAGCACGTAGTAGTAGTAGGCGTCAGGCGTCAGGCGTCACGCCCACTGATGATCTCTAGTCTTTTTTCCCGGGTCGGTTTGGGCCAGTATTTGGAGGCATCGCAACTGAACACGGAGACTTGGCCCCGCAGTGCAACGTCGTCTCCAACCAGAGGTCCTTTCCCACAGCCATGTTCCGAGCCGGCCATCTTTTGCTCTAGGGCCAATATAAACGGCAATTAAAATCGGCCCCTCACTGAAGTGCCGAGCCAACTTCGATCGGACACCCCATTGGTGTTTTTGACGTGGTTGGCAGCCCTCGCCCACTCCATGACACCGTCTCAACCGGCGCCGAGACCGTTGCGGGGGCGGCAGTTGATGCAAACCTGGCCGCCCACTGCAACAACACCAGACCTTGGCTTTATATACGGCTGGTATGATCTTAATTATCAGCTTTCGGATGCCTGTACCGGAGTGCCTTATTTGCCCACGAACCCCTGCACACTTCTTGTACCCTCTCGCCTCATTTGTTGCCAATCACCGGGCGTCTGCTGCCAGGTGAGAAGAAAAGATAGGCGATAGAGGTTGGCGGCCGTGTTTGCCCCGTGAATTTAGCCCGGAGAATGAGCAAAGCGGAGCCCCCCGCTCCGATTCGTGGGTCGGCCGTGTTCGGCCAGACTACAGTCTCCCATATTATTTTATCTTGTTCCTGCAGTAGGTAGGCAATGAACTGTGCGAGGGCGCTTATTTCGTGCCGGTATCAGTTCCTGTTTCTCCTCAACAAGATATGCTCTGGGTTAACCTGCCAGTGGGGTCCTCGTTCCTACCTAAGTCTTGACTCCTGAAGGCGAGCTGAGCTCTTCAAAGCGGGTTCTTAATGAAGCCGTAAATGAATAGAAAACAAGCTCTGCTCCGAAAGGACTCTATATTGCGCTATTGTGTTCCACGTAGGGCAGTCATGTGTTGTCGCTTAGCCACCAGTGACCACATCCCGATCTCTCCAAATGAACGCTTCTTCTGAGAAATGGGTAGCGACAGTGGAAGGGAAGTCAATTTCCCGGTAGTACACACAAGACTTGAGAGAGTTCGGAATGACGGACTGTTATCCGGAATGCAGATGGGCTTGGTTGGTTGGAAAAGGAATGGGTTTGTGGTGATCCAAAGGCTCAAGTGACGCTTGGAGTGTTGTCTGACGAATGACCAAAATCACCCGGAGAGATTGTAATGAAGAACAGGGTGCAGTGTTGCCACTCCCTTGAACAATTACAACATTTTCAGATGCAGATGGGCCAGCATGAAGGTACAATCTTTCAACCCGGACAAGGTCAGCACTGGCCTGGCCAAGTGCACCAGAATACATTGCAATGATATATCAAACAACATGTATGAGTTATTATTCCCAATAGCTATCATCACCAAGTATGAGCATCAGCCAACACACTCTCAGAAGCCTTCTCGCTGAGCATGAATGTGGGCAGCACCGGGAACGGGCCTGGTACTCTGGGGAAAGCACTGGCATCGACCACCCTCAAGCCGCGAACACCCCTCACTCTGAACTTGCTATCCAACACTGCGTTGGGGTCAGAGTCAGCTCCGATAGCACATGTGCTTGTCGGGTGGTGTCCGAAAATCTGGTTCTTGAGCCACTCAATGTCGGCGGCGTCATCGCATGTGCCGTCGGCCGACATCCCGCCGGAGCATGGCGGCTCAACAGGAGAAATTGGCCCGAGAGGAGCTGGCACAGAGGCAAATAATCTCCTCACAAACTTGACAGTGTCCAACTCAGCGGCCAGATCCATGGCCGTGCCAGCGTCACCTTCTTCGAACAAGTGAAAGTTGATGCTCGGCACATCTCTGGGGTCGGTGCTGGTGAGGAGGACTTTGCCGCCGCGCGACTGGGGTCCGATCTTGACGGTCGAGAAGCCAAACATGTTTGGCGGGTCGGGCACAATGCTATCAGTGGGTGGCCAAAAGCCTCTGAGTGCGAAGAGCCCGCCGACGAGAAACATGTCACGCTCGTTGTAAGCCGGCGAAATGCTTTTCCTAAAGACCGCGTTGAGAGTGGCCCCCTTCATGTACGGTCCCTGCTGGCTTTGCCAGAGCGTGACACAAGGGTCCCCGGGTGCTCCAAACCAGCAAGCAGGGTCGGCCGGGTCGGGGGGCGGAGTGGTGAAATTGCTGGCCGCGTGGCCGACGATGGGAACCTCGTAGTTGTCTTGCAGGTTGGTGCCCACGCCTGGGAGGTTCTTCACCAGAGGGATACCAAAGGAAGCCAACTCTTCTGCTGGACCAATGCCCGAGAGCTTCAAGAGCTGGGGTGAGTTGAAGGTGCCACCAGACACAATGACTTCCTTGCGGGCAAAAGCGCGGCCCCATGTCCCGTTGTTGGAAGCTGTGTTCCTGGGATCTGCTCGATAGACGGACTGTCCTTGGAGGTACTCAATACCTGTTGCCTTGGGCTTGCGGTGGGGGTGATTGATATCCTTGAAGGTCACCTTGGTCGCCAGAGTGTTGAGCTGAATCCAGAGCGGATACTTCTTCTTGCCGGCAGCGGTGAGGGCACTGGCGGTCTCCAGAACAAGATCCCGGGAGGAGAAGCGACGAGCATTCTCGTCCGAGTGAACGGCAGAACCAAATACACCCACACTCTGGTCGCGGGCCGGGTCAAGGGCGTTGACGTCGGCTGTCAGGTGGTCGACAATATTCAGACGATCTTGACCGAGGTCGTCGGCAGCCTCAGCCATCACCGTGGTCATGTCGTCTTGCCCCACCCAAACAGATTCATCGCTCATGCTTGTGTCAAAATAACCGTTGAAGCCATGACCCGGAGTGCCAGATGGTAGATAGTGGTTGTTCTCTATACGAGCAAAGATGGATCGCATGGCGGTAGGGCTGAGAAGAGACGGGTTGTGACATTAGTTCTCTGCCGATTGCCGCGGGAAGAAAAATAAGGGGGTGAGAACTCACTTCCAACTTGTATCACCGGTCAGATCGGCTATAATTTGCCAATCGCTGTCACTGGGCAAGACGGATGACATGGCGTTGACAGCAGAACTTCCCCCAAGAGTTCCACCGCGGGGGTAATGAATACCCAAAAGAGTCGCTCCCGCAGGGGGGCTCGTGCCGACATAAAAGGTACCCTCGGTTGCGCGGTACACGCGATGGTTGTGCTGCAGTAGGCGACTCTCATTTGCGTAGTTGCGTACAAAGAAGTCCCATCGCATAGAGGCATCCTGGTAGGGCAAAAAGAATAGCGCCCCAATCTCGGACGTTGGGTTGTTGCTTTGGTCATCGCCGGCTTCGACCAAGAGCACAGAGTGGCCGGCCTTGGCGAGGTTGGTTGCCAGAGGACCACCTCCAGGTCCAGAACCAACGATCACATAATCGTAGACGTTGTCTTCTGGTTTGGTGTAGCCGCCATGCCCACCCCCGCCGCCACCAGCAAAGGCCGGGATGGCGAAGATGGTCAAGCCGGTGAGGATGGTTGTTGTGAGGCGTAACATGGTTGAAGGTCAAGATAGGTCTAGTCAGACCTGGCCAAACTTTGGTGGCTCCTTGGACTTGATGATTCGGTGAAAAGAAACAACAGAGGGGGTTCTCTCATGCTTTATAGATTCTGTAGCCACCAGGTACTAGTCGGGACTTCTTCGCAAGATGATCCCAAGGTAAGGGACTCACCTTCCTGTCTCTGGTCGATTTCCAGCCTCCCGGATCACCTTTAGCTGTCGCGTCCCACTAACAAAGCCGCGATGTTGCGCTGGACCAGGGGGTTCTGTGGTTGAGCGGGGACGCCTTTCCTTCCCCGGACATTCCGGGCACACCACTGCATGTCAGCACTTGCCCCGCTCCGGCCAATTTGTCGGAGCAGACCCGCGATTGGGTGTTCTGGCTACCGAAGGGGGGTGTCGTTGGTGTAGAGAAGACCTCAAGAGAACCCAACATGCCTCCTCGATGTCAGAGCAGAGTCGGCTTGTGGCATGGCGCGTTAGGTATGAGGATGTAAAAAATAAAAAATAAAAATAAAAAATAAGAGATGGAAGGACTAATATTACCATGATGAGTCTTGGCATCTGCAGGTAAACGGCTGCCAGCCCCTGTCCATTCCGAGTTGGGTTGCTTTTTGTCCTGCCAAGGCCTCTACCATGTGCTGTTGTCTGCAGTGGTCCCTTGATGTTGGTTTCAACGGTCCATCTAACACTTAGAAGGGGAGCCATCAAGGCAATAGTGTGACTGTTCCCCCGCTCGTGGCAGTGGGATCCGGCGACTCGGAAAGGATCCAGGAAGCTGGTAGCTAAAAAGCCGCCTCACAGACGGACTATTGATTCCTTGCCACGCACATAACAGTGTCTAGTGATGTACCTAGATACCTCATTACTAATCCCAAGACATGAACTTGAGCGTCTGCCCTGCCCATCGACTAGCTACATCTTTGACCTTGGCTGTTTCGTAGATGAACCAGTCATACGGATATGCTACATTTTCCTCGCTCAGGTCGGCTTCGGGAGGGAAGCTCCCATAGGCGCCAACAACCACGACGTCTTTAATGGTAGCATAGCCTCTCCCGTCAGAGGAAAACACTGCATTTCCAGTCCCAATTCCGTCAAACACACTCTTCTCTACCAGCACCTTCCCACCACTTCCAATGTCAAGACCTCTCTGTGGCTTCTCGTAGAACGAATTGAAGATATGCCCAGTGCCGGATCGGAACGACAGGGCATTGGTGACGTTCACAAAGTGGTTTCTCGCAAATGTTATGTGGAATTTGTCGTTGTCCTCAAGAGCGCTGCTGTGTGGGTGCCCGATTGCCACGGCTGAGTCGGAGGCGTGTGAGAAGCCGTGGAATTTGTTGTGGCTCACCGAGATGTAGTCACTGCCGCTAGTGATTCCGAGAAGCTTTCCACCCGAAGCCGAGATGTCTAGATGGTCGAGCCAGATGGAGCGGCCGTTCTGGATAGTGATAGCGTCGGTCTTGGTGTTGGAGATGACTAGGTTACGGACGATAACGTTGCGGCTGTCTTTTAGCAACAGGCTGATACCACTCAGAGCTGTTAACAGCAAGTGTGGTGTGTCAGTGCTGAGCGACAAAAAAAAACTTGGTGTGTGAAACAACATACAGCTTCCAGGAGCACCGATAATGGTCTTACTGGACCCTACTGCAACTTGGATGCCTTCTGCCTCAATAGCCGCACCGACAATAACCACGCCTACTTCTGTTCCTGCCACGGCAGCGGTAAACTCATCCACTGTCTTGACAAAGTTGTGCTCAGCCCCCCAGCCGCCAATAGTTCTGTTCATGTGCCATTCTTGTCAGACTCGTCTTCGGCCGTGGGTAGGTCCAGATGATGATGATGATGGCGGGGGTTAATACTCACGCTCCGAACACAGAACAATAACCAATATTGCAGGCATCGTCGTATGTTGCCTCTTCCTGATCTTCCCAGTTCATCTGTCTTTTCGACAGAAGACGGGGCTTGTTGATCCTGACGGCGGTGGCAACCGTGGCAGCTGTGGCCAACCAAACAAGGGAGTGTGCAGCACGCATCTCTGTTTGACGCTTTCTTATGACTTCAGGCGTCACGGATCCTTGTAATCTTGTTTGATCAATGTGGGAAAAGTCACCCCTTCTTAAAGGGAGTTGCTGGGTGCGGGGGCAAGCGCTCAAAGTTCATGGGGTACCTGCATCTCATCAACACGTCTGATAGTCTGTTTCCCCGCTTCATTTACCATGTTTGACGTTTGTCTTGGAGAATGGTGCTTTCAGTGGAATATATTAACGACTGGAACATTCTTCGAGGCTTAAACGGGTAATTTGACTTCATGCGACACCAAGCCCGGTAAATGGTCCGGCTTGAAGGGCTGCGCCAAGAGATCTACATTTTGATTTTGACGTTCCGCAGCGGTGTTTCTTTAAAGCCCGTTTCCAAGTGAAAGTAAGCCAGGAGTTTGGGTACCTATCTAGGTGTTGGAGTTGAAATCAGGCCTATATCCGGGGAGGCCCGACGGAAGGGCTGAGAGTGGACAAACTACCCCCAAACATCGTCTCCCGTTGTTGCAGCCCAGCATGTGCCTTCCACGTGGTCTGATATTATAGTATATTTCAAAGATTATTTGCTATGTTCTAAACAAAGCACTAGGTAGCAACAAGACCATATCAATCCAGCAATTTCTATCCTTCTTGCCATGTTCGTCATAGCCAGTACTTCACATAGTAAGGTGCCTTTATAGATAGACGCTCGCATCAACACCAACCCCGCCATGTTCCCGAACCTGTTCACCTACACGGGAAGGACCCAGGCCAAGAATAAACAGGTATGCTTTCAGATCCTCAATCTTTCTTTTCAGCCAATCTAGGCTATTCTCAATATCGCCGTCCTGGTAGGCGAGGGGAAATCCAGCCTCAACAATCACAACCTTTCTCTCCTGCTCTCCTTCCTCTTTTTCCTCGAGGAGGGGCTCCATCTCCATGGTCTTATCTTTGATTTGGTACTCAATTTCCTTCCTATCCTCGGCGAGCTGAGCCAAGGTGAGCTTCATAGGTCCCACTACCTGAGCGGCCAGGGCGGGGTGGTTTTCCTGCCAGACCTTGAACTCGGCAGCTTCCAGGCCTGCCTGCGTCATTTGCCTCTTTGATTCAATGTTGACCAACATCTCGCGGCGCTCGGCAAGGAACTTGGTGGCATCTTCGAGCTGACTTGTAACTTTCCCCAGAGCCTGATCAATCTTGGCAAGGCGCTGCTGGTGACCAGCCATTGCAACCATCAGATCCTGGTACTGATGGAGCTTCTGCACAAAGCTAGATTTGGTGGCATCAACAAGGAACGAGATGGCTTCGTCTTCTTTGTAGGCAACGGGAGCGGCAGTGTTGACGGGCTGGTAAGCGTCACTGCTGGCGTTGGGTGTTTCCTGATCAGTACAGCGGCGCTTTCGACTGGCTGCTTGGTCGCTATCAGTCTCGGCAGCAAGGTCTGAGTCTTCGGCCCCGTTCTGGAATGCCAACAGCTGTTGGGCAGCGGACATGTCGGTGAAGACAGCAGGCTTTTGGCCATTGGTATGTCCGGTAGTTTGACCATCGACTGTTGCCGCCGGGGTGGCCGGTGTATCATCATTGACTGGAGAAATCTCGTCATTGGCTGCTGGCACATTGCTGGGGGCCGAGGGTGGGGGTGAATCATGATGGCGCCTTTTCCTGACAGAGGTGCGGGTTGAGCGACGACTCGGCATCATGGGCACGCCGTCATCAGTCTCAGGCGTTAGCTGAAAGGTTGAAGTGACGTGCTGCAAGCCGGGGTCAATGTCCAGGTTGGGCGGTTGCGGGACGGCAGCGGCAATGATGGTATCGCCCTGATCTTGCTGTTGGTCGGGATGCTGCCCCTGCCACGGGTCTTCTTCCTGTTGGATGTTTTGAAACTTCTGGAGCTGCCGATGCTCTTGGGCGCTCTCTTGGACTTGAGCGGGTCCAGGCCCAGGAATGACGGGACTTGTGCTAGGGCTCTTGCGGCGGTTGCGCGCGCTTCGAACTCGGCCCAAACCAGGAAGTAAGCGTGGCCTGATCCCTTCAGGTATTCATCTATTAGAAACTGCGTCGATTCAAAAGCGATTCAGAAGGAAAAAAACAAAAAAACAAAACGCCAAGGGGTCGTCTTACCTTCTCGGCTGAAGACCTCTCGGCAGTAAATCTCATCAGCCTCCTCAATGTCGGTGGGGATCCAGCGGTTTGGGTCGGAAGGAACACGAGGCAGGCCACGCGAAGGGTTCTGGGCGTGGCCGAGATAGAGAAGTCGCTTAGCTTCATCATAATCCAGAATCTGGCGTTCCCGGGACCAATAGTTGATTTGTCCCCAAACGGCCTGCGACGACGTGTTGTTGAAGTCGGCGAGAAGCGCGGCGCGCGAGAGCCTGTAGCGTTGGCACAGAGTCTCCAGTGCCTGAATGGCCCTAGGGTTCATGGCCTCCTCGCCGCCCTGGGGTGCCATGACTAACAATGCTGCTGTACAGTGGCAGAATCGGCGTCACGCTTGGAGTCACGATGAAATGATGAACAATTACGAGGCAAGTTGAGTTTGCTACTATGCGTCTGCAGCGTTTCCCGCTGTTTTCCCGACACGCTAAGTTACTCGGTGCACCGTGCACGGCCCTGCCACACCAATCTTGGCAGCCCAGCTCTGTCCGGCCGTCGAAAACCTATCCATTGCCAATCTTGGCAGACTCGGCTGCTTGCCAGAAGTGTCTCGCACTGGCAAACGCCAAGCCCCAGGTGGCTTTTGTTTGGCGACCGTTTGGAACAAACAAGACATCAGGTAGATAGGTAGGCAAGGCCCAGAGGTCATAATTAATAAGAGAAGTAAGGCTTTTTTATCTAGTCATGATCATCGCCCGGACCCTGCCGCCATAACAGCCACTGTTCGGGTGTTTACGGCAGACCTTCCTTCTTCCATTCTTGAGGCCTTCAGCTGGATTCCTCCCATGGGCAACAAAAAGTGGGTCGTCGCACCACCATCGTGCCATCTGGTCTTGTGCCACACCACGCAGGCTGGAATCATCAGCACACTTTGGACTTGTCTGGTGCCAACATGGACTTATGCCTGGAACGAGTTGCTGTTCTCAGTCCATCTTGGCGATGTAGCTGACAATATTTCGTGGGAGTGGGAGCCAAACAGAAAATAGATTAAGAGCCTCTGTCTCCCGCTCTCAATTCAGTATTTGGGTCTCACAGCATCACAGCATCACAGCATCACAGCATCACCAAAGCTCAAAGACAATCAGAGACAAGTTACCTACATCAAGCAACTAAAACATGCCCGCCTTTCGTCCAACTCCCCGCCTGTCGGCCGCTGCCCTTCCCAATCCTTCTTCCCTCCCCAGAGCAGTTCCCAAGGGAGTAGCAGCCAATGTTGTTGTTCCAGGCATCGTGGTGGCGGCATCAGGTAGCTCCCATCTCGCATCATTTCCCTTCCGAACGCTCGCTGACCCGGTTGGTTTTATAGTATACGGCGTAATCAGCTACATCAAAAACCAACTGCAACATGAGTCATCCACCATCGACAAGATGTTTGCCCAAAAGAACACCCCCGCTGTGGAAGAATCGAGACGGAGAAGTCTCTTGGTGGATACGGAAGGCGACCCGAGGAGAACGCCCTACAACATTCTGAACTGGAAATAGAGGATGCGAGATTGTTTTGCTTTTAGTGACTGGAAGTGGCGCTGGTTGAATTTAGTCGGCATAGGTAGCCTGTGGCATTTTGGGTTTTGTGCAAAGGGAAGGTGGCTCAAATAATATGAAGTTTCTACCTATGACTAGGTACTGTACAACACCAACACATGCATATCCGTACACTCCCTTTCAGTGACTCTAATCTCTGCCGCACCAGGCCCAGCCAAGATACCTCGCCCCGTCTCTCCAGATTCCTGCCAATCTCACCAAACCTCAATGCCACCCAGATCGCCCAGATTTCTGGTTCTCGGCCGATACTCCAAGCGCAGGCTCGGATCAACCCCAAGACCAAAGCCCAGTGTTCTTGGCTTTGGGGCTGCAGCTCCCTCGGGTAGTCGCCAGTCATATCTCAGCAACAAGTGAACAAGCGCAATCTTGACTTCATTCCCCGCGAAAAAGCGCCCAGGACAGGCATGCTGCCCGTGTCCAAAGCCCATGTGCTCAGGGCTGGTGCTAACCAACTGCGCAACATGCTCGCTGCCTGGAACAGATCGCATCTTCAGAAACCGGTTGCCATCCCACGAGTCAGCTCCAGGATAAGCAGCTGGATCCCACATGCGCTCTGCTGACACGGCAATCGTGGCACCCTTGGGAATGTAGGTGCTGTCTGACAAGGTGAGGGGCGCTGTAGCCACACGACGCATCGAGACAAGGCCGATTGGCTTGATCCGCTGGCTCTCTTTGATCACGCTGTCCAAAAGCTTCATGTTGTAAAGCGAGTTCTTGTTCCAGCCACCCTCCCGAAGAGCCGACTCGATCTCTTCGCGCAGAGGGTCAATCATGTCAGGATGCTGGACCAAATCGGCCAAAACCTGCACTGTCAGATCGGTCAAAAAAGATTAGTAAAAAGACAATGAATAGTAAAAGATTTCAAGTAAATAGTTATTTTATTATCAAGGCTGCGCTATCCTTTGGATAGTGAAACAGCTAAAGCTCTTTATTATACTTTATTTTTATATTAAATTATAGTTCCATGAGTAATAATCTTTTTGTAATCTTTATAGAAAAAAAAAGATTAAAGTGGTATATCCCGACAGGGATATAGAATAGTCTTTATGATTATTTGGCAATGTTAGTGAAAACGATCAAAGAAGTTTAAACTTCAAGATCGTCGGTTATATAAATGATCGCGTGGTATGGATGGCTGCCATGCTCATAACAAGCTGCGCAATGACAGGATCATACGGTTTGCCTTGTGCCTCGCGCTCGAACCTATTGTTGTACACACCAGTTAGCTCTAATAAGCAAAAGATTTCTCACAGAGCAAAGACAATCGCAGAACGTACCATTCAATAGCATCGTCGTCAAAATTGCCGTTGCCGGCCATTTTTTGTACTCTTCTCTTTTCCAGAACAGGCCCAATGATCCGTCTTGCCTCCTGGACATGCACTCTTGCTTTTTGGCAAGACGGCATAAACCAGTGCGCCAGAAACCGCACAGGCTTGGGGACGAAACGTAACTCAATAGCCGCGCGCATAGCATCAGCTGTGTAGTCGCGTGTGACCTTGAGCCAGTCTTCATTTCGGCAGAGCTCGCTGCCTAGAAACACGCGAGAGGAGATGCGTGCAATGAGGTGTAGGATTGTATCGCGAATCTCGACGGGCTGCCATGTTGCACTCGCCATCGTATGTGTCACACGGCAAATGCCAACCACCAACCACCAACAACCATGAACAACAACAGCGCCCAATATCACCTCAAGGAGGGGTAACTGCAAGTTGTGAGCCTCTCGTTCAAAGTGAGGCAGACAATCAGAGGCATGGCGGTTATCAAAGGAAGTTCAATGGCCCAGTAGGATATTGGAGGACTTGGCGGAGGCCTGAGGCCAACAAAGGCACGGGCCACGCGAGGGAGGATAAGATACGCGTTCAGGATCACCAAGACTGTATTTCTTCTTCTTTTCAGTATCACAGACTTCGAGGCCATTGAAGATTATTAGCCTGAATTGAACCATGAGTTCCAAGCCCTGATACCACAGCCCTTGTCACAGTATGGGGTAGTAGCTCATCAAGCGTGAGTCTCGTTTCTTCTGCCAGAGGCTCGGTCACCTTGTCTGAAGGTAACCACAAGTCAGTCCTTGCCACCCCAATACCAAACAAAAAATCCGATACACTTACTCAGGTGCTTTGTCAGATCGCGCACTATGACTGCCTGCACAATCCTCGAATCCCTGGCACCCTCTCTGAAGCCTTCAAACCCCGGAAGGCTCGCGTGGAACGAGTTGTAAATAAACTCTCCAAAGCTCAGCCGGGGGTCGTTTTTGATTTCATTGGCCAGTCGGGCGGGCAAGATGATGACATCGCCCACATCTGCCGTGACCCGGACTGCCTTGTCGGGGTTGGTGTGGAACCACTGACGAATGATGGTGTAGGATGTGGTGAAGAACTCCTTGCGGATGCGAGTTTTGGTCAGCTCCGTCACAGGCTTGGGGTTGAGGTGAGGAAATCGGGATAGATGGCGATTTCGAAGTGTGTCTCGAAGGAGGAAAGCACCAGTGAAGAGGACAAACAAGTAAAGGTAGTAATGAGCGTCGAGAAAGTCAGTTGGTGAAACCATCATGGCCATAATTCAAGCTGCCAGAACAGCAGCCGATGGTGTTTTGGCAGATGGAAAGGATAAAGACCTAGAACTCGGGAAAAAGCAGTCGAGCTCTGTATGAAATATATATAGTCCTGTTGAGAAAAAGCACAAACACTTATGGTTCTGGTGGAGACATGCCAAGTCTTTGCACAACTCACATCGTGATCCGGGCACCCGAATGGAACAAGGCAGCCTCCTATTGCATGCGAACAATCATTGCTACATTGATCTGTTCGCCTGCATCCCTTCCTCGACAAATCTCAACGTCCACGTTTCCTTGATCCTGGTATCGTCGTAATCTGTGGGTTACTCCGGGATTACCCGTCCAAAAGAACGGCAATCATTGGCCTAAGAGGGTTACTGGATCGCCAAAGTCGCATCTGCCGCACAAGCCAGGATTCTACCTCCACCACGGGATGAACATCTGCCGTAAACAGCGGGAGCTTGGATAACCCGTGCACAACTTGCACAACTTGCTCTGCATAAATCGAGGTGGCGACATGCTAAAAGCATGGAGTTCTCTCGGCTACGGATTTTTTTCAGAATCTAGATTCGTAATGAAGCCACAAAATGACCGTAAAGTGCACTTCATGGTCATTGAATCTCTTTCTGAGAACATTGCATGCCAGCATCACTGTCACGGTTGAAGCAATGATGAGTGTCCTTAGTACCGTGGTATAGGTGATGAATCACAAAGTACCTAGATAAATACATATGGAACAAGTACACGCGTCAACTGTGTAAATAGGCAGTTCCTCTTCATTGTAGGGTATTGGTATAGAGACTAGATAGACAGGTAGATAGGCAGGTAGGTAGGTATTCCCAAGAGCAGCAATGCAATAGTAAAGTGTATATGCCCAGTCCTGTATCCTGCTCTGCCCAGTGAGCCCGTCGCCGGGCAAAGAAAGTCATGAGAGAGAATCTAACAAAAAGGATGTATAAAAAACTAAACAGAAAAAAATAAAGACGCTTCATGTCACTATTGCTTGGTCTTTGAGAGCTATCAAGGACATTTGCAGGGAAACAAGAAAACGCCAAAGAAGAAAAGTCAATTTTGTTTCGCCAGATGCCCTCGTCCATCCTCAATATTGCCCCGGCCGCTAACAATTCTTTGCAGCGAAACTCCACCACGGTATTGCCATCCGTCGCCCAACCGCTACTCTTGCTGACGAATTACATTGCTCTCCTGAATCTCATCGCCTTTCTCTGTGGTCTTGTGTACACCGTGGGCGTGGTGTGTGCTGGCTCATGCTCCATGACTGGGGTCATGGTGTGTGCCGGTGCCGCTGCCGAGGTAGCTGCTGGTGGCGGGTGGACAACAACAGGTGGGTGCACCACCGGGATCGGTGAGTGCACCGGAGGCATGATGACCACGGGGATTACACCGGGGTGCGCGGGTCCCGGTGCTGGCATGGGATGAGCCTCCTGGGCCGGAGGAGGGTGAGGAGCCGGTGAGGCGATGGGCGCCACGGTTTCCTGACCTGCGCACTCCGAAGGCGTCACTGTCACGTGGACGGTCTGGGTGGTGGTGACTGGATGAGCCGCCACGGGTTGGTTCACCGTGACATGAACCGTCCTGGTGGTGGTGACGGGATGAGCCGCCACAGGTTGAACGACGGTGACATGCTGAACTTGAGTACTGGTGACGGTGTGCATGACGGTCTGGTGGTGGACAGACGTCTGAGTAACCACTCTATCCCTGACTTCTGTTCTGACTTGGGTCTCGACCCGGGTGACAGGGACCGTGACATGAACTGGCACAGTCTGGGTGACATGAACCGGAACGGTCTGGGTGACATGAACTGGGACAGTCTGGGTGACAACATGGCTCTGGACAGCGGTGCTGGTCACGACTCTCTCGCTGACCTGCACTGAAGTGACCAGTCTCTCGCTGACCTGGGTGACAGGCACGCTGACAACCTTCTCCTTGACCTCTGTCCGGGTTACCAGCTGGGTGACAGGCACACTGACGGTGTGGGTGGCCACCTGGGTGACAACAGATGTGACCAGCCTCTGGCTCACCTGCACTGTCGTCACCAGCCTCTCGCTGACCTTGGTGTGCGTAACTGGCACGCTAACAACCTGGGTAACGGCCCGAGTCTCGGTCCTTGTTACCGGAATAGTCACGCTCACTGTGTGGGTGCTTGTCACCGCTCTCGTCTCGGTTCTGGTGACCGGCACACTGACAACATGGGTGACGGGAACGCTGACAAGCTTCTCCTTGGTGACAGGAACACTGACAACCGAGGTATGGGTGACCAGCCTCTCGCTGATATGAACGCTGGTGACGGTAACAAGCCTCTCGCTGACCGCCGTCTTGGTAACCAACCTCTCGCTGACCTCGGTGCGTGTGACCGGAACCGTGACTGGCCTATCCTGCGTCGCTGTGACAAGCTTCTCCTTCGTTTCGGTGCGGGTGTGAACCAGAGTGCTCGTGGCGGTGTGGGTGACGGCAACTGTCTGGGTGACATGGACGGGGACGGTCTGAGTTACGTGGACTGGAACCGACTGGGTGACATGAACGGTCGAGGTCTCTCTTATGGTGGTGGGAACAGTGACGTGCGATACGAGTGTCGAGGTGTAAGTCGTCGTGTGGGTGACGGGTACCGTGACGTGAACTGTTGTCGGGACTGTGACATGTACTGGCACCGATACATGTACTGTCGTCGGGACGGTGACGTGGGTTACAGAGACGACGGTGCTTGTGTGAACGACTGGTACCGTGACATGAACAGTCTCTTTTACTGTTTGTGTGTGAACGACGGTCTCGGTGACCACTTCGGGGACTGCTGCGGGAGCCCCGGCGGCAGCGAGGGAGACCAGAAGGGCCAGAGCCACTGGCAGAGGGTTGAAGAAGCCCATCTTTGTCCTCCTTCCAATATCTGATGTCAAAAAAAACTTAAAAATATACACAAATGGTTGGTGTTATGCTCCCGATGATCCGGATCGTGATGATGCGATGAAAATGATGACGGTCGTTAGAAATAAAGTGAACGGCTTGCGCTCCGACAAAATGAAGCAGTTGAGTCTGTAAAAGAATATCAAGTAATAGTAAAATGGTCGATGAGTATCCTGCTCCGTTGGTGAATCGAAAAATAGTAAAAAGAATGACAACAACACCGCTTCACCACATGCAACAACGCTTGCACTGTGGATGAGGGGGACGGGCTTGGCGATGGTTGAAGAGGAAAGGAATAAAGAGAGGGAAAGGTCGAGGTCAAGGAGAGGAGGGTGGGAAGAGGGAAGAGGAGGGTGGGAAGAGGGAAGAGGACGGACGGGAAGGAAAGGAAACACCTGGTCGATCCGTGCAGCAGTGAGCCAGGAAATCCAAGTAGTTTTAATCCGGTGTGGTGATGTTTCCTCGCCCCGACTTGGCATCAGACCCCCGGTGCCCGGGGGCTTGGGAGGCAGCGATGCCACGACCAAGCCAGGAAGAAGCCAGGAGGTGTCTGCAAGGGGGTGTGAAGCACCCAGCATCGAGATATGACCCCTGAGGCTTCTCAGAGATCCATGCCAAGATGTTGTAGTTTGTACACTAAGGTAGACTAGTCCAAGACAAACTTTTGCTTTTGTAGTCCAGAGTCAGCTGTTGATAACTGCTGGCTTGTGTTTACAATGAAAAGGAAGGGGGCTGCTTCTTGAGTCCTGATGGCGACGGGAGACCAGCATTGATCATGATATTGGGGATCGAGAGATGTAAAACTCGAACCATAGTTTGCCGGAGCGACATCATCGAGGCCTCTGTGTCGGGCCCATGCTTGCATTCCCGTCTTTGGTGGGTGCGGGACATGCCGTGATGTCAACGGTTGTCAAGAATTCGGATTTTTTAGAGGGAGGTTCAAAGAAGAGCGGCCGCGGTCCCTCGCTTGGCCAAGCGGGGGGGGGCTGTTGACTCCCCCGCACTAAACCCCTTTTTGCCTTGTCTGTGCCCACAAGAGGTCTGACGTCGCAGCGGACGCAGGGGACGCGACATTGGAGGAGCCTGGAACCTCGACACTCCGGCTTCTTGTTTCAAGAATTTGTTTCCTTCTCTTTTACGACTCCGCTGCCCATTGCAGCCAAGTACTCGCTTTGCGCAATTTTGTTGCAAAAAAGGCTTGGACGGCTTGGGACGACAAGACGGACCTGGAACTGGGAGAGCAGCTTCTTTTCTCTTCCGGGCTCAGCCCTCACTGTCCCCGGTGTTGTTGTGGTGATCACGCACCCGTGGGGATCTTTCTGCGATCCTCAGATCATGAACAGACCTTGATAAGATGACGGTGGTAGTATTCGTTTATGTGCATCTTGCTTTTTGGCCTGTCAGCTAGGTACGCACCACTTGCAAAATATCTATGAGGTACCCTTCCCAAAGTTCCGCTCTCTCCAGTCCGCTCCATGTCCTGTCTCCAAATGAGAGGTCACAAACCCCTGGGACGAAGCACGCATTCATACACAAACCCGATCGATGAGGTAATCTGTCATCCCAAAGTCCTATCGTGTACACAGATGCGATGAGAGTCTTTTTGAGGTCAGTGTGTAAGAGCCGGGGTTGACTGTTCTGATGGAGCTGTTTGAGACTCGGAGCTGTTGTGAACCGGGAGGCTGACCCCACCTTGAACCTCAACTTGCGTGCCGGACCCGAAGCGAACTCAACTCGACTAGCTAAGTACCAAGCTTGTTAGGTACCTACCTACGAATACACATCTTAACAGAGTGAAGTTATGTGATACTATTCCGTGCAAGTACCTACCTAGGTGCCTTTGATGCTTAGGTCGACGAACTCACTGTGAGCTCCAGCATGTGAATATTCAACACAACACCGTGGCTTCGTATCTTCAGAAAGCCAAGTCGAAGACACCCTGTTGGGGAGGCTCGCATGAACAGGGGTGCCAGTCTTGGCAGGAGTGGGACGCTGCATGCCGAGTCCTTCCAGAGCCCCTGAGAATCCAGCGTCAGTGCGAGTTTGGTTGTCTCAGCTCCCTGTCCCCCAAGAGCAAGCATAAAACACCCATGACTTAGCATGAAACAGTCGTCTGTTTTTCTGGGCAGGTGCAAGGCAGGGCAACGTTCAGCTTTAAACGTACTTATGCAGCTGCACGCTCCTACCATCTTCACGGTTTCTTGCTTCGTCATCTGTACTTCAGATGGTTGTCACGTACATACTATCCGTTCCAATTACATCAGTCCGTGGCTGCTTTAATGGGGACTTCCTGGCACAATCTCAAAGTGCCACCAGGTTATCCTCAAGAATCGAAGGTCTCTGGCTAGGCATCTTAGGCGCAATCATCATTACAGGAATCAGATTGGCCTCTGGTGTATATGCATGTCCAAGTCTCTTTTAAAGTTCATGTAGAGTTGGCATCAAAGAGCAATCAACGTAACAAACATTGAGAAAAGTCTATTTCTCTAATGGCCAAATACAGATTCAGTAGTTCCTCCAAGCCTCTTAACCCAGCATATCTGTCCTCAGATCGTAACTGCACTCCATTGTATCCTGATGGCACTCTCAGAGTTGATATCCACCCTTCTCACTTTCTTCAACTTCACGGCCACCTCCAGCCCGCCAAAGCCAACCTTCTTGACCACCCTATCTTTGGGCCGCCTGCTGCTCAGGTTGAGATGATCGTCCTCCAGCCCTTGCCCATTGGCACCGGTGGCATGGTTAGAGTGCGGAATGGCTGTTGCACTGGCACCTTGCCCGGGATGATGGCAAGCCCCGCAAGCAAACTGTATGTATCTGAGGGCATTAACCTCGTTCCACTTCCCATTTCTGACCAGAACACCCCACTTTGCCTGAAATTCCACATCATTCAGTGAAATCACATCGCACCAGCCGTTGCCTATCACGATGCCAAAGGCGTTGCCGCTCTGATCTGACGTTTGGGAGGCGGGTAGCTCAAAAGCAAACAACCTGACGCTGTAGGGAGGGAGCTCAAAGGGTTGAAACAGGCTGGCAGAAGTAAATTTGCGGGGGACTTCGTAGTGTCCATGACCAGGGCCAGACCCGACGGCGTGGGAGTGACAAGATGTGATCTTCCAGGTTGCTTTCGTGCTGTCACCAGGTCGCAAGGCAGGTGGCTTGTCCAATATATACAGATTCTTGGACAAGGAGGAAATGCGGTGGTTGAGGTTGCCGAGGGCGTCGTCCAGAGAAGCGGTAGAAAGATAGATGGTTTGTCGGGAAAACTGCGCCAGATCGGCCGGATTGTCCAAGAGAACAAAAGCGCTGTCTGGGTCATCGGAGCCTGTGTAGACGTTGGAGGAAGAGGAGCAGGAGTGCTTGAGCTCTGGGCGGATCACGAGACAAACAGGAAGCAAAGGGTCGTTGATACTGGAGGTGCGTGAGGTTTTGCAGTTGATGTAAGCGTGGTACTCGCCAGCGTTGGCGGGTGTGGTGCTATTGCGACCGCCCTGAGGCTGGTGAGAGGCTTTTCTTGCAGGTCGAAGGAGAAGTGTGACACGAAGGCCACGACTCGTAATCAGCGGCGGGGTGTCGTCCATCAAGGCAGCCGAGCTTGGGTTTGACGTTCCGTAGTTGACATTACTGTCAGGAATCAACCGGACATAGGTCCACAAGTTCCGATTGTGTTCCTCGAAATCAATCGGCCCATCGGCGAGGGGACGACGGGGATCCCCTTTGACCCCCTTCCAGTGGTGTTTGTTGCTCAGATACTTGGACAGCCCCCAGGCAAGCATCGTATAGTCTTCGGTCGTCTTCATGATTTCTTTTTGGAGCCGATAGAAGGCACGGTGGCCCTCTCCGTAGATCAGCGGCATATGAACCTTGAAGATACCGAGCAAGCAATATGCTGCATCTTCAATCCGCGTAGTCTGTCTGTTGGCAGCCCACGACATGCGCTCTGCAACGTGACACGTTGAGGGATCAGCACCCTCGAGGACCAAGATGGGAATGCCCGTGACTTTGGCGATAATGTTACGCAACGAGAATTTTGTGCCAATCTCGTGCCAATCATGATCGTAGAATTCGACCAATGGCGGAGCGATGAGTTCTTGAAGCGTCCAACCCCGGGTGAACCATCTCGAGTGCTCAAAGGTCCTAGGCAGCTTGTCGTACTCTCTCAGAATGGATGGTATGGTGCGGAAGGCGGCTTTGGGCGGCGGAGACCCAACATCCCGCCTCAAGCTCGACACTGACGATGTGTCTGAGAAGAGCTGGTGGGAGGTCTCATCGGCCGCAACGTCAGCCATGTAGGCGTAACAGATGTCGCTCTCTGCATACCACCTGTACATGGAGTTGATGGCTTCAGACAGCTCGGCACTGCTCGTCTTGTCGATGCTGGCTGGATATCAGACAGTGGGTTTGAGGCATGAATGGAGAGTGACATACCAGCAGGTGTCTACCCATACATATTCATACTGGTCCTGAATGGCGCGGGCACAGCATCCTGCAATCTTGGCATATCCGGCCTTCTTGCGGAGTGCTGTCTTGGACAGCTGTGAGAGGTCTTGGAAAGTCACCTCATCCGGACCCCAGCTAAGACAGTTGAGTTGTATCAGCTCACGGCCATCTCATGACGGTATTAAAGAAAAAAGGCTCATTCCTACGTGTGCGACAAGATAACATAAGGCGGGACGCGGCCCACAAACTCGACAAGCTCCAAGGTATCTGTCCTCAGAAGCCTCATTGTTCATCCAGACGATGAAAACCGCCGTGGCGGGACCGGTGGAGCTATCGGGCAACGGAGTCGGGCGGGATGAACGAACAAACGGTGGGGGGAAGTGAAGGCAAGGTACAGGTAAGCACTGCACCCACTTCTGTTCACCGCCGACTCACATGGTTGGAAACCGCCGAGGGCCGATTGGTTGCATGGTCTAGTTCATGCTGATAATGTTACTTACCTACACAGCTAGGCAGCATATTGAACACCTGGTCTACTGTCCAAAGAATAGCTTGGTTGCTTGGTTGCTTGGTTGTTTGGTTGAAGCATTTTGCTAACAGCAGCTGCGAAAAGCTGTGGCAAGAGGTGGGCTGAAAGAAAAAAAAAAGCAAAGTTGATTGCATCAGCCGTGAATCGAACACGGGGCCCATCGATGGCAACGATGGATTTTACCACTAAACCACTGATGCTCTTACGTAAGATGCTCTAGGTTTCAAAAATTTAACTCTTATTCTACTATTATCCCACCGTCATGAATGTGGATTTCGTGTCCGGTTCCTCTGTACGTGCTTGTTGCTCATCCATCCTCTACAAAGAGGGTTTCCACTCTTTGTTTAGGTATAACCGAGTACCGATAGATTGGGCATCACTATTTACCTATGTACCACTGCCTTACCGAGCACGGCCCGGATCGGCACGAAACATGGCTTTCAGGGCACACGTCGACTTGTGACGTCATGGTCAAACATGCCAGCCCTGAGCCGCCCATGGGTTTCCATGTTTTTGTCCCTTCCAAAATGGGACGAACTGGAACTGCAGGACATATGAGGGTGACACCGACAGGATTCAGGAACATGCAACTCTAATAATAAACAACACCATCTCTACCCTCCCCCAAGGTAGGATTGCTTTCGCCTTGCGAACCTCGAACGAACCCTCGAGATGCAACCTGACAGGCCCTCCCCCTCCACCACCAACGTCGCCCATGTCAACAGTTACTTCAACGGCGCCAGCCCGGCTCCAGAAGCCCAACAGTCGACACAGGACTCTGGTGCTACCCCTCTGACCCCAATTACAGAGCAACCCCCTCAACATGTCACCCCGGCCAGACCCCCATCGGCACCGGCACGAAGCGTTGCCTTCCGACCTCTTGACCGTCAGCAATCAGCCATCCAACTCCGTCGTCTGCGACCGTCCGCCCTGGGATCCAGACTTACACCGACCATGACCCACGAGCCCCATACGCAAGCACACGATTGGGAAGATGACCATGCAACGGATGTGGGCAGGAGTGGTGGTCGACGACTGTCAAGCTCCGAACCCCAGAGACCATCCATGCCGAGGGCCATCGAAACAGTTCCCCCGTTATCATCGGTACCCGAGAGCCCCTCCCAGAGCAATGCGCAGCAGGATGGGCTACCACATACAGGGCGGTTGCACCGGGCCCTCGGTAGACGAAGACAGACTGTGCTGAATCCGCACCAAGTATCTGGCGGCTCAGGCGACGATGTGTATGAGTCGAGGGTTGTCGACTTTCTCGATGTCATTGGTGAGCTTCTCCCCCTCTCTGGCTGACCTCTCTAAGAAACATAATCTGATAGTTCAAACACAAAGACCCCGAGGTGGCGACTCTATCATCCATAACCAACATTCAAAACTCGCTCTTCTTGCCTTCACTGGGAAAGTGGGTGAACCGACGGCCGACATATGACCTCCCCCAACTACCGCCAATGCCTGGTGCCTTCCCGCCTTCCAAGGAAAGTATAGCCTCTGCTGCTGCCGCTGTCCAGGGAGAACAACAAGGAGAACACGCAGGGCCTCGCTCACCAAGCCTCTCATCTGTCCTGACCTCGGAACCCCAATACGCAATTCTGCCCAACGATGCTTCGCTTCAGGGATGGAGGGAGGAGGACGTCAAGTTGCTGAACGACTATGTCAGGCACATGCTGCATTCTCGACGATCAAAGATCAAACAGAGGTTCAAGGCATTTGGAAAGTATGTTAGGCGGCCGTTGGGGTTCCTGATCACACTCTACGCCACTCTCATCACACTGTTTGGGCTTGCCTGGGTTCTCTTTTTGATCGGATGGGTGTACGTTGGGGACTCGGAAAAGCAGTTGTATGCGATTGATGTGAGTTGCGATGCCGCCTTGCACATCTGGCTGATTGGAGCGATTCTCTAACAGACACCTTAGATTATCGACTATGTCCTCGTGGCCCTTTTCGCAATCGTTGGAGATGGTATGGCACCCTTCCGAGCCAAGGACACGTATCACATGTTTTTCGTTGCCAGATATCACCGAAAAACATGGAGGCGCCGCGAAAGATTGGCGTTGCCCGAGCTCAAGGATCACAACGATTTGCCCATTGCGGAAGAACACCGCATTGCAGATGATGATCTCGAAGCACAACAAACGCAACAGCGATCAAGCTCGACAGAAAAAATTACAAGAAAAGACAAGGACGAGTTCGTCCCAGTCTTGTCAGAAAAGCAGCAAGCACGCCTGATTCATCACCAGTCAAAGCTCGCCAAGTCACACACGTTTTTCAAACCTCACGAGACAGAAACCCACCACGCATTTCCTTTGCGACTGCTTATTGCCATCGTTCTGTTGCTGGATTTGCATTCTTTGTTACAGATTTCTCTAGGCGCCGTAACCTTTGGCATTCCTTCCCACCGGAGACCTGTGGCGGCCACGACGACCATTCTATGCTGTTCCATCGTCACAAATATCACGGCCGGGCTCTTGATTACCATTGGTGACCGCAGGACGAGGAAGAAGGATGTCTTGGAGAGGTTAATGAGGCAGGAGATGACGGGCGAGGTGATCAAGAAGATCGAGAAGAAGAAGGAAAAGGAGAGAAAACAGGAAGAGGAGCTGAAGCATGAACAAGAAACAGGAGAAAAACCCAGGAAAAGTCTGAGTTTAGCGTTGCCATGGAAAGACACTTCCGGGGACGAGGGAACGCAGACGGGCCACGAGAAAGAAAAACGAGCTAGGTCTCTGTCGGTTCCTCGAACCAAGAGGAAGAAAGAAAAAGAAGAAGTGGGGAGATTTAGCTCCGAAGTCGAAAGCACCCAGGGTGGAGGGAGCAAAGGCGCACAGGATACTGAAAGACTCAAAATGCCAGGGGCATTTGAAGAAGACTAAAGTCGGCTATCTTGGTTTCTCATCGGGGGGCGTTGGATAGTTACTTGGAACATGGCAAGGATGAGGTTGCACATGCAGAATTCGTACATGATACCCAGACAGGATAATGATAATGAGAGGTACAGCGTTCAATTTGAACTTTGGACCCCAGCGTGCCTAGGAGTGCATCATCTATCGGGGGAAGCTGCGTTGTCGCATTGCTAAATTTGGCATTTTTGATGTTGATCATGCCGAGAGACTGGCCTAACACCTTGGCATATTCTCTCCCCCGTCAACAAAGCTTCTCATTAGACTACAGTGCCACAAAGATAGGCACAGAACGGCATCCTTCCCAACGATAAGCAAGTGAGAAAAGGTGACGGCCTAGGGTCGCATCAGTATGCGGCTGTTGCAAAGCAGCCCTCCCACCAGACCTGGAATCTTTGCTCAGAATGGGGGCTGAGGCCAAGACGCCGATCGGACGGCCGTAAAAGACAGGCCGGGAAGGTGGCGATTATATCCTACCTACAAACGGCAGGACCAGATAGACGCGGGAGCATGGTCGGCTATTGCCCCGTCTTACTGGCCTTGAGGTGTGGACGGGTTACACGAGCAGGGCGATGATCAATCTCTAAATGACCTGCCTGTATTGTATCTAGGGTAGGCAGTTCAACGGCCGGAACCGCGGGGCCGCTGATTGTCGCCCCGATAGTAGGAGATAGATCGAAGACGATAAAAGGCAGCAGATATCCCATCATCGCTCAACTCAACTCTGCTGCTGGCACGCCGGCAGCACCCAGCACCGAGCACTTCCCGTCTTCCCTCTTCACCAAAGCAAAAACCTCGTTTTGGTTTCCAGCATCAACTCGTCGGGTCAAAATGAAAGGCTCAACCATCCCCTTGCTTTTTGCCGGAGTGACGTTGACAGCAGCGTATCCCATCACCGGCGACGTTGTCAACTGTCGTTCCGGGCCGGGCACCAGCTACTCGGTCGTGAAACAATACACGCAGGGCCAAGATGTCACGATTACCTGCCAGACCGAAGGTACCAACGTCAACGGCGTCACCATCTGGGACAAGACAGCAGATGGCAACTGCTATGTGTCAGATTACTATGTGCAAACGGGGGTCAATGGTTATGTAACAGAGAGATGCAGCGGGGCTTGCACAGCTCCAAAGTCCAACCAGGCAACGGTGGATCTCATTGCCGAATTTGAAGGCTTTGAGCCCAATGTTTGTATGTCTTCTTGGTTTGACTTGGCTGTTATCTTCAAGCATTCTGACATGAGAGGACAGACATCGATCCTACTGGAAATCCAACCGTCGGCTATGGCCACCTCTGTCAGCAAGCTGGCTGCGCTGAGGTGCCGTATCCAATCCCGCTCTCCCAGGCTGATGGCAAGAGGCTCTTGGCGAGCGACATGGCGGTATGTTTTTGTCCTTGATATCCCGGCCATCGCTTGTCACAGAGCCCCTAACTCAAACAATTGCAGCGTTTCGAGCAATGCATCACAGCCATGATTACAGGAGCCACACTCAACCTGAACCAGTACGGCGCCCTCATTAGCTGGTCCTTCAACATGGGCTGTGGCGCTGCCCAAACATCGACTCTGGTGGCAAGGCTCAACAAGGGCGAAAATGTCAACACTGTTCTGGCACAAGAGTTGCCAAGATGGGTGTATGGGGGCGGAGTGGTGCTTCCTGGGCTCGTGAGAAGGCGAAATGCAGAAGTCGCGCTTGCACAGACGGCAGGGAGTGGACCAGCGTTGCCAGTGCAGTGTTAGATATCTGTTTTGGGTACACGTAATGGGAAGAAATAAACGAACTGGTGGTAGATTTGTCAAGTGTCTATTTATCTACCCATGTACTACATTACAACAGCCATACATCTTAACCTTGACCATGGAAGCTGTCACAGACCCTCTTAAAAGTGAGGGGTATTCAAGAACAAGCCCATCAGGACACCACCGATAGTGCCGGCGATAGGAATTGTCGCAATCCAGGAGAGCATCAGCAAGCCGACCCGCTGAAAGTTCACGGCCTTGAGGGTACCATTGCAGAGCCCGACTCCGACGGTGGCACCAGTGATGCACATTGACGTTGATACAGGAAGCGAGTACTGGCTGAACACGAGTACTGTGATGGCGGCTCCCATCTCCATGGAGCAGCCCCTGCTTGGGGAGTGATATGTGATCTTGTTGCCCATGACTATGACAGCACATGTCAGCAACCAGAAACCTCACCCCTGACCGGGAGAAGAAGAAAAGAAAAAGACTGAGCACTTACCCTTCATGATATTGTAGCCATATGTCAACAAGCCCACAGAGATGGTTGCTGACAAGACAGCCAGCTGCCAAATTGGCACCTCGGCTTTGCTGGCAGCGGCACTCCCAGTCGACCAGGCAGAGTAGATAACAGCCCAGGGGCCAACCGAGTTTCCAATGTCGTTGGCGCCATGAGCAAATGAAGCCGTGCAAGCCGTCAGAATCTGGACAAAGCTATATGTGTGCTCAACCTCGTTCGGATACTTCTTGGCCTCGGCGTACACTCTGGCCATCCGTTCACCCTCGGGCGTGCCTGCGATGCCCGACTGAGCGGCGTGGATGTCGTAGTGAAGACCATACAATAGACCACAGACAACCATGGCCGGCAAGCGTTTCAGGAACATGCGGATGTTGTAAATCTCGTATATCCGGCCTGGTCCCATCGGGTTGTCGCGGAGGGTGCGCATGGCCCAGCCCATGGGACCCCTCTTCTTGAGCAACTTGGCGTGTAGCTTCCGCTCCCCTTGGGCTTGGATCTCTTTGTACGTCAACTGAACTGGGGCTTCCCCGAGCTCCGGGTCCTGATCCAGCTTCTTCTCCGGGTTGCTTCCGCTCTCCGTTGGGGTAGGTGAGGACTTGGAGGGAAGGGCCTGGGGCTGTTCCTCATCGCCCGAGTCCTCCTGGACAACGGCGTAATTTGGAACGTTGGCTCTGTCCATGACGGCAACTTCTGGTCTCTTGAACAGCAAAGGCCCGTAGATGAACATCCACCACTTGACTCCATGATCCTTCTTGATCACCTTGGCATCAACAAACGGCACAAAGAAAATGGCCGCCAGTATCCCAACGCCGGTACCTGTACCCATGGTAACGGCCGCGACGTACCAGCCGGGTTTCTTGTTCAAGCCCAGATTCGGGGATCCCTTGTAGACAATGGACAGCGTGCAAACGGTGCCGGCAATCAGGAAGAAAAAGGGAGACGAGTACACAGCCCATGGAACGGGGTTCTTTCTCAGGTGCACTACCAGCTTGATGAGCATGAAAATGGTGGCCCCAAAGGCGGCTGAGATGGCGGGTGCCATGACGAGCCCAGAGAAGATGGCACCCAGGCCCTTGCCGTCGTTCCAGCCCCATTGCACCTGTTTTGCGCCGACTGTCGCAACGCCCACACCTGTTGACAGGCCTGTTAGCATGACCGGTTCGTGCTCACTCTGTGGGAAAAGTCTGCAAACTAACCGGCAACCGCGGAGACCAAAGAGTATGTCGAGGAGACATGAGCCGAGTGTCGGGTGCACCACATGACCCAGGTCGACGCACCAGCCAGGGCGCAGGTAAAGGCGAGCATCTGCACGCCGGCATTGTCTTGGAAGGCAGCGTGGGGGATAATGCCGTTCTTGATGGTCTCGGCCGTGCGGGCGCCGACGGTGATGGCGCCCAACATCTCGAAAATGGTGCCAAAGATCATGGCCTGTCGATAGGAAATCGAACGGGAACTAACGGACGTGGCCCAGGCATTTGCCACGTCGTTGGCGCCGTTGTTGAAGGCATCCAACAGGGCAAAGAAGGTGCCAATGACAAAAACATAGGTAAACTGGTCGAGTGCCATGTTGGCTGTTGGTTGTTGAGAGTGCTTGAACTATCTGGCGAAGGTCTGTCGGAGTTCATGGTCGGCAACTCTGCCTTTTGCCTCTTCCATTTTAAGGTGATCAGTGTCCATTCGGCTGGCTTGTCCTCATCTGTTTACCGAAGCTGAACGCCATGAGGTGGTGACAGAACGAGGGCATTTTCAGTTCTGTCGTTCTTCTATGCATCTTGCTCGTCCAGTCAGCGTATTTCATATGCCCACGTGAAGACGGGAAATGCTAGGAGTGGCCCGCAAAATGCTGGCTAAACCCACTTCAGAGGTTGTGTTACACGCGAGGTAGCAGAAGAAAGATGCAGGGTCTCTGGTATGTGGCCAATGAAGCGGGGGGAGCCAGCTAGGGGCTGAAGATCGGCGCCGGTCTCCGATGGATGACCGGAAGAAACTGAGGGTTGAGGAAAGAAACAACGCAGGTCATGACGCTTCTCAAGAGGCGTGCCACTCGAATGGTGGTGGAAAAGGAAGACGCATGCCCAGCTGGAACCCTTCCATTCGCTCGGGACCTTGGCTAAGGCTTGTTTAGGTCAAGCATTCTTAGCGCCAAGGCAGGGCAGGGGCCGAGGGGCTAGACCACGTTCCATGCAAAATTCCTAAAGACTTCTACTCTGCCTCTGTCTCCTTGACTAAAATCCCAAACTGACTCGTGTTCGGGGGCTGGCTCGCACTTTTCGCACCTGCGCCGCTTTCACACCTGTGGTGCTGCACTCTTCCCGCCGTTGAACCGTTGTTGGTGATGCTGTCGGTCAGACTGAGTCATCGCCGAAGGACTTGTGCCTCTGGATCAATCTCGACAGCCTCTGCGGAAGTCTGTCTGTGTTTTGATAACATGGAATCAATGTCCAACCGCAAGTCCAAAGTCCCTGGCAATGAATGTTCTTAGTACCTAGGTGGTCTCAATTTCCGTCATTCACAATGAAGCTACGCCATCTCGGTCTTGTTTGCGCTTGCGTCCGCCTTATCTCTGGCCACCGCCTCGAGAAACCAGCACCTCTACCACTCGCCACGCGGATTGTTACCCAGTTTCCCAATCCGACATGGATAGAAAACATCGCTGTCCGGTCGAATGGTGACCTCCTCATTACCGAGCTCCTTCCGAAACCCATTCTCTACACCATCGTAAATCCTGCCAGCTCAGCTCCACAGGTCCGCCTACTCCGTGACTTTTCTGCCGAAGAACCCCCTGTAGAAGGCTTGACAGGCATCGCCGAAGTATCGCATGACGTGTTCGTCTTTGTCGGTGGCAACACGACAAATCTTTCATTCCATGCTTGGAGCGTCAACTTCACTTCCGCAGCCCACAATCCCTCAACAACTACCGGTCCTATTATCAAGAAGATTGCCGAGCTCAAAGATGTCAAGCTTCCTAACGGCGTTGCCACCCTTCCCGGCTCCCCGTCTTCCGTGTTGATTGCAGACTCTTTGGCCGGTCTGGCGTGGCGCCTGGACATTCTGACAGGAAAGTCCATCGTCGCTGCACAGATTCTCGAGATGGGGGCTCCCTCAAACGAGACGGACCCCAGCAAGAGAGTTGGCATCAACGGCATCAAAGTGCATGGTGGATTTCTGTACTTCAGCAACAGCAACTCAAGATCCATCTACAGGGTCAAGATCAGGAAAGACGGCACACGAGACCCCAGCGCCCATGCGCAGCTAGTTGGCCGCTTACCGGAGAACGTGTCGTTCCTGGATGATTTTGCAGTTACCAGTCATGGTGGAAAAGGGGCAACTGTATTTGGGACAACCTCTTCTGATAATCGGCTGTGGGCATTTGTGCAGGGGAAGAGTCCGGTGGTTGTTGCCGGTGAACTGGACAAGTTGACATTGGCGGGCTCGACAGCAGCCTCGTTCGGGAGAGGGAAACGTGATAGGGACATCCTGTATGTAGTCACATCGGGAGGGGTGGGGAAGCCATTGAATGGAAGTCTGACAGAAGGGGGAAAGGTCGCGGCGGTAGACTTGAGGACCTTTTGTCCATCCATTATGATCGGGTAGAGTAACCAGCAGCACCACTGCTCAGCGGCTTTGTGGGTTGATGCATCTGCCATTGTTGGAGACGTCAAAGAGGCCACTGCTTGAATAGGTAGACTGCCTACCAGCTTGCAAGAACTTATCACCAAGCATAAAATGAACCAGATTAGGACTCAACAGCAGTATGGCTGCTCTTCATTAGGTACTCCAGAACGCTAGGGGTATAAAATTTTAAAACTAATCACAATCAAAACCAGAAAACCCAAACCAGTCATTACTCAAACCCGTCTCTTCCGCCGGCTTCCCCCCTCATCATTGCGTTTTGTCTATGGGTCTCTTGACAAACACGCTGCGCTCCCACCCGTCGATTTCATCATACAGCGTCACTCTGTCGAGCTCATAGCCGCCAATTTTGGGCAAAATCTTGGCCCAGATGACCCAGTACACCCCACCAGCGAAAATGATGCCAAAACCGACAACACAGTGAAGCCAGTATGGCAACTCGTCGTAAATGTTCTGACCATCCTCGGGGGGTACAAATGGCGCAATGACAAGGTAAATGTTGCTGAGGAAAAAGAAGATGACAACGGGCAGGGTGGCCGAGATGGGAGGGTTCCAGTTCCACGCCTTCCGGTTGAGGTAGAGGTAGATCAGGCCAAGAGCGACAAAAGTGTTGATGATGGCCAAGGGGTACGAGATGAGGTTGAGAATGAAGTTGTAGGCATCGCCGGGAGGAGGGGCAAGCATGATGATGACCGAGACGGCCCAGTGCTCAAACAGACCCGCGGTGGGGGCGTTGAAAGGTCTGTTGCTGGCCCAGAAGCGGGAGTAGGGAAGGATACCCTCACGGCCGAGCTCCTGAACCAGACGCCCCTGAGAAAAGATGACAGACAGAACGTTGCCAAAGGCAGACAAGGCAACAAAGACGGAAAGGGCGCGCTCGGCAGTGCCACCAAAAACATTTCTGAAGAGCGAAGCAGCCACCAGGCGCTGGGCAGCGAGAATCTCGTCCTTGGGGACGGCGGCGAAGTAGGCAATGTTGACAAACATGTAGAGGACTGAGATGACGCCGATGGCCAGAGGAGCGGCGATCTTGAGGGTGCGGACTGGGTTCTTGGTCTCGGAGAGGGCGTAGTTGGCGTTGCTGTAGCCGATGTAACTCCAGATGACATTGTAGAGGGCCGTCACAACACCATAGGCAGATCCAGTGGTGCCCTCAAACGCATCCGTGAAGTTGTGAGGCTTCTCGTCTTCGGGAAGCTTGACATGGCCGGCGAGAGCGACCCAGCCTGCAACGACGATGATGAGGATGATGATGACCTTGATGGTGCCGAGGAGGTTTTGCAGGCGGATCCCCCACTTGACGCTGGTGGCGTGGATCAGGAAGGCGGTGGTGATGCAAGCCAACCCGATGCCGCGCTGATTCCACCGATCGACTTCGACGCCGGCAGCATGGAGAATGTATTCGCTGAGAAGGAGAAGATTAGTCAGTTTCAAGTGCTCACATCACATCTTGCCAGGCGGGAGAGGTGGACATACCCAAAGACGACCGAGTTACCGCTGGCCCAACCAAGGAGAACAACGTAGCCAGTGTAGAGGCCAGTGGTGAGGAACTTTGGCTTGCGGAAAACGTATTCGAGGTAGTTCTTCTCGCCTCCGTTCTTGGGGATGGCAGTGCCGAACTCGAGATAGACAGCTGTGCCGGCAAGGGCAATCAGCATGCCGGCAACCCAGATGAACAACGACAGACCGACACTGCCGGAAAGCTTCAAGATGGAGCCGGGCGTGGCAAAGATGCCAGTGCCGATAACCCGGTTGACGATCAGAAAGACTGCAGAGACGATGCCAATCTGGCGTTTGGCTTCGCTGGCGCGCTGCAGTTGACCTGGACCACATGTGTTTGTTAGCTGCGTCGAACAGGATCAAAGAGAAGAGACAAATATCATGTACATACCCACTTCGCTGCCCCCTTCGGAGTTGGCGAGAGTGCCCGGCTCCTTGAAGTCATGGCTATCACCCTCGGGGGCGGATCCCGTGAACTTGGACATGCTGCTGGCCCTGTGTGATTGGCGGGTGGGCTTGGAGGCTGGACGGAGCGGGTGGTTGTTCCAGAAAACAGCAGTTCGTCTGGTTGAAGCTATCGGTTTTATCTATTTTTGCTGGCCGTGTCCCAGAACTTCAGATGGCAGCGGCTGATCCGTGTCTCGGCAAGGCTTCACAGGGATGGACCTGTCGCCACCGATGCTGGGCCTCGCTCGTCACCACAGACCTAGAGCCAAAGAGGCAGGAGATCAAGTCAGTTCTGCATCCCACGTCGACGGATCCCTGACTATATGGAACGCACAGAGTGGGCACATTTTGCTGTGCAATGCCGCTCTCACTGGCTCCAACCCTGCTTGTACGTCATAGTATCCGCGGCGGCGATGTCGTGATTTGGCGTCATGGCACCAACCACGAAAATTTTTTATCCTCCTTCCCAACGGCCGCCCCCGGGACAAGCACGGTCAGCCCAAGAGCCCAAACCCATGTTTTCGATAGCCGGTTTCTGCAAGTCTGGCCGGGCCGAGGGTGCTACCGTGCCACCGGCCACGGGAAGTTTAATTTGTCTCTGCACCGTCTCTTTGGCCATGCCGCGCATCACGTCAATCCCAGCTCCACTTTGTGCCATCTGCTCGGTGAGGCTGTTTGTTGGACCATTGAACAATGGCGATGGCGACATTTTAGCCCCCCTCCAAACAGGCAGGTCGACAGCTTGCCCTCTGCTGACCATCACACGTCCTCGCTTTGCCGCGGCCCATCGTCCCTGCTCCTTGTCGTGCCATTAAGTCCTTCGATGTCGATAAATGTCAGATGCCACTCATGCAGGCCGTGGCCTGTCAGGTTCGCTGGTCTCGGTGGAGATAGTTCACACCTAGCATGAACACCTCCTCATCGACAAACATGAAACCTGACATCCCCAACCTCCAGTTAGGCGACGGCATCCTCTGCTGGTCTCCATCTCTAATCGCCGCCCACTCTGGGGAAGACCCTCCCCTCCGTATACGGCCCGGAGGCGTCGCCGTGGACAACTCCAGACTCGGCTGACAAGGGAGTACCCTGATCAATCCCCATTGTTGTTTTGTCCCCGATCTCGGATACCAGTGCCACGCTTCAGACTCCACTTCATCCTCAGGTGTTGTAAGGAGCCTGCGATTGCGGATCGAGTAGGTTGATGTGATATGTCTAACAGACGGCAGTTGTCAAACCGCAGCCATAGCCTTTGGACGACGTGCTATCGTTTAGCTGACAATGAAAGGGCGCTCGGCATCGTGGGAACTGGACTGGTCGGCAGGTTGAATGTGGTAGACTGTCGAGGTCGGTCATGGAATGTTCAATTCGAAACGGATATCTTGGCATGCTGGTAGTGGAAAAGTCAGCAGACATCTATAAGTCTGAGGGTGCAACACAGCTTACCATAGCTGGGCTGGATCAAGGGCTGACCAGGCAGTCTGATACCACCTGATCGGCCAGGTGTCGAAAGGCCGCCATGAGGGTTTCACAGTGGCGTGCAGTTTTCAACCTCAGGTTCGTGCGAGGTCGCTGCTGCCGGGCCTCAGAGGGGATGGCTTCCATTAATAGACAGATATGAAAGAAGCTCAATGTCCGACATTCGCAGTGCCGGCATGCTAGCGGATGACGCAATTGCGGAATGGGCCAGTTTGTGACAGTCAAAAATCCCCAGAGCCGCCAATTGACTCCATCAGGTTGGCGAACGACATCCTGAGATTGGGTCAGTTTAGGAACACATCGATGACAGCCGGAGAGTGATCACGCAATCTCTCCACTACGCGCCCATCTCCAAGGCCTCGTGTGGATAACTTGCTGCTCTTTGGGGATTAGACACTCAAACTAAGGTAACTTAGTTGCCGTTGCGGGGGCAGATCATGGCGCTTTCCCGTTGATGCAACCAGGTACCGTATCATTGCAGCACGGCGTCTACTGCACCAAGTAGGCCCAGTTATCATGTGCACCTTCCATGCTCTCGATAAGGGTCCTGGCACATCCTGGGTGTTTGAACCATGGATGTTTTATGCAGCTCTGGTGATATTAGGCTGTGGGTTCGTTAACCCTGAATCCCTGAGAGTTTGAATGTTTACAACATCAAGCCTTGTCAAGTGGATGTGACATGAAATTGTTCTATAGGTAAATTATTCAGTGGAACAAAACAAATTCTGAAAACCACGCAAGCTATTACTTCATGCGCAGCAGAAAGGACTTCGTCGAACTTCTGCAAGACCGAGGGCAGCATACCTTGGCTCCTTCTATTAGAGTCTTTTCCCTGATAAAATCAGCAAGAGCCTGTATATTGTATCATGAGTGAGCTTTCAACAGTGTGTTGGTCTAGAACAATACCTACCTGCTCTGTATGGCCCAAGGGTAGATTTACTGCCTGAGTTAGATGTGACATATGACAGACCTCCAGTACATTTTGAACATGTAGATCCCTGGTGCAGGGGTGCTCTATGTACACATAACAATTTCATGTTTGATTCAAACCCTATCTGCAATAACTGTGGGTAAGGTAAGGTACCTCTGTATGGTGTTGAACAGCCATGTTCTTGGCCCAATGGGAACCTGAAACCAGGCTCAGGACACAAGTACCACTAGTATAAAAATTGAGGATCAACCCCGTAGAAAGCGAGCAATGATCCGTGGACCAACGGGAATAAACAAACACCAGAGGATACCGTCTAACCTCGGACTCCGAACGGCCGAAAACATTACCACCCCAAAACATATTCATTGCTCGCAGAGTGATTCATGAGACTGTTACAAAAGATACTCCTCAAATGGCTTTAGCCAGCTTGTTGTTATTTCCTGGGAAGTATCATAATGTCTAGATGAAATTTAGTCCTGCTTAAGTCCACTAGGACTCATCCCTCCGGCAAATGCGAGCCGGCCATGCATGCCGAGTCAAGCAGACCGAGTTCAATGTAACATGCCTTGAACTAATCACAATAGCATTTGCTTAAACAGGACTAATTGTATGGCCGAGCCGCAAAACTGCATGTATGGTCTAACCTGATGCATCCCAAACCGCGTCATCGTGTTCTCGATGTGATCCTTCGAATCAACCCCTTGGTCTTGGCGACAGGACGCACAAATTATCAGGTCGTCTTCCAGGAATCCTCTCAAAAATTTGCACAAAGGTTCTGGCTGCCTGTCTATGGTGCTCTGCAGATACGGATCATGCAGACGCTTTCACTGAAGCGTGCTGCGGCGGTGGCTGGACACCCTTCCAGCCTCAAGCTCAACAAACGCCTTGCCCGCATTTCTATCCTTATTCTTAGCTTCACCCTATCTGTGGCTCTGTTTGCTTGGACCAAACAGCATGACCGGCACGCTCAGCGATCCTGGCTCTCAGGGCTGTTGCACAGAGCAAAGTATGGTGGACAACGGGAGACCCCCTTTTACCCTCACGACACAACAACCAGCTTTTCACCCGTGTCTTTCTCTGCGGATCAAGTCGAGAACTTGTCCACCAAAGACATGTGTGCTTCCTTCCCCCACTACCTCATCCGAGAACACATCCAGCCAGTCTTGAAGATGGGCCATGGCGAAAACCGCGACATGATCAATGCCCAGCTCAACAGCGTATCCGCCTGCTTCCACCCTGATGAGCTCCTCATTTTCTCAGACCTCCCAGAGACGCTGCCAAATGGCCACCAGGCAGTCGACATCCTCCGCAACCTTCCGCAGAGGTACAGGATGATCAACGACACCCCCGAAGCCCAGCCAGAGCCCGACTTTGCTGCCTACGAAGCCATGTACGACCTCTTCCGAGCCGGGAACCTGACTGCCGAAAACAATCCGACGATGAAGAATAAAAGGACCGGGTGGAGGTTGGACAAGTACAAGTTCCTGGCGCAGGTAGAGCGTGCCTGGACCGAGAGAAAGAACAAAGACTGGTATTTCTTTTACGAGAGCGACACGTTTGTCTCGTGGGACAATGTGTTCCGGTTCCTGTCAACGCTCGATCCCAACAAGGCGCTATACATGGGGAGCCCTTCTCCGGGCCGTCGCGATCCCAAGACAGATGAGGAGACTTGGTTTGCCAACGGAGGTCCGGGTTATGTGCTTTCGCGGGGCGCGATGAGGGTCCTGTTTGAGAAGAGACCTTCGTCGCGGGAAACGGGGGTGTGGACGGAAGAGCCGTTTCTCCTGAAATACATAAACGTTGTGAGGACAGACCCGTGTGGTGATGCCATTCTGGGTTGGGTGCTTTGGCTCGTAGGGATACGGCTCAGCGGCTTCTTTCCGTCGTTTAACACGTATGCACTACACTCACTACCATACACACAGAGGTTGTGGTGTCAAAGCTTTTTGACTATGCACAAGCTAAGCCCAAAAGAGATGGTCCGGCTTTGGAGATGGGAGTACGGAAACAGGAAGCTGGGTCGGCCGTTGATGTACGCCGACTTGTTCGAGAACTTCTTCCTGCCGGAGATTGAAGAGGCCGATGCGAGAAACAACTGGGACAATACAAACTGGGATCGGCTGGCGCGTGGCAGTGATGTATACGTTAACAGTGTGGAGGAGTGCCGCGAGGCCTGCGAAAAGAAGACTAGCTGTCTCCAGTACCACTGGAATGGCAAACAAGCCAGAAAGTGTGTGTTGATGCCCTTTGTCACACTGGGGCGAGCAAAGGATCCCGAGACAGTGGTGAAGAAAGAGGGCGGAGAAGAGCGATTCGTTTACACCAGTGGCTGGATAAAACCTCGCATCAAGAGCTGGGCCAAGGAGCATCCTTGCGCGATACCTGACTGGTTGAGTCCCAGTACTGAAAGACATTATTGATAAGCGTCACGGTATTTGTCTCCAACCGGAAGATTCATGGATGTTGAAAACAGTACATAAGAAGAAACAAAAGGCAAAACAAAATACACAGCAAAGAGGTATAGAGACAGCGTTGTCAAAATTCATTGGATATCGTTTTATCCGATCTTCCACCGTCGGTAGATACCTAAGTCATGACAACCCCGAAGTAAGCAGGGCAAGAGTATTTCATCCTAGACAAGCCTTCAAAATTCTTACCCTCCCCCGTCGATATCCATAACTCCATGTCTTCTGGCCGCCTCGACAATAGCACACCGGCTGAGCCTGGACAGTTCAGTAATGAACTCTTCAACTAGTTTGAGCTGCAGTATCTCATTTTTGGCAACCTGCTTGATCCTCATATTCCTGATCATTTCAGGCGCCGAGTCTAACAATGCGACATCAGCTTCCGCTTGTGGCTCCAGGGGGTTTAATAAGACGCTGCAGAAGATGTTGAGAACTGCCGACATGGGGTAGAACAGCATCATACAGAATACCTCTGGCGCCATCAGCACGGGAAGCGCACTCCTCAGGTAGAGCAACGTAGAACGGCTAGCTTCTACACTCAGAGCCAGACTAGAGCTGACGCCCTTCATCTCCTCACCAGGCACCACCTCGCCATGAGCGCCCCAAGCCCGACATCTTCCCGTGGCGCGGTGGATGGTGGCTACCAGGTAATGATACTCAAAATTGATGACAATGGTTCGAACACTGTCGTGGGCTTCACTCAGGGCTTTGTTGACTCCCACATGGCGGGAAATCGAAAGGGCGGGCCTGTGTTTGAGCGGGACAGAGAGCCGCCACTTTTCCAGCTCATCGTCGAGTTCTCGTATATTCCGCAACAGCTCGGCGTCTGTCTTGCGGAGGGCTTCGGCCGAGTAGAGCAGCTGACATGTTTTTGACTTGATGAGCGTCAACCTCAAGTCGCCAGGCAAGCTTGGGATCATGGTCTCATCATCGTGGTCGACTTGCATATACCGGTCGAGGTACTGAGTCAGGGCATAGTTGGGCGGCAGCGACAGGTCGCAATGTTCGTCTGGGATGCAAGGCGGCTGGCCAGTACGCAGAGAGAGCTCCTTGTCAAAGTTGTAGGTCAACCAAAAGAGCTTGCGGAGAAGCTTTGATGCCCGCGACGCCGGCGAAGAGGATGACCAAGGGTTGGCGATGGTGTGTGCGCCCAGCATAAACATGATGCGACAGGCGAGGGAGAGACATATGAGAGAGGACTGAACCCGGCCGGCAAAGAGCTGGTACATGGTCTAGTAAGCGGTCAGCAGGTGAGAAATCACGTAGCAGAATTGGAGCTTGAACACACTGACCAACATGATCATGGTCTGCAAACTAGTCAGAGTAAAATCGCGACGCAGCGCGGCTGGGAGCAAATGCTGAGCCTTTGCAGCCATCACGTCTCCTTCTATTGGCGGCACTACCGGCGATTCGGAGCCCACAAATAAGGTCACCATGCATAGAAAGGCAAAGACACAGGTTTTGGCAACAAGAAGCTCATGGGGACCGGGGCTTCCCAGGCCGTAGGCGGTGTCTATGATCTCCTCAAACAGAACAGTGTCCAACACAGGGAACACCAACCTGAAGTGAGAGGTGCCGAAGAAGGCGAGGTATCGATCGGTCACGGCCCTGTCCGGCAGGGACGGCGGCTCCTCGATGGGCGGCAGCACATCCTCCTTGCCCAGCTGCGGCGCACCGTGGTCAACTTCATCGTCATCCCACACGGCAGGAAATACGGGGGCCTGGCCGGCACGGGAGTGAATCCACTCCCGGCCCGTGGTCGAGAAATGCGGAACTCCGTTGTACGAGCTGATCTCGCCAAGGTGGTACCCGGCAAAGTGCAGCTTGCCGAAACAGGGCCGGGAGCTAGATACGGGGGACGGTGGAGGCAGACCCTCGGGATCTCTGCACGGGGAGAAGGCGTTTGTGGAAGAGGACAGCGGCGCTGGAGCGGTCAGAGGGTCCGTCAACAGAGCCTTGAGCGGCTGCAGCTTGTGGGTCAGGATCTCTTCAGGTGCGTGAGGACTCGGCCTGTTATTTAATTTTGTGCTCGATGGCTTCTTGGACACGCCCCTCTTCCTCGGGCGTATCTCACGATCAAAGGTGCATTCGAGGTCATGGTGTTTACACCAGTCACAGGAGGGATGGGCAGGTTCACACTGAATCTACAGCAACAGGAAAAGAGACCAACGGGACACAGTCAGCAACTGGACGACAACGTGGATGTAATCCGATTCTGGGTTGCACACCTTTCTCTTGTGACACGCATCGCAAGCCCGCTTGCGCCCCATAGTCGGCAGCGGGAGCGGGAGAGTGGCCTTGACAGAGAGCGATAACGCGGGATTTGAGGCCGCTGACAAAGCGCCCGGTCGGGTTTGATGCGGGTGTGGCAACTGGAGGAAATGGCAGCGGGCAGCGGGCAGCGGGAAGGATGACGCAGGGTGTGTCAATCAATCAGTGGAAGCGACGCGCGACATGGCAGCTGTCAAAAAGTTGCCATCGAAACCTAGTTTCAGACTCGTCAGTCCTCAGCTGGACCCAACATTCTGGTTTCCTGATGACTTTTTGCACCGAGCTCAGCGAGCTGGGTTCAACGATGTCACTACTCACCGCTCACCGCTGTCTCTCTTTCGAACTCGAACTCGTCCCAAGAAAAAGAAACACCGTCCGTGCCCGCGGAAGCGGCATGTGCCGTGCCAAGCAGCCAAGGGCAAACCCCGCCCTGCTCGGAACATTGGTGGAAGCTTTCTTCACTTTCTGCCGAACCACCCGAGATTTCAAAGCACCGGGGCCGGGATTCGACCTCTGCGCGGCCTGCGCCTTGATCATTGCCTTATCTCCGTCTAATAACCCCCCGAGACCATCGGCAGGCAATGCACTCACCGTCCGAACCCCGTTCGATGTGGGCGCCTTGGCCCCCGATGGCCCCGTTGCCCCCGTCTCGCGATGCCGAGCATTCGTTACTGCCCATTGGCGATCCACATCCCGTTCGTTGAGATCGATCTTCATGTTTCCAGAACAGTCACCATATACGTAACATCGACACTCTTTTCGATGACTCTAACGTTTGCTGACCAAGGAAGACGATGAACTTTTCGTATACCCGCTCAGGTGCCCCATTTTTGAGATTGGCACAGCTCCAGCTCATACTTCCCAGACAACTCTACGCATTGTGACTAAGTGGTTCCATCCTTGGAGAGCTTGCGTTGCAGTCTCCACTCGTGTCAAGGCTTCAAAACCAACACCGGGATCAGGCCGTCACCAACTTCGTGATTCAGGAACAGAGTGGAGATGTGAGCATCCACACTCCTCCACCATCGCGGTGATGGGTTGGCCGCCCTGCCGATGCCGATGGCCGAAGCTGACTGAGAGGAAATGGGTGAAAAGAAAAAGTCAATTAAATAGCCCTGGGGGCCTCGTTTCTTGGCTCTGATTCTCTCTTGGTCCTCCATCCCATCGTACCGGTCCCTCTCAACCCCTTCGCCGGCAAGCCATCATGGAGACGGCACCAGCTTCCAACCCCGACCCCACGGGAGTCATCCACGAATGGAAACTCAAGCACAAGGTCGAGGCCATCCGTGAACGCGACAGCCGCTCTGGCCTTCCCCTGAGAGAGCTTGGTGTCACTTGGAAAGATCTCACCGTCAGCGCCATTTCCTCCGACGCCGCCATCCACGAGAACGTTATCTCCCAGTTCAACATCCCCAAGAAGATCCAGGAATCACGCCACAAGCCGCCCCTCAAGACCATCCTAGACAAGACTCATGGCTGCGTCAAGCCAGGAGAGATGCTCCTGGTTTTGGGCCGTCCGGGCTCAGGGTGTACGACCTTGCTCAAAATGATTGCCAACCACAGGAAGGGCTATCAGAACGTGGAGGGAGATGTCAAGTATGGCAGTATGGACGCATCGGAAGCGGAAAAGTACCGTGGCCAGATCGTTATGAACACCGAGGAGGAGCTCTTCTTCCCCTCCCTCACCGTGGGGCAGACCATGGACTTTGCTACTCGTCTCAAGATCCCCTTCCAGCTGCCCGATGGCGTGCAGTCCAAGGAGGAGTACCGCCAGGAAATGATGGAGTTTCTCCTGGAGAGCATGAGCATCACCCACACCAGAGGCACCAAGGTAGGCAATGAGTTCGTCAGAGGTGTTTCCGGAGGCGAGCGAAAGAGAGTGTCCATCATTGAAACGTTGGCTACAAGGGGCAGTGTCTTTTGCTGGGACAACAGCACAAGGGGTCTCGACGCGAGCACGTGAGTTTTCTCTGATGCATTTTATATACCCTGGGGTCATCAGCTGACACAAGGTTCAACCAACAGAGCTCTGGACTACACCAAGGCCATCCGTGCCCTGACTGACGTTCTCGGGTTGGCCTCGATTGTCACATTGTACCAAGCAGGCAACGGCATCTACGACCTCTTCGACAAAGTCCTCGTCCTCGACGCCGGGAAAGAGATCTACTACGGCCCCATGAAGGATGCTCGCCCGTTCATGGAGCAGCTTGGTTTCGTGTGCCGCGACGGAGCCAATGTTGCTGACTACCTCACCGGTGTCACGGTCCCTACTGAACGCTTGATTGCCCCCGGCTACGAAAAGACCTTCCCCCGCAACCCCGACCAGCTGAGAAGCGAGTACGAAAAGTCCAACATCTACCAGAAGATGATCGCCGAGTATAGCTACCCAGAGACAGAGGAGGCCAAGGAGAAGACCAAGCTGTTTCAGGGCGGCGTCGCAGCTGAAAGGGACAGCCACCTCCCCAACAACAGCCCCTTGACCGTTTCCTTCCCTCAGCAAGTCCTTGCCTGCATCATCCGGCAATACCAGATCCTCTGGGGCGACAAGGCCACCATTGCCATCAAGCAGGGCTCGACACTGGCACAAGCCCTGATCTCCGGTTCTCTCTTCTACAACGCCCCCAACAACTCGTCCGGTATCTTCCTCAAGGGAGGTGCCTTGTTCTTCGCCCTTCTCCACAACTGTTTGCTCTCCATGTCTGAGGTTACCGATTCCTTCCATGGCCGCCCCGTGCTCGCGAAGCACAAGGCCTTTGCCTACTTCCACCCTGCCGCCTTCTGTATCGCTCAAGTCACTGCCGACATTCCCGTTCTGCTGTTCCAGGTTTTCATTTTTGCCATCGTTCAGTACTTCATGGTCGGGCTCACCATGACAGCCGGCGGTTGGTTCACATACTGGATTGTTGTCTTTGCTACCACCATGGTGAGTTTATTCCCGCCTCTGTCTCTCCTTTTGCCTCGCTAACGGGGTATTTCTTCTAGTGCATGACCGCCTGCTTCCGCATGATTGGTGCTGCGTTTTCCAACTTTGATGCCGCCTCCAAGATCTCGGGCTTGGCCGTCAAGCTGCTCATCATGTACACGGGCTACATGATTATCCGGCCCAAGATGCACCCCTGGTTCGGCTGGATCTTCTGGATCAACCCCCTGGCTTACGCCTTTGACGCTCTCCTCTCCAACGAGTTCAAAGGCCAGATCATTCCTTGCGTCGGACCAAACCTCGTCCCCACTGGACCTGGATACATGGGCCTCGAGGTTGGCCAGCAGGCATGTGCTGGCGTGGGCGGCGCCCTGCCAGGTCGCAGCTACGTTCTCGGCGATGACTACTTGAGCTCCTTGGAGTACGGAAGCGGCCACATCTGGAGGAACTTTGGAATTGTCTGGGCTTTCTGGGCCTTGTTCGTCACCATCACGATTCTGGCCACCACCAACTGGAAGTCTGCGTCTGAGGGTGGGCCCTCCTTGTTGATTCCCAGGGAAAAGTCAAAGGTTGGGCTTCACGGCGCTCGCAGGAACAAGGCTGGCGACGAAGAAGCGGCCGTTGACGAAAAGGGCGGCTTCTCCTCGGGCAGCGGCAGCGAGACGGACGAGACACTTGCCGTCAAGGGTGCAGATGCGCAGATGCAAAAGCAGGAGGTAGATCTTGTTCGCAACACTTCGGTCTTCACATGGAAGGATCTCTGTTACACTGTTTCTACCCCTGACGGCGATCGCCAGCTCTTGGACAACGTGCAAGGATGGGTCAAGCCTGGCATGCTGGGTGCCTTGATGGGCTCTTCTGGTGCTGGCAAGACCACTCTCTTGGATGTCCTTGCGCAGAGAAAGACCGAAGGTGTTATCAAGGGAAGCATCATGGTCGATGGTCGTGAGCTGCCTGTCTCTTTCCAGAGAAATGCGGGCTACTGTGAACAGCTTGACGTGCATGAGCCGTATGCTACCGTCCGGGAGGCGCTCGAGTTCAGCGCCCTTCTGCGGCAGCCTCGCGAGGTCCCCCGTGAGGAAAAGTTGCGCTACGTCGACACCATCATTGACCTCCTCGAGCTGCACGACCTGGCTGACACCCTGATTGGCCGCGTCGGCATGGGTCTGTCTGTGGAACAGCGCAAGCGTGTCACTATCGGAGTCGAACTTGTCGCCAAGCCCTCGATCTTGATCTTCTTGGATGAGCCCACCTCGGGCCTCGACGGCCAGTCTGCCTACAACACGGTCCGCTTCCTCCGCAAGCTCGCCGACGTTGGTCAAGCCGTCTTGGTCACGATTCACCAGCCCTCGGCCCAGCTCTTTGCCCAGTTCGACACATTGCTTCTGTTGCAACGCGGCGGAAAGACGGTCTACTTTGGTGACATTGGCGACAACGCTGCTACTGTCAAGAACTATTTCGCCCGCTACGGTGCCCCCTGCCCCAAGGACGCCAACCCTGCCGAGCACATGATCGATGTGGTGTCTGGCCATCTCTCCCAGGGCCGTGACTGGAATGAGGTTTGGCTCTCGTCTCCCGAACACAGCGCAGTCGTCAAGGAGCTTGATGAGATCATATCCGAGGCCGCTTCCAAGCCTGCTGGCTATGTGGACGACGGCCGCGAGTTTGCCACGCCCCTTTTGGAGCAAACCAAGGTTGTCACGAAGCGCATGAACATTTCCCTGTACCGCAACCGAGACTACGTCAACAACAAGATCATGCTGCACGTCTCGGCCGCGCTTATCAACGGCTTCAGTTTCTGGATGATTGGCGACGACATTTCGGATTTGCAGATGATTCTCTTCACCATCTTCCAGTTCATCTTCGTCGCCCCCGGTGTCATTGCCCAGCTGCAGCCGCTCTTCATCGACCGCCGCAACATCTTTGAGGCCCGCGAGAAGAAGAGCAAGATGTACTCTTGGATCGCCTTCGTCACGGGTCTGATCACGTCTGAGATTCCTTACCTCATGATTTGCGGCGTCTTGTATTACTGCTGCTGGTACTACACAGTCGGCTTCCCTACCTCGTCCAAGCGTGCCGGCGCGACGCTGTTTGTCATGCTCATGTACGAATTTGTCTACACGGGGATGGGCCAGTTCATCGCAGCCTACGCCCCCAATGCCGTCTTTGCCTCGCTCGCCAACCCCTTCGTCATCGGAATCTTAGTCGCCTTCTGCGGTGTCTTGGTCCCCTATGCACAGATCCAGGTCTTTTGGAGGTATTGGATCTACTACCTCAACCCCTTCAACTACCTCATGGGGTCCATGCTGGTCTTTGCTGCCTGGGACTGGCCCATCAACTGCAACCCTCACGAGCTGGCCAGGTTCGATCCTCCCAACGGCACCACTTGTGGCGACTACCTGAGCACCTATCTTGAGAAGGGGTACGGCATGGCTGCGAACTTGTTAAACCCCGATGCTCTTTCCGAGTGCCAGGTCTGCCAGTTCAAGTCTGGAAGCGACTACCTTCGCACCATCAACCTGATGGAGTACAGCTACGGCTGGAGAGATGCCGGCATTGTCGTCATCTTTGTCATCAGCTCGTATGCTATGGTCTATGGCTTGATGAAGCTGAGAACAAAGACCAGCAAGAAGGCTGAGTGAAGAGCACTACTGGTTTTCTTTTATCCTGTTTTGGCCTTGTTCACGGGCTTTTGGTAAAACGTGTACATTTTTTGCATACTTTTCTTTTCCTTTTCTTTTCTTTTCTTTACACACTTTGATACCTTGATAGACATTTTGCATAGACAGACATTCACATAATTAATTTCAATACTGTTCCTGTTGACCACTATGCCTTCATAGGTGCAAGCTCCCTCCCCACAAGCCTCTCTTGGCTATCCTCACCCGAGCTGTAGACATCATCTGGCACGGGGGGCGCAATGGAAGCGTCGCCCCTCTTGATTTCAATAATCGAAATGACGGGCAGCAGCAACATCAACATACCCAACAGCTGGCCGAAGCTCCACGTCTTTTCCCCCTCATCAGACAACAGGACATCTGGTGTGCCAAACGCTTGGGAGAGGAGGTAGGCCCGCGTGGTGGCCCCGAAAGCAATGCCTGCCATGGCAACAATGCCCATGGCTTGTACCACGCGAAAGGCGCGTGACTTTTGCCTCCTGCTCTGAAGATACCAGGTGGCAAGCCCAAAGATCAGGCAGTTCAAGGCTACCACGACCACGGTAGCTACCACGTCCAGGCCGCCCAGTCTAGTCGTATCAGAAGGGCGAGTCCAAGCACATGCGATGGGCAGGGTATCCGGCAGATCCTTGATCTTGGCCTGCAGCAAAAAGACGCCGTACACGATGGAGAGGAGCAGGTTGAGGAACATTAAAAGCTGTCTCATCCATCTGAGCACCCAGTCTCTCTTGAAGTCGTTTACCAGAGACAACAGCGCGGCGTTGTGGGTGGCCATGGACAAAAGAGAGAGCATCCAGATGATGAAGAAGTGATACGGGGAAAGCTGCCACGACTTGACCAACCCGACAGACTGCAGGCCGATGCCCACGAGAATCTGCTGATCAGAGTAGCCCGAGAGCAGCTTTCTTCGGACGATGGAGGGGTTCCGGATACACTTTCTTGGCCACCGAACATCCTGGAGAATGAGACTTGCAGCCATGCCTATGACAAGGAAGGCGGTAATTGTGGATGATAGCAAGACCTGGGGCCCACATTTTGTTAGCTAACTTGATTCAGCCAGGTAGTTGGACTCGACTTACACCAGCTCCCGCTACACCGGCATCGCTTGCAATGCTTTCTGGAATGACATTGCAACTTCTGCCTGCAAAAGCCGCCATTTTGCTTTTCGGCGGTTTTTTTTGGTTTGTTTTTTTATATCTTTTTCGTTCTGTGGGTTGGTGAGGAGAAAAGGAAAAGGAAAAAGAAAAAGAGGATGGATACACAAGAGTTGCGAAGAGTGGCAATTTGCTAAAAAGAGCGGAGGTGAAAACAAGAATTAAGGTTATTATATGCGTGCTGGGTGAAACAGATCGGCGGCCGACTGGTGTACATGTAGATGCCAATCAAGTAGTGCGCCCCTTTGCGCATTGTCGCAGAAAAGGCCTGCTTGCCAAAGTCGGCGGTTATGGCTGGCAGCCAATGGGAAGGCTCCAATCTATATATAGGATGACGCAGATAAAAGAATTGACATCAATCAGTCCCATTGTGAGCATTGTGAGCATTGTGAGCCGCCCACGACAAATCTATTTTATATCGCTACTTCTTTTTGTAGACGCGGACGGTTTCAAAGAAATTCGTTGATGGCCTCCCAGAAGTCGCTCGCCGCCTCAGACATGGGCAAATGCCCGGCGTTGGGAACAATCTTGAGCTCTGCCCCCTTCTCGCCAAGATTGGCCTTGAAACCCTCCATAGCCTTGACCAGAGCGCCCTTGCCATCGCCATCGCCCACAACGAAGAGAGTGTTGACCTTGCATCCCTTCATTTCCTCTCTCATGTTGTAGCCCCAGAGTGCCTGGCAGCTGTACTTGAAGCCCTCGACGTTGTTTCCCGCCACCATGTCAGTCATCCACTTGGCAATCTCAGGCTTCTCAGTCATGGTGTGAGGATGGAACCATCTCTCCACCGTCACACCGGCCAGGTCCCGGATGTTCTTCTCAGCCACCACAATGCGGTCCTTCCAGGCAGCTGTGTTGGCATCAGAGCTGGCAACGTTGAAGTCGCAGGCCACGATTCTGTCCACCAGCTCGGGGTACTTGAGCGCAAACTTGAGCGTGGTGGCACCGCCCATAGAGACGCCGATCAAAGCATGCAGCTTTTCAATCCTGAGGCCCTTGAGAAGAGTCTGGAGGTCGTCGGCAAGCATGTCCAACGTCGCCGGAACAGGAGGCAAGGGAATCTCATGTCTGCCGCGGGTGTCATATCTCAGGATGCGCAAGTCGGGACGCGCAGCCTTCAGAATAGCCACCAACTCATCCCACATGTGGTAGTCTGTCAACAGAGAGTTGCTGAACGCCACGATGGGGGCCTTGGGCGAGACGTTGCCCTCTAACCGGTAGCGGATCGTGAGCCCATCCTTGGCATACACATAGGCATTCACAGCCGCCGTATCCTTCCCAGGAACCGTCTCAATCTTGCCGTCTTCCCACTTGAAACCCTTGCTCTCGGGGAGCTTGCTCAGTGTCTCCAGCTCTCTTGGGCCCGGTCCAAACACGTAGAACAGCTCATACGTCCGCCTGTGCTTGGCCGCGATCCACTTGTCAAACACCTCAGTCCGCCACTTGGTGTCCATGGACGCCTTGTGCTCCTCCCCTCCCAGCCCATTCACCTTTTCATATTCATGCAGCGTCACAATTCTGACCTTGTCACCTCCCTCGATCAAGGAGGGAGTCCGGCACACCCTGCTCCTCAGCCAGCCCGGAATCTTGCTCAACATGGGAATGTGCTCCTCCAGGTACCACTTGGTGATCTCCTTCTCCCCTTGCTCCCCGCCCTTGACTTCAACCTCGACGGCGATCAGGACCTGTCCCTCGGCCTCCCGATCGCTCAAGTCCTCAATCTTGGTGAAGCCCTCCTTGGCCTGTTCTCCCAGCAGGTCGAAAAATCTCCTGTCGACGTCCACTTGGCCAATGGTCTCGCCTTCCCGCTTGGTTCTGTTCTCTCTCAGCTGCGTGTAGACGGGTGTTTCCAAATGGCGCATTTCGGTGACGTCGTAAATGGCCAGGAACTCGGGCTTCAGAGAGTCGGTGGCCCGGTAGCGGAAACCATTCGGGAAAATATGCGGCAGCCGGAGCCGGGTCGGGCCGTGCTCGTTTTGGTACCACTCATGGAACTGGTTGAGGAACTCCTCGTCGTGGCGACGGGGCTCCATGGTGACGTACAAGAGGCCGGGATTGGACATTTTGTCTGTTGAAAATGCAGAACAACAAGTGAGGTGATGTTGACGGTGCAAAGTTGAATTGAAAAAAAGATCGATATATATATGTCAGTCACCAAATGCTTAAAGTATGTGCCAAGCGTGACGTTGACCCGACTCAATCACATCCTCGCTCACTCACAGTTTCGGCAGTCAAAACGGAACGCGAACAGAGAAAGTGGAGTTTGCTGCTCTCGGCTCTTGTTCCCGGGGTTCCAAAAATACTGAGGCAAAGCGTTTTTCCGCTGCAGCTGTTTTTGCACTTGGGTGGGTGGGGCTGCAGCTTCCAGGATGACTGACGGCCAAGTGCATTGAGGAAAAAAGAAAAGGGGTTGAAAAGGGGGTTGATGATAAGAAATGGCGATTTTGTTTTACGCTTACTTCTGTATGACCTCAGAATACACTAGACTACAATCATATGACCCAATGGATGTTGATATCCACGACTGACCAACCGACCGGGGCTTTTGTCTGCCCCATTGTGTTTTTTTTGCCAAACCCGATGCTCGCAGCCCTATGCTTCCATTCCCGGCTGCCACAATGTTGAAGATGCAAAGCCCTCGAACCAACTCAGGCACCTAGTTGGCTCAACCGTGAGTTCAAAAACCAAAAATGGCCCCGTCAGTACGCCTGCTCGATCCCACCTTCCCTTGCATTGTGTACATTGTTAAAAAAAAAAAGCACCCGCCGTGCACCATCTTACGCTTCTCCCCAAACCTCATCAGCAATCTGGCGAACAAGTGCCAACTTCTTCTTCTCGTCCTCCTCGCTGAGGGGGTAGCCTGTCTCATGGGTACTGAAGCCGCACTGAGGGCTCAGGGCAATGCGCTTAAGAGCCTCCTCACGTGTCTGTCTACTGCCTTCAGCCACGAAGTCGGCGGCCTTGTAGATGCGCTGTTTGATTTCCTCCTTATCTTCCAGATCACGCAGCTTGGTGCTGATGGCACCAATGACCACATGTCGATCCTTGGGGAGGTACTTCAGAGGCTCAAAACCGCCAGCACGTTCGGTGTCGTACTCGAGGTAGAAAGTGTTGACCTTGAGATCGGTGAACAACTTCTGGGCAATGATATCATAAGCGCCCTCGGCAAAGTGGCGGCCGCCGATAAAGTTGCCTCGGCAGAGATGCACACCGGTGTGAAAGTCAGCGGGGAGCTTGCTGATGGAGTCGTTGTAGAGCTTGATGTAAGCGTCCAAAAGATCATCCACCGTGCCAATGTTGTCCTTGTCCTCCTCCCATCCTTGACGGAACTTGTCGGAGCAAAAGTCTACACACATCCCAGCATTGTTAGTCTTTGGGCATGTGTCGAAGACTGGAGGGAAACTCACAAGCAAGGCCAGGGTCGTCAAACTGGACATTTCTGAGGCCAGCCTTGTACAGAACATCAAGCTCGGCCTGGTACACCTTTGCAACGTCATCAAAGTACTCGGCATCGTTAGCGTACGCCTCCTTGGTGTAGGCTCGGCCTTGCTTATATCTCATGTGGAACCTGAACACGTCTGTCAGTCGTCCATTTCCTAGTAACACCAACGCATCCCAAAAGAAACCTACCAGGCAGGAGTGATCATTGTGAGCTTGATGTCGCCCCACTCGCTCTCGGGCACAAACTTTTGGACCAGGCGGAGCTCATGGAGGTTAGAGACCGACTTTGCTGGGTTGTAAGACAGCTTTGAGCCGGCAATGACCGAGTCTCCCGGCATGACCTTGCGGTCTTGCTCGATCAAGCTGACGACGTCTGGGTGATAGAGACGGAACATGGATGCCTCGGCGTCCTGGAGACGGATAGTGCCCTCAAACTCGTCCCACATGAGACCCCAAAACCTAGTGCGGTTGTATTCACCACTCGTGACAGCCTTGAAGCCAAGGTCTTGCTGAAGCTTGACCACATGCCCGACCGCCTTCTCCTCGACGGTAGGAAGGCCAGCCTGCTCCTCACTGAGCCCCTTCTCGCGGATGGCCTCTCGCACGTCGAGGAGCTCCTGAGGCCGCAGGAGCGAGCCCATATGTTCTGCACGGAAAGGCGCCATGTTACTGTGTCTGTGGGGGCTGGCTGAGAAGTAATTCCTGGGACGCTTCGGGGTTCACTCAAAAACACAAAAGGAGAAGAAAGGAGAAGAAAGGAGAAGAGGGAGGGGAAACCAGGAGGCCGTGAAGGAGGGGCGGGAAAGGTAGATGAGTGTGGACGGGAGCGGGGTTCCATATGGTCAGACTGTGACCTCCACTGGGGTTGATGGGTAGGGGCGAGGCGGATGATACAACAACGCGTGCATGGCTTCCGGCATATCCAATTCAGCCAGGCCGTGGCGCCTGTTTAACTGGCTGGCCATTCCACAGCCCCCATCTTTCCCATGCGAGAAGGGCAGCCCGGCTGGGTGGAAGAAACCGAGGGCGGGGTTTGGAGTAGGTGGAGAGGCGGGGTGGAGATCAGGGGTGGGCTCTTTGCCCCAACTATTGCGGGCCAAGATTGCAACCATTACAACTTCATGCTGAATCGGGATTGAATGGAAGCGCCGAGGGAGAGGGAAAGCAGAAGGGTGTGGTAATCGAGAGGTCGAGTTGCTGGTTCGTTGATCAGTTTTATAGCGTGTTTTGTGCCATGCTGGGATGTGCCAATGCTGGGATGTGCCATGCTGGGATGTGCCAATGCTTTGGCAGCAGTCGTCAGTGGGAGTGGGAATAACCTCAGTCAGAAGCATGCCATCACCAGTCAACATCTGATGAACGACCAGGTCACTATCAACACCAACAGAAAATTCCACTGCGGATGTCAAAAAAAGCGCCGACTTGCATGAGCCAATGAGAGCAGCACATACCACTTTTGACCCACTGCTTCAAACAGACAACCGAACTCCACGATCTCTTGTCTACGTGGAAGCACAGCCCCAAATACTTGCTGTAAAGAAGATGCCTCTCGACTATTTTCAAATCTCTCTCGCCTTGAAACTTTTCTGGATTAGATATCTTTAGATCCCTCTCAATTAAGTATCTTTGGATTCCTCTTATCCAACTTTAAAAGGCATAATGTTGTGTATATTTGGCCCCATTAACTATCTTTCAGGGCCGTTATCCATCATATTGGTCTTCATTCTTTTGTTTGTGGCGTGGCGAAGGGATAGCAAAAACATCTGCTGTCGGCCTCAGTGCATATGCAGTTGCCTGGAGGGGGAGCTGCACACTTGGACATGCAATGAAAGCAAACAACTCGAGGTCATTGGGCCATGGGCAGCAGCTACCCGTGTAAAAGTTCGAGGTCGCAAGCCATTGCTGCTCAATGCATTTCTCATTTTCTCCCTTTCTTCTCATCTTTTATCTGCTCAGTGAACCAGCAATTGCAATGGAGATTCATATACCAAACATTCCCGCGGATTTGACTTTCAAGTCATTTCAGCGCCTCATTGAACCAATCCTCAACAGCCTTGGTATTGTCGATTACCTCTGTGAAAAGACACGTAACAAAAGGTACGCCAACATCACATTTCTCGAGCCGAGTGACGGGAACCGCTTCCTATCAATCTATGGCCCTCACGGAAAGCCCTTGTCGATGCTGGGCCATGCTGTTCGCTGTCGGTTGAGCAACAAGGGACCGGATCAAACGACATTGAAGGTAATCAGGCATGCGATAGACGAACGTCAAAGACGCAAGTCAAAGGCCCATGTCCAGCCCCGGCCAAAGTCAGAACCGCTCCAGGCTTCATGTCTAAGCTGTGGCTTGCACACATTCGTCGATGGAAGATTCTCGTTTGTTTCGGAGTGGGATGCTCAGGAGGGCTGCTTGGTTCGCTTTACCAAGCGGCATCTCATCTTCAAACTGACAGATAGAGGCATCGATGTCCGCATCCCACGCAATGCCATCGTTCAACTGGTCTGGTCGGAGAGCGGCAGAGCGTCTGTTACCCTGTCACAACCCCCTATTATCCTAGCCAAACGGTCCCCTGAGAAGTCAGACGTAATAGAGCTCGATGGCCTTGGTTCTATTCATCTTGATTTTAGCATATTCGCAGATATATTCTCTCGTCAACAGGCAAAGCCCGAGCCACGACAGCGACTCACTGCTATTGACGATGGCCACAGCAATATTTCCGCATTTTGTCTCGTCTATCACTTCCAAATCACCGCAGCATCCATCGGCACACATGGCGCCGGCGAACACTTTCACAAAGAGATGTGGAACATTACAGAGAAGGAGCCCTATCAGGTCACGCGAGCTGATATCAAATTCTATCATGCATCTGACCTCCCGAGGCTGGGCCGCTTTAGTGAAGCTCTGACTCGTCTCAACAACCAGCTTGACTCGTACACGACAAGTAATGACTTGCCATTCGGTATTTTGTTTTTGCTCCAAGCTCTTGTCTATAACTGGTGTGTGGAACTGGCGCCGGCTATACGGTTGTGCACATAGGCAGTGACTGACATCTTGTAGTTATCTTCATCCAACAACGGTGCAGGCCGTGGCTAGAGAACTTCTCGGCCGTTCCAACATCTCGATTGACGCCTTCAGGAAGCTTTTCGACTGGATCGACTACCCGGCACCTGAGAGCAATCCAAGACAGTTCGAAGTAGATGGGATCATTGAAAGCCTCGATGTCGCAGAAAGACAAGTCCACGAAGCCCAGCTCATGAGGGCGGAGCTGTTCAACGACAATGAAAATTCGACACGCATATTTCGTGTTTCAATCTCTCCCATGCGTATAACCCTCCACGGGCCAGAACTGGAGACTAAAAACAGAATCCTCAGAAAATTTGACGGCAAGGCCAACTTCTTTTTCCGAGTCCAACTCTGCGATGAGAACGGCCAGGATTTGCTCTTCAACCCCACCATCTCACTTGACACTGTTTACAGTCGGTTCAAGTCAATACTACGCAAAGGAATTGCAGTCGCCGGCAGGCAATACAAGTTTCTGGGCTTTTCCCACTCTTCGTTGAGAGCCCATTCACTGTGGTTCTCAGCCCCGTTCTACCACGAGGGTAAATTGCAAATCCCCGAACACATCATCGAGCAGCTGGGCGACTTTGCGCCCATTAGATCACCGGCTCGCTGTGCTGCTAGGATTGGTCAAGCGTTTACCGAAACGCCATACTCCGTGTCCCTTGTAGACAATGGGGTCCAAACGAGCGAAATCCCGGATGTGGAAAGAAATGGCAGGGTGTTTTCCGACGGGGTGGGGGTGCTTTCACCCCAGGCAGCAGAGGCAATCCATGATGCTATCCCTGAATCCAAGGGCGAGCCGACCTGTTTCCAGATCCGATGGGCCGGGGCCAAAGGAATGCTTTCTCTGGACACGGAGCTCGAGGGCAGTCAGATCTGTATCCGGCCGTCCATGAAAAAGTTCGAGTCACCCGACGAAGCAAACCTGGACATCTGCGACATGGCTTCCAAGCCAATACCAATGATGCTGAACCGCCAAATGATCAAGATACTGGAAGATATGGACGCACCACCCTGGTGGTTTTTGGAGCTGCAGAGAAAGGAAGTTAACCATCTACGTGCCATCACGAGGACCGTTTCCAGTACGGCCAGCTTCCTGGCCATGAAGGATATCGGGGAGAGTATTCGTCTCCCACACCTCCTCCGGCAGACCGAGGCCATGGGGGTTGACTACCACCAAGATCTGTTTCTTCGCAGTGTGGTGGAGATGGCCCTGCTGAAGGAGATCAAGTTGATCAAACACAAGGCACGCATCCCTGTCCCCAAAGGTATCACTCTGTTTGGTGTCATGGATGAGACGGGTTTTTTGCAGGAAGGCCAGGTGTATGTGAGCTTCGACACCATGCAAGGTCGGTACCACGAGCCTCCAGAGTGTCAAAAGGTTGTAATAACCAGATCCCCGGCACTGCACCCCGGCGACATCCAGCTCGCCCACCACGTCATCCCTCCCGAGGGCCATCCTCTCCTGGAGCTCCGCAACTGTGTCGTGTTCAGCCAGCGGGGGGACAGAGATCTGCCCAGCATGCTCTCGGGGGGAGACCTCGACGGGGATATCTACAACATCATCTGGGATGAGGCAATTGTGAGCCAAGTCAGGTCATTTTCACCAGCCGACTACCCACGCCTACCGATCGTGGAGCTTGGCAGAAAGGTGGAAGCAGATGATATGATTGATTTCTTTGTCGACTTTATCAGCCAGGATTGCTTGGGTGTGATCGCAACACGGCACATGATACTTGCAGACCTCGCACCACAAGGCACGCGTGATAGCGACTGCGTTAAACTGGCCGAACTCCATTCCCAGGCCGTGGACTTTTCCAAGACAGGGAGGGCGGTCAATCTTCGCGAGCTTCCCAAAACCCCCAGACAAGGACGACCTCATTTGTGCGTGCATCACCAAAACTGTCTCGATGTCTGCCTACATGAACAGGTTGTGCTGACGTGTATCAGTCTTGCCGCAGGGTCCCAAGTGCTCGTCCAAGAAAAAGTAGATGTTGAGTTGCTTGATGAACAGGGAGGTGATGAGGATGATGACGACGACGAGGCCGATCAGGATGGGCCGCGTCATAGCTATTACCGCAGTGACAAGATCCTAGGGCAACTATACGATGCCGTCGACGAGGAAAAGATATGGCACCAAGACATACAACTGCCACGTTTGAGCCCCAATGACAATGCATTCTGGCGCCAGATGCTGGTGGTCCTGGAACAGCGCGTGGCAGCGGCTTCAAAGGTCAACTGCAAGTGGCGGAACCGCTTGGACGAGGCGCATGGAGTTCGCCATACGTCAGTATTTTTCTTCCCTGCGTACATGATATGCTAACTGATTTCTACAGGTATGAGGATGCCATGTACGACATCATGGTGAATTATTCCGACCATCCATTCAAGCCCCTTCGTGAGACGGAAGTGTTTTCGGGATTTATTGTCAGCAAGACCGGGTCTGCAAGCCGCCGCCAACGCGACAGGTCCATCAAGATGAATGACGAGTTTGAGCGTGTGTCCAAGTTGGTTATGACGACCATGCACAAAGGGCCTGGTGCCCTGGAGCTGTGTCTGGCGTGTGTGCACGCTGGACTGGTGGTAAAGGAACCTCGAGGTAGGCAAGTCTGGCACCGAGGCTCATCTGATGATATCGTGAGCTTTCGGATTGTGGCGGCGTCGGCGTTGCTACAAGAGCTCAACGCCCTCGAGAGCAATGATTGTTTAGTTTGATATATTCCGCGAGTTAAAGTAGGTAGTCTGTTCTTTTCATATACAAGTTTGGAAAACAACTCAGCAGCACCGTGATATTATCATCTAAAGTCGGGCAGAATTCATGGGGTGATAGGTTCAAAGGCCGGAAGCATAATTATATTCTTATAGAAATAGCTGTCCCATCCATGGAGGTTTCATATTCATGCTCGTCATCAAAACATTTCGATCCGTTGGCTTCATATCACTCAGATGAAAGCCTATGCTCCACACTTGGAGGGTATGTCCACGCAACCGACCACAGCATGAGCTTATAAATGGCTCTTTTGAACAATCCAGCGTTTGGCTTTTTTCTTGGTGTCAGATCTGGGGTCGAACACAGAATCACGACATTGCCCATGACGTTGAATAATCGAAACACTCTGGAGTGTCACTCACCATTAGCAAACCAAGCTGTTTTCAGGGTTGGTGGGATCAAAACTTACAAGTTCAACCCAAACAAGGCCAGCGCCGCCTGCATTGCCGCATCAACGTCCCTCTCCGGGTGGTTCACGATCTGCATGCTGATGTAGTAAACGGGCGGGATCCAGCACCCCAAGATGGCAAGCTCCAACAAGAGGGTGTATCGGTATGCCCGCTTCCTGCTGCCTCGGAAAAACAGGAAGCCCATGACGATCCACAGCAGCAGAAACGACGTGACGGACGGTGCAAAAACCATGACTGCCCCTCTCCAGTACCGCCAGCTCAGCCCGGCTCCCGTGATGCCGAGGGTTAGTTGAACCCAGCCCAGTATGAAGAAAAACAAGAGGCTGTTGTTGTAGCTACGATAACAGTTGCCCTTGTGAAAAGGACGGCCATCTCTCCTGATTCCTGGACTGTTTGGATCGGGAGGCCCGGCCACGCCTTCGTGATTCCGTATCGGTCTTCCACACCAACGGCATATCTGAACCACGTCCTCGGTGCCCAATTTCACCCTCTTCCCAATCTTTAATCTCTCATCGTTGGCCACCAAGGCGCAGTCGACGCACTGGGATGCCAAAGGCCACCCCTCATCCTCGTGACTACAAGAGAGCAGGTTAGAGCGGAAGGGGTCATGCACCAGGCACGTCTTGCAATGCTGAAGGAGGAGGGTCGTCAGTTGCTCGCGGCCAAAGAGGATGCGCAGCTGGGGAGGTGAAGCGAGGGTGTGGAAAAAGCGACATGTCTTTCGGAGCTCCAGGATAGACACAAAGTTCAGATGGCGCAGAATGTTGTTCAGCAGCTCAGTGGGTAGGGCCAGCAGGTGGAGTGGAGGTTTCTCATGACTGTCTTTGCCGGCCGACGATGCTTGACTATCTGGCGGGTGAGGGGTAGAGTTTGGTTTGGGTTGGATGGCGATGAGACGAGTGATTTGAGCATGTCCATCCTCGGGCTTTCTGGCGTGCTGTTTTTCCTTGTTGGCGAGAGACGTCAGCGAGCGTCGGACCGTCGTGATGATGGATGAGAAGGGAGCTCCAGCTCCAGGCCCCACATCAGACGTAGCTGTTGTGGCCATCCCGTCTCGGGCAAGCGTGAGCGTGCTTCGACGTTCCCAGATGCCCCCAAAAACAAAAGAATCCAAAATGAATCAAGATTCATGGGTGGCCCCAAAGGGCGCTACAAATGGAATGTTTTGTTGATGAGTGAGGGGTGTTAAATCAGGCAAGCAGGCGGGCGGGCGGCACTGAGGCAGGACATCAATGAAAGCCAGAAAAGTGGGACCACGGGGCAGGTGGGGCTTTGGGCTGAACACTTAGCATATCCGCCCACTGATACAGCCTGCCAGCCCAGGTTGACACCAAAACACCAAACACCCCGACACCCGTACGTTACACAGAAGCAAGTGGCAAAAGTACAGAGATCTTCTTGGATTGGCCTTTCTACTCCGCATTTCCTACATTTTCTACATGACATCCAAATACCTTATTCCCAAACTCCGATCACTGTTAATGTGGATACTGTTGTCCCAGGTTTGTCTGACCTGGCCCCAGCTCATAACTCCCAAAGAACCCTCCTGGCGATGAAGCTGTCACCGTCATGGCCGAGTGCGGGCTGATGGGTGACTTCCCCTGTCCCGGCATCTGCTGTGGCTGTAGCTGTAGCTGTAGCTGTAGCTGTTGCGCATGCGCATGCTGCATGTGATGCTGGTATGGCCCCTGCTGCTGCTGATACACCTGGTTCATATCAAGGCTAAGTGTGTTCGCGCTGCCTCCCTGGAAACCACCTGCGCGTCTGATGCCATGTTGGAATTGCTGCCGCACTGGAAGATTCGTGCTGCCAAAAAAGTGGTTCGGGACAAGATTGACACCCGGCTGCTGCCGCAAGAGATAGCCAGCTGCCGCAGCCGTGTCGAAGCTGATCCCCGAGTCCCCCGAAGGCACCCGCATATGGTGGGAGGCACTCCCATCTGTTCCTCCGGAGGTCCCCAGAAGCGGCGCGCCAAATGTTGGCCGCTGTACCTGCCGCGCTGTCGGAGCCGGCACAGTGATACCAAGCTGACGCCTTGATACTTGTGCCGGGAGAAGGGATGCCACATTGGTGTCACTCAATCCTCCCGGACTGACGGCCTGTCCATAGCCTCCCGGTGACGGCGCATACGACATCAACGGCGGCTGGCTGGGACTCGGCCAAGACGAATCGTTGTTGATGGGCGTGCCATGCGTCGAGGACGCCCCGCCGCTTTGGCCGTTACTCCCCAGTGTGTCTCTGCTCTGAATCGGATGGAGGGGTGCTGTGTGGCTAGCTCTTCTCGCCCGCTGAGGGCTTGCTGTTGGCTGTCGAGGGCCCTGGTTGCGGGTCCGTCTTGGCCGCCCAGAGAGTTGGCTTGTCCGTAAGCGGCAGGTGTCCACAACAGAGTCGATGTGCTCGTTGAAGAGGCTGAGCAGGAGGTCTGGGTCGTGGTGAGGAAACTCCGTCGCAAGCCGCTGCCTGAGTTCATCGCGGGAGGACGGCTTCCTGAATTCGGCATGCACCTCATCCAATTCTGTAGGGGGCACAAAATCTTACCAGGGGTTAGTAACTATATCACACCAAAATTGAGTAGTTGTGGATGCTTACTATGGTCAGGGATCCCTTCCTCCGTGCCAAACAACACGTCCCAGAGCGTATCCCAACAGTCCACCTTTGAGTTTGCTTTTCTCCCATTGAGAACCTCCTCCACCTGTGGCGTGATGCCGTCTTCGGGGTCCAGACTTGATGGCACATCCCGTACTTCACACATGAGATGTATCTTTACGGCCGAATGGGCGACCAAGTCCACGTGGCTTCCTAGATCCTCCTTGCATCGCGGACACATAAACGGCGGTATCGAGTTTTGTCGGTGGAAGTTCTTGATGTGCCGTTTGAGCTGAGGGATGTCGGGGAAGGACTGTACCGCGCAGCTCTGAAAGTCTCGAACGTTGAATCTGATCGGGTTTCTCTTGCGGAACGGACAGCTAAAGTTTTGGCCGTGACCATGGTCCGTTATTCTTTGTCGCTTACCGCCACCGCCCTGGCGATCATCTCCCTCGTCGCCATCCCCGTCTTCTTCTTCCTCTCCGCCTTCGAGGCCCCCACTGAGTCTTTTTTTCGTCCCGTTGTGGTTTTTACGACTGCCCTGGCCACTTGATTTGCCGCCATAGCCAGTTGTGTCGGCCGTGCCTTGGATAGGAGTGCTGTTGAAACCTGCATGACTGCGAGCTGCCTCGTTCACTGGCGGGACGGCAGAGTCGGCGAAATGCCGGCTACCGGACCGGACAATATATGATAGTTCGTCGAGACAGTAACTCACCGATTGGTAGGCCGCTGACGCGGTGCCTTGGTTCAGTTCACAGAGCTCGACACCAAACACATGCTTGAGGGCTCTGTCGAGGAAATCCTGCACCGAGTTGTCGTCCACTTCTACGTCGCTCAGAGAATCTGGCGTATTTTCATCTGCCGAGGAATGGAATCCGTCCGGTGTGGACGGACAGCCTCCATCTGCTTCAGAAGACAACTCATCCCGTTGCTGTGCCGGCTCGTTGTTATCGCCGTCCTCCTTGCCAACTATGTCGCAAGCGGCCCTGAGGTCTGGATTCGCCGCGTCATCCGTAATCGATCCAGCTTGTTTCTCGAGAGGTGGAGGATGTGTGATATAGTCTGAACTCCTCCGGTATGGCCGATCCGAATGCACTTTCCGAGGTGATGGCGGAATGTCACTGACTGGCTGGCGTTGGCGAAATGAAGAGGATCTGTCAGTATCGATAGGAGCCAGAGGCTTTGTCGGTAATGAAGAGCAAGCGATAGAGCGAGATGGAGAGCCGTGAGGGTAGGGAGGTGATGATGCCAGCACCGATTCAACATCAAACGTTTCTTCGTCAATGGCATCAGGACTTTCGGGCTCGGTGATGTCGGTGACAGTTGAAGCGGCAGTTAATCCAGAGGCCACAGACCAGCCGGTGTTTGACCTTCGTTGTTGGAAGTTCAACTGAAACCTCTCACATGAGTCTCGCCTCTCCGGCTGACGGCGCTCGGCGATGGTGTCCTTGATGGTACGAATGGGAATGGGTTGATCCTCTTGAAAGCCTACCCGAAGCGGCCGGTCTGGAAGGGTTTCCTTGACTGAAGAATCTGCACCGGATCTGATATTCTTTGCTGGTGCTGGTATTGCTGCTGCTGTGACGGAAGATGCGTCGTGGGTGGCGGTTGCAGCTCGTGTTGCTGGCGAGGTGAAAGATTCCATTATACGCAAAGGTGAAGGGCCGGGGCCCTATAGTGTGTAGAGTCTGGTTGACGATATGTCAGGTGTAGAATGCGGGCTTCCTCGTCGGAATGAACGTCGTCGTGCTATATCAGATTGTGTTGTTTGTGTGTGAACTGGGAACTGGTAGGACCCGGCTGCAGCTAATATTGCATCTGGCAACACAACCACACAGTCTGCCCGGGCATCGACGGGAGGAGCCCGTAACGACAACCCAGACATGATTCCTATTTGAACTTGTCTATCCAGCAAGCGCAAGGCTGTGGTGGGATGCCGCTCGCACCCAGCGTGGTGAGGTCAGGGGCGGGCCTCCATGGGCTGCCGCTGATGCGCCACAGATGGGAATAACTGAAGAGGCACTGGCTGGCGGGTATGGGAAGCCGCTTGGAAGGGACCGGGGGTTTCTGCGGCCCAGCCTCGACCCAAACTACAGGGGGGAGTGCAACCCATCAAGGCAGAATGTATGGCAGCGTGGCAGTGCCTTTTAACTCCGCCGGGCGGGTGCATCATTGGCTCTGGTGCATTGGGTCTGGCGAACTTCAACCTCAGACTTGAAGTTTCCAGCCATGTTGTCGTCTGCTCCCAGTCGATTGGTTGTGATTGCCCTTTCTCAGGGTGCTGCTCAGGTGCTGTTGATTTTCCGATAAGAACACTAGTCCTGATCTTTACAAACCTCCTTGGCCGCATTCGTTGTTGCTGTGTAAAAGTAGGCGCAACGTGAGCCTTCTCGGGGTCGGGTAATCCAGCATCATGTTGCGCTGACTGGGGGAACATCAAACTCGATGGTCAGGTACCAGGTGGCCCATCCCGTAATGTCGCATAACCAAGCTGTCAGAAGTAGGAAGCGATCATGAAACCAAACAGAAGGGACCTGTGAGGGAGCAAGAAGGAAGAGGCAACCACAGAGATCAGCCACGGCCTGGCGGGGACTGTGCACAGCTTTCTTGGCGTGGAGGTGGCTGGAGGCTGGAGCGCAAGTAGGATGGTGGGTCCATCAACAACGACATCACATTGCAACGTCTTCAATGCCCGTCCCAAATCGACAGTCAGACCAAGTTTGAGCCGCCATTCCGATCACCGCCGCAACCCTCGCAGAGATTGCAGACACCTCGAGATGGTGCTCCTGACATGTTTCTTGGAGACTCTTTGTCTTTTTACCCCCTCCTGACTGACCAGCATGGTTGGTTCAACGGTCAACCTTGCGAGTGTCTGCCCAGTGCTAGCAAACAGCCAGGCACACACACTCCAGGTTCTCTGAGCGACACACAACCCAGCCCGACCGGACGCTTCTCTGCAGACTCGACCTGTAGGACACTGCGGTAGATTTCATGCCGTGGTGTCTCTGGAATGTCTTGAGCAGTCCCTGCTGTTCTCTCGCCAGTCCAGCACAGGCAGGCAGGCTTCCCCTTTTCCCCTCCCAAGAGGTAGATGCCCGGAACTTGCCGTTCAATGATCGGTCAGCTGCCGGACAGCTGGCAGCTGGTGGTAGTCACTGGAACAAACTTTGCACAAGAGCTGGTGTGCACAAAACAGAAGGCTGGAGGGGCGGGTCAGGTGCACAAGGCTCGCTTATTACCTTAGGTACCGTGGTAGCTGTAGTTTGCGGGAGCTTCTGCTGAACACTGGCAGCTACAGCACCTGGGGTAGCAAACAAACCAGCAACACATCAGAAGCATCATCAGCGACGGCCGGGAAAGCTTTTGATTTTTCGACTCGTCAACAACACCCGTCGCGAGAAAAACACCCGACAACAAATCCATCCACCAACCCCACGATCTTGTTGTTCCCATTTCCGTCCTGTTCTTCGATTACACAGCTCCCATCAATCAAAGCGCTACCGCCTATTTTTTTTGCCCGCCCATCTGCACACCGCACACCCCGCGCCTCGCAGCACATCACAACACTTCATCATCACCATGGCTGGCGGAAAAGGAAAGTCCTCGGGTGGCAAGAGCTCTGGTGGCAAGACATCCGGTGTTGAGGGTTCCAAGAAGCAGCAGAGCCATTCTCAACGCGCCGGTCTGCAGGTATGTCGCGTCCCGCTGAAGCTGGCCTCTTTTTCTTCCATTTCGTCGTCGACCCCCTCCCGCTGCCCGCATTGGGACCTGCTCCGTGAGCTATCATGAGCACGCGTCTGCCGCGCATTCCGGACCTAGCTGTTGTTTTTGCCCTCCCCCATCGCCCAATGTCGCGTCCACCTTGTCCACCTCGGCGGTGCTCTGCGCATGCATTGCGCCTACCTGCCCGCTGCTGTCAGGTCAGGCACAAGGTCTACCATCAAAACCGGTGCCAGGCCTTGTCGCATTGCATTGATGCTTATGGCAATTTCTTTGTTGTTCTTGGGGGTTCCCCCGCCTCGCAGTTGACGCCAGCATGCTAACACCAGATTCTTTAGTTTCCCTGCGGCCGTGTGAAGCGCTTCTTGAAGCAAAACACCCAAAATAAGATGCGCGTCGGCGCCAAGGCTGCTGTCTACGTTACTGCCGTACTGGAATACTTGACTGCCGAAGTTCTCGAGCTTGCTGGAGTACGTTGTCCCATCTCAACCCACCTCCTCGTCTGTCCGCCTCGAGCCTGGGCTAACTGTTATCTCTTTGAATTCAGAACGCTGCCAAGGATCTCAAGGTCAAGCGTATCACTCCCCGCCATCTCCAGCTCGCCATCCGTGGTGACGAAGAGCTCGACACCCTGATCCGTGCCACCATCGCCTTCGGTGGTGTTCTCCCACACATCAACCGCGCCCTTCTGCTCAAGGTGGAGCAGAAGAAGAAGGCCAAGGCCGCCGAGGCATAAAAACAAGACCCTCTCGGACCCGACAAATTTTCTTTTGGGCACTGTATTTGCAAAACAAGTGCAACATACGTTTAACTGATGAACCGGCCGTTGTAGCAGCACGTGCGATGATAGGGTGGTGGCAATTTTGAGGGATGCGGGTTTAATTTGTTTGCTGCACCGGGATACTGATATCTGGTGGATTTTTATTTTCCTTTAATGTCGGAAGCCTGCGGACACTAGCGACCGAGGTAGAGGGCTGGCTGCCAGCAGACTGTGCAATACAGGCAGGTCTCCCAGTGGTCTTTCCACGACACACAAGCCAACCTCGTTTGTCATCATTATCTGGGAACAGTGATGAGCCCTGACCCATGACAGGACGGGTGGGAAGGGGGAGGGAAATGCCAGTGGGAAACGGTGCTGATCCTTTGGTCCTGCATACACACACACACACGCGCGCGCGCTTGGGCAACACCTCGATATGCTACAACAATACAGAGCAGGATATTGGTGAGGAGAGGTTATCTTAGGTAGCGAAGCCAGGACCCTGGGGTCCACGTGGTGCCAGATGGATGCTTTTACTACGCCCCTGTCAGTATTTCATTTGTCACTGCTATGTGAATGTCTGTTATTGGTCAAAATTTCTTTGCTCATGTGTCTTGATGCTAGGGTTGACGACGTCTGGAGGGTAATATATAGGTAATTTGTACCATTTAGGTGATTCCATCATCTTTTAGTTGCTGTGCTATGCTGACTCCGACAGCAGCATCACGGCATTGTACCCTGCTCCCGTTAGCCGTCTCGGCTGGTCTAGATCGCCACCTACTTCGCCTGTCTTGAGCTGGATTCTTTCAGAACAACGTCATTACCATATCGGTGTCTTGCTTCTCGGGCTCGGGACCCGGATCAACAGCCTCCCACCTGTAACCATTTTCGTTGTCTCGAGTCAACGTTACCCTTCCCTGTTCATAAGCCTCAAAGATCATATGCCGGCACTCGGAAGGGTAGTCACAGTGCAGGAAGCAGTTGTGCTTCTTGTTGACGTACAGGCGTTCTTTGGCCAGGACGACCCTTTGCCTGTGACTAGATGTCTTGATGGGGGACCACTGTACCTTTTCCATTTCAGCGCCGTCTTCATCATCGTCATCCGAGGCAGGGGAGAAAAAAGACAGCGGGGTGGGCTGAAAGGTAACATGAGATTCCGCCGCCAGCTTTGCCGTTGTGCAGGAAGTTGAAGACGAGGGAGAAGACAAGGCCAGGCGACGCCAGGAGTTGTAACGCGCCCAGCCAGAATAGTCAAACGTGGAGGCACAGGTTCGGTTGCCCCGTCGCTTTTGAAGCTGCTTCGGGCGCTTAGAATTGGGGTTGGGCTTGATGACGGGAGAGATGAGAGTGGTGCAGAAGTAATGCGAGCAAGCCAGGCAGCGGCGAGTGGTGGCAATACGGTACTTGGCGCCGCAGTTGTGACAGCGCCATTTCCATCTTTGGGCCTTGGAGGGGGAGGAAGGGAAGTGATGAAGTTGGTGACTGGTGGTGAGGGTATTCGAGGAGGGGGGGGGGGGAGGATTGCTGGGAGCATTTCAATCATCGTCTTTGATTTGAGACAAGCACTAGTTCGTGAAAGCGGTGGGCGTGGGCTTGACAGGAGAGATGCTAGGCCTATTAGTTTTTCAGTGTCAAGACAAAATGGAAGTAACAAGTGAGGTTCTGGCTTGGGTTGGTTTCCAGCTCTGGTTTGAAAACGGGAGCCGCACCCGCTACTTGACACGCCGTGGATCAAAGAAATGGCCATGACTTTGAACAACAGAGACAACAACATTCTAGTTTTGGCTGATTCCAAAAGTACTGCATGGCCTCTTTGTCTCGACACTTGGCCCAGCTGTATCAGAGCATCGACACCACTACCTACACCACGTTAGAATCTAGATACTCGGCGCTGAAAGAACAAAGAGTCAAAGTCTTCTTTCAAGAAAACACTTAGGAATTGTCTTTGACAGCGGCGGCAGGCACTAATACAATGCTATTTTCGGATGGCCAGTCGCAGACACAAGGTTACTTGCAACCATGTGTGTGACGATGGCCTCTCGGCCGCCATCTGGCTCAGTCCCTGACAGGGTGGCAGCTTGCAAAGTGAACCCACGTCACGGTGAGATGAGATGAGGTCACAACGGCCAGAGGTGTCAGTCGGCGGTGGTCGGCATCAGGGTCGTGTTGGCGAGATTAGGAGAGCAGGCGTCGGCTTGCACAGTAGATCCAAGCGTCGGGATACACTGTAGACGATACCCACAAGCAACACTGCGGGACCCTTCCGAGATGACGACTCCAGCGGCCCCGCAAGCAACGGCCAGCGCTAGAATCAGGAGAAAAGGGGTTCTTTTATTCTGCCGGGTTCAGCTCCGAGATCAGCCCCCTTGTTGAGTGTTGACAGGCACACAGGGGAGAAAGAGGACGGGAGGGAGTCGGTCGGCGTGGGAGGCATCATGTGACGGCCATGGATGCCCCGGGCATAAAACATCGAGGATAGGAGGCACGCCCATACAGGCTCTCGACCAGTGGAAGGGCTTTGTTGCCTTGCATCCAATGACGAGCACTGGGGAGCCAATGGCAGGGCCACAAAACGCTCTGACAGAAGCATCCATCCATTCAGGACCCGGGCGGCAGAACCTGGAACTTGACGGCGGGGAGGGCGGCAAGGCACATCTTGTACGAGAGAAAGAAGCAACAAAAAATGGCGACGGGAGTGGATAGAGATGGGCATCTGGCATGGGGGGGAAAGAGAAGACAATCTGAATGAATCCAACCTGGAAGGGGGGAAAATGAAGAAGGTGCAAGCCATGGGGACGAGCTTGCGCTTGGCACGCTGGATGTGGTGGGGCCATAAAAAGGCGGGATGATTGTATCCATTCTCGCTCCCTCCCGCTGGCCTGGTCTCTTCACCCTTTTTAGCCTCTTGGGACTATTTTGTGGCCGACTGCCTCCCCACCCTTCTGGATCGCCTGTTTTTTGCATTCACCGCCACAGAAAAAGAGGTCCCCAGCAACAGCGTCCGAGTTGACTTTTCTGACAAGCGCAGCTGCCACCATCTCGGGTCGCCTCTCCATCTCTTCCTCCAACCCAATCCGCCGCTCTCCAATCTTTTTTCGGTTTGGTCAACCCAGCGAAACCTACGACTACCACCGCCAGCAGACGACGTGATGACATAGACCTTTCCCGTTCCCTTTTTTCTTCGAGTTACGCTTCCACTGCTGTCGCCGTCTTCTTGCCCCGTCTGTTGTCGTCTGTCTCTGTTCCACTTTTGCCTCTCTAGGTGCCTCTGTCTCTGATCTAGCCCTGCTCGCTGCTGTCTGGCTGTCTGTCCGCTATTCCGCTGCTGCCCGCCGCACTGTGGGGTTTTTGAGAGAGAGGGAGAGGGAGACCAGACGAAAGTGGGTGAGAGAGAGCGATTTGCTTTTCACGAGTTTTTTCCCCCCCCTCCCATCGTCCCGACGGACGATCGAGTCTTTACCATCACCTCGCCCGTGTCATTGCGAACCACAAAATCACCGCCCAAAACCACACCAAAAACTCCACCTGCAAAACTCTGCAGCCTTTTTGGCTTTTCGGTCTTCGGCTATCCCCTTCTTCACCCTTCGCATCGTCCGTCGAGCGAACCGATCCGATCGACCGCCCCGAGCCACGCTGGGTCTCTCGACTCGCAGTGTCAGAGCCCGACGCTGTCCCATTCCCATCGTGTGCCGCATGAGGCCGAGCCTCGATCCCGCTGTCTCGCAAACGTCACCTTTTCCCAAGCTTGGCTTCTGTCTTGCTGGATCTTCGCGCTAACTGTCGCGATTGCTAGTCTTCGGGCAAAATGAGCGAACAGTCGGGCTACTACAGCGGCTATGCGCAGCAGCCAACACGGTCCTCCCCCATCTCGTCCAGGACGGGCTTCAACACCGTCTCCGGACTCCCAAGCGCCATGCGACCTCAGCAGCGCCACCAGATAGACTCCTTCACCCAGGGGTCTGCCTCTCTATTTCCTGCCGAGGACCGCTTCAACCCCTACGAAAGCAACTCTTTCAGACAACAGCAACAACAACACAGAGCACCACCAACACCAGGCTTCCCGACCGACAACTATATTGGCAATGCCCAGGCATGGGCGTACAACGGTGCCAACACGGTGAACGGAGCAATGGGCGACAGCAGGCTTCGGCCGAGTGCCTCTCGCAGAGCAGCTCTGCCCACGGTTCGTCCAACTCACCAGCCACATCTCGCACGCGCAGCTAGATATTGTGATCTTTTTTACTGACTTTGCTTTTTTGTTTCCACAGGAATGGACCATGAGCGGCGAGCAAGGTCTGGGGAGTCAGGCCCTCAACACCCCTTCAACACAGTATTCGGCCATGGCCAACTTTAACAACCAGAGCATGGGGATGATTAGTGGTGATGGCTATGGCTCCGAGCGGCATGGCTTTGCGAATGGCATGTACGACCCTCGTCACGATGCCAAGTCCATGTCTAGCGACCTGATTCCGACCGCCATTGTCATCAAGAACATCCCGTTCAATGTTCGCAAGGAAATGCTCACATCCATCATGTCGGACCTGGGACTACCCCAGCCATATGCCTTCAACTACCACTTTGACAACGGCATTTTCCGGGGACTGGCCTTTGCCAACTTCCAGAGCCCTCTCGACACACAGACTGTCATTGAGCAGCTGAACGGATACGAGGTTCAGGGCCGCAAGCTGAGAGTCGAATACAAGAAGATGCTGCCAGAGCACGAAAGGGAGAGGATCGAACGCGAGAAGCGGGAGAAGAGAGGCCAGTTAGAGGAGCAGCACCAGCCCCTAACACTGCAACACCAGTCCTCGATGCACTCTCTAAATGCCGCCCACAGCACCCGATCCCGCACTTCGCCGCTGCGTAAGTCCACGACAAAATCAACAATGAAGCTCTCGGCATCAGCTAACCCAGCATCCATTGCAGGGGATGTGGACCTCAACAATCCAGACACTCTGCAGTTCTACACGGAGCTTACCCTGTTCCGCAACGATCCCAACCGTGAAATCCTGGTTTTCCCCTCTACCATTACACCGCATCAGCGCCGAACCGTCCACATTCTCGCGCACAATATGGGGTTGGAGCATCGCTCGGTTGGCGAGGGGCCGCAGAGACAGTTGCACGTTCTCAAAGAGTCCGCGCCACCTGCGTCCCTCGTGCACAACCTGCCGGGTGTGTCGGCCGATGCCCACCGCCGTGGTCTGAGCCGTGCTGCTACCATCGACTTTGCTGAGACCCGGAACAGTGGACCAGGCCACTATGCCACCATGGGCCGCTCTAGCCGTCATGGCCCGACATTGGAGCTTCCGGACAGCCCAGATGGTGGGTTAAATGCGCTCCGCGGCGTCAAGTCGTTTGCCGACCTGCGTTCGTACACGCCCAGCCCTTCCCTGTCCTCAACAGGGTTTCCTCAAGCTGGCAGTGTAGCTCAGTACGGAGAGTACAGCGCCAATCTTGCCGGTCAGAACAGCTCATTGACCACACCCACGACTCCGGGTACCAACTCCAACAATGATCCCTCCATGTTGATCCCGGACCTCAGTGGCATGACATTGAGCGAGAACTTTGGCAGCAACAGACTGCGCCCTCGGGACGCACCTGGCGCCATCGGCAGCCAGCGGCCCGTGATGAACGGGTCCAGCACCCGCAGCATTCCCGAACGTCAGCCACTGGGCCCAAATGGAGATTGGGGTGAAGGCATGGCCGGTTTTGCTGCCCGCGGCCGGGCCAATGGCCACATGCAACGGGGAAGCGGTACGTGATCTTTGCTGGCCAGCTCTTTGAACACCACATTGACTAACTTTTTATTGCAGAGTCTTCAGATACCGCGGTGCGTTCGGCAACCACTTCCGCGGCCAGGTTCCAATAGGAGCGGAATCGTGCACCTGCCAGTTGTGTGTATGTTCGGCGTGCTGATCTGGAACGAGCCAACCGGGCGTCGTATCCCTCCGGCTTGCCCCCACAGCAGAGCCGACCGCAGGCCCAACAATTACCTCACATTCGCTATCCTTCCCATTTTCTTCCTGGGCCGCCGCTTCAGGATGGTCAGAGAGTTTTCGTGTTTCCACCCTCGCCTCCCCTTTACTGATGGCATTGGAAGAAAACGATTAAGCAAAGTTCGTGTGGGTTGAATAGCTGCCACGGCTGTTGGATTAAAATAACTTGTTGGAATACGGACGGATGGGCGCCATCATTGCGACCTGCAACACACCAAAGCAAAACAGCAAAACAAAAAAAAAGACAACTATCCGCATCTACACATACACTCGCAACAACCGCACAGAGTCACTTCTTCGCCCTTGCTGCCTCCGCCGAGCATACGCCTTGTAATATTGTTTCAGAAGCACGTCTTCGGCCCTTCCAAGACTCTGGTTTTCCTCTTTTTTTCCCTCGACCTCCCTCAACTGTCCATGGTTCGTACCCAAGCTCCATGATGATTGGCGACGTTGTCGCTCCTTCGAGCCTTTGTGCTATGCTCTCCCGATAATGAACGACGATGGAAATACGAAAAGAGACGGGAAAATGAACGAATTGGGTATACAGAGAAGACTTTATACACCTCATCTGGGCGACCAATTTTGTGCCAATCTTTTGATTGGCATTAGGCAAACCTCCGCAAGGCAGCATTCCAGGATTACTTTTTCTTTGAGCTGCCTTGGTTCCTTGGACGCCCACCAAGGCTTTTCCCCTGACGCAAAGCGTCCTGGGTTTGCCCCACCAACCACTTGTTTTATGAATGTTATGGTTGTTACGACGTCACGTCCTAGATGGCTACGGCAAAGCTACACCACCCCTTTGCTTGGTGGGCAGGGCACTTGACTACTTGTTTCGACTCAATGTGCGGCCCGCCAAGAAGAGCACAAAACCGGTGCTATGGCATACGAAAAAGCAAAAGGAACTCATCTAATAGACGGCACACTCAGGTGTGACTATCCACGCCCCTTTTTCTACCCTTTTTTGATGCATATAGGTGTGTCCCTGACAATGGACACGACATTGCATATGTCAGCATGATGTGGTGACCAGATGGTGATGAGCGCCGGTGGGGGGATGGTGGCGCACAAATCTTCTACAGGTTGTCGTTGAAAATAACAAAAGTTTGACTTGGGCCATGTTATTTCAGCAAAGCTGCATTTGGGTTCCTGTTACTGTTGGTTTGACTTATTCGGTCTACTTTAATATATGTCTTTTGCCTCGATGTTTCTTTTCTCGTGGTTTGCGTTTGTCTTTGGTTTGGGTGGGCTGCTGCGAGAAAGACGATTCAAGAACGCACTTCAAGGGCTCTATGATCACACTATCCTTCCACCAGCGACAAACTTTTCTGGGCATGATATAATGGGTGGTGATGACGGTTGCTGATGGGACCGGGGCACGAATGAATTTGGCTGTCGCAGTTCAAGCCAAGAGACATGAAAATGGGGGCAAAAAAAGGGAACGGGATCACAAGCAAGAATGATGTGTATGGTTATGAAGTATGAGTACTTCTATTTGCTGGGAGCGAGATATTGGCGGCTTGGCTTATTTCCATCATTCTCATCAAATATGCGGATACCTTCACTCTTGGTGTTGGAGTCCTTGTGTAGATAGACCGTTGTGAGTTCTCCAATTGTTGAGGCGTCGGGCAATTACCGGGCCAGTCACCTAATATGAGGTTGGCTGTTCCTTTTTCTCTCTACATTGCTATCACGTGAAGGGTTTTTCAACAAAATGTAGAGACTGCCATCTACTCAGCAAGGGGATGTTCAAAGAAGGTTGGACCACTAATGTCACGGTTAACAAGCCTTGAAATTCGGTAGCCTTGAAAGCTTGGCAATGAGCTTTTAAACATTAGTAGGAGGAGGCCTTGGGGGCAGAATACTCGTTGATTGACTTCAAATATATACCATAAGGTAAAGACCAATATGTCTCGACATGGTCAAGGCCCTTCTTATTTTTCGATGCAGTTCCTCGTGTTATGTCTGGGAAAGTGGGTCGGTCCCACATATAAGGGGGTGTCTTGCAAACATTCCCCTCTTTCGAGTCACGACATATCCTCACTCACACACATGCTCGCTCAAAAAATGGATTCGCCACTCCGCCACGAACTCAATCTCGCACTTGGCCTAGCTCGCCAAGCTGCCTTGATCAGCCGGACCGTCTTATCTGAGTTCCTTCTCACTCACCAGAAAAGCGAGGTTGATTCGGTAACAAAAAGCGACTTCAGCCCCGTTACTGTGGCCGACTTTGCCATTCAGGCCCTTCTGGCTGGCACCCTCAGTAAGGCATTCCCCGACGATGGGCTAGTGGGTGAGGAATCGGCAGACGAGCTGAGGAAAGACCCTCGACTGCTGCAAAAGGTTGCGGCCGTGTTAAAAGTCGTAAAAGGCTGGGAGGCAAGAGACGAGAATCATGTGTGTGATGTCATTGACCTCTGCAAAGGCGAGGGGAAGGGAAGGACGTGGGTATTTGATCCCATTGATGGCACCAAGACATTCCTCAAGGGACAGCAATATGCCATCAATATTGCCTTGTTGGCAGAAGGGGAAGGTTGGCGGGGCAGGGAGGAAGTCATGAGTGTGGTGGCTTGTCCGCTCTTGGACTGGACGCTGGGAGCCATGGGGGGGGCAACGGTGATAAATGACGCGTCTGTGGACAAAACAAGGAAAGGGGCAGTGATTTACTGTGTCAAAGGCCATGGGGTTTTCGTCGAACCATTGTTCAACAAGACAGACGACGAAAAGCCGAGACGGGTCCCTCAACATGCAGGCCAAGTCACGGCAATCGAGGAACTGAAGAGTGTGACCTGCTGGCAGAGTCTAGACTCGGGAGTTGACACGATGCATGAAAGGGTAGCTGAAAGACTGGGCATGGACTTTCCGGGGAACGACCTTCTCGGATGGGTAAATCGATGGGTGTGCCTTGCGCTTGGCCTAGCAAACACCACGATATGGGTATACAAAAAGAGAGAGAGAAAGGCAAAAATATGGGATCATGCGGGTGCCATGCTTCTTTTTAAGGAGGTTGGTGGCAAAATTACGGATGTGGATGGGAAAGATATCGATTTGACCCAGGGGAGGCTGTTGAGCCAAAATTTCGGCTTCCTGGCGGCACCACAAAGGGTTCATGGATTGGTGTTGGCAGCAGTGAAAGAGGCCATGAGGGAAAGAGAAAATCTTAACACGGTGAGCGGATCTACCTGATGCTGGCTTCTGCTGGTTTCCAGGCAAACGTTTCTTCATGATTCTAGCTGCATACATTTCGTCAACTGATCGGCAGTCATCATAACTCAGTAGTTTATGAGCAAGAGTAAATGGAACTAGAACTGGTCCCCGAATCTTCCAGTAGCAACTTTGCCACGTGGGAGAAAGTGTTGACTGCTCGCTTACACGGACAGTCTTCCGGCGAGACTAGGACGTGAGTCTGACAAACTGTGAGACATTAAATCAAAAGCCACGTGGGGAATTCAAAGACTTGGGCACCGAGCTCATTGTGCAAAGAGCGACTCGGGACCCAGAACCCAGCGACCAGCCGTTGGGTCCGCAGTAACAGTGGCGGTCTATCCATCTCTTCGAGTATGAATGTCATACCCAGCTTGGGCTCATTTGCATATATCACTGGGGTTCCATAGAAGTCTAGATGGCTGTGGAGTTTGCCCTCGAGAATTGACAACTTGGTGCCGTGGCAGTGCCTGGGTAACTAATATCCCCACATTGGCAACAGACAAAACACAGAGAACAAAGCGGCAGTTTCTTTTCTTTCCTGTTGAACCAGCGAAATGCCCAGAATCTCGATGAGGAGGATGGCAGGCCATCCTCCTGCACCTCGGTTTTCCCGGATGGCCTGGTCGGAAGAAACCGAAGATTGAGTAGCACCGGCATCCAGACAAACCCCCCAAAGGATAAAACTCAAGGGAAGGAAGAGAACGTGGCTTGTGGGGCAGAACATGGAAGGGTGTGACTGCTCGGTTGTCGGTTGACAGCGACTTGCCGCCTCGCCCGCCGCAGCACATGGCATATATACATACCATGTGTTTGATTACTTGACGCCAGGAAGGCCCGAAGCGGCCCAGAACAGACGAGAAAATGAACGAATGGGACAAGTTTCCCCGCACCCCAGAAAATGGTGCCCACCCCCTTTTCCCTATCATCTCCATGTTTACCCCAGATGTATTTCACGTTATATTCCCAAACCCCATTTAGAAATGTTTGGTTCTGTCCTCCCATACGTCACTTGTCTGGTTCTTAATGTACCCAACACCAAGCGAGGGCGGCTGCGTGTGAGCAGCGTGACCTTGGATAATCAACGTGGGAGAAGGGGGGCGGCTGCACCTGATTTTACCCGGCTGTATACAGAGCCTTCACAAACAACAAGACATCAATTCCGGAGCTCCGGCAATTGTGGACGAATACGGCAAGGGGTCCAATAACAGCTCGAATCTTTCTCCACCAATCACTCATATTATACCCAAATGATCAGAGAACATAGAACAAGTTCTGTAGTATCGGCAGTTAGTACTTACCGGGAGCCTGAAAGGGTTGGAAGAGACTCTACCCGGTCGAGACGGGGCCATCGACGCCATCGTGCCCAAAGCAGGCAAACAGACATGGCTGGAAATCAGAAATAAAAGAGTCCCAGCCGGCCTTACTTTGGCTGGAAAGCCTCTCCTCTCCTTTTCTCGTCACCGACGAATACTACTTTTCATTCTCCTCCAGGAGCGTAAGACCTTCCTCTGGTTGAGCCTCGCAAGAGATCAAGCCGCCACCCGCACCCAACGACAAGACACTAGCACACAAGGGGGACAGATCAAAGGATCAACAAAGGGACAATATGCATTCGTGGTCTACCCTCACCGCGGCCTTTGCGCTGCTGGCCAATGGAGTTGCCGCTCAGAACATGTTGCGGTTCGCCTGCTCCCAGCTCGTTGTCGACCGTGTCGATCCTCTCGTCAACCCCGGCGTCCGCTACACTCCCCATCTTCACCAGATCGTTGGTGGTAACTCCTTCAACCTGACTATGGAGCCAGTCGAGTATGACTTGGTCAAGAGATCGACCTGCACATCCTGCTCGTTCCCCCAGGATCTGTCCAACTACTGGACGGCCGTCATGTTTTTCAAGCACAAGAACGGATCGTATCACCGCGTTCCCCAAGTCGGCAACGGCGGTCCCCAGGGTCAGCTCATCAACAAGGGTGGTCTCGACATCTACTACATTCCCAGCGGCAAGACCACCGCCTTCAGACCTGTACGTTCTGTGCTCGTGGGCCCAGGGATTTGTATCACTGACAAGACTGGCATCTAGGGCTTCCGCATGCTTGCCGGTAACGCGGCCAACACCGAGGACAGCAAGGTTTCCAAGGCCAACATCTGCCATCGCTGCTGGACATCGACCAACGAGGGCAACTTCATCGGCGGTGCTCCCTGCACTGGCTCTGATACCGTCGGCATCCCTCAGGAGCCGCGCTGCAAGATGATCCGCCAGACCATCATCTTCCCCCACTGCTGGGACGGCAAGAACCTTGACACCCCCGACCACAAGTCCCACGTCGCCTACGGCCAGGGCTCTGGTGCCACTGGCGGCGGCGCCTGCCCATCCAGCCACCCCGTCAAGCTTCCTCAGCTCATGTACGAGCTGATGTGGAACGTGACCAACTTCAGTGATAAGAACATGTGGCCCACCTCGGGCCCTGCCTTTGTCTACAGCATGAACCTCGGCGGATCTGCCGCTCACGGTGACTACGTCTTCGGCTGGGAAGGCGACACTCTTCAGCGTGCCATGGACAAGGGCTGCAACCTCAACCGTGCTTGCCCTGCTGCTGGTCTTACTTACCAGCCTCCCGAGGTTTACAACGCTTGCAACATCAAGCAGCAGGCTCCCGAGCCCGTCGACGGCTGTAAGTTTTCATCCCCACCCCCTTCACAAACGTCTGAGAGAGATGAATGCTAATGATATCATCAACCAGGGCTCAAGGCCATGCCGATGGGCGATGTCGCCATCAAGGCTTAATCTCACGCAATGACAGCGATTTCCTAGTGTTCAAGAGAACAGGACCAAGACCATGGACTTGTTTGAAAACTCTACATGTTCATCATTTGAAAAGAGTGGTCTGGTTGAGTGGTTGAGCACGCCAGGCAGAGTGGAGTCGGCATCAGTTTACACAAACATAGTATTACTTTTATTCCCCCTCCTCACTCGTCTTGTCATTTGTGATGAATCATTCCTTGCCCTGATGTGCCCCATTGTGTGTAGTTTGATTACATGTACCGCCGGAATTTGAGCCTGGCTCATTCCAGAATATCTGTGTGTTCATCGATTTAAATTTTTCAAGTCAGTAGCTGGTCGTGACTTGACCCACCAGTAATGTCGACAGGACCAGGGGACAGCCCAAATCTTCGCTTTGCCCACATTGTGTTCATGCGGCGAGCATGATGCCATGGTCGAAAAGTGCCAAGCAACCAGTTTAATCTATATAAACACGGTGCTGATGTCTTCCTTCCTAAGCTGGAAAAGCTGAACTGGGAGGTTCGGTAGCTATTTCTGCGAGCGATGGACATTGAGCTCCCTTATATTTCCTTTGACTTTGTCAGGTCTTTCACATGCTTCAGTCAGGAGATGCTCCTTGTCTCCTTTCTTCAGACACTGGCCCAAGACGCCAGGCATCAAGGTCTTTTGCCTAAATTTGCTCGATTAGTTTTGCCCGCAAGCCAGAACGGTAAAAGCCCCCAACCATGAACGAAGATCGCCCCAATTCATGTCGATCCGACTTGACTCTGCTCTCCGAAATGGAAACATTGGTAGATACCGGGGTTTGCAATGGAATGTGAAGTTTTGGTCTTACCTCAATCAACATTGCACCCGTGCAGGTGTGATGCCATCCACCGTCATGAAACGTGGCAACCACGTGCTGCTCAAGCATGTATGTATAAGAAAGAAACAGGTTTCCCTTCTATAGCAGCAGAGTAGCCCAGCTGGATGTTCACTTTGTATATCTTTGACCCACACATTGTCAACGCTTGCCGCCAAACCTCCCAGCAACATCCATGGTGTCTTCAAATCTACAGCAGGGGTAAACAATAGGATAGGGGGAAATGGGGAATGCATTTCTCTCCTTCTGTACTAACCCATCGTTTCATGACCAGAGACAAACCAGCCGATGCACCTTTTCTGTCGCTTATCGTACAATCACATCTCCATGAAGAACAGAGTACAATGATCGTGGTAAATGTTTACAACGCGCCTCCGCTGCCGCTAACTGTTAGGGGGTGACCCTCGCTGTTCTTCTTTCTTCTCTACTAACTTAAGAGATATTCCAAGCCAATTATTCTCAATGCTTGGTTGAGTGATTATTCATGCTTTGCAAAAGAAAGGAAAACAAGAAAAAAAGAGAGAACTCCCGCCACATTGTCGAGACAACAACGCCCTTTTTCGCCGTGAACTAAACCAAACTCCTGGTATCTTCTGTGAACCCCAGCAAAAACACTCAATGGTAACAGCAAAAGAGCGACTGATCCCTCACATCAAGGGCGTGATCCATCCAAGAAGCGGCGAAATGACGAGGTGGCTGGCGTGCCAAAGAGGCTTGAGCTTGGTGGTCTGGGGGATGGCGGGGGCAGATCACGGGTGTGGCGAGGCACCGTCACTCCCAGCGCATTATATTGGGCGTGGACGGTAGCATTGTGTCGACCCTCTGACCTCGAAAGTCTCTGGTCGTGGCCGCGACGGTACATCTGCTGGTTCTACCGCGCAAACACCTTGACCACACCGTCGCCGCCGCCACTCACAACCCAGCGGCCGTCCTGACTCCACACGACAGAGCAAACGCCCTCACCGCGCATCACCCTATGGCTCGTAATTTCTTGTGTGCAGGAACGTGTTTCCAAGGACCAGAACCGCAGGGAGCCGTCATGACCGGCGCTCACTAACTCCCGACCGTCGGGGCTGAGGGAGAGACCGGAGATGGAAGCGGGATGGGCAACCATATTGTAGGTGCACTGACCTGGGTGACTGGGTTAGCAAGGGAAAATGGCCAAGGCGCTGGTGGCCGTTGTGAAACTTACCGCTATTGGCGTCGAAGAATCTCACATAGCAATCTTCGTGTCCTGAAATGATGACACCCTCCACACCCGATCCAGCCATAGCGCGCCCACCTCCTGTTGGTCCGCCGCCGCCGCTCTCCTCCTCGCCCAAGCCTTGGGGCTGATCAAGCCCAACGACCGTGGCCACCACCGCGTTGACACTGGTAGCGATGGTTCCATCATAGGTTTCTAGACTGGCCATGGTCCCAGTGGGCTCTCCGGTCCGGGTGTCGTAAACGATGATGGCAGCATCCGAGTAACTCACCACAAATGTCTCTCCGTTGGGGCTCAGGGGTGTGATCTTGGTTGGACTGGCCTTGCCATCGGGACGGGGGATGGAGTGTATCAGCGAGTAGTGGAAGGGGGAGTTGGAGGCGGTTGTCGGCTGGGGCGAGTTCGGGAAACTGGAGCCGGAACTCATCGAGTTGCCTCGTGTGCGACCGCCAGGACCCCTCCGTCCCGTGCTGGGCTGCGGTGAGGTGAGCTGAGGTGGTGCACTGACTGCCCACAGCTTGACCGTACCATCAGCTGAGCCTGAGACGAGGAGGATGCGGTCCGGTGAGCCATGGGTAGTGCTTTGGCCAAAGATGGAGCCAAGGTTGGCGGGAAGTACGCAGAGGGCCCAGACAGCATCCGCATGCGCATCCATAGTGGCTTTGGGGTCGACACGTCCTCTTTCCCACACTCGGATGGTGGCATCCTGACCTCCCGAAAAGATCCATCCATCGCCTTGCGCACGCCCGCCCGTAGAGAAGTTGGGCGATGGTGACCACGATGTCAGAGAGAGAACAGCATTACTGTGACCGCGGTGTGTGAAATCGGCAGTCACGTCGAGGTCGCCGACACCAGCGCCGGGATGCCCCGGATGACGATCCGGGATGTGGAATCGCTTGATCGTCCCGTCGTCTCCGGCGGTGCAGATCTCGGGCTCGCCAGGACTCCCGCCTCCAGAAAAGATCACAGTACGAACGGTGTCCAGGTGGCCTCTCAGTCCAAACTTGAGCTTGAAGTTGGTGTTTTCTGTTTTCTGGCTCATAGAGTTCAGCGAAAGCTCGTGGTCCGCACTTCTCCTCCGGCCCATGGAGCTCGAACTCTTTCTTCTATGAGACAGAGCACCGCGGTTGGGGGATTTCGGGATGTTTTCAGCGGCGGGAAACACATCGGTATCCGGTCGGTTGGGAGACGCCTGATGAGGCTGCTGCTGTTGTTGTTGTTGTTGTGGTGGTGGTGGTGGTGGCGGGTTGGGGGCAGTGGGATCGGGAAAGTTGCTATCATTAAAATCCCAACTGTCTGACTCGAGCCCGCCGCGCTTCTCGGAAGGCTCTCCTCTGTCCTCCGCTCGATTGGGGTGCTTGGGCTGCAAGGCCGGCTCCTGGCCCGATTCCGCCGGAGGCTTTGCGTGGATAGGTATCTGGCCAGTCCATTCGCCAGCATTCCCATACATGGCCGATGACTGCTCGGCATTTGATGTACGCATCATGGGGGCAGACTGTAAATCAAATTGCTTGACGGGATAGTTGCTTGGACCAGGTGCGCCCTGACCACGGTGGGCTAGAGGCGCCGCGTTTCTAGCTTGGTGGGCCAGAAGCTCACGAACGTGAGCCTGTTGCTGCTGTTGTGAAAGTCCCTGCTGTTGGTAAACCGGGTCCATAACTTGCTGACCAAACGCATCGGTTTCCCGCAAGTCTTCCATCACAGGAAGGGGGGGCGAGTCTCTCGGCGGCATGGGATTAGCAGGTGTAACCATGAGGTAGGTAAATTCAGCCTGGCACTGGTCAAGGAAGGTCCTCAGCTCGTTGCGCTGGTTCTCTTCATCGGCGAGGTCGGCTGCGAGCGTGCTGGGCACCGTGGGGTCACCTGAAGCTGCATCGCCAGCCTGTGTCAGCCATTCCGCAAGAATAAGATGCCAGCAGACGTGCCATAGACTTACGAGCAAGCTTCTCCTTCAGTAAAGCAGCCCGATCTAGAGGTTTGGGCTGTGAGGGGTCGACACCCTCCTTTGACTGTGCCAACTGCTGCTTGACCTTCTTTTCCAAAATGGAAACATATTTCTTCAAGGTGTTCTGGGTCGCGTCGGCTCTCCTGGCCTGGCCCTCGAGACCAGCTATCCTGCTCTTCATCTCCTGCCTCTCGATTTCCCAGGCATTGCGATCGCGTTCGTGTCGGTGCCATTCGGTCTGCAGAAAGCGCATAACACCTGCGGCAGCGGTTAGCAAGCAACCATCACATCAGGAGGGAGTTGGTGAGAAAGGCATGCGGACCTTGCAGTGTGTACTCAGTGGCAGGGGGATGATTAGAGCCCATCATGCCTCCGACTTCGTGCGCGCCCATGCCACTCCCTCCATTGGTGCCCATGGTGGCAGCAGAGCGAGCGAACCACGAGATGCCGTGACTGCGGGCGAAGAAGCGGTGGAGGTGAGAGTCGAAGAGAGATGGAGGTATTAATTAGCTAGCTGTCCATATAACAAAAGCACTAGTCGGTACAAAGAATCGGTTCTGTCTTGCTGATACTGTTTGTCGCCTGTGCCTGGCTGGCTCCAAGTTGGTGCGATGGTCGCTGGCTGGTTGGTTGGCCAGAAGTCAACGACACACGGGCCACTGCCTCTCCCGCTGAGGGAGCTCGACTGGCTCCACAAGGGTGCCGTGGGATTGGACCAATCAGAGGCTGCTATTTTGTGCTATGCAACTGCTGTATGTGTATAACTTCCATCTGTGGGACTGTTGATTTCGACAATGTCTCCCATGTTCTTTCTGTCTTATCATACATAGAGAGAGAGTACAGGCGTCAAAACTCCATTACCTCCACCTGTGACCCGCAAGTCAAACATGTCTTGACCGTCATCCCCTCCGCATTCTCCACGGTCCTCCCCCACTCATGGGCATGTTTCCCTCGATCCCCAATCGCATCTCCAAACCTGGCTGCTTTTCCAGGGCCCGAGCCCGAGCCGCTGCTGTCCCCTTTGGCATTGTTCCTCCTGAAAGCCTCGGTCCTGGTCTTGCGCTTCAGGTCCAACAGCTTTTCTTTAAACTTGGCCTCCTTCCTCCTTTTTTTATCTTGCTCTCGCTTCTCGAATTCGGCGTCGAGTGCCTCTGCTGAGCCCCATTTCTGGTTGATGGCATACTCCTCGACCTGGTATCGTAGAAACAGCATCATGTCATGCCAGTGTGACTTGTGGGGATTTGGCCTGGACAGGTGCGGTAGCAGCTCGGGATCTCTCAGCTCGGCTTCGCAGGAACATCATGTTAGCAGCACAACACCATGATCAGGACACCCCTGAGATGGACTCACGATCCGTCAACAAGTAATCCTCTTTGCACTCCGTCTTGGTTAACAAGCTGTACTTTTCGGGAAACTTTTGCTTGCACCCGTTGCAGACAGCACATCCAAACACTTCTTCCCAGACAAAGTCGATCTCGACAGTCTTGCATTCCCTGCATCGTTTTCTCGTCTTTTCATCTGCTAGCACACTCAGCCCGGGCTCGAAAGGCCCCGACTTGTTTCTCTGCAGTTTCTTGATCAGCTGCAACCTTTCCCACTCGGCAGCAGTCATATTCGCCGGCTTCTGCTCCGCCTCGGGCTTGCCTGGTACGCCGGCAGACATGCTCTTGTTCCAAGGGTCATCTTCGATGCTCAGGAAGCCGCCCTTTGTATCTGTCATGGCGCTAAAGTTGTAGTCGACATATTTCGTAAATTTGCGCGAGACTGGCTGCAGGCCCTCTCCCTCCTTGGCCGGACTCGTACGCGCATCCCGGTTTGTGGCCGGCACTTCGGCTCGCGATATCGACCCGTATGGCCGTTTCTTCCCAGCCGGGGCGGCGGTTGTCGTTGATCCATCTGTCTGTTGTACATCGGAGGCACGGAGCTCGGCGTCGCGCTGCTCACGAATGGCTTTGGCGCGCAAGCGGTTTTCTTCCTGCAATCAGCGCGCGAGGTGAGCATCCATGGCAGTACCTTAATATCACTCGGAATTGCGGAGATGGAAATAACCTACGATGCGACGGGTGATTTCAGGTGTTGGTGGAGATTGTGGCCGTCTGGGGATGGTTGTGGTTGTCGCAGCCTCTCTTGGTGGGGTTGCTGGCCTATCCATGGCGAACAAAAATGTGGTTTGGTGTTCTTCGGGAGCCGTTGCTGTTTCGATTGATCATGTCGTTATCTAATAGCAGGTAGAGAAATGGTGTCTGCTCTTGATCATGGAAGCATCGTGTTGAGGTGAGAGCAACCTGCCTGAGCTGGAAGCTGGGGGATGCTCAAAGCGACGCAAGGACCGCCACCGACCACTCCCATCGGCGGGATGGCTATGACGCGTAGTAGGTTGCTGCGTGGGACGGGACTGGCCACCACCCCCAAATACTTCAGGTCCGTTAATTACTCGACAATTTTTACACACAGGACGATGGGACACTCCATGCACTGAACACAGAATATCCATAGAAAGCCGTAGAAACAACCATGAGCAAAGTCGATTGACGAACGCACTTGATTATTGAAAAGCAAAACCAAGAACACCACGCCCCCCTCCGCTAATAATTACTGATCCAGCCGACCCGCCATCCATTTCCCCCCCAAAAAAATCTATCACAACGAGGCGCCCCCCGCAAGGGGACTTTCTTATCAAGAAAACCCCGCCAAAGCGCGCGCAGCCAACGGGACCCATCCATCCAGGACCATACATTTTGTAAAGTACTCTACTCCTCCTTGGCACCACCACGGCCGGCACGTTCGGCCGACTCGACAGCCTTCTTGTCGCTCTGGGCAGAGCCGTTCTGGAGACCGCTCATGAAGCCGGCAGCCTGCTTGAATGGGCGCTTGAGATCACCAGATGCGGGCTGGCCCCAGACGTGGATCTTGGTGAGGTTGGCCTCGAGGGCGCCCTTGAGAGGGATGATGCTCTGGATGAGGAGGGGATTGGTGTATTTGAAGTACAGGTGCATCACACCCATCATCAGGACACCCATCATCTGGGAGCGCATCAAGTTCTTGAGCTGGGCGAGGTCGTAGGCCTGGACCGTAGTGGTGACGAGCTTGCCCTCCTCGCTGGAGCCCATTGGCGCGGGTTCGACATACTTGAGCGTGGTAAGATCTGTAGAAAACAAGGACGCAGGTTAGCCTGGGTCTCGCGGAGGCGCAACACGGAGAGGACGGGGAGGACGGGGAGGAACGGAGAAGACGGGGCGACGCACCCTTCTTCTTATTGATGGTGTTCTGGATGTAGAGGTAGATGCTCAGAATGATCAGGTTGCTGGCAATGTAGCCGGCGCGGCAGAGGTTGAGAACAGACTCGTCTTCGAAGGGAATCTTCTTGGCGACCTGCATCATCCCGAGGATGATGATCAGGTTGGTGCTGGAAAGCAACAGGTTAGCTGGCAGAACGAAACAATGGGCGCAGGGCCGGCGCCGGTGCGACGGTGCCTACATTTGTGGACTGAGACCCATTGTGACAGATGTGATTGCGTATGGAGATGCGCAGTGCAAGTTTGTCGGTTCCAGCGAGCGGTTATGGATGCTTGGAAGTGAGCGTGGACAGGCGATCCGGCCAGATTTTATTTCTCTGATGTCTCCAATCCAGAAACCCGTCTCAGCTCCGTGGCCACTCGCACGGATCCACTGCCAGTGCCCATGGCTTGGCATCCAACAAGACCAGGAGCGTGTTTGCAATGATAACCAACTAGATACCTAATTATTCATTTCATCGACCAAGAGTCTTTGGGGAAATCTCTCTTGTATTTCGCATCAGTTATGGCTACCTCTCTTTGCCTTCTCGAGCTCGAACTACGGAATCATGACAGGGGAAGGCCCCCGAATCATCTCGGAATAGAAAATTCAGTATATAGATAGCTTGAGAATACACCCTCCGTAGTCCGCCAAGCTCCAAATAGAACCTCCCGCCTTTCACACTGTGGTGACCTCCAGACCCACTCCAGTGTCTCCCAGACCGTGGGGACATGTCGCTTGCAACGCTCTGGGTTTCGGCAGAGCAACCGTTATCTCGCTCCATTCTTCCGCCACGAGCCAACCTCAACAACACTTAAGCTTTTCTGCATACCGGTGTACACCCACGTCGTCGTTCACAACCATGTTATGGTTAATCCTCTTTTCTGCGCAGTCTCGATGTCACCTTGCCAATGGGGGTAGCTGTCTGATGACAGCTGCATGTGGCGACCTGCAACTCTTCAACACACCTTTGGATATGCTATGGGACACAGAGATGGTTCTGAAAGGCCTCTCTCGCCTTCTCAGACGGGCAGATACCTCAACTAGCTTTACTGATGGATAGCATGGGCGTTTGAGAGTATCTGTTTACTTACAAGAATGTCGACCATATCACCTACCTCTACCAGAGCACTCCTTCACAGTGATCGCACCTCTTCGTTTGCCTCCCATTTTCACTTAACGGCACCTCCAGCACGTTCGACATAGCTTACCTGCCAGATCTTTCCCGTGATAGCCAGAGGTAGTGTGCAAGTCAGTTTTGCCATTCCTAAGATTCCAACTGGGCCGTGAGAATATATAACTCAGCCGGTGGAATTCCTTCCGAATACACCATGCCAATCATCCCCAGACATACAATTCTTCCGTTCAACCAGCAGCAACGTTCAATGCTCAATCTCCGTATCACGCGGATTATCTGGCAGCATCAATCGACATATTTAAAGTCCTCTGCCTATCCACCCGATCGCGACGACATGACGACCTACCATACCTACAACTTTAACCTCTCCTGGTATGAACAATCTTTCCCCAAAGATTACGCAGCTCCAATACCTTTCAGTGATCCACAGAAGTTAGGGGGTTGGCATGTGTGGTAGACACTGTAGACAATAATTCTCGCTCACCAAGCATGATTTGTCTCAAATAAGTCAACATTCAATCCAACACATGGCATGACTTTCTTCCTCGCGTCCTGAGCAAGCCCAGGGGCACAATGAAAAAAGAGAAAGATGGCCGGTCAGACTTCCATCGACACCCACCCCGTTCAAGCGCCCGAAGGCAAGACCTCGAGAAATCGGGGTACAGATCATCGCCACTCTCTATACAGCCGCAGCACAAAGGCCAGCGACCGCCACCTTTGCAGGCAGGTCGAGAGTAAAAAAAGGCTCCTCACTGTTGGGCGCCGAGGATATCGTTCATCAACCCGGGTGGGATCTGTGGCTCCTTTAGGGAACACAAAAGAGGACGACTACTATAGAAATGATTCTCTGAAGTATTGTCGACATGAGGAAAAAAAGAAAAAGAAAAACCGAAATGGAGGGAGGAGAGCACTCAATTTATACCCATCACCGGTGGCCAGTGCACGCATGCAAATTTGCACTCGCTCGCACAGACCATTCTCTCCACCCTGCAAAAATCCAGGCATCAAGTGGGACAGAATGGACCGCAAACCGTTTTGCCGACTCAGACCGCCAAAATTTCTCGCGCTGGAGAAGAGTTTTCCAATTTTTGCACATGACAACGCTCAATATGGCATCATTTGAATTTCGTTGGACTCGGCATCTCAGCAATCTATTCCCGATACAAGCCCTCCTCTTCAATCCACCACTTTACTCCGTCACTAACCATCTTATCCAACCTCTCCCTGTTGCCCTCCCTGGCAGCATCCCGTGCATAGGTACTACTGACCACCTCAGTCCCCGCCTCTCTTCCCTCGACCATCTCGATCCTCTCCGCCCATTCCTTGCTCCCGCCTATCTTGCCCAGTCCATGACCTCCCCCCTCTTCCCCGTCATCACCCTGTACCAGGTCTTGCAGATACTTCAGCTGCTCGTCCCTCCCACCCCACTCATCATCTGTCCGCATCGTCACCCTCAGCCTCGCCCTTTGAAACAATGGCCCAAGAGCCTTTTGCATAGGCGTCCTGGGCTTCTCTTGCTTGTTCTCCGCTGCTGTCGGCACACTCGTGTCCAGCGGCGTACCAGGCGGAGGGGCCGCCACCGGGCCGTAATATTTTGGATTGAACACCCGTATCAACGTGTCATAGCCCACCAACATGACCTGCCCCATCTTGACCTCTGGTGCACCCCGTTGGTAAAACCCGACCTGGTCAATCGCCTCGCTCTTCTCGTGGAAGAATGGCAAGGTTGATAGCCCAATGTCGACATCGATTGCTGTGTTGGCTTGCTGCTGTAGCCAGGCCTGGACATCTTGTGCAAAAGCCCACATCAATCCAAGGCGTTGATGAAAAGGGGCAGGTTTGGGCGCTTTGTCAGCGTTGTTGATTGAGAGCAACAATAGCAGCCTAGTTGTCTGGGCTCTGCCGCCTACATCCACGGCATTTTCCACGTTGTGGTTCGTGGTTGTTGGTGGCCGGCCCTCAGAGAGAATAGCGGATGTGGCCATCCGCAGGTGAGCCCGTGTTGGGGGGTTGAAGGACGAATCGAGGATAATCAGGGTGCGTGGTCTAGCCCGAGGGGGGAGGGGGCTTGGGATTGCAGGTTGGTCATCCTTCTGGCTTGTACCGACAGGTTGCCGTGATACTGTGCAGATAACTTCGAGCTTCGAGGAGGTGGCTTTGAACGAGGTGAGTGCTTGGGAGAAGAAAGCTGTCAGGACGCGGGCCGAAGCCGATACTCGCGGACGCATGGGTTGGTAACCAGCCTCTAGGGGCTCGCCAGGTGAAGAGGACATAGCCTGGCACGCTCTGCCTTAAGTAACGGCTCTCTGATGCTCACAGAGCTCTCATGCGGTTGCTATCGAGGTACGGATGATGACACAGCCAATGCAAGTGTGACTTCCTGCTTGTGCAGCGGGGGTGGGGTAGTGGGGGGGAACGGGGTTTATGGGCCGCTTGCTTTTTCTTATGTGCGAGAAAACCAGATCGTGAGAACCTCAACCCCAGATATCTGTTGTCGTTTCCTCCAAGTCCGCCTCTTCTTGTGCTTGTGATGTTTTCGGCGTTTGCTTGCTGATTACTAGGCCACGATGAGCAGGGTCACAATGCAAGGCTGGACAGCGTCTCAAGCACAAGTAGGGAAAGACTGAACAGTCTTTCCCTAATCACCATCAGCATGCCCCCCCAGGTTTGGCTTGTTACAGGCAGCACTGCTGGCATCAGTTGAGCTTTTGTGCAAGAGATCGCCGCGAGAGAAGACAAAGTCATCGCCACGGGCCATAACACCATCTCACGCATTGGGCATCGCCAGTCTGAGAATGTCGCGCTGTTGGACCTCGACGCGACCGCCTCCTTGTCCGAGACCCAATTCGACACCTCCCAGGCTGTGTCCATTTATGGCCACATTGATGTTCTTATCAGCGCGGTGGCTCAGGGACGCAGAAGTACAACCCCATGGCTGCTAAGAAACTGTTCCATTCTTAGGGACCGGATGTAGAATAGGCCTCGAAAGATGGATCAGAAGTCATTCAGGCTTTGCAGGCCGTCGTTGATGCATGGTCGTCCAAAAGTCCAGTGAAATGCGTGGCGGTCCTCCTGCTGTTTATTTCACATCGGTGCAAACGGAAGCGGAGACAGGTAAATGCAGAGTCCTTTCTATACCTATCAAGAGTGACTTCAAGAATATATACCATTTCCAGTTATTGGCTATTAGTACCGCCGACAGGGCCATCGCGTTCATCCATCACCACAAGGAAAACCTGACATGCCACACGTCAGCCGGGTACCTTATCTAGCATCCATGCTTGCACAACCCAATGACCCTGAATTTTGTCGACCACCAAACGCCATATACATGCAAAAATCCTCCAGCCGCCAATACTCATACAACGTACCTCCTTAAATGCAATAGAGGCAGCAGGTGGTGTTGGTAACAAACAAATCCTTCAGCGAATCTCAGGCTCCCGCATAAAGTCGGGGAAGTTTGAGAAGCTCCCATCCCCAGAAGGCGGATGTTGGTCAAAAGAATCAAGAAGCTCCTGGAGAGTCTTTTCCTCGTCCACGGTCAAGCTTTGCAGTGTGGCTCGGTTGGAAGGGTGTGAGGCAAGGTTGATGGTGGGTTCCCGGGGCACGTCTTCTAGCGCCGCTCCCCCCACCAAGTTCTCATCCAGGCCGTAAATCTTGATGCCACGGATGTGAGTGTCTTTGCCATTTTGGTGGTTTTCTTTGACGTGCATCTGCACCACCCAGCAACACAACGAGTGTCCATCATAGCCGCCGCCAGCATCGCTGATGGGAACGTCTTGCCAACCCACGGGGTTCACCAGAGGCATCTCGGCAAACTGAATCAGATCATGAGGGCTTGTCCCGGCATAGAAGACAATATTGGTAGGCGTATAAGACTCGTCTTGGCTATAATCCACGTAGAACCGGATGGCACGGATCTCAACACGGCGCACAAAATGCATCGTGAGAAGGTGAGGCTGTTGGCCGTCCGATCTACAAGACCAGTCAGCAACCGCCGGCGACACAGAGTCTTCGATGAAGGGCGTTTCACTTACTGCCAGTACTTGTCTGTATCGTCGCTCAAGAGCTCGGTAACTCCATTTCCGGGCTTGTGGCTGCTGACTCCAAAATGCGCAAGGTTGTTGATCTCCTTCAATCCGAGAGCAGTGGGGTCAAATGGGGGTTCCTGAGGCTGGTCGGAACCGTCCTGCTCCTGCCCGTCGTCAAAGTCGTCTTCATCCATGTATTCCTCGCTGTAGTAGGTGTCGTCATCGCGAGGCTCTCTATAGCCATAGGCGTCGGGGTCGTCGTCCTCCGGCGCCGGCTCATCTTGGTCCAAATCTCCCTCTGGCCCATCCTCTAGCTCCTCTTCAAACTGGCCCCGAGCCTCTTGAACTGCCACCTCGTGGTCTTGAGTTCGGTAGTGCTCCATACCGACCTCCTCAGCTTCCGCAAGTGGCTCCTGGCGAGACGGGGTGACAGGAGACAGAAACTGGGGCTGTTGGTGCGTGTAACCTGGGGCCTGGGTAACTTCGGCCGAGGCTGCGGGTGAGCTGCCCTGATAGTTAGTCAATACCACCACCTCATTCATGTCGTAAATTCCACGTTGCACTCCGGTCAAAACAGCAAGCTTGTTCTCTTGCTCTAGGACGATGGGGCGGCGCTTGATGGGACCGTGACGAGAGAGACAGAGGTCGTGGTTTGAGTCCAGCTCTCCCAGCACACGTCGCTTCTGCTGAACTACAACCCGACGAGGTCGATTTTGAATCATGGCGACGGCCTGATGGGGGTTGTATGACTCTCGTCGCCAGGAAGCTGGAGGGAAAGGAGGTTTGAGGAGGCGTGGATTGGATGAAAGACGGTGGGTGATGAACGAGAGAAATAAAAAGATGGCAGAAGAGAAGAGGCCCTTCGCTGCGGATTTGGGCACCAAGAAAAAACAGCAGTGGAGGATGAAAAGAAGAAAAGAAGGGAAGGAGGGGCAAGAAGCGAGGGGCGAGGGGACGCAGTGAGCAAAAGATCCAGGAAAGGAAGTGGGAAGGTGATGGCGGAGGGCATGTTGGAGGAGAGCAGTGGATGAAAGCTGCGAGCGCCGCGACGGGGGCAAATTCTGAGTATAAAAAATTAGGGTAATCGTTGGGAAAGTCGGCGGTTGAGGTGCTTTTTCATAGGATGAGTTGACTTACACTGGAAAATAGGGGGGCCCCTTTGATGTTATTCCGATGCGAAGACAGTTCTCGCGGCTCTACCAACGACGGGAACAGCTGTCAGAGAAGGTTGTTCGACCACGCGCTGAAATAGACGGGTATGACGGGTGTTAGAGTTCCGAGTTGGCGCATCTGCCATCATCCCTTTGAGAAACTCGGCTTCAACCAAGAGCATACTATCATGGCTTGGAGAGAGTTGGTCTGCATCCCTGTCGATAATACAAACACACAGTTTGGAAAGATGGAGAGGTGCGTTGTACCTTTCAAGCCCCACCTCATCAATAGTGGGGCAGCAGAACTCGTGACTGCGCGTGCGGTGGTCGTGTTTCCCGCTTTCCTTTACGCGACTCTTTAACCTCAAGCTCCACTGGACTTTGACACTGAACCCCAAAATCTTTACCGCGTTGACAACGACAGCAACGATAATAACAGGACCGCACTACTTTTCCAGTATCCTCTCCAATTCTCCCCGGTGTTTTCTATCCTGCAATTTCTAAAGCCCCCTTGTCTGGCTGGCAGTGACTGTTTCTCGAAATGCCACAAGCTCCAGGTGGGTCACCATGGTCTCCTTCTGTTCCTGTCCCAAGGCCCAGTCGGTGCTAATAGTAGTCCACCGCACCTCCAACAGAAGAGGACACTATCCGCATACTGGTGTCGACCGACAATCATGTGGGCTATGCAGAGCGGGATCCAATCCGGAAAGATGATAGCTGGCGGACCTTCGATGAGATCATGCAGATAGCGAAAGGCCAGGACGTTGACATGGTTCTTCTTGGCGGCGACCTCTTCCATGACAACAAGCCATCTCGAAAGTCCATGTATCAAGTCATACAATCTCTGCGGAAAAACTGTCTGGGCATGAAGCCCTGTGAGCTGGAGTTTCTGAGTGATCCGCAAGAGGTTTTCGGTGCATCAACCGACTGCGTCAACTACCAGGACCCCGACATCAACATCTCCATTCCAGTCTTCTCTATCCATGGAAATCATGACGACCCCAGTGGCGATGGTCACTACTGTTCGCTCGATCTTCTACAGGCTGCCGGGCTCGTCAACTACTTTGGCCGTGTGCCCGAGGCGGACAACATCCACGTCAAGCCGGTTCTCCTGCGAAAGGGAGAGACTAAACTGGCCCTCTATGGGCTAAGCAATGTTCGTGATGAGCGGATGCACAGGACATTCCGAGACAACAAGGTTCACTTTTATCGGCCAGGCCAGCAGAGGAACGACTTCTTCAACCTATTGACCCTTCATCAAAACCACTACGCCCACACACCAACCAGCTACGTATCAGAGAACATGCTACCCGAGTTTATGGACCTTGTCATCTGGGGCCACGAACACGAATGCTTGGTGGATCCCATAAAGAACGATATCACCAATTTCCATGTCATCCAACCCGGTTCCTCCATAGCCACCTCTCTTGTGGAGGGCGAGGCGGTAACAAAGAAGGTTGCAATTCTCAACATAACCGGCAGACGTTTCACGGTAGACAAAATTCCCCTGAAAACGGTCCGGCCATTCGTCACCAGGGAGGTTGTGCTGGCGGAAGACAAACGATTCAAGGGGCTCGAGAAGAAACAGGACAACCGCCAAGAAGTCACCAAACGCCTGATGACAATTGTTGAAGAGATGATTGAGCAAGCTAATGCCCTGTGGGAGTCCACCCACGGCGGTGATGCTGCCGAGGATGAGGAGACGCCTCTTCCCCTGATACGACTCAAAGTGGAATATACCGCTCCGGAAGGCTCCAAGTTTGACGTGGAAAACCCCCAGCGCTTCTCCAACAGGTTTGCCAGCAGGGTGGCCAATCAGAACGACGTCGTGTACTTTTACCGAAAGAAGACAGCAGTCACAAGTGAGTGGAGGACACAAGAAGAGCGGCCGTGCAAGAAGCTAACCAAGCGCAGGGAAAATTCCCAACGACTCAAAGGAGCTGCGAGAAGGCGTTGCAGAAGCCCTGGAATCGGTCGATACCATCAAGGTCGACACTCTTGTGCAGGAATACTTTGCCCAGCAGTCTTTGAAGATTCTGCCACAAGCTCCTTTTGGAGATGCTGTCAACCAGTTCGTCAACAAAGATGACAAGCATGCTGTGGAGATGTTTCTGCTCGAGTCACTCTCCACGCAGGTCAAGGGGCTGCTGCAGCTCGATGACGAAAAGGTGACGGACGACTTGGAGGCACAAATCGAGGAATACAGGAAAGTCATGGAGAAAGATTTTGTCATCGGCCAGCACAAACAAGCACAACGCAAGAGGAGGTTCAAGCCCAAGCCCAATGGCTGGGATTCCGATGTGGATGGCCACTGGCATGCCCAGCCGGAAGCGCTTGAAGAGCTGGTGGCATCTCCACCACAGGCAACTTCCAAGAGCCGAGGCGGTGCTCGCCCAACCTCTGGCGTTGTCTTCAGTGGTGAGAACGAGGACATGTTG